GGGCTACCACAAGGCTCACCAGCCTCTCCAATCCTTTATATGCTGTATATAGAGCCAATCTGTGCCTGACTTGGTATGAAAAAGAGACACTTTAGATATACAGACGACCTAGTGACTCTCTGTATTGGAAAGAACCTTGAGGAAACAGCTAGAGAGGCTTCTGAAAATCTTTATTTGCTCAATCAATGGGGACATAACAACGCTATTAAATTTGACCCCAATAAAACTGAGATCATGCACTTCTCGCGGAAAAAGAACTCAGACAATCCTCCAGTCTGCCACGGGACAATGACCAAAACAGCCAAGATTTCTACGCGATAGCTAGGTGTTCTTTTGGATAGAAAACTAAACTTCAAAGATCATGTTTCTCACTGGGCTAAGAAAGCTAGTAAGGTAGCAATCACTTTCAAGGACTATGCAACACAGTCAAAGGATTCCCAGTAAAGTCAACCAGGAGGGCTGTAAAAGCTTGTGTTATTCCTATTCTTACACATGGCTTAAAGGCCTGGTACCCAGGAATAAAAAAAATCAGGAGCTTAGGTGAGACATCAGCATGTCGCATTAAGGGGCTTCTTGGAACGATAGATGCTGTACTACAAACAGCGATCAGGGCTAACCTGCCCGGTCTGGAAAACATACCCTGGACATATCCTATACTGGACGACCAAGGCACAACCCGCACTGGATGGGGTTATACCATCAGGAAAGGCGGCACTACACAAGAAGTATATCGGGAAAAGGGCAGACTTCTCCAAGCAGAAGTAGTAGATGCTGAAGTCCATGGTGCTCTCCAAGGTCTTGCAGCAGCCAGGGCAATTAGACACGGAAAACAGCTATATGTCTGCCTGGACAACACGTCAGTGGTAGATGGGCTCAATGGGACTCCACCCGAGACATCACAGAACATTTTTCTACGATTTCAAGAACTTGCCACAGCACACACTCCTGGAGTGACCGTCAAGTGGATTTCTGGACACAGAGATATTTATGGCAACGAAACTGCCGACACACTAACAAAAGAGGGTGTCATGTTAGAATCAGACATAACAAACCTTCCCATAATCTCATAGGTCAAGAGAGATCTCAAAAAAAAGGGCAAGAAAGAGTTCAATTAATGATAGAAAGACCAATCAGAACCTAGGTATCAAAAAGTATACTTACATACAGTAACTGAAAGAGACTTTATATCTTTTAAGAGGAGTACTTTATACAGACTTCTAGCGGCCAGATCTGGACATGGCGACTTTGCCAGATACCATGAACGCTTTGGGCATACAGACTCGAATAATCACTACAGCTATGGTGAGAAAAAAACACCACAACATATTTTCTTTTGTAAGAGGTTGGGGAAAAATCGGCTGCTACCTAGGTACTCGCCTAGGACAGCTTATTTACAATACTTAGGGGAGAGGAGCACAGAATGGGCAAAATTTGTGGAGAAGAGCAAATTCTTTTCATCAATCTGCCCTCGATAGATAGCTGTTCTTGAAGGACCAAATGGATGACCCAAGGTCATATCGCTGCAACAACGGGGATGGGCTCGTAAGCGGGACTGACTGTACTTATTATCTTGATACCTCCACAACCCTGCAATGCAGAGGCTCTGGGAGGCGTGGTTTGCACTACTGAGGAGCAATCCCCCACGTTAAATACAAAACAAACAAACAAACAAACCTGCATCAGAGCACTGCTACATCTTAACATACTCCTTCACCCTCAAATCTGCTGCATCAGTGCATGTAAAAAAGATGTGTGGTCATGTCATCCCATCGTGTTTGAGGGAAGAGCATGAGCGCCGTACAGAGGAAGGAGCAACTGCCAACGACCTCGAAACGCTCGATTCATCCCAAATCCAGCCTGCACCTGCTACGCTCCTGCCCTACATGCAGAGCCAAACAATCCTCTCCAGATTTTCTAAGACTGGGCAGCCGACCAGTTATTGCCACGTATCTCAGGACCGGCATCTTTCTGGTCGCGCGGTCTGTTTCCAGACTTGTTGACGCACTTGCGAGAGACAAGAGGTCGTATCGGCGAGGAAAGCAGCACGATTGCCGAGTCACCAGAGCCCAATCAAAGGGCTCCGATCATAGGGCCGTTCCTAACAGACATGAATAAACTCGTCCACGACAGTTGCTTGTTTCAAGTCCTTCAGCACCTGAATTTGGTGACAAGTCACGACGTCGATGCCTTCGCATGGATAGACCCAAGCAAAGTTGACCCCAACAACTCGAAGGCTTGCGAGGAAGCGCAGAAAAGGTGTTTCTGGAGCTACCAGGAACAATTCCTTCGAGCTTGGGGAAACACAAATCAGCAGGACCTCGTCTATTCATACTCCGTCGTCGAACAGGGAATCATACATCAGTTGGACCTCATCTCGTCATACTTTGTCGCCGGCAGCTCGTGACAGATATTACCTCGAACTCAAACCATCCCGCTGCGCCCGTCAAAGAACTTCGCAGAATATCTCCCAACCCGCTACACGCGCGCTATCCTCGCGCTGCACACTACCCCTAATGCCATTCTCCGTCATGGATTCAGCAGGTTGGATACGATGCGATGAGTGTTTGATTGCAGGTGGCAGAGAAAGTCCACTGAGCCCCCTGGGCAGCCTAGGGAACTGGTTTAGGGTAACATCTCCCACCCCCCTGCGGACCACCCCCCCGCGGACCAGCGCGTTCTGACCCACAAACGCGTAATTCACCAACCACCAGGATTATGGTGATCCACCATCTACACCATCACTTTTGCATCTTTTTTTTCATAAAGCACACTATTTGAATCCTTATCCACTGCTGAATCTCATGATGTCATTTTATGACCGTCAAATAAAAGCTGAAGCCGCCATTTTGGCCATCCAACGCGGAGCTCCAGTCCGCTCGTCAGCCCTCAAATGATAAATCAGTCGCTCGTACGTCAACCGACAAATCTCTGACACCCCAACGCGGAATGAGACCAGCGCTCTCTAACAGGCTCTCTCACCGTATCTCGAACATAAGCTGGCAAGCTGGGCCCTGGGGCAAGCACGGCTAGGGTATTCTCCGGCGGTCTCTAAGTTCCGTCTCATGGCCCAGCGGATGCTCCATGCCACCGGGGATGCTCGAGAATTAGGGAAAAATTGGGCATCCAAGTTCCTGTCTCGAAACCCGGAAGTCAAGATAATGAAGTCTCGTATTATCAACTACAACCGAGTGAATAGTGCTACAGCGGCAAATATTAACATTTTTTTTGATCGGTGTGACGCCCCTGACGTGGTTAACCTCATGCCAGCACGCTGGTACAACGTCAACGAAATGGGAATCGCCCAGGGGGTTGGGGACTCCCATTGGGTGGTCTCCAAGGCCTCCGGCAACGTGGCTATGAAGAAAGGGGTCGAGAAGGGTGAATGGATAACTGCCCTAGAGTGTGTGAGCGGATCTGGTGAGACCTTGCCGCCGTTGGTGATTCTCAAAGGGGTTAATGTACAAGCCTAGTGGTTTAGCAACCAAAATGAGGGCAAATTCACCGACTGGAGGTTTATTACGTCGCCCAATGGATGGACCTCAAATCCCATTGCGTTAGAATGGCTTCAATGTATCTTTATTCCTTACATTCGGGAGGTCCACGGCAATACATGGGTGGTTTTGGTGTGTGATGGCCACGACTCCCACACGAATGATGAGTTCTTAGCCACCTGCTTGAGAAATAAAGTATGGTTGATCTTTTATGAATCTCACTGCTCCCATGTAGTCCAGGTGTTAGATATGGGAGTCTTTAATTTGGTGAAGAAAAGGTTGAAGACCTTACTCCAGGAGACGCCCAGCGGCCGTCTGGGACTCAGGCCATCTAAGGAGGAGGTTTTGGAGTGCCATGAGCAGGCCCGGAAGGACACAATGATGCTCTTCAACATCAGAATTGCCTAGAAAAAGACTGGGATTGTTCCTTGCAACAGAGCGGAGGCATTGAAGTCGAAATATGTGATTCTGGAGGACAAGGGGGTGGCCAGGGCACGCCAGAGGGACCCTAAGGCTTCCGAGCGAGCCACAACACCAGATTTTCTCGAGATGGTAGCTAAAACCATTATCACAACACCCTCTGGAAGCCGGGCTTTGCGGGAGAGTGCTCGAAAGCTCGAAAGAAAGGACCCTTCCTTTGGGGAGCCCTCTGAGTGCTTGTTGGTGCGGAAGGCTGACAAGGCCATGGATGTTCAGGCTGCTATCATTACAAATCTACGGGCCAAATGTGAGCTGCTTGAGGCTCAAGTGGCTAAAAAGGCTAATACCACTCGAAAAGCAGTCAAACCAACACCAGGAGAACGATTCGTCACAATGGCTAACATAAGGGAGGCCAAAATGGAGCTGAGGAACAGGAGGGTCTATAGGGACTCCGCTACAGGCAAAGAGGTCCCACAAGAGGTCCCTGGTGAAGATTTAGGGTCGGAATCGGATTTTGGGAGCTGTATTATGGTTAGAACACCACGACCTTAGTGTATTTAGCAACTGTGGTGGTTGTAGATGGCTTCATCTGAATGAGAGTGGTGTGGTGTGGAGTGGTCCGTGGGGGGGTGGTCCGCAGGGGGGGGTGAGATGTTATGTCGATGCACTGGGGCCCGCGGAAGCCGCGCCATACCCCCAGCCCTGGAGTGTGCCCAGGTCGTCTCAGGGGCCGCCCAGATTGACGGTCCCAGAACTGAGAGGCTTCACTAAAGCTCGCAACAATGCCTTCCGTATGTACCAGCCACAGTGGCTCAACTCACTCACCAGAAGATCTCTAGCCACGGTGGCGGAGGCACCATAAGAAAAAGAAGAACACCAGAGCCTCCAGGGCATCTCGCCACTTTTCATATGTCACGGAGGTACTGTGGTATCACAGTGCACGGGGGATCAGCAATTGATCGGATCAGAAGGGATCTATTGAGCAACTTGTTGAGCCTGAGTGTGTACTTAGGTAGGCCACTACCAATCTGCACCAGGGCACTGCTGCATGACAATTGCCGTAGATCCAAACCACGACCGCCCCAGTACATGTTCGGCGAAGAGTGTCACGTCGTCGACTCGTCGTCAGTTCTCGCCATCGACCACCGGGACACGGTAGCCTGGGCTTCGTTTTCCTTGGCAATCCGGTCACACATCATTCAGGTCAATCGTACTTCAGTCCCTGGCACCATCTATCCGGGCAACAGCCACCACTGGCACACCACTGGCGACAGCACCAGTAAGACAATACTGTCTACGTTCAAGATGACGATATGCTATAACACTTCGCTCGAATGAGAGCCTTATCATCGCATGTTATTCACCGAATGAGTCTGGGACTTGCACAGCTGCAGCTTGCACCGGGATGAAAGCTCATAACAGCCAAGGTCAACGCCTCCCGTACCTCCCGTACCCCAGCTGCGCACACAGCTGGGGTCGACTATGGGTGCCATACTGGGGGCCAAAAAAAGGGGAGTTTGAACCTATGAAGGACCGAACACAAAATGTCAAAAAGACACTGTGCGACAACCACAGGATTCGAACCTGTGCGTCCGAAGACATTAGATTTCGAGTCTAACCCATTAACCACTCTGGCAGGTTGCCTTATCTACTGGAGAAATTTATCACTATGGGGTCTTATACCCACCAATTGTTAGCCTGTGGCGCAGGTGGCGCAACGAAGCAACACCAGAAGACCAGAAAATCCCTCTATCCTCACTTCCTCAAGCAATAATTCACCGGCGATGGCTCCCTTGAGTCGCTCAACAAGATCACAAAACTTCAAACGTGCATGGAGAAGTTTGCAGAGGATTTCGCACGTGAGACCATCTAGCAGACTCGAGTATTGGGAGACAGAGGAGGAGGATGACAATGCGTACGAATCCTTTCGACTGTCAAAGACCGAGATGAGCCGTATCCCAGCGCGCCTTTTACCTCTATCTCTTCTGCTGCCTGTCGTGCCTTGAGACGTCAATAGCAAGTCTCGTGAAGAACAAACTGCCCGCGAGTCATCTCCGTTTTCTGAGTCCGACGATAAACTCGAAAACGTAATTACTAGAAGAGACTCCGTCGAGTGTGGGAGCTCGCCCGGTGGCTTTCCATCCCCCCCTTTACGGGCTGCCGACAAAGGGTGATCTAGACGATCGCCAGAGAAGACTTCGGGAGGATTGGAAAGGCTCGCATTCCCATTACGCGGCCTCGGAGTACATGGAGGGCGGGTTCAAGTACTATGGCTCGTCAGCTGATATCGGCTGGGCTGACTACGAGTTCAAGGACAACCGAGATCTCGAAGGGCAGTTCGCCTATCCCGGCGACATCAATGCCGAGTCGTGGCACTTGAGCGACAGCACCGAAACACCAGCAGCAGCAACCGAATTACCGGAGTTCAGCAAGCTGCCCGCCGAGCTGCGCAAGGAGATATAGAAAGAAAGCTTGAACGTGTGGTCGAGGCACAACCTGCCAGCTGTCTGAGGTCTCGATGCCATCGACCAAGACAAAGACGCCCAGTCGCCTACTACCTATTGAGGTACGGCAATCCAGGTGTCTCAAAAGCGATTGTGCAGATCAGAACATCGCTGAGCAGCCTCATCACAAAGCGATGAGCATCCTGTATGAGCGCTTGTAACGCATATGAGCTATGATGAGGCTCTAACAATTCTCTTGAATCCTGACATTAACTGCATCAGCAACATATCGCCTAATAAATCATTCCAAACTTGGGGGACTGAGCTGCTTAGCCTAGATTGACGCGGGAACGAACCGAGACAGCCGTCTCGCGCCTCTGGGTGGTACCTCATCAGGCGGGCAATGTTGACTGGAACAACGCCAGGAGAGTGTGTCCGGCTGGCTTCAGGATTGTTGAACAGAGCTCTGATCATGTCGCTTTCTGTAGATCATGATTCACAGGTAACTGTATAAAGCCACCAGAATCGAGCAAAACCAAACAGGGCAGTCGCCCAGTATTCCTGCAGCTCCCCGTACTCCCCGTACCCCAATCTAAACCTCGTCGATACGAACCCCCCATATAAGACGGCGGCGTATAGCACTCGGCAATCGTCAGAGTTCCCAGTGTTTGTGCTTTGGCGCAAGGACCAGCGGACGAGCATCGCTCTTAGGGGCTGCTGCTGTTACCCCTTATCCCATTTGAACCGAGACAGCAGGACAACCACCCGAACGCTGCCGTCGAATATCCCGTCGCCAATATCGCACCCGCTGTGCCTAGCCAACAGCGGGTGAAGCCAGAGCGCCATGGCAAAGACGTCGGCCGAGAGGGCAAAGGGAGACAGGCTGAATAGCGACGAGGAAGGGTGCGCACCGAAGCAGCCTTGCCACGCTTGCAGAAACCACCCCGAACCATCTCCTGCACAACCTCTTCACCTTGCACCTTCACACCCGCCAGCCTTAACCCAAACATCCATCCACCCCAACTAATTATTATCGAGGCTGACAGCTATCCTCCTTTCTACACAGTAATCACTCTCATGTTTAACTATGGCCTTCGGCGATCGTAAACTGACTACTCTGCCCTCACCTTTACAATTCTCGACTTATCCTCCGGATAACTGCCAAAAACGACATGCATCTGGTCCCGTTGGTGCAGCCTCCACACGAGCGGCGTATTCTTCCGGATCTTGGCTATCAGACGGAGATACCATCACCATTGGTTGCAGAGAATAGTAGAGGACATTGGGAATCAGGGAGGTACCGACACTTTTATGCGCGGCGCTATCAGATATGGACGTAATTGTCGACGACGAATACATCGTCTGCCCCGAGACCGGAGACGAGGAGGACGATGACGAGGATGAACCTGCCGACGTTTCCGGCGAAGAGTACGACTCCGAACCTGAGCCTAGTTCAAAGCATAAGCGTACTGCTAATAGCAATACTCCAAGCTCGAAGACGGTAAAGGGGAAGTTCTCGTTGATGGGGGTTTCAACCACAAAAACCCCGCCGCAATCATGGAAGAACCGGACGTGATGACTCGGTACCCAAAGGAAACCGAGCTTGTCATGATATCCTCTGTGGCGCCGGCTCTGCACTTCTCGCCCTGACTCCAAAATGGCAACAACCACACATCATGGCCTCGAAGCATCAAAAGAAGGTCATGAGTAGCAAAGAAACGCAAATTGGTCCGGCTGCAGCGCGTGCTTTCAATCAAGATCTTGCCTTGCCCCCGGGCACCTACCCCAGCACTTTGAGTGATCAGTATATTCGAAGTCCCAACCCTACATGGGCCCAGAACCCCCCAAGCGCGATCGATGCCCCCATCTTCCTCGCCCTCGTGACAAGATTTGGGAGTGCAAGCTAGACGGCGACCAGCACAACAGAATTTGGCGCCCCAAAACATCGTCACTGAAGCTGGGTTCACCGTTTTCGACATCAACGACATCCTCAAACCAGTCTACACCGGCAGGAACCGACGCGCAGCAAACGGACCCTGAATTCCATCCTTGACTGGAGGAGTAAAATTTCCGATTTCGCTTTCACACCCCCCTCATTGCCCGACGATGAAGATCTGGAACTTATCCTACAGCCTACACCACTAAAGGTCAGGAGACCGCCGTCGGTCACCGCTGTCCGGCAAGGTGAATACAGAGGCTAGCAGCGCTTCCTCGCCTGCCGTCGGGAAGGACACGGCATCAAACCACAGCGGCTCACGTGGCGCTGGCGCCGCTGCCTCCCCAATAGTGTTACCGTGACGAGTAATGCAGAGTTAGGCGACGATCAGGAGATTGACGTCGCGGAGATCTTTTCCCTGTATCGATTCATGGAGTTCTCGCCGGATAACGCTGCTCATGCGTGCACCACTCTGGCACTCGCTAAAAACACCAATTTCATATGAAAAAGCGATGCACGTTGATCCAAGCCTTGACGAGGAAGAACGGGAGGTTAAGAAGATCATCACTTCACGAACTTATTACGGCAAGCTCCAGTACCAAGTCCTTTGGAGAGGCTGGGACCCTGACGGGATCTGGTGCCCAGCACGGGAGTTCCGGAACTCTGCGGCGAAGCTGAAGGCGTACCACGACGAATACCCTGACGAGTCAGGACCCCCAATGAGATCGCAATAATGGCTGGAAGCAGCTAAACGTGTCTATAGTTGCGTCTCGGTCCCGTAGCACGCGCTTGAATCCGCCGCCGCCGCCTCATTCCAAGCCGGCCAAGTCTTTCTTAACAACCTAACCCCTGCCAACCCCCTCGAGCTCCGCCGCCGCCTCATACGTGAGGTCGGTTGCTATGCATCTTTGCAAAAGAGTACGCTGATGACGATATGCCCGCACGAGTTACTAGATCACCTCAACCTGAAAACCAGAAAGTCGATTGGAACTACCTGCTGCAGAAATCCGCCGTTGTCCACAGTCCCAGATCTTCATTACCAGATCCCAAGCTTCCCAATTGCTACCGGTCATCTCCAACCCGCTCGATCCACGCCAATGCTCGAGTGTATTGAGAAGGGTGTCGTCATCAAGGGGTTGAGGCAGGAACTCACAACGGTTCAAGTCAAACTACACCATGAAGGCTAGAAGGGTTCTGTTAAAAAAAATCCAGAAGATCACATCTGGACTCCAGAGGATGTTGAGGATGACGATAAAAGAGCCGGTAAATGGACTGAAGATCCGGATACCGGTTGCTGGAAGCTCTTCAGCGGCCTTTCATCAAGAGGCACCGCAAACGTAATAAGAAAGACGAGTTATGGAATGTGAAAACTGATGAGTAATGACAGCATACGTGCCCGACCAAAGGAAGAAGTAGTACCCCACAACTCAGAAATCAACGTTAGCTGGCATAGACTATCCTACCTAGCCTACACCGGTCGAAACTGTGCTGGGGACTGTTCGCACCGCTGCGGGATCTCGGTATACCATAGTATGTTTTGATCCGACCCCACTGGTAGATGAAGACCACTACAAAAATCTGCTACGGCGGGATTGCCTGGGAGACCTCTGGTGTCTAACGCACGACCGGATTATATTGCAGTTGTGCATCCACGAGCCAAAGTGCATCACACCTACAGTACGCTCTAATCCTCGCCTGGTACCTAACTGCTGCCGTTGACGGGCACGAGGAACAAGGCCCCGTCTAGTAAATAAGCCCGGGAAATCTGGTTGGGAATGGTCAGATCTGGTCAAGACTGTGGCAACGGTTGGGATTGCACTTGTGATATGTTCCGAACACGACAAGTCAAAACCCGCGATCCCACGCCATGCCCCCGTGGAAGTCAGCTTGTTCTTCTTCCATGGGTCGGTAGTCAGCTTCATCATATTTTACAAGTTCCTCATCGAGTGCAAACGAGGAGATCCCGAGATCTTCCTATGGGAAGGTCCTTGCCAGATACACCGGTAGCAACAACATCTTATACAAATACAACGAAAACGACGAAAACGAAGCCAGCTCAACCGAAGGGAGAGGTCCACGGCCTCGAAAATCTCGATCAATTTAACCGTCGAGTGCCTTTTGGCTGGCCTGGAATTGTCTCTTCATCACTCAGGCGGCCCGGAAGACCGGTGTTTTCGCTATGCTTCTCCCTACTCAACAACTCTTCGAAGAGCTGATGATGCCCTCGCCCTTCAGCTTCGCCCCTGGTCTTTTAAACGTCCTCCAATCTTCTACGTTTTGACATTTTCCCGCTTAAAATCTCCATCGCTAATTATGGGTTTCTCTAGAGACCACGGGCCCGCACTTGGGCCTGCGGTGAACTTATATGGTTCACCATACACCCAGTTGATTACACAGTAACCCTATCTATTAACGCACTGGAGCTTTATGTCAACATCGCAACCTACACGCGTGACTATGAGTGTTGATACAGCCGCTGCCGCTGCCACTCGTTCCGGTACCTATACTTCGTCTACTGCATCAATGTCCTCCGAAAACGACGACACCAGGCTGAAGGATGGTGGCAAGACTACTTTATCCAAGGACCAGAAGACATGGGCCTTCCCCGGGGAATATGAGACCGTTGACGCTCACAAAACTTGCCCATGAGATGCCCACTCGCTACGCGGGGATGATTTGAGATTACGAGTGATGATGCTGCTGCTGGTAGTGGTGATGCTACCGCATCATTGATATATGACGGTTAAGACATGAACCTCGACGCTACTTTGGTCCACGTCAGTCGTGAGGCTATCAAGTCTTATCAAGACCTTGGACGAATGAGGCACTCGACGATGACGATCAGGCGGTCGTCCCACTTGTCGGAGAAGGGATCCATGATGATGCGGTGGCGGCCGCCGCTGTCGAGGGCGGAGCGCTCGAATTCCCGGGTTGTCAGTAGTCAGCGGTGCTGGAAAAGGTCAATGAGGAATCCGTTTCTGGCGTATCCGATCAGTGCTTGGCCGGTGACTGCGGCGCAGGTGTTACCGACTTGACCTAGAGCACTGAGTGCCGCCGCGACGCCGGCGTTAATGGCTTGGTTCAAGAGGTCCGCGTCGGTTGGGGGGCCGGGGGCGACGGTGCGCGAGATGCGCGTGATGGGAAGCAGCAGTCTGCACCTCACCGTAAGAAGTGTGACAATCAGGCCTGCAGCTGCGCTGGTCAGGGCTGATGGGATGAAATATCTAGATTCAACGATATCTAAGGAAGAAGAGGCAAGGTCGGAAGAGAGAGGGGAAGCTAGGGGTATATATGTACATAAATATGTGGAGGTATTATGTAATACCGTAACAAGAAGCAAAACGGGCAGCATGCCGAGACGTATTAACGGGAGACAATCGAATGCGCTATGTCGTAGGAAGACATTGTGCTCGGTTATTCTGTCTTCGAGTCGCTGTACGTCATCTCCCTTCCTATATGGCATCTGATTCTCACATATATTACAGGAACACCCTATTTCCTAATGTCGACTGCTCGGAGTCTATCCTCAAATCCGACTTTCAAAGGTTTTGCACCCGCTTTTTGATTGATACCGATATTACTAAGCTTGTCGATATTAGACCCGACAAGAAGTAGATCGTCAACCCGAAGAAGTTCAGAGATGCTGCTACAGGTCTACAAACACAAGGTCTGGGCCCCCCTGCTGCCGCTCGGTTCGCGAACATGGTGGGCTCTGTGCATGGAGCTCTGGAAATCAGGCGCCCGCGAACAAACATAATCGAGAATTTGACCAGACGATTCTAACTAGAACGATGACGAGAGAACCGGCATGCTAGAAACAGATATGTCTGAACCGCAAATAGGCTTCTTCGATAAGTTGACGTCCTACCGGCGAGAACCAACATTTTTTAAGCAGCTCAAGGATATAGCTCGAGCCATGGGCGATCATGGACACGAAAAAGCCTCAACTACAAGAGTCAGTTGCGAGCCTCGATTCCAGGTGGCAGAAACATGTCGAGAAGGAGGGCCTCACCGATGCATTCCAGCCGCTCCGTTACACGGAAGGCAAACGTTACGAGGGAATAGTCGAGAAGAGCCAGGCGAGTGAGGAAAAGGTAGACGAGGGGGTTAACAAGACCCGGGCAGCCCCGCGGAAAAACGTCACTGCTGAAGAGTGTCGTCCACATTCTAGAAGGTCTCAGTATGTCTTTTAACCAACCTGTCATTCACACTGCGTACCGTATCTCGACTGCCTGCCTTCTCCCCATTCCCAAAGTCACGAATATGGACGATTCTCCCGTTGCGCAACAACTTGGACCGGCACGCTACATCGTTCCCCACCCATCAGGGCGACCGAGACCGATTCTGGGACGACGACATGCCCAGGTCCTTCAGCCGCTCAACCCCGAAGCAGAGAACACCGGCGAATTATCCCATGGTTTCGCCCTCGAGACCTGGCCCATCTGCGATCGCTATGCTCTAAATTGTCTCTTCGGCTTGTTAACTTTTCCATAGCTACAGACTAGGCTGACGACATTCTCATGACCCCTCTGACTTCGGCTCACCCACGACCAGCTCGTCATTGACTCCCACGGGACTTAGCCACTACTAACACGAGGCCTAACTGCTGTCTATGTTCATCTAACAGGCATGAAAGATGCACCGAGAAACGGCCAGTGATTGCCGGAATCGGGTATCTATAGCTATCTGTTTAAAGTATCTCCCACAACCGAAACACCACAATGCCCAGATCCGATCTACCCCGGGCTCTACCGCTCGCATCACCAAGAGCTACCTTTCCCCCTATAATGATAATAGCTTGGTCCCAACTAAGCGGGCAGGACACATACATGACCCTGAGTCCACCGAAAAGAGCAAGATGGCCAAGAAGACGGAGGTCAAGTCGGGCTCCCCCAGCAGAGCTAAGAGTACTCGGGCTGTTCGGGAGCCACTGGCACCCCGTGGCACCGCGTTGATCGAATCCCCACCTTGCACGAGGACGAAATCACGGTCTATGACCCAGATGAGCCAGATGACGACAGCACGGGCGACAATCTTCCAATCGTCCACACAGGCAGACCGCCTCTCTGGATTCAGACAGTGTAATGAAAGGACGACGACCTCCACCTTCTCGACACTGAAGACGAAGACGTGTCATATAATCACCCGAAGCTCCAAATAAGCTGAAAGACTACTAATACAAGAGCCAGAATACTCATACATACATAAATACACTAACTACTACCTTGCTAACGATCCTTAACTATCGGGAACATCCCACGAAACGGAATGAAAGACCTTTTTAGCGAACTGGAGTGGGAGTCGATGTTCGCATATAAAGCTGGTAATCTAGTTGTGCCAAGGGGTGAGCAGAATCAGGAAGAGCTGTTGCTCCGGTCGTATGTGATGCTACATACATGGTGCTGGTTTTATGCAGTTGCGATGACTCTGGGGCTTCCCGATCCGGCAGCAACTTTCCCTCCCAAGATTAGGGCAAGAGTTTGCAAGGCACCACGTAGCTAGGCGTTGCTAATATCAAGTCGCCGTTTACAGCATTAAGCCGCTCGATATAAATCTAACATCGCTTTACATAACATACCTATCTGGCTACCATAAAGATCACGCCTATCTTCGGATTCAAGCCGTCTTAGCCCCTTACACTTACCAGAGTAGGTAGTAGCAATGCAACCTAATAATCCGATTACAACGTCATAAGCAACGCCCAACCCAATTACCTTCTCGAACAATTCGTATGTTCTCCCTTTCCTTCCCATGCCATATCATGTGCTGACCGCCATACGCAGTGGCGAGCAGCCGCCGGATGGAACGACCATGGTCTCCCAATTTGGAAACGTCCTTTTCGCTATGGATTTTAGGGGACTCATATACCACGGCAAGAACCAGCCTTCCGAGTTAGGCATCGCCATTCTGGAGCTTTCGAACATGGACCACATGCCGCTGCCCGGTCCCCGCATTAAGTACACCTTAGTGGTAGTGCTGACGACGGCGATGGCGAATGCGCTTAACACCGAGAAGCGACATGAGTTCGGGTTGCTGTCTGGAGGTGTGACGCTGGATCCTTTCAGCTCGCTCGTTCTGATCGGCGGAGAAGAAGGAGGGTTCTTTTCTAAGATTATCGAGAAATACGTATGCATAAGAAAGTCACGGCAACGAACCACTGCTCACACAAGCTCCAGTGGCTATCGTGCCAAGTTTAAAGATCATGACAACTCGGTGGAGGACAAAACATCGCAAACCATGTCGGTACCAATTTCACACCCAAAAGATAGCACCCTCAAAAGTCGTTTACAAACCCTAGGCTTGTCTATAAGCTGTCTGCGTTCCAGACGGGATTGCGTCAAACAGCGTGTATTATGGATTATCTGGTTGATAACGTGTATTCTAGTAATTCTTATTAAAGTGTATGTTTTTCAAAGATCTGCTGTCGTAAGCTGCAGGGCCCGAAATTGCCCTAGAGGCCCTGTTGGTACAGTGCCACCTCCCTGAACGCCACTGTGGCTTGCGTGCCATTTGACAGATTGGCTCCTGAAGAACTTCTCCAAGAAGCTTAGCGCCTACAACAAGTCGGCCAAGGGTAACAGAGAGATCCGTAGCGACGCCAGTCACCCCGTTCGAGTACTGTCGTGCGGTACAGGTTTACGGCGGCGAAGACAGGTTTCCGAAAGTCCTCCGGCGGCAGTGGAATGATCGGGTACAGGCATATATTATCCCTCGGGTCCCCCACAGCCCAACTCATGGACCAGCTGTCTCACAAAAATAAGGGACCCTCTGAACGAGACCTGCCCCTGCACAAGAAGGAGGATGAGATCGAATCTATCGTAGCCAAACTGAAACTTCGTCCACCCTTTGGTCCACAGCAAGCAGCCGCATACGCCGAAGACGAAGCACCGCACCTGTTCCAGACCAAAGGCGACACTTTTCTTCAACTCGGATCTCAACTACCACCGCTGTTCCCACAAGGACAGCTGGGATGGAAGGGGTTCCAGAGAGAGGAGGGTACCATATTGGAGGACAACAAGGCTCCCCAGCACGCCCGCCTAAGCAACCGCGAATACCCACTCCGTTATCATTCAGGACGAAGACATCGAGCTGGGAGTAAACGGATCTACTTCGCATGCCTATTTACCAGCTACGGATATAGAAGGAGAAAGCATAACTGCGGTTGACAGCGTCCTCGAAAGAGTCTCCGAATTAAGATTCTCGAAGCTACCTGCCGACTGGTTCATCTCGACAATTAGCCTGCCAGAGGTGACGGATTTGTCGGGGGGCTTGACCATTGGGAGCCCACTTGTGAGGACATTTTAGTATACTCTCCGAAGTTCAACTCTGGAGCGTTGAAGATTCCTTGGGAGGAGACCAAGGAAATGATCGAACGGGTCTTCGTTGGATGGGCTGGCCAGTGCTCCCTTGGTGCCGTGGTATGTCCATTCGCTCCCATTCGCTCCCATGCGTCCCATGCTACGTCGAGCCAACAGGAAGCCGTGAACAGCTTCAACGATAAGGATACCACCTCGGCTCTACAAGTCCTAGTTTCCAGCATGTGCTTCGCCGGCACGGGCTACGACTACCACCGGGCCTGCTGTGAGGGGATCGTCTTTCTCGGTTTCTGGAGTGTCAACAATCGAGAACCGGCACTTGCGATCCCTGGAAGGCCGGTAAGTCGAAAGCCCGGTCCAAGTTATTGAATCAACTACGAATCCGGCCTCTCCCAGCAATCAATATATTCAACTTGCGGGAGACCCAGAAGAATCCCGCATCCGGGCACCCACAGAATCATCCAGCGGTGTCTCGGTACCATCAGCCGAAACGCAACATCATCCACAACGCACCGAGAAAACGACGCCACGATCATATCTTCCAGTTCTACACACATCCGCACACAACAGTGAGTTACCATTATCTACCAATCCTAGCATTGCCTTAATAATATTAGGACTTGATTACTGCTGCATCGTCAAGATGGTCGAACTTAAGAAGGAAGAACTCAAGCAAGCCTCGTCGTAATGAGCCCTATGCTTTCGATTTGAAGAAAGAGTTGACGCCGATCATCTCCTGGCGAACGGATCAAGCTATCAAGCAAGAACGGCGCTTTTCGCAGTTCGTCGATGCCAATGACTTCTTCAAGGACAGTACGGCGACCCCTGAAGATATCAATGCACGCGTTATGGAGGCTCTCGAGACGACCTTTAATGCTCCTTCGTCCGAAGATCCCAACTTTGGTGACAGTGCCTTACATGAGCTTATATACGACAAGCATAACTGGCTCGCGGTCCCTGAACTCAACAACGTCAAGCAAGAGGAGCGGCTCATTGAATGGAACTGCCGACTTGTGGAGACACCCGGTGCCCCCTTGGATGACAAGTACAAGACGTACATAGCCAAGTCCCCATTGAGCCCCTGAAACAGTCCATAACACGTAAGCGCAGAGACTCGAGATGCGGTATTTGGATGAGCGCTGGTGTTAAATAGGCTACTGGCAGAGACGCCAACAACTGAAGGGATACTGTTCCACGAAACCCACATAGCGCCCCTGCCGCAGCAGCATCTGGTCTTGAATTGAACGTCAGCCTGCTGCTGTGTTACTCGACCACTTCCCAACCCCGACACAACCGCCATGCACCATCTGCTAAGTGGTTGCAGTGGTGGGAACAAGCCCACCTGAGAGCCATGATATCATCAGTCAAACGCCACAGAGAAAACCCTAACCTATTCCCAGATCAGGATGGCGATACTGGAACAGCTAGACAAGGACTGGAAGAAGATGCTTTAGAATTTCTGGACGACATCGAATGCTCGCCTGGACCCAGCGAACAAGCTGAGAAGCGGTGAAGAACATGCTGGTTTTGGCACAGGTGCCTGCGAACGGTTACGTGGTATACTGCTAGATACTGCAAGAGTACAGAAAGCGCGTGCATGTGCTCTTTATGCACCGGTGCCATACGGAGATAGCGCGAGCGATCGTTAACGAGAGTTTTAACGCGTGGGAAAACGACAGGCCACGAGTGCTCATTATGTCGCCAGCACTTGGGGGTAGGCGTGGGTTATACGCGCGCGAACTACCTGGTGTTTTTCGACATTCCGTCCATGGCCTGTCCTACTTGGACAGGGCTGGGGCGATAGGGTCGCCGAAATCGTCGGTGCGAACTTGAGGAGGGGATCGAGGTTGAGACGTCGTCAATACCAGGACGTCCCGAGTCCCCGGGGCCACACGGCATTATTTGGCTCAAGAGCAGCGTCCGCAACCACGGTTTTATTGTCAAAGAACGGGTCAACGTGTTTCGCCCACTGGGCCGAGGCCTTGGGCGCGGACGACTGGAAGCGAAAGACGCGGCCCGCGTTATTTCATTGCCGTACGTCACTTTTACGGAGTGGTGCGAAGATCGAGCTGTAAATGATCCGTTCTATCATTCCACATCGCAAAAGTAGCACCTATGTCAGTTCGTTACCCGTCACGAACCGTTAGGCTATCAGGAGATACAAAAGGTCAAGCTCTTCATTAGAGAAAGCTTGGATCTTTAGGCTTTTCGGAAGCTCACTAAAGATCACACCGCATTCTACTCTCCCGAGTTTGCTCCTGGACTTCGATGGAAAGGTGATAACAGCCCAGCGACAGATGATTTCAACTACGAAAATGTCGATCATCCCATGTGTTGAGCTTAACATGTAACACGCCTGTCTTCGACAGTACCTAAGAAGAGGAGGACGAGCTCAGAACAGGGCCATTCCAGACGACAGAGAAAGAGGCGGGCCGAAAGAGATCAGAAAGCCAATGCGTCTCCTCTTCCTCTTTACCACAACCTTTTCAATCGAGAACAGAGCAGCGAGCCACCGATAGTGAACTAGGAAGTCGGTGCCTGCCAGCTATTTATAGCAGCAACACGACGAAGACCAAACGAAGCCATAGGGCATAAGTCCCGTATGGAACGACCAAAAAGAAAAACACCGCGCCTACAACCTATTTGCCAAAGCCAAGAAAGCAGAAAAAGCAGAGGCGAGCAGCAGCAAGACCAAGGCAAGACAGAAAACCATCTCCATCTCATCTCAGGCGCCTAGTACCGACTATGAGTCATCGGACACTTCCTGGTCTAAGAGTCGCAAATCAAAGTAGTAGTCTCGACTGGAACCATAACAGGCACCACATAGGGGCCCAGTCCACCTTGCCATGGTGCACCGCCTGCCCGGCCTGCACGTGGGAGTCATCATGTACAACCGGCCCAGGGGATGATTGCGCAGGGTCAAAAATCAAAGCTACCATGAGCGTGATAAGTTACCCACACACTCGGAACGAACTGAACAGCCCATCGTAAGTCTTCATTCGCTTCACAATGTCATCCCATGATGAAGACGGGCAGATGACATTGGCATCCTACTTGCACTTCGCCAAACACTTCATTTTAGGAATGGCCATTCCCACGAAGTACCATACCAGCTGGATGACCCGTCGATTTCCGATCTTGATTTCGCGATGCATTACATTTTAAAGCGGAAAGGGAGATATGGAGATATTTCACGAAACTTACGGACCAGGGCTAAGATCTAGCATTGCGATACTAGCAAGAGGCAATGCAAGGACTCGTCGACTTCGTAAATAAGAAAGAGCGTCTTCACTCCTCCACCCAGATCTCACTCGGTTTCGTACGGTCGCGTGCATCCATCCCATACATCATTTCTCGAGCCTTGACGAGTCGATCAATCCACCACCTCGTTATCTTCCCATCGTCGTCCAGATCGCATCATCGTCCGCACCGCTCGTTCTTGTCTGCATCTTGCCTCTCACGAGTCATTAACCGCCGAGATGAACGCACCCCCCAATCCTGTTGATGGCTTCGCTATGGACAACGGCGGCAAGCAACGTGCCATTATCCCCACCTCCGGCCTTGACACCAATGGCCACTCTTCAGCTGGCCCGCACGGTGGCCACTGGCCACTTCTACCAGGAACACCTTCTGATCATCTCACTCAAACCAACTCCCAGACTCCTGGGACATCGCCGACTCTAACTTAGTTGGTTACGTATCATGCACCCATTCGCGATGTTTTCCCTTCTAGTCCAGAAACAGAAGCAAGGCAAGTCGGACGAGTGGTACCAACGACGGACTTCTAAATACTGGGACGTAAGAGATATCCGTTATAACGCCAACGGATGGGTTTCCGGGTCAAGACTCAGGGTAGAAGAAGCACTTGTTCAGTCCGCGCTGACGAAATACAAGCGCTGACTATTAATATATTCCACTGAATTAACCCTTTTGGTAGAGAACGCCGGTGACGATGATGACGAATCTCAAGGCGATCACGATCTTCCCAACGAGGGGGTGACAGCCTTAGTTAATGGAGGTCCTTACAAATGGTACCTGTCACGAACCGTCGACTACCTGCCTACATCCTACCGCGCAACCCCGACCCCTTCAGCCCACGCTCCTCACCCTGGAAGATAACATCGGTATCACCAACACCTCTGAGCCCACGTTACTCGAGCGCAACTTTCGGTACGCACACAGTACATACCTCTTACCAAGCCCTGCCCCATCTACGAAATCTTCCAGCTCGTTGGTATGCCCCTAACATTGCGCCGCCTGTATATTGGAATTGGCTCATCACCCATGACCACGATCTCGGCCAGACTGTCGACAAGCCCCTGAACCACCCCTGACTAGAGCGCGACATTGTTGTTCTTGAAAGAAAGGGATGAAATTAACACCGTCGGCTACGAGGAGCTGATTACCTAAGTCTGGCAGTTTTTGGGACAGGCGATTTATTCTCCCTTCGCACGATTTTGATGTTTACTGAGTCAACATGACAAGCGAGACCACAAACCATGGATCACCCCTACATAACACCGCACCGCAAAACCGACAGAATCCTGTGGATGATGCTAAGATGGTGAGTGCAGAGGAGATTGACATGCTCGGGGAGTCCAAAAATTGCTGGAGTTGAGTTCAGGCGTTTTAACATCTCGACAAGGTGATATGTTTGGCTTATCTCTCAATCTACTCTCTCTCTACGCGGCAAGCACGTCGCCAAGTCACGATGGCCGACGAAACCGGGGGCACACAAAACGACAAATTCTACCAAGGAAACCGCAAGCTCAACTTAAAGCAGCCGCTTTATAAAGATTCGACATCTTCCTCGTTGAACAATGAACCTGACGACCTTACCCCAACCCCGTCGGAATTGTTGCATTCTACAGTCTAATTGGGTCCCCAGCTTGATCTCCTCCGCCGTCTAGGGAAATAGCTTGGCAAGGGAAGTGGATCTCAGTAAGGCCTTCCTGTCCCCTGACTCGGAAACTACAGCTTAATATGTTGGACGACGTGCAGCGCGGTACGCAGAATCCAAGTCTTACATCGGCAAGGTACTTGAATTGCCTAGGAATTCTGACTACAGCCAAGGTACCTCTCCAAATCTCATTCTCTCTGACCTTTTGCACTGACACCTGTTAGATGACACGCAAGCCATAGTGGCTTTTAAGGAGGTGGCAGTGCACCAGTAGGGCATTTAGGCTTTTTAGTGTGTTATAGCACTTTAGTTAAAGGTTTTTCACATGATAATAAATCAGTAGAGATTATTAAAATATAACGTTTTTGATTATATAAACTTTATTTATATTATTTAAGAGTTATGAGCGTAAATTTGTAAGTGTTTTTTAAAATCATAATTATTTTAAGACTATTATTGATTAAATCAAGCGATTTATTATCAATTTAACCGTATATTTAAACAAAGGATATAATAAATAACACGACTATTAGTAATAAAATATTTATTTTAACGTTATTTATTTTATAATTTATTTTATAATTTTATAATTTTTACCGTTTTAAATGTTTTGAAAGGCTTCCAATGGCTATTTTATAATAGCTGATAACAGTATGATTTTTATTATAAAATATGAAAATATAGTTATGGAAGTTATTAAAGAAAAAAAGAAAAAACCTTTTTTTAAGTAGTTCATTACGTAAATTTTATTTATAGTATTTTATTTATAACTTACTAAAAATGCAAGGGTATTATTAAGATATATATAAAAATTGATCGTTATAGAGATGACTTTACTTGTGTAAAAATCTAAAAGATCAAATATTAACAAGTTTTTAGATACGTACTTTTTAAGAAATATAAAGCTGCCTGTTTTACTTTAATAAAGAAATTATATAAACAAATAATAGCTTTAAGATTAAACTTTAAAATACGGCTTAATAGTCATAGTTTTAAATAAGGCATATTAGCTTTGAACTTTCAAAATAGCTTAGTTTTTAATATTATAACATTTATAAAAAAAGTTTTTAAACGTATAAATATAAAAGTTGTACCTTTCTAAAAGCATATAAAACGCTTTTTTATATAAGGCTAAATTGAAAGATTATAAAGGCATATTACTATACAAATAATAATTAAAAAGGATTAAAAAAGCGTTAAACCTCGCTAAAAAGGTAATAACCGTAATATATAACATTATAAATATTTCGACTGTTTTATAAAACTTTCAACGAAAAAACGCTTAAGACGTTAAAAACTTAATTTAATAAGTTAAGAGGCATACGAAATTGAAATTATTAAAATAAATAACGAGTTTTGTATTATCGTTATAATTAAATTATTACTGAAGGGGAAAAAATTGGGCTATTTACTTTTTATATTTAAGCTTAAAACGGATAAGTTAAAAACTAAAATGTATTTTTATTTAAAAAAATTGAAGCGGTAAGAACTAAGCTACCGTACGATATATAGTTAAAAATCATTTAATATGTTTATTATTATTTTAACCAAATTTTTTGAATAACGTTAAATTAAAAGTTATAATATAAACTTTTTTTATAAGTACCGAATGCTGCTTGGTCTCATTGGTGGTGGTAACTATGCTACGAGTTGGTGGGTTCTCAGCAATAGCAGAAGTAAGATGTCACTAGAGGTCGTTGAGAAAGGTGGTTCGAGGTAGTGTCATTTGTGTTGGTAGTCAGTATCTTCCGACGGTTTCCTAGACGGGGCTTCGTGTGGTGCACGCACGATTACGCTACAATGTTAGAGCGGTGCATCAGGTGTTATTAGGTACAGTTGAAGTATACCAAATAGTCAATGGCTTTCGAGTTTAGTCATTTCTGTTGTTCAGGGTTGCCTACGTCCACCCACAGTGTGCGACCCGGTCCATCATGGCAATACCTCCTCACCCTTCCAATCCCAACACCTACCCCTATCCTTGGCTTTCCTCCCTGCCACCATCTCAAGCATCTTCTCGACAGCGAACTCGGGGCTAAACAGCTTACCCTCGCGCACATTCCCCCAAAACTCCTCACTCAGGCCCGTCTTCACCGTGCCTGGATGATACGCCATGGCGACAGCCTTCTCGGCGCTGCGCGTCTGCAGGTACAGATCGAAGCTCTTGGTGATACTGTTGACACCCGCTTTCGATGCGCGATAGCTGTACCATCCGCCAAGTCTGTTATCCGACGTAGAGCCCACGCGCCCCGAGTTCGTGAGCCATGTGGCGTGCTGAGGGAGCCTGGATATCTCGTCCCCCACCGCCGGGCTCCCGTCCTGCGACCGCAACTGTGAGAGGTCCGTCCCCTTCCTCGGCAAGAACTCCCCAAACCACTTCATGAGCATGAGCGGGCCGAGGGTGTTCACTTTCAGCGTCTCGAGCGCGCCTTCGTAATGCACCTGTTTGGGGCTCTTCTCCGGGTGCAAGATGCCTGGCAGCGCGAAGCCGAGGTGCAGGTGATGCGTCCTCGGTGGGAAGAGTTCTGCTGCTTTTGAGGATGCGGCCTCAATTGAGGATTCGTCTGTCACGTCCAGTTGCATCACATGTAGGCGCGGCCCGTACTCTATGTGGTCTGAGTTTGAGGAGCTGAGGATGGAGTCTTTAACCCTGGACGTGTCTGCGCGTGCTGTTGCGATGATGGGTAAGGTTGTTGTCCGCAGGAGGTGGCGTGTGAGTGCGTGCCCTATTCCTCTGTTTGAGGGCGAGACGAAAATCCATGGCTTGGACATTGATGCGACCCTGAATGAGTCCGGCTGTTGAGTGGGGATGGGGATGCGAATGCTAATCAGGAGTACTTGCAACGAGTAAGTAAGAGCTGGGTGCTTCCTGTGATGAATACTCGACGTTCCTGTTGTTGCGCATGCCTCGTTGTAGGTCTGATGAAGCTTGGGGTTCATTGAAGTTCGCTCTCTTTGATGAGAGGCATCCACTAAAGTGGTGTCAATGATTCATCAGTCCAGATCCAAAACCAGCCTCAATACACCACCGACAGAATAACATAATAAGTATCAGCTTCAATCAAAAAATGATTTCAAACTCCATCCCGTCATTGTGTCATACTCAACCTCGCCAGCCTGCGCCAGCCACCGCCCTGCTTGAGAATCCGGCCTGAGAGGAGCTCACAGTCGTCGGGATCCCAAACCACCTCCAAAGCTTGAGACTTGCAGCGGAACAAGACCAGTCAGTGTGTGACAGAAATGGCACCCGTTGACAAGCACTTTGGGAACCGCGAGTGTACTGGCATGTCCGTGCGAGGTGGCGTACCTAATGCTGTCCAATTCGGGCGCATGAGTGTCTCGGGAAATGGAAGCCGTTGGTAGCTGATGCGAGGGCCGTCAACGGTCCGGGGAGAGCTCCCTGGTCAGCGGCGTTGGTCTTCCCATGAGTCCACTTTGGCGCCATCAGGGTCTCTCAAGTGCCAAAGTTGAAAGAAGTCGGGGTTTGAAAAGTGGCAGTGCCTGCCTCATGAGCATCAATGTGTCGGGACCGAGACCCCCCATCGCACGCAGGTGCAATCTTTGATTGACAGCTGCCAAAGACATGGATCACCCATCATTCCTCGCAGCTGATTGCAGCTGTGGGCTGGCGCATGGCACACACGGCAAGACACGGGTGATCCACGCGAAGATAGAAGCGTTTTCGTAGAACTTCCAAACTCTAAATCAATACTACGACGTGACTTGCATGACGGCGAAGTCAAGAGTCCCGTCCCAAGCAGACATCAGACGCCTGACCAACTGACTCTTTCCAGTACTTCTGACTCGTCGCACATCGTCATCATTGACCAGTAGCTCGCTATCGCGTGGGCTTCGACTCGCTGTCGTGCCTACGGACCTTCATCAATCCTACCGAACGGACCGTGTCAGCCATGCGTTCTGGATGCCTCCAAGGCCTCTCTCTAGTGTATGCATTAAACTGGCCGTTGGACTGACTAGTTGCTACCTGTAGGTACCTTCCCCGGTCCGACTAGTCAGTAGCTGTCCACCTGCCCAGATATGCCGTCACTTGAGCAATGAGCTCTGCCGGCCATACCTATTACTCCTATTGAGAGGGGTGCTCTTGCCTCTCGACCAGATGCTGAGTCGGTCCATCCCTATCACCTTCACACAAGTTTCTTGAGGGTGCATGGTGTGATGGGTTGTCGGTCTGACTCGCCGGGGTAGGGGCTGTGTTCCCCTCTCCGGCACAGCATGGACGTGCTTCCTGCTGTGATGTGCAGAAAGTTTGATATATTGGTGCTGTCTCTGGTTCTTTCAAGATGGCCCTCTTGTCTCTCTTTTCTTGGCTACTGGCATATCCCATGTCTCGCTGGTATAAACTTTCCTCTCCCACCCGACGGAACGTGGATGCCATGCGTCTGACTGCCACGAACGAATCACTAAAGCTGCGGTACATGGGGATTACTCTTGGCAGAAGCCAGCCGGCTGTTGGGTATGTATCGGATTAAGGTTACTGAGGAGATTTGTCCGCAGCTGGTGTCTCCGTCCCACGGCTTTGTCCTGGAAAGGCAGCCCTCATCTTCCACCATTTCTTGTATCTTCGTCGAAAGAGAAATCGTTCGGCACACAGACGACAAGGTCGACGGGTATCTGAAGCCTTACACTCTATCGGTCAAGTCCATCGTCCACTCCATGTCTGACGTCCGACGAGACATCAGGACAGGAGAGTCGCCGGGCGAGGAGGCTTCACATCTACAGCTCGACGACTTCTCCCGCCATCGTGACGTCACGCATGACACTTTTCGCGGCATGGCCCACAACGAGGAGTCCGACGACAATGGCCTCAAGGAGTTGATGCAGCTCTTGCGGAGGACTCCTCCTCCAGAAAACCGCATGTCGATACCAGACAATTTCAGCACCAGCTCCTCGGAAGACGATAGATGGAAAAGGTTTAAGATCAAAATCCTTCGGAAACGACGAAAACCTCGGAAACCCCGTCCACCGACTATCAAGCTTCCAGATTCAGCCTTGGCAGCCAAAACCATCGACGGCCATCGTCACATCGCCATTTCTATTCCGATTGAGTATTCGTATCTGAACCCGCTCTCGCCTTCGCAATACCCGGTCTTCGAATCGATGGAACCGAACTTCAACAGAGAAATTGACTCTAGACTCGGAACGGTACTGGGTCCTGTTGCCGAGGATCGCGAATCCTCGTCCTCGATATCGCTATCACCGAAGGCCTCGTCTTTCGTGGAACGGACGACGACCGCATTGTCTGCTCCTCCTCGACGACGGCAAACAGTCCCACACCAAGAAGCTCGTTATACCCCTCGGAAGAGAAGGGACTCTTCCAAGAGCAGAGAACCAGGAGAAGCTCGCTCTCGTCCACGATCAGAGGAACTCTCAGGTGGCGCAGTTGTGTCACATGGTCGTGATGAGTACCGATATTCAGCACCGGGAGATCTCAGGCTACGCGGCAAGGAGGTGACGGAGCAAGAACCTAGGAACGCCTCTGATATTGTCACTCAGACGATTGAGGTGCCACGAACACGAAGATCCGCGAGAAGCTCCAAAATGCCCGAGAGGACGCAATCTAAAACCGAGCCGACAATAACTCATGATACCACTGGGAAGGGTCATTCGAGAAATCCCAGTGACGCCTCTACTTCGTCAGGCATCCTATCATCCAATAGGCCTATTGCGCTGAGTCTGCCGAAGCGAAGGTCGAGCAAGAAGGCCATAACCGGTGCCGAACCTGGCGAAACGATAGACAACGTCATCAGCAGCCGGCGCTCATCGAGGAGCGATGAAGGCAGCACCCACGAGAATGGTCCAGGTGGCGGACTTCGCCCTATCATTGGTAACGTGCCTCGCGGGTCCTTGACTGACAGTCTTGTCACCACGGAGTCGTCGCCTAAATTGTTCAAGGCGCAAACCGCCACCGCCTACCACACTATCCCTGTCGTGACCCAATCACCTTCGCGATTTAGTTACGATTCTCCCTTGAACTTCGACTTTCCAAAGCCTCCTGTCCTGAAAATCGATCGGGCTGTACAGACCGTGCCACCGCCTCCAGCTCCTCCCGCGGTCGAGAGAGCTCAGAGTTGGAGAGAAAGAGTGTGGGGGAAGAAACACAGAGACGTTGAAAGGTTGATAGCCCGTTTTGAACGCGTCCAAACTCCACCGACACTCCCACCAGAGATTCCGATTGCTACAGCGAAGGCGGGCGCCTCTACGCCACCAAGGCCTACCACGGCCGGTAAGATGAAGCTAGATGTTCCGCCAGTCGTCGGGACGCCCGGCCCTGGCACGTCACCAAACTTCCCGCAGATGCCTACATCTGCCTTCCGAGGTAGACTGGAGGAGAAAGCTGTAGAGCTACCGCCAGCGAAAAGCCCCTCGTCTCCGTCTTCACAAGAGTCTCTAGATCCCACCTCGAGTCGCGCCTTCGACCCTGTGTTTCAGCAGCGCTGGCGAGAACGGCAGGCCGCGAAGAAAGAACAAGAAGATCAAAGATTGCGGGACATCGCCAGGGCTCTTGCGGAGCAGAAGGAGACCACCGACAGGCTGTCGCGTCAAGAGCTCGTGCATCGATATGAGGCTCTCAAAGAGGCGCGCATGTACGAGATGGAGAGGCGCATGCGCAGGCTCGAGCGCAACAGCGAGATCTGGCTGCGGTCGATAGCACCCATGATGGAGACTCTCAACAGACTCCTGCAGGAGCAGAATCGCCTGCAACGGGCCGAGTCTTCGCGCCACCACGGACCTGTCGCGACCTCGTCCAACTCGCTTCGACCCCTTCGCAGCTTCGACAGCTCTTTAAATACACATCCCTCGCAAAGCATGCAGGATCTGCTGGGGAAAGACCATATCGGAAGCTCCAGGCCTCGCTCAGCGGAGCCGCTCGGCAGAGAGCCGAGGGGCGCTATGCGCGGCGGCCAGCTCGTCAACAGGCCCCTGTCCTACCCGCCGCGCAGTGCGCTACAGGAGGAGTTCGAGAAGGAGCTTACAGCGCGTCGCGCACACGATCAGCGCGTGGACGAGGTGGATGCGCGCATGCGGAAAACGGTTGCCGCCCAGGCGGAGCAGGCCCAGGCCACTATCGAGGGGGGCGCTGCTGCTATCACGGTAACGGAGTCTCCTGATGAATCTAGCCTTGAAAAGCTTGAGCCCCTGATGCGCGAGTTGCAGGCTGCGGCAGGGGTCGATACGCTAGGATGTGGGGGAGCGGGAGTTGGGATTGAAGGGGAGGGCGAGGGGGATACGTCCTCTACTGATGAGGGTAGCCAGGCATTCGCGCTTTTTTGAGATGTTGCTTCGATCGTGATTTCTTGATACCCTCTTTCGAACGTCGTTTCTTGTCTGGTTTGGGGCGGTATGGTGGGTTTGAGAGACAGGCATAGGGGAATGCAGGCTGCTTAGACTTGGATATGCGTTCGGCCTTGGATGCGAGCGAGTGGGTGAATACATGTCAGAGATATGCTATCCAAGCGCGCCAGCTCGCGATGTGCTGTATGTATCTCTTGTAGACGATTCGTTCAGGAATCTTGACTCAGCTTAGCGCACACAGTCCCCTACTTCTAGGTATTCGCTGGTATTCTGATTGCTGGGTATTCTCCATATGGTTCCCATACAATCTCATATTCTCTTGAAGTTGAATAGAAAGGTCACCCAGGCCTCGGATAGTTATGCGCTAGTTTATCACCGCGCTCAGGGCTAGACAGAGCCCGCTTGACAAGGCGCAGCCCAGGCGGGATTCGCGTGACCCCAGACCGGCATTCAGCGTTATATCTCTACAGGTTGCGCCAGTGCTGTGCTGGATATGGACTGGCAGAGGGTAAGGGGGTGGTGTCATGGCGGTTGGTGTTGTAGGCTTTGACATAAGACACCTGCAGCGATGGGGTAGGAGAAATAGGGGTGGGTAATTATGAGCACGTTATGATGTTCATATAGAGTGAACTGCTGCAGTTCAAAATCTATCTTCGCGTACCTAGAGACATTCATGCCCTGGAACGCCATTCCCATATAAGTGAAATCAGCCGGCTCTGTCATCCTCTCGATGGAAATAAGTCTTCGGCAGCTTCCTACTAGTGCTCCCACGTCGGGTATACGGCTGCTGCAAGCTTCTATCCTAGAAAGGATAGCGACGTCGCTGTCTGACAAATCCGTCCTTGATTCCCTCCGGCGCTGTGCGTGACCCTTCGACCTCCTCGCCTTAACGCCTGTGTAGAACCATTCCGGGACCTTCATACGTAGTGTGTTGGCCACTATGGCTGTTCGTGAGTTTAGCCGGCGCTTGGTTGGGACTCAAATACCGCCCGTAGACAGCTCTCCTCCACCGTCAAAATGGCCGCAGTTAGAGCCATTAGATCCCAACTCATTGGTCGCAGTCGCCGACGAAGCGAAATGTGAGTCCGCGGACCACACCTTGGCCCTCGCTGTCGATCTCGCACCGCACCACCTCGTACTGGTCGGTCTCGTAGCGTCGAAGGTCTTCCTCCTGCTCCCGGCTCCGGACAAGGAAGGCCTGTCCCTGTACCCGCGCCTTGTCGTCGATGGCATCGACGAGTGCTTTGTATTTGCCGGCCCACGTCTTCAGCACGCCCCGCCGTACAGTTGCTGGCCGATATGATGGGTCGGTACCCAATAGGCCCTTCAGCACAGCTGGATCTCCGAGGGTTCCGTAAAAGAAGTACCAGACTGGGTACTGGTTTTGGGCTGGAAGAAGCCGTGGATCATTCGCAAAGTCCGGCCGTTGATGTGGCATAGTGGGATCCATGCCGAGAATGGGATACGCAGAAGTAGCGGATAGATTCTTCGCAGCCATGGAATCTCGGATGAAGGTAGGGCGGAACCGCGACTCCATCTGCGACAGATATCTCAGAATTTTGTCCTTGGCCTGGGCATCGACCTTGCAGAAGCTTGCCGGTTCGCCGGCATCGTCTGTCGCTTCATGTTCTCTCGGGGCCACGTCGAGACCGGCGGCTAGCTTGACCTTCTCCGCATCATCTAGAGGTCCGTCCAGTTTGAGGAGATAAGAGCACGGCTTATTGTTAGGGCTCTTCGTCGATATATCGTGGGTGGCGGCTTCCGGTCCCCTTATGATGGTGCACGAGTGCTCGTAGGCCTCCTTGTCATATCCGTGAGACTCTTTCTCAGTCCGAACCATCTTCCAGTGTTCGTCGGACACGGTCACTCGGCCAAAGCTCGATCGATGTTCTTGGATTTTCTGCGCAGCTTCGGAGTAGGAGTAGCCGAAAAGGGACTGCCATTTCTTGACGGTATTGCACTCCGGCTCATTCAGTTCTGCTGGCTGCTGGACAGCGAACTGTGCCATGGACTCCAGTTCGTCTAAGATGTCCATTTTTGGGATGGAGGTGCTGCGATTTGGTTTATTGATAGGTCGTGCGGAGGAGTAGCATGGCGCGATGAATGGGGTGATCCTGATGGATTGTGGGAAGAGGAAGAGATGGATATTCTCGATACTTAGCTTGTGGGGATAGCTCCCGAGTCTATTTTCATTGAGGATTGGTGAAGGTTCAAGGCTGTGTGCTTTTTGGTACCGATTTAGAAACTGAACCTAAATTCGAAACGTTGAAACTTTGGAACTAGTTGACGCCACATAATGGGTGTACTTTCTCACGATGTCAGACTTATACGGCGCCGTAGGAATACTGATTCCACTCAAGGAACCAGTTGCGATCTTTCTGGTGGCTTGCGACGTCCACATGTTTCGTCCTGTGGCAGCCACTCTGGACTATCTTGCCAGAAAACCTGTCCGCAATCCAATCCAGCCAGATACGATGTCCAGCAAACCAGACATCAACGGCGTGTGGCTTATACCCGTCGAACTTAGTAACATGCTCAAACTGCGCCCCCGGGATAGCGTCGCATGTAGCATTCACCGCATCCGAGGTGCCCGTGATTGACAGCACCATCGAACGTTCCGTGCAGGACAAGCATAGGACCTGCCAATGGCTGGGTGATGTTGGTCATCAAGTTGTTGAATGCCCCGGCGTACCACGTCTGGTTCCAGTCGTCGCGGAGAAGGCCTGCGCTCGACATGAGCTCAGCCGCTACAAACTGGCAGCCCTGCAGGTCCTATATGAGCTCAACGGTGCAAATGCCCTTGTCAGTGAGCCAGTCGCTGTATGAGAATGAAGAGAATATAGACTTCATGCCTGTGGCAACTCGGGCGACCATCGAACCCAGGCCCGCGCCCGACTCCGGGAAGCGGCGCGAGGTGTCGAACGATGTTCATGGCGATCCGGCGACGCTTCCCAGATTCCCCTTTCGTGGCTCTGGGGCGTCCGGACCATCGCCGCCGCCGGCCTCGGCTGCGCCCCAATATATGACCGGCACACCGGCACCCTGTGCCGAGGTTGAGAACCGGCGTGGAAATCATGGCTACATCACATGCGCCGATGCGGGGAACACGGTACCGCTGAACGTCTTAGTCGTAAAGAGGATGCGCGAGCTGGCGAGTGAAGACGCCATCATGTACAAAGACGCGTTAGTCGTCTGCTCGACCTTGATGATAGGTCCGCCTCTGCGATCCTCGTCTGAGCTGTTGACCGGTTGGGGTGAATACCGCCACCACTAAGCAGAGGTGTAGAGCAAACTGACTGACCTTTGTCATCACTCCTGATAGTCATTTGACTAGATCTGAAAGGGGGCGAGGTTTATTTTCCCTGACAGCATGCTCGCTCGGACTCCGAGTCGACGCCAGGTGTCATCGGCCAGGTTCCCGGGTCCAAACATGCGGGTATAGTGGAAATACTCCATTATACCTACTCTGCTTTGAATGCAGCCACGGTCCTTCAAGTCATTATGAGACCATGAATGTGAGGACTGTTGCAATTTGTGAGGATTATTAGATGGCGATCCACACGTCAGCTCAGAACTGATGCGGAGTAAGCACTACACTGCCTTGTACGATACTGCACGATTAATACTTCAACGATAGTAGACTAAGATGTGATATGCATCTAATAGAGGTGAAAGCCCGAGCGACTTGCGGCACGAGCCACCTACAGATCGAGTCACTGTTCGCCCGGGCCTCCACCCTACACCACACACCCTCCTTTGCTTCAAGCATACCGCGCAGGGTTGAGGAGGACGAGGTGTTCGTCCAATGTTGCTCGCCGAGATCAAGCCAATATCTATGGGCATGGGAGCTGTACTCGATTGGACGCCACTGCGGGCAATGTGCTATGAAGAGTAGATGATCACTGATTTTCGCTGGTAGCCTGTGTGCATGCAGTGCGTGCAATATGCAGGCTGACCGGCATCGCCACGTTGGGCGCGGACAGCATTGTGAGGCTGCGAGGAGGCAATGCCGACCATCTTGAGCCATGGAGTGAGCGGTCAACCTGAACCTCACCCAACCTCTATCAGACAAGTACTTTGGAATCCATTTGCGCTCCATCGTTGACGCAGTCACTTACCGGGCGACAACTCCCCCCATACAAGATGCCGGACGGATTCTCGTGGCGACGCCTGCAGGCCGGCTTTGCCCATGCAACCCAAGAGCTCACTGTAGCAGCTGCTAACCTCAACTTCGACTTCAGCCTGGTGAAGGTCAGGCTCCTCCGGAGTATCGCGCTATTGGAACTGTTCTCTCGTCATCTCGGGTTCACGATGCCGAGACGGGGCCGCTACACTTCACTGCCAGAAGGCTCGGGGCTCTATTCGAAGACATCTGCCCGAGCACGCTGAATCTCATCAAGGCCTATGAAACTCGTGCATCCGAGATTTTTCGGGATGTTACATAAACGGGCTCGGCCAATGCTCAGAGTGGCAATTGGATTCGAATCCATATTGGCAGCTGCGACATCCAGTAAAGCTGCTCTGCCGGCTCACTTGCTGGCTTGTATCATTGCGCGCATGTGGAAACACACCGAAGCGACGTCGCTATGGGTGGAACTTATTGCGGAAAGGAAACGCGAGATTCTCACGCGCTTTGAACCCGGCGAATTGCTGCATCCTGTATTTCACTAGGGAACAACTTGCCAAGTGGGACGGGAGTGCGCGGGCATAGCTCCAAACTGCGGATATGGCGCGCCAACGGCAATATAAGCAATACCTTCTGATCGTTCAGAATCTCAGCATGGCCATCCACGGACACAACGTGTCCCTCTACTCGAACGTGGTTTAAGTGTGGACTACTGCACTCACTGCCATGGAAGGTCTGATTTCAGGCCGACCACACGTTGTCAGAGACGGTCCGGTCTTGCTCGTACTTTCAGCGTGGCATCTCTTCCCAGATATGGTGGTGTTCAGCGGCCGTTCCGGGAGCGTGGATGTGAAAATGGACGATGCCTCAGTTGAGGCTGGAGATGTTATATCTCTGGGAATCTCGGACCCAGGCCCGCGGCAAGAACAGGGGGTGTATTTGTCATTGCCACTGGCGCATCACAGGTTCTATGGCGAGGCGGTCACGTAGACACGCTGCCTTGACTCCGACGGGTCGCGTCTCAGTTTCAATGAGCTTGTGCTTGTTTGCATGGGATGTTGTGCCGGAATTGGGCGATTCCTATGGATGATATGGAAATGGCTTTGAAGATTTTACGAAGCCTCCCACGCGCGGTGCCTAAGCATTGGCAGAATGCCAATGACGACGAGAAAGATTGGACAGTTTTCCTGGGCGCACAAATCGATGACTACTTGGTCGGGGAGAAACAGGCTGCCCTGGCAGTATCTCTTGGCCGTCGACGCCCGAACTTCCTTCCCACCGAACTGACGATCGAGCGCAAACCCTTGTTCAGCCTTACTCACCTTCCCACACTGTTGTTTTCTTTGGGTACCATTGACAACAAGGTCAATCTTCTGCGGCGTATCGGGTCACGGATTCCTGGTATGAACGAAGAGAACAGTGTTATCCTATGCTTCAGGATGGATGGTGCTGAAACGGGTAACACCTACGCAAGTGTCTTCCCTGAAGATCAAAGCAGACCCCAAGTGGCGGAAGCTCGGATGCCCGAATCGAGACACCACCATTTGATTTCGGTGCCAATGAGCATACATCAGCAAGCTGAAGACGCAATCGAAAAGGAAAAAAAGGAAGTGAAAGACCAGCGTGTACCGGGTGGACCTTTCAACCTTGAGGCCATCCGTGAGCTCACGTTTGAGGAGGCGATTGCGGAAACGACACACAAGCGTGTACCGGATGGATTTATCAGCCTTAAGGACTTCCGTAAGCTCAAGTTTGATCAAGTCTGCGCCATCCACCTCGACGACGTTCAGCGACTACTCCACCCTGAGAAGGTCGAGTACCTTGAAACGGAGTTCGAGCCCTGGTTTCATGGCACTTTGAATCGAACTGTGGAGTTTGGCATCGATACTGCACGCTCTTATGAGTATCTTCTCGGCCAGGCGGATGATGTCGAGCGATCGAAGTATTATCCTATTACAGAGCATGCCGCTATATATTACGAGAGGTACCCAACCTCCGAAACGCCTGCTGGGAAACATCCAATTTATGAAGTAGGACTGGAGGATGTGCTATGGTGTTTCGAATCCGATATCATTGACCCAGAACGCTTGAAGAAGGTCCTGGAGAACGAACCGGCTTTCGGCTTCTTGAAAGTGCTCTCGGCTATATGGTCTATATGCAGAGATCCCTCAGCTGGTGGCGCAACAATCTCATCTGCGATTGTTGATAGTACCTTTCAGCCACCTGTCCTCCCCCGGAAACTGGATCGCCACGAATGGCTCGTGGCCGATTCGTACCTGATTGGCGGCCGTCACGCAGCTATAGGTCTTATCGGGTACTTTCGAGACCGCATGTCATGTTGTAGAGGGAATGAAGGGCGACTACAACATCATCGGGCTTAGTGGTGGAGGTTCAATCTTTGTTCTCACAGCTGTAAATAGGTAGGTACAGGAGATCAACTTACCAATGCTAACCTGTTCTAGTTACTTAGAGATCCAGGAGAGAAGTCACCCGACCACAGCTTCACCAGAGTCCTAGGAAATACTGGTACTCCTGGCTGTTCGATATTGACGTTACCCTCAGGCCTTATGGCGCGTAACATCAATCCGAGTGCTTGGAGGGTAGAACCTGTCAAGTTCGATTGGGCACCAGTGGACTCTTTCAAGAACACCTCAATCCACTCGGGGTTTACCGAGTGGTGCGCACCCCTGGTCCAGTTCCCGGCAGCCGGCCTGAGAGATTACGACGTGAATATAGTCGAGGCCGTTGTATCCGTCCCAGACTGTGGAGAATGGGTTGCCGCCATCGACATAGACCTTGCTCTGACCGATGGTCGACTTTGGCGGGGCCCTAGCTGCACTCATTCGAGAAGCTCTAGACTAGGGGAGAGCAAGTTACTCTCGGTGGAGACATGGGATCAGATTCTCGACCCTCTCGATGGCCCATTGGCGGTGAGGTCGTTTGATAACTGGCTTGCCAGATTGGCTCTGGTGTCAGTCTTGTGTCAACACAGTCAAGGGTCGCGCCGGCCAATCGTTCTCTGGTACGGCAACATGTGTTGGAAGTGCAACAACCTCTCTTCTATGTACGGCGCTACGGATGGCATCCACATATGCTAAGTCGATTCTCTAGCAGGGGCTCCTACAGATTTGTTTGCCGGACAGCAAGCCGCAAACGGGGGATATGTTGACGAGTCGGCGGCCGGTGTCGCTCTGTAGAGCCCTAAGACGGGCTGCAGCGTGACAAGCAGCGGCTGCCTCGATCAATCATTATGATATTCCCTCGCTGATCTCTCAATATCAGTACTTTATTCGGACAGCCTCCGGCTTGTACCTTTTCATGCACCAAGACTGATCAGGAGCCCGCTACGTTCTAGGTTAACCGACTACCAACTGATCCTAATAAAGCCGCTTGCTGTATAGCAGCCCATGGGCTGCTGGAGCTCATTCTCTATGGACTGATCAAGGCAAATCGAGCAACTGCCAGCACGTATAGATAGACCCTAACCGATTTGAAACATCCAGGGAATATCACAGGAGAAAAGATGGAAATTTTTGAGTGGACGTTATTTATATTGAATAATCATATACGATTTTCATGGCGTGATCACTTCAGAACGTATCGCAGTGTTCGACTGTTAAATCTCGGTGGTAGTAAGGTTCTCGAAACCCTGACTACAGAGATTGACTCACCCAAGGACAGTGACACTAGTAGCAGTCGAAACAAGACTTACCTGGAAGTACACTATGCTTCCCCGTCTTAGCAACATCAGCTACTTCTTCCCCATGAAAGTATCCCCCGAAGAGGGCTTCGTGTAGGGGTTGCTTGAGCCAGAGCTGGAGTTGGAGGCATCGGTGGAAGGCTCTCGAGGCTTACCGTACCCGATGTTTGAGTTATGGCCCGGCGAGTTGTGAGGGTACTTAGTGGAATCCGGCTTACTGATGTAGCCGGGCTTGACCGTGTCGGAAGGCATGTTGACGGGCGTCTTGGGGGCTTCTTTGGTCTAAATATATCAAGTTAGTTGTCTATGCTCGGGGTTTGAGGTTGGAGATTTGATAGGTAGATGATGGTGAAAATAGTAAAAAGAAAATTTAAAAAACCTTTAAAAAAATTCATTGGAGTATGGCATGTTTGCATACCACTTCACTCTCTTGGGAGCATTATCGGTATCTTCTGTACGGAACCTCGGCGACCTCGCCCACGACGTAACCGATAGCCGAAGCTAGTACTAATGTTCATCACCTAGTAGCTAACCCTAAAGCAACCCTATGATCATTCCCAGCTCCCGGTTCCCTACTCGGTAGGGTTCGTGAGCTTCCCGATCGCCTTGTCGCCACAGAAGAGACCGTCCTCGCATTCGGCAGAGACCCGCGGAGCGCAGAGACGCTTCTCGTGGCAGCAGCCACGGGCAATCCCACGGAGGATGATCTCCGGCATTATCGGTCGAGGCGGCAGCCCGAGAATCTGGTTGTTGCGGTAGATCTTTTCGGCAGCATCCCAGAAGTTCTTTTCTTCCTCGTCGTCCTTCTTCAGCGTAGTCGTCTTCCTTGTCGCCGTCTTTTTCTTCACCTTCTTCCATGTAGCCGCGCATGGTATCGTGGACTGCCTTTCCGATGACAGACCAGTGTACAAGGTTTCCCTCGAAGCGCAGCATCCATGCCTATGATAAAGCCGATGATGATGACGATGACGCCGAAGCTGATATTGATCACGACCACGTCGATGATAATGATGCTACCCTTATTGATGCCCTCGCCGGAGCCCATACTGTAGCCTTTGTAAAAGTCCTTGTAGAAGCCAGAGTTGATACCAATGCGATGTTGTCTGGCTACTTCGGCGGCGAAGGGAGCAGATTTGCGTTGGGAGAATTCGATATCGCGGAGGGGAGAAACCGCTTCATCCTACCCCCCCTCCGGGACATTCCCATATCCTTGGTGAGGACCTTTCAACTGCATCACTGATGACCTTCTTGGTGAGGGCCTCAACATCTGCAATGTCGAAGAGAGCGCCTCAGTTACTGCTTGCTCGGGTGTTTGCTGTGGCAGGAGAGCCCTCTAGCCTGGGGTTGTCTCCAAGCTCAGGCTGATTGTCTGGACTTGGTCAGTGACGGTCGCGTGCTGCTGAACTTTTTGCTTCATACCAATGTTGCCAGAATGGGGGTTCAGTGTCATCCATGTCCGTTTCCAAAGCTGTGTACGCCATACGAAGGAACCGGCCAATACGATTGTTGCTGTTGCTGGCTGTAGTAGCCAGGCGTCGCGGGGTAGTATGGGGATGCACCGTAGTTGACACCACCGTAGTGTCCCTGACCTCCTAGTAATGTCCGGATGGTTGTAACGTGAAAGTTGATCAGGTCGAATGCCGGGACTAAGCGAGGGATGCTTATTATCAGATATTCGGGAGTAGAAAAGCTGCGGACGGGAAAAGCCTGCCGGGCAAGGTGGGTGGGCAAGATGAAAATGTGGCGCAGAGCAATGCAACTCTTACAGCGAATTTTTTGGGGGGAAGGTATTCACGCACTGTGTGCTGAAGTAGACACGTGTGAACTCCAGCTACAAATATGTGCACAAATACAATGGTGGAGCGTGCATTAGTATCGCCTCCACAGCCCAATCAGCCACCCTACAACCAATTTTCACTCGTATGTTTCTCAGCAATAACAAGACAACATCTATTTTTTAAATGTCAGTTAATTTAGTATTATAAGCGCTATCTTCTAATATCTTTTAACTAATTTAAATCCATTGCGGCTAAAAGTACCGAGCTAAGCAAAACTTATTACTATACGTCAAGGCGAGGCTGTAGTTACCTCAGAGAACCTAGCTGTTGAATACACGAATGTTGATTGACTCTATTGATTGTTCTGCTCTGCTTCTTCAGTGTGCAGAGATTGATCATCTGTCTTTTTAGTGGGTCAGCTGCCCTGTGCGTCTCTGCCCCACTAAAGACCTTCCGGTGTCTATCTCTGGCTCTCATTCAACATATTCGTGCTAGTATCTAACACTAGCCTGTAAACCGACCCACTTTTTACGAATCGCCGATTTGCTGTCTGTGCGTGTTTAGCGGTGGCAGGGTGTTCGATATGTTAAAGTATATATATATAAATAGCGCTGCCAATTAATAACTATGTGTCAGATGTTGGATCCCAGATATGGTGCCCTTAGGTGCAGTACCCACTAGGGGGCTGTCAAGGGAACAGTGAATACACCCTGGCATGGTGCAGTATAGTATTTAGCTGTAGATTAGCCCTGCCGAGCATACTTGAGAATGACAACAACATTTGCAGCGACCGCTCACACCCCTAAGGCTTGTGACCCTTCTGGAATCTCACACTATGTGTTTAAATAAAGGTGTGACGAGCCGTCTAACCTATAAGGCTAAAGGGTTCTATAGGGTTTATGTTCTGAGATAAGTCAACACAAAGGACAATAGAGGCTTCTGTCAACTAGAAGACACTCAGATACTGGGGCTCGGTCTGAACTGGGTTCACTGTGTAGTCGAGTCGTCAAGAGATTTCTCCCACCTTAGGGTTGGCTAAGATGCTTAGATTGATCACTGAGGTAGAGACTGTCTATCTATCTGGTTGGGAAATGTCTGTCCTTATATATCCAATCTCTCCCTCACTGATTAGGTGGCTCACCCTGGATCACCATGGTGATCCAGTGATCCAAATTCTTAGTCACATGACCCAGGCTCTGCTGGTCGCGTGATCTGTGTACCGAGGCTCCGTTGCTTCGATCTCACCACTGATCAGCAACCCACTCTCTGGTCAATCTGTTTCCAATTGTCTCTTCTAGGCCTGCTATCAGGCCGCACTGTTTGTTGGTTCGTAACAAAAGGCTCATAAATTATCAAAAGTTAAAATAGCTTAAAGTAAATGTTAAACGTTTTGAATTTATCGTTTAATACGTACTTGTTCTTTAACAGCGCTATTTATATATATATTTATTATTAACATATCGAGATTTTAATACTTCTTGTGACGGAACCCTCACTATTGTGACGTTCCGTATTTGTGAATAGAACATAGAAGCTCTTGTTTACTATATACATATAACTATCTCTAGCTGAAGAGAAAAAAGAAGATCGAGCGGCACAGCTAAATCTGGTGGGCAACTAGATAAGTGTGTCTGCCCTACAATTCAGAGCCCTGGTGGGTCTGGGACAACCAGTCGTCCAGGAGGTCACGTGCTGTCACGTGATCCCAGGACCATCACTGACGGCAGCGACGTAGTAACCATCACAACCATAACCACAATGGCACTTTTATTACGTTTTAAATACGAATTACCCATTTAAATATTATAAGTCCAGTATTATAAAAAGTATTATTTAATTCATTACGTTGTTGTTTCTTTAATTATTCTTATATTTTTATTATAATAGTTATAAAGTTAACAGCGACGTAAAATACGTAACTTGCGTTTTATATAGCAACCAATATCAAAGCCTTTTATAAGGGTTAAGGTAGCTGAATGCTGAAGCAAGGTGATGGCGGTGATTATAAGAAGTAGGTGTATGAGGATACTTCAATCTAGCCTGGTATGTTTGTAGAAATTAGGCGTTTTAAGTGGATGTGGTAGTGGAGCCTTATTGCTCCGATCGGTGACCAGTGTCACGATGCCTGCGGCGGTGTGTTGCAATCTGGGATTGATTACAAAAAGAACAAGGTGAGGAAAGAAAAGGAAGCCAGCAAGGTGGTGTGCGCAGCACACACCTTAAGTGGTGGTCCCGTTCCTTCTTTATCTAATCTACACGTGACCTGGTGGGTCACCTGACCAGGGACCAGGTGGATACAGCTGTTGAATGGGAGCCGGAGATAGACACTGGAAGATCTCCAGTGGGGCAGAGACGCACAGGGCATCTGACCCACCAAGAAGACAGATGATCAATCTCTGCACGCAGAGCAGAACAATCAATAGCATCAATCAACATCCGTGTATTTGTTGGATTCTGGGCTACGTTAGCCCATCCATAGTCATCCTTCAGGATCACCATCCCCATTTGTGACTCTGTCACATACGTGGCCAATATAAGGCCACGTATCCTTTCCTTTAGTATCTTGGATATATATAGGGCCATTCTGGCCGCTCCAGAGTAGCTGGAATTCCTCTCCTTAATAGAACACTTTGAAATCTCACAGTATTCAACAACAGCTGTACACCGTCACAACCAGTCGGCCTGACATGCCGGTGCAATACCCTTACACCTTTTCAAACGCCGTTCTTTACAAACCTTTCTTTCATCGCTTGCGCTCGAAGTACCTATTATATATATTTACAGTATGAAAGGTACTTTATGTGAAGTAAGAAACCGAGAGCCTTATAAGGGCTTGCGACGTGCCTTGTAAAGGCACGTAACAAAGGGAGTATTTACATTTAATAAAGGCAAGGCTGTAAAAGGTTTCTTACGTGGGCCGCTTACTAGCCCTTATAATACCCTTGCTGTTAAATAAAAGCTTAAAGGTTGTAAATATATAAGTAATAATAACAAGCCTTTTCCATTACATGCTTATATCATGCCGTTGATATTATCAATGAACGACAGTAGAATACCAAAGTGTATACTTTACAGGTATCCATAGTACCCCTGGTGCATCTGGCCACGTGCTGTCCTCGAACAGCTCCTCATGTTGTCCAAATGTTGAAAACCTGCCGAGTGCCAAGTGCACTTATTCATGGCTGTGGCTACAGTACTCAAGCAGGTCCTAGAGGATGTTTATATTGAGGTTTGTGCCGCTTTGAAAGGGCCTCTGCCTGCTTGAAACTCTCGATCAAAAGACCCATGTGAGGGTGTCTATACATACCCACGCTGACGTGTTCTATTACTTATTCAGACTAAGTAGGCAGTTCGAACAAGTTCTCGCTGGCCGAACATTCATGCTGGTCGGTGCTGGTAGTGTACAGAAGAAGAATGTGAGTTGTGACACTATGGACATTTTATTAATTACTCAGTTGCCTTCAGGTGCTGGCTGTTTCTACTATAAGGGTTGAGCTGAGACCAAACGATTACCCAGGGATAAATAGCTGCCACGGCTTTGTTCTCCTGTTGCTTCACCCCGGTCAGGGGGCAAAGACAAAGAAGAGCTCTGCTGAGTCAGAGGGGAACCTAAGCGAAACAGCTGGACTATCGGGACACCGCTATTTGGTTTGGTTTGGTTATAAATACGATGGAGGGGAATGGTAAATTTACTTATATGCATACTGATAGATATTGAATCTTGACTCTTCTGATCAAGTCACCGCCGTTGGCCATCCTAGCGAAACATGTCGAACAACACCCACCACACTCCCCCAACAAGCCCTTCACCGCAATATGCCTTCGAGCATAGAAAGCATGCCGCCCTGAAAGACCGGAGGACGCCCCTGACCCCCGAACAATGGTTCAACGTCAACCAAGCGATCAAGAAGACAGTCGACGCCGTACTGGCCAAGAACTACGAACTCGACGGTCTCGGGCCCGGCGAGTGGGAGCTCGACGTCGAGCTGGGCGTCTCCCTCGTCGCCGAAGTCAGGTACAGGCCGCTCAAAAAGCAATGCTCGTTGAATGATCCCAAGCTCAAGGCCAAGCTCCGCAAGATGGCACGCGATGTCACGCATGGGGAGTTCCGTCATACGTACGATGGTGGCAAGGTGTGGTTCTTTTTTCGACTGGTCGATCCCGATATTGTTGCGCAGTTCCCCGTTGAGGAGGAGCATCCGATTGAGGATGTTCAAGATGGCATGGCCCAGGTCGAAGAGGCCCAGGTCAAAGAGGCCCAAGACGTCAAGCACAGATACTCTGGGCAGGATGAGGATGCGCAAACAGACAGCGACACGGAGGCCGCTGGCATAGCCTAAACGTGAAGCATGAGCTTGTAAGTATGTTCCAGCTGCAACCTTGTCTTCAACACGCATGGGGGGGAGTCACTTCCACCCAAGTCCCCTACACGCTTCTGAATTTCTACCCCGCTGTGTTTGCTTTGTAATACCTACCGATGCTGGGTCGTAACTACGACGTAACAAGCCATGGGAACTGATTATTCGAGCGTTACAGTGAGCGGGATGCGATGGCAAATGCAGCTCTTTGTCCCTCGCAGCCGGGAGCAGCAATTGTGCGCGCCGGATACGAAGCCCACAAAGGTGACCCTGAGACATCTGGCTGGGCGGCCTTTCATCGTACATAACAAAGGTCTGGGTGAATTGTCAAGACAATATGCCAGGCTCGTGTTGACGGGATTGAATCTCTCTTTTCTTCATCACTCCCAGTTGAACCTGTTGCAACATCTCATCATAACCGATTCTTCAGAGGGAACAAGCGTCCGGGTGCATGCGAAAAAGTCGACTTGGAAAAACAGAAAACACAACAGATAGCAAACCACGAAAAAAAAAAAAAGGGAACTACCCGAACAGCAAATAAATATCCCTTCACTGCAACAACCACAACCACAACCCAAAGCCAGTAACCCCAGAAACAATGCCTCCCCCAACCCCCCAAATGGAGGAAGAATGCGAGATCACGGCGCTAAAGATCATACGCACCGGCTTCGCCATCGATTACATGCGCGCGCACTCGACGACCCGGTTCGGGCATGATCTGGACACCGGCGTGTGTCTGGAGGTGGCGACCGGGGCCAAGCCGGTCGTCGACATCAAGGCCACGACGCCCGGCGTCAGTGAGGGTCTGGATGATATGGCCTCGGACGGGCTGGAGGGGCGCATGATTTTGTATGGGTTGGCTTTCAAGTTTGTTCGGGTTTAGGGCAAGGTGCATGGGATTAAGAGAGAGGCAGAAAGGCGATGGGAAGTTGGATTTGGGGTTGGTTTAGGGTAGGGAGAGGAGGAGGAGGGCGTTCGGTGACGACGGATGGTTTGGCTGGAGTTCGGTAATCGTCGGTTTCTACCTACTTAATACGGATCTTTGGTCTGGTGTTGTATGAGAGCGGTCAGATCTCCTAACATTTATCCGACTCATCCACATGGGAGTTCCAAAATGTACTTGAACCTCCTTGGGATCGTTTACTGCGACATTGTGCAGAGCGAGCTTCATTGTCTTATGGACCGAATTTATATCCAACCTTCTTCTACATGAACCCATTGAGCACGGCCAGCGAGTAAAACGGCAATAACTGGACAGCTCGAAAGTAGGCACCAAACATGCTTCAGAATGGCACAGGGACCAACCAAGCGGTGAGAACTCTCTCATGTTGAGATACTCTAGCAAATTCGATCTAGTCCTAGGATCATGCACCAGAATGAGACTACCCAGACGTCCGCGATCCAATCTCCCCACCAAAGCCAGCCACAGCTCCTGCCCCCATCGTCAAAGCGCATAGTGCCAAGTCCACCTTATCCAGCTGAGCACATCTCATCGACGAATCGCAGAAAAAGACTGCACAAGCTCTCCTAACGGGCCGCAACGAGGCTCATGTAGATACCCCATACCACACCAGCCAAGCTCCCCACAAGGTTGCGACCCTCAATCGTCTTGACAAGCGTAAAGTTAACCAAACTAACAAACGGCCACAGCCGCCAGCCCGCCTGGACAATAGACCAGAACTCGCCCTTGCTGCTCGCGACCACGGCCGCCCAGTCGACCTTGCCGTAATCGACGGCGTCGCGCGAGACGAGGTACCGCAGGCTCTGGTCCGGGTTGGCGAGGGGCGAGCCGAGCGGGCGCGCCATGGCGGCCTGAATGGAGTGGATGAACAGGCTGAACAGGAACGTGTTGAGGCCGGCGCCGACGGTCTGGTCTAATACCAATTTGATGACCGTGTTGCGCTTGTTGAGCTTGGGCTCGACGAGCCGGCCCTCCTTGGCCTCCCGCTCGAGCTCCTTCTCGTTGCCTGCGCCGGCTGAGGCGATGGCGGCGGAGGTGGGCACGAGGCGCGAGGCGGGGAATGCCGACTCGAGGAATTCTTGCCTGTGGGACGCGTCAGTATGGTGGTGTACTACATAGAGACGCAAGCGGCGCAATAACGGCCGGCGTGGGTGAGAGACGCGTAGATATCACTGCGCCTGACGCGCGCTCTTGGGGCTGGGGTGGGCGTACCAGAGGAAGTTGGGCGGCACGTTGAGGAACGAGTAGAGGACGAAATGAAAGACTGGGACCCAGTCGATCATGAGGGGTGTCTGAGAGCTGTCAGTCTGGGACTCATGGTTACGCAGTGCATAATCATGAAGTCGCCTTTGAGACGGGGGCCCTTGGTCGTTATTGAGCTTAAGAGCGCAACTCACCTCAAACTGGTATGATGTGAGGCATTGCGCCAGGATGTTGGACGTTGCTGCCAGAACGGCGGATTGGATGGTCGCGGTCATGATTGGAGGGAACGCCATGTCGACAGTGGCACTACGTAGGTAGGTAGGCTCTCGCAGACTCGTTCGGTGGATCCAATTCTGTCAATATGTATTGGAAGCCGTAGTGATGGAGAGATATGGCGTTGTTGGCTTCTTGGGATGAGACGGGAGAGGATCGAAGTGAGATTAGGTTCCTGGCCAGAAGATGACAGCATTACATCTATGCACTCGCGCCTAATAAGACCAGGCAAAGGAATGGATGGATGGGTGGCAGCCCGCCCAACCACAACCAACAACCTTTGTCGCACACTTGGATCTCAAACAAAGACTCGCGAGTAGAAGATTATACTGATGGTTCATTTCATTATTCATTGCGAAGTATGTGTTGATGTGATGTCTATTGGCTTTGCGTGAAGCGGCGCTTATTATCTGGCTGCGGCCCAACGGCTCTCTGGCTTGACTCTTGCTCTGGCCTTTATTGCCTGGGAGAGAGGGCCAATAAGCTGCGTCTGGAGACGACGTGTTTCCAGACTACCTTATATCTTCTACCATACGGTCACCCTGCTGCAAAATGCTACGATTGCCAGAGTCCATGCATCAGGATCACGCCCATTGCTTCTCTGTCCCTTTCGGATTTTCATTGTGTGATACAAGGCTATGAAGCTCCATAGTTGTAGCATCCTCAACCTCTGCTGAGGATCCACATGAAGAACAGCTGTACCACATACGAGTAGGCAAAGAGGAACTGGGTTCGCTGGTTCCGCTTGGTTCTCGAATCCGTCTGCATCGGCCCTCTCCCATCGCCGCCAGTACTTTCCGGAAGCAATACATACCTCAGCGATCGCATCTAGTCCACTTGTTAGTAACAGTAACGACAGCGTCGTGGGATGACACGGGGCTTGCACTCACCAAGAAGAGGGAGTTGGCCATGTAAGTGTATCCAAAGATGAGCCAGCCGACCAGACCGCCAGTGCCTTTGCCCCCATTGACAAGCTCAGCAACGGCAACGGTGACGATGATGCCGACAAACTTGTATCCCGAGTAGGCCACCAGATCGAGGAGCTGCGACTCGTTGGATATGCTCAAGAAGTAGCACCCCAGCTTCAGGAGCAGGATCTCTACCACCACCACCACACCAGCGGTTGAGGCGGTATATCCTAGCAGCTCCGGCTGGAACTGACCTCGTAGTCCGGCGAGGAGGGTCGAAAGGAGAATGTATGTAACGAGGGCCATGACGGGGATGTACATGTCGGGGCTGTTGATGTCGTCTCTCGGTGGTAGATACCATCCCTCCTGTCCGTTGGGTCCTACTGCCTGCTTCCGAGACCAGGGCTTGTGGCGCCAGGGGAATAGCACCAAAAAGAGCTTGTTGATGACATAGCCGTTCGTTACGTTGAAGTAGTGCTTGAGTGCCGAGAAGTTGACCCATCGGTTCACCTGTGGATGCCAGTCAGCCAAAAGCAACCCGACGTCGGCCTTGGGATGTTGAGACACACGTTGTTTTCGACATGCTTGAATGCGTTCTGTCCGACCTGTCCGACAAATTGTGCTGCCATCGGGTCGCTCATGAAGTTTCCATACTGGCCAAAGACATTCCCACCGCCACCGCCATTCGTAGGTGTGCCCTGCTGGTATGGGTTACCGTAGGCGCCTTGCTGCTGTGGTTGCGACGAGGTGGGCGGCGGTGGTGATCGCAGCTGTGGAACGGTAGAAACGTGTTGCGGGACAGGGTGGTGCAGTGGAGGAGACTGCGTGTAGTTTGGTTGTTGCATCGTGAGCGCTCGTAGAGATCGGAGTGGCAGTTGCAACGAATCTGAAGAAAGGAAAAGACACAGCAGTGGTGTTTGTGTAGAATGAGTCCAGCACCAGGAATTGTGACTCGTGAGATGTGGTTCCATCAAATGCGCAAGCTTCGACTTGTTGATGCCAGCTGCAAGGCAGTGACAAAAGAGCTGTCCTTAACCTGGTTCGTCCAGATCCACACCCACCTGCACAGGCCCCCTGTCCCCTCAGTGAACCGCCTGTATTGTCTGCGCCGATCCATCGCCGGGCACCCCTTATCGGATTCGGATCCCGATAAGCAAAGCGCTAGCAGCCACTCTTGGCAGCTGCCACCTTTACCACCTCATCGTGCATCTCTGTAAAGTTAGAAGGTAGGCCGACATCCATCCATCTTCGTTAATATTCCCAGAATTTCGACTCCGGTTTGGCTTCGTGCTGTAGCATCACCGCGACCATGTTGGATACGTTCGAGATCCTGACCACCTCTGGAGTGGTGCTGTGGTCAAGGACGTACGCGCCCATCAACCAGTCCATCATCAACAACTTCATCACTGATGTCTTCATCGAGGAGAAAGGCGCGTCCGCCGGCGCAAAAGACAACCAGCCCACAGCCAGCAACCCACCCTACAGAGCAGACCAGCACACGCTGAAGTGGACTTTTGTCAAGGAACTTGGTGTCATCTTTGTTGTACGCACGAACCCTAGCCATCCGCAGTTGCGAGTCACTAACTGGGCTACTATAGGCTGTCTACCGGTCTCTCCTGCATCTTTCGTGGATCGACAAGCTCGTTGACAACTTAAAGACCATATTTATCGACTTATATGGAGACGAGCTGCAGAAGCCGAATACTACCATTGTCCAATGCCACAAGTTCGACCAATACTTCGACCAGCAATACAGGGAGCTTGAGGCTACTGCGACAGCCAAAGGGCCTCAACCCGCGGGCGCCCAATTTCAACTAGAGGAGGATACCATTTCCGGCAACCTTGGAGATGAGCCACCTCTCCCGCCTGGCTTCAAGCACAGGACAAAGGCGAACCATATTGCGCAGGACGTCCCGTCTACCACAGAGTCAAGTCCGATCGCCACGCCGAATACATCCCGACCTTCGACGCCTGCCAGCAGCAACAATCACTTAGTCGTTGGGAAGGGCGGCCCTGGGGCTAGGACGTCGCGAAGAGCAAGGAAGACGCAGCAGAATAACCATTCGGCCCTTGCATCTTCAGGAGACGAAGCAAGAAGGGCTAAGAAGGCGCCTAAGAAGGGCCGGAAGTGGGATGATCAAGGTTATGCGGATGAAGAGGATGATGTGCAGCTGGACTACTCCATTACCCAGAATACAGCCACGAGCGATAACGAGGCCAAGACTGCCGGTCGATCAACCGCAATAGAAGGAGTAGACTCGACGACCTGGGGAACGACAACGTCCAAGGGGCAATTCGTCTTGAAAGATCTGGGCGATGAAGTGCACTCCATTCTAGAATCGGCCGAGGCTAAAAAAGCTGCATCAAAATTGGAGCCAAAAGCTGGCCTTGTTGGGTCTGGATTGAGCACTATCAGTGGTCTGTTCCGCAACGTGGTGGGCGGCAAGACGCTGACCAAGGCCGACCTCGATAAAGCGATGAAGGGCATGGAAGACCATCTACTTCGGAAGAACGTGGCTCGCGAGGCTGCGATACGGCTCTGTGAGGGTGTGGAAAAGGAATTGGTTGGGGTCAAGACAGGCAGCTTTGAGAGCACTGATGCGCGCATTGCCAAGGCCATGGAAGCATCCTTGACCAAGATGTTGACGCCCACTTCGTCATCAGATCTACTACGTGAGATCGACGCCGTCACGAAGCCCTCTGTTACCTCGATGCGAAAACCCAGGCCCTATGTCATGTCCATTGTCGGTGTCAACGGTGTCGGCAAGTCCACAAACCTGTCCAAAATCTGTTTCTTTCTGCTCCAGAATAAGTACAAGGTTCTGATTGCGGCTGGAGATACCTTCCGATCGGGAGCTGTGGAGCAACTGAAGGTTCATGTACGAAATCTGAAGGAGCTGACCGAGCGCGAGGGTGGCAAGGTCGAGATCTTCGAAAAGGGGTATGGAGGTGATGCAGCAACTGTTGCCAAGGATGCCGTCAGGGAGGCTGCCAACGAGGGCTATGATGTCGTGCTCATTGATACAGCCGGACGACGGCACAATGATCAGCGACTGATGTCTTCGCTGGAGAAGTTCGCCAAGTTCGCACAGCCGGACAAGATCTTGATGGTTGGCGAGGTAAGCAATGTTCACATCCGGCACTCAGGATATCTGCTAATGGTGCAATTGTAGGCTCTCGTGGGAACAGACTCGGTCGCCCAGGCCAGGAACTTCAACTCGTCGTTCGGTCCTGGACGCAACCTTGACGGATTTATCATCTCCAAGTGTGACACGGTGGGTGACATGGTAGGGGCTCTCGTGAGTATCGTACATGCCACGAATGTCCCAGTTCTTTTCGTCGGTGTCGGACAGCACTATTCAGATATCAGGAACTTCTCGGTCAAATGGGCCGTAGAGAAGCTACTGAGTAATAGTTGATCCTGTTAATTACGGTAGTAAATGACAGTCAAGTCTGCGGCGAGGACTTACTTTTGCTGTCAACATCATTACAACTCCAGAGGTGCTTGCTCGTAAGCGCAAGTGTGGGCTTTCACAGCTTGGCTTTCAAGACTCGCGGTCAGATGCTCGTGAAGATGAGGTAGGTACATAGTGAGATACGACTGACTCTTTGGCGCAGTGGATACACAGAGAGGTAGTTCGTCCACTATACTTCCCATAATGATTCGAAATCACCAAAGTCCGGCCATCGCAGTAAATGTGCCAAGGTCAACAACCATGGTGAGTTCATCCCACGAGTACGGTTGCAACGAACACACGAGCCGTCGTTATTAGCAGTAGACAGTCAGCCTTGCGAGACAGCCTCTTCCTGCGAGAATCCAGGGCAGAGACCCAGCTGGTACTGCGCCGAGCACAGGTTGTTTAAGATGAAAGACTGCACAGAACCGCGGTGGGACAACCACGTTGCCGGGTTTTGTTCTCTGTGGTGGCTATTACAAGCTGCAATGTCTTGTCCGAAAGCATCTACGACCCATCCGCACTGCTCGAGACACGGGTGCAAGCCCAATGCCCGCAGGGAGCTCTTGGTCCGGTAGGACAGCTCGGCCTGCAATGGCTACATGTATCCAGAAGGCAGAATGGTCGTTCATAGGTATGAAGCGTCACACATTGTCAGACTTTGGGCTGTGCGAATGCGTCTCGCTGAACGCCGCGCGGGGGTATCATTCTGCGAGGCCTGAAACTGTTCTGTCAGACTGCGAGAGGAATCGGGGGGCTGGCTCAGTCGCGTGCGTGTACTACGGCGATTTGTGACACCTGCGGCGTGTCCGCTGTGCGAGGCTACCACGCATTCTGACGAACGCTTCTCAGCTGGCTGTGCGTTTTGGTGGTTATCTAGACCGCCATCGGTTCTCCCCGAATGGGGCTTGTTTGTACTGCGTTCGAGTCAAGGCCGTGCAACAACAGGACCTGCATCGGGTCTACTATGAGACACGTGGACTGCAGGAAGTAGGGCTGCAGGAAGGAGGGCTACAGGAAGAGCCGCGTCAAGACTGTCGGGTCTGTTCAGATCACGGTTCCGGATGCTTCCTTGCTGACAGCTCCAGGCTATCTTTGCTGCAGTGCTCAAGAGCGCACATGGATATCGGCTTGCGGTTGACGGTGGGTTTCAAGCGAGCTCACTCCCTCGTATGAACATGTTGAGGGTTGTGTTGAAGGCCCTGTAGTCGCTGATGGGCCATGTAGTCGTCCCCCAGAGCAACCTCTAGGCCCGTGACGTCTTCGTGGTCACGTTTCCACAGCTCGGCCTCTTTCTGGACCAGGGGAAGCAAGTCCACGTAGGGCTTCGTGTCGAACAAGGCCTGTGTGAGAAGTCTGGCGGAAAACTAGGTGGCGTCGCATAGATCCAGGTGTTCGACAGGCAACTACGGCGCTGCTCGTTTCGGGTAAGATGTAGAGCGCCGCGGACGAACCGCCCCAGGTCCCTCCATGTGACAGGATCAATGCTGGGGCCAGCCGCGCCCGATTGCGTGGCGGGCGGTCGTGGTATTCTGGATCGTCCCGCCGTGCCAGGCTGTTGCGGCCGCCGCTACCGTTTGAGGTGGAAGCGTCGGCGCGACTGAACCCCAGGCGGTACGACTCAGGTCGCGATATCACGCAGTACGGGCTCCATAGCGCCTTTATGTCTCGCAAAGGGTTGCTGTCCTCGGTCCGGCCATGGCAGGCATCGAGGAGGACTTTCGAGAACTTCAGCATGTCCTGTGCAGAGCTTCGGACACCTACCGCGGCCAAGACGGGAGCGTGGTTCTCATCCGTGAAGTATTTTTGTCCACCCTGTAAAACATGCTGCCCTGGGCGAGAAACGTTTCTGTTTGTGTCTAATTTACGGCGACTCAGGATGGTTTGTCTCGTGCCAAGCGACTCCGAGATACGCTTCTGTACGAAGTCAGAGCAACGATGCCCGAAGCATTTTGTACCGCAAGACCAGCGAAGCCGTAGACAAGGCTATTGTATAGGAAGCGCTGCTTCTGGAAGCTCTGCCGCCCTTTCCCATCCGTGGTGGTTGCATCATTGACAAACTGCACAAAGTCGTCTTCTCGACACACGAGGAAGCCTTGGGGTCCATAGACAAGCTTGCTGAATCCCCAACCCTGTCCTGTGAGAGAGAGCATGCCGGATCGTGGCGTTTTCTGCGATTTCTGGACCACCCTAGTAACACGACTCCTGTGATAAACAGAATTCCTCGCGGTAACGAACTCAGAAATGATGAGATTTGCGGACACCACAGTCCAATACCACCACATAAAAATGGCAGCGGACCGAACGAGATTCTGGGACTCAGTCCAGACCAGTGTGCAAGGTAAAAAATAAGTATTCTATCTAACGTCAAACAGAAGTACACAGACTATGCATAAACTCTGGAAAGAAAGGGGGCAAAAAGAAAAGCAACTCGACCTTTCCCTCCACGACAGCACAGCACACCACATCACGAACCCCCCTTACTCCTTTACTCCACCTAAGCCTCCGCTCCTCCCGCCCCATACCCAGAAACATTCGCCCGCAGCACCGCCGCCGTAGGGTCCCAGAACTTACCCAGAGGCGAGTACACGCGAAAACTGTGCGCGTCCACAGGCTCAGAAATAGTAATAGGCCCGAGCTGGTCGTCCGTCATGTTCCAGTAGTCGGCGCCGTTGCTGCCGAGGTCGTAGTAAGTCCCCCCTTGCTGCGACTCCCCCTGTGCCGGCGCCGACACGTTCAAGCGGCCTATTGCGCTGACGCCGCTGAAGGTAATGTTGTTGAAGGCCAGCGGCGCGCTGCGGTTGCTCTCGATGTTCCACTCGACGAAGAACTGTGCAGTGCCATACCCGAGGCATATCTGGAAGGACGGGTCCGCGGGGCTGTCTGCCGTGATGGGGGATTGCCAGGTCTGGCCCGTGCTGAGGTTGATCATGTGGCTTTGGGGAGGAAGGTGTTAGTTGGGTTGTGTTGTGTTTTGCGGACGGTGGGGTTTGGTTGGGTAGGGTAGATAGGGGTACTGACATATAGCCGGTGGTTTGCGTGTACGTGTATAATGTCACGCTCATGATGTTCCCCGGCTCGACTTGGCGTATGGCATCCCCATTAGCATGATGACTCCATCGCAGAACGTCCAGTAACGCACCGGTCATATTCACAGCCGGCAAGAAGTGTGCGCCGGCAGGGAACCACTCGACCCACGCGGTGCTTTCCGACGTCCCATTCTCGCTCATCTGATTACTCCATTTTAGTTTTCGTCCTCGTTCTCTGGTGCTCATCCTCCAGAAGCCACGGGGCGCACTTACTCTGACATCCGTGCCGGCTTGGAAGAACGGAAAGTACGAGGCGTTACCGCAGCCACCGCCGAGAATGCCAACCCATTGCGACATGCTGTGTTGGTTGGTTGGGTCGCTATAGTTCACATTTGTTTCTGGCATCATGTAGGCAACATTCCATATGGCTGATGCTGAGTATACGGCTGGTAAATCCGGGGACCTGTATGTAAAGATAAACATTAGCGGATATGTTTTCTTCATATGAGGGGGCGCCGATGTTCCAAATCCCTGATATTAACTCCGAGAACGTCTCTAGAGAGGGATTCAGGAGATGAAAATGATGGCTTCAGAGTTCAGTACCCTTGAACCACGTTGATTACACCACCACCGAGGAAGGAGTCGGTGTAGGACCGTTGCGTGGCTGCGTTAAAGGCACGTCTTCTGTGAGATATAGCCGAGACTGTGTAAAGTTCTGCAGGTACGGCGCAAACAGTCGTGGCCTGAAGCCAGATGAAGGTGAGAAGCACATCGAAGCCCTTCATTGCGCAAATTTTGCCTTCGTGGGACAATTGGGAATAGGCTTGGATGATATAGTAGAGCAGAAGTAACGAGAGGACTGCAAAAACTGCATATATGTGTTTTATATGCTTCGATGAAAGGATAAGAAGGCGGACAGAGCTGAGGCCGTGCAGTAAAAAATCGTTCTCTATAATGAGCCCAACCTCGCCAGCTATATCTACGGAAGGAGTCGACCGGAGAGAGCGATATCACAGCTGAGATTTCAGACATCTTTTTATTACAAGTGCTCTACGTCCGTAGGAAACGTCAGGAGCTAAGTTCCGGACCGGATGGGCGGATTCAAGGAAAGAGGACAGCAGGCCACGAGACTGAAGGAATCAGATCTTTCAAGTCATACTCAAGGGCGGTTGCGTGTAAGCGGGCACCACGTTCTGACGCAATGAGTTCAAATGTGCAACCCCAAGTAGTCAGGGAGCTTGTATAGCCCGACAGAGGGCATTACAAGGTGCGTAATAACGTGCCATCCACCACCGGAGGCGAAGTCGAGACATCGGGTTTCAACACATAAAAACGGGCGCATCGCCCAAAAGAGCGTGGTAAGAAGATGACAGGCCGTTCGTGTACCCGTAAGCAGACATCTGGTGTCGCGTGAGCTCGAACCAAAGGACTCATTTCGGCGTTGTCTGCCACGCGCTGTTTTGCACACACGAATGGTGCAGCTCATGTACGATGCGAAATCCACGTGGAACGCTCCAAGAGTTGTTAGATCATCCCTGGCTGTGATAGTATATGTCAGGGTCAAAAATGGCTCGGGGCTGAAGTCGGAGACATCGACCGGGGCGGCAACTCGAGTCTCCGGAAAGTAGCCGGAAGCCAACACGGCGTCCGGTGGGCCATTCAGCTGATGTTCAGCATCCGCAACTTATTTGGTGCCGAACATGAGTATAAACATTGACGTCTGTGTCCCGTTAGCTTTTGACTCTGAACGAGTCACACTTGCCATTAGTTAGCTGTGGTGACTAACACAGCCTCCTGGAGGTGACTATAAGGAGCAGTCAGACATCAGCGCGTCCACAGTTGAATGTCGACTCAAGAGACCTCCTCAACATTCATCACTTCGGTTCACTCTTGGCATATTGCCCGAGCGAGTGCCTGATCGAGTGCCTGATCGAGCACTTCGTTCTTTTCGGCCCGCGGTCGATCCCAAGCATCAAGGGAGAGGGGCTTCAGAGTCTAGAGACTGCAAGCGGTCAACACATATCGCGCGATGATGATCTACGTCATCCATGTATCAAGCTTCTGACCACGAAGCTCTGGCTGGACAAGGCTGCGGTACCAACACTGGAATACTAGGGGTGCTCCATTGCTTGAATATCGGGCTCCCGGGGTCTTCAAGGATCTAATACCGAAGGGATGATGGAGGCAGCTCTGATGCCCGCCGTGACGAAAACGTTACTCGCCCACTGTCGCCCCTTCTATGGCTGACTTGGTCCGGTGTCCTCCTCCGTTGTAATAAGGTTAGCTCCCTCCGGACTTGACCATGGAGAGCGCCCGGATTTACTATTAGGTGGGAAGTGTAACTTGGCGTGTCTGAAGCCTGCTGTCAAGTTAGGGTTCCAACGATTGAACCAGGCGGACCGAAGTCTCGGGGATCTTGGTCGACTCCACCAGTATCGATAGGTAGTAAATTCATGTATGAAGAATACTCACGGAATCTTGGATGAGAATAGAGTTCGGATGCGCTTCAAAGCGCCAGGCTACATCCCTACATGTATGTAGCCCATCCTCGATCAGCTGTCAGGTGCCCTGTGCTGAGTTAGAGACGGGCCAAGAATGAGGCACCCGCATACTATTTACTACACGATAGAGTTCGACTCATGACAAGTAGCCTGATCTCCCGCGACCCGAGTTTCGGGAGGTTTCTTGGGATCATTTAGAAGAACTTGCTGGACGTACATATGAGCTTTGAATACCTTCCATTATTACCACAATACATTACCGTGGAGACTGAGGCCGTTCCAGCTGTCAGAGGTAGACGGATTATAGACTGAAGTCCAAGCTGTCGTACCGGACTCTGTAGATGGACATGCGAATATCCTAATTCGAGAACCTCATGAGCAGGGCAGTCGATTTGCTCCCGGTACTGGGCTCAACGTTTCGGCATGCCGACAATTGCCTCGGTGGATAGTGGCCATCGTGGATGATGGGGGTTCTTTCGTGGGCGATGTCAGATACCAGTGTGCCAGGAGACAGAGTCTCCGTTTCAGTAGTGTGGAAAGACGATATCCGGAAAAAACAGGCCACATAGTCGTATGAAAAGAAGGAGGAGGGTTGTGAGGATACAGGTAGAGATGCAGAGATGTTGAGGCGTGCCCCTCGGAATGGTGAAGCACGCTAATGGTATCCATACTGTCTCACGTATAGCCTGTATCTGATCTTGTGAGAGCGACGGCGGCTTCAAATGTTATTGTTCAGGCTGACAGGCTGACGGGCTGACGGACTGATGGGCAGGCACGAGACAGGCCCCGCTGAATCCACTCCTGCCACTGATCTCCCGCGCCGAGGGATGACGCTAAAATCTGGCCCTAGAACTGCTAGATCGATGTCCCCCAGCAATGTCGTAGCCCTACAGTACCTAGGTCCCGTGACCCCTCCAGCTAGCGCTATCTATTTTAGATGGATGCAGCATGCTGTAGATAGCGGCGGGGTTCGCTGCTGAGAGGCAGGTCGTCATTGCATCTCGTCCACCCATGGCATCAATTGTCCAAATCTCGACTCTCATCACAACAACCAACCTGCTCTGGTGGGTGCTGCTGCTCGTGCGACTCTACCTTGATAATTCAACGCTTCAAACCGTCACAATCCATAATAAGCATACGCGAGATTACCATAATTGACTCCTGCCCGGTCGGCAAGTTGGCAACCCCTCGCCACGCTGTACCGAATCTTAAGTTTCTTAGCCTCGAGAACCCCAGCCAGTCTGCCAGGCCAGTATCGAATTGGATTCAAAACAACTGTTCTTCAGCGCATTCGTCTCATTCGGTCTGTCTCCTTCCTCCCGTTTATTTATAGACTCATCACCATTTTCCCCCGGTTCGCCCGGTGTATGTCCACACTGGCAGACTCGCCCTCCGCTCTGCCACTGCAACCGAGCATCGAACCCCACGTCTCCCGTCACATACCTACCTTATTACCTTAAATCACATGAATACATATCGAGGTAACCTAATCCTTCTCGTGGTACCGTCATCAACCGGATCATTCGATTGTCACGCCTCCCCCTACATCAAGATCACCTACAGCAGCGAAGGGTCCCTCTCGCTCCCTGCAGCTTTCCCATACAGGAGTCCTGACAAGCATAGTTGCTGCCCGTCTACCGGTCTACCACCCTCCGCCGAGCTGACAAAACGCGACCAACGTTGGCGACGGGCCTGTCACCTTCCCTGTCGCATCAGGCTACAGCCCTGGCCGCATCGTTGCCCGACTTGTTCCGCCCTGTAGTTCCGCGTTTGTAGTCGACTCCTGTCTCTCTCTTTCCCACCCCCGGCCGGTCACACTGCCAGCTGAATCATCCTTCGCTCTCGACTTCACTCGGTGTTTGTCCACTCCGTCTACGACCTGAACTATTGGGACAAAAGCAATCTGCCATCTGCAACCACCTCGGCCGTCACCCTCGCAAACCTGACAGACCGAGTCTGTTTGTCCTCAAGGGCCCCCACCTCTTGCCCACTCAGGCATCGCCGCCGCATCCCAAGGGCCCAGCCCAAGGGTGCCGCCAGGGCACCTTCGATCGTCATCCGATCAAACCCCCGCACTGCAGGCCTGCTGTCGTAGTCGTCTTCGTCGTTTTCCACTACATTGACCCGCCGATAGAGTAGGCAGTCAGTCAGTCGGTCAGTCAAACGATGAATCCGGTCTCCTGAAAATCCTCCCGACTTGGGCTTATTCCCTTCACCCTCTCCCCCGATGCCTGTCATGGCTGCGGCTGTCCAGGGACCGCCTTTCTTCTCCGACTTGTCTCACGGACAAGATGCCAGACTGCCAGAGCTCAGAGAGATCGACTACTTCAACGAGGTCTTTCAACTCTCTGCTAACGGCACCGAGGCCTACCTTAATACTCTAATCGCGAAGGCGGCGAATCTAGGCATATCCGTGTCACGCCCATCTACCGCCGTGTCGGCTGCTGACAAACGCAACATGTCCGGCGGCGATTCCAATATTACCTTGGACACGAACCATGCTCGTACCGTGTCGACCGGATCAGATGATTCCACGAGCACAGCCTTGACGTCTCCCTCCTCGAACGATGGCCATGACTTCACTGGCAAGATACTCACGAGGAGACGATCGAGGGGCCTGACCTTTACGCAATACGAGAACTACCTCGCCCAGGTCGACCCCAACCTCAACCAACCCAAGTTCCTTTCTCACCCCGCAGCCGGGTCCGAATCTGCCGCGAGCGTCTTCAGCGTAAGCACGAGAAAGAGCTACATGAGCCTCAAGAAAGGACTTTCAAAAATGAGTCCGAAACGGAGGACTTTACCCTGTCCAGAAGCTCTGCTTATGTTGGTTCCGAGTGCCTCCCACCATATCAATCAATGCTGACGCTTCTGTTGCAGCTCTTGCAGTGCTTGTCGGGAAGACCTACAACCAGACGAGACGTTCGAGAGACTTCCCTGCGGCCATATATATTGTCCGAGCTGTCTACGGATCATGATAAATCAAGCGACGACTGAAGAATCCAAGATGCCTCCACGATGCTGTACGCAGCCGATACCTGGCTCGATCATCAAAACCGTCCTCGCCCGCGAAGAGCAAACGAGGTTCCTCAAAGCTGTCTTGCAATTTAGTACACCGTGGGAGGCGCGTGTCTTCTGCTCCAAGCCGACCTGCGGCGAGTTCATTCCGCCACGCGCCAAGATCGACCCCAAACACCCTTTTCAAGCCATGTGTCGCAAATGCCGCACCAAGGTGTGTGTAATGTGCAAGAGGGATGCTCATCCCATCGGCCAGGACTGTCCAGGTGATTGGGAATTGGAAGCGGTACTGAAGATGGGCGAGAAGTCAGGTTGGCGTAGGTGCTATAAATGTCGGACACTGGTGGAACTCTCCCAGGGATGTACGCACATGACGTGTAGGTGCCGAGCGCAGTTCTGTTACATATGCGGCGCAGTGTGGGATCCATCTGTTGGCTGTCCGAATCTTTGCAACGGCGAAGCTGAGATGGAACGTCGGCGACTAGAGGAGGAAGCGCGCGTGGCGGCGCTCGAAGCTGAAGAGGCTGTAAGAAACGAGGCTGCGGCAAAAGAGGCAGCCAACAGAGACAGAGCCGAAGAACGGACACGAAACAGTCAAGAGTTCCAAGTATTGCGCATGGAACAGGTCAAAGAGAGGGAGCGTTTCCAAATGTTCGAGCACAAGTCGAAATGGCTTCTCTGGACACGGCACGCACAGCAAAAACTTGCTTTGGTAGAGAGACACTCCGGAGCGATGGAAAAGATGAAGGAACGGCATGCGAAGACCTCGGCCAACCTCGAGGACCGGCAGGTTGCTGCCGAAATGGAGCTGCGCTCGACATTGGAACAGAGCGAAAGAAATGTGCGGATTCGCTTGAAACACATGGAGGCGTACTGTGAGGGTCTTGGACGCAGGCCGAGTTCGGAAATGCCATCGCGGGTGGTTACCGAACGTGACCTGCGCGAACTCGGCCAACAATACAACGTCGAGAAGAACATGAAGCAGCTCCACCAGGCCAAGGTTAATGTCATGCGCGATCGACAAGCAAAGGCTCTGGAGCAGTTACTCGAGAGGCAAGAGATGGAAATGGCCAGAATCACCGAGAAGCACCTAAAAGAGATTGAACATCTCGAATCGGATTTTGCGGATGAAGAGGAGATTCTCGCGAATACTTTCTACCAACGCAGATACGCAATCGGGAAACGATGGGAACTTGAGATGGAAATCATGCGCAAGGAGCTGGAGAACGAAAAGGGCCTAAGATATTCCGTGCTGCCTCCGCTGGAATGGCCACGAGAGAAGGAGGCGACTGAGGACGGTCTCTCGGCTGTGGATGAATGAGTGGACTCGGGTCGGGTTGACGGCCAACGCTCGGCCAACATCATTCATGATACAATGGGCTTCTACCAACAACCACGCCACCTCGTTGTCTTGCATATTCGCTATGACAGTTTGATGACCGCACTGGCAAGAGCGGCTCTTCTCCCTTGCTTCATTCGTCACATTGGGCTTCGGCGTTTACATACCAGGGAGATCGAAGGAGTCATGCAGGAAGCGCGACAAGCGCCAGTAATGCACTTGCATTTGCTTTTGATCACAGCCGGAGTCTGCTGGTCTGTTTGCAGAGATATACCCAGCCACAATGGCGACTACGCATTTGGCTGGAATTTGGCTATTTAGCTGCAGGGGATATCGGGACCATGTTACCCTAGAGGTGATGCTACAGCGGTCAATCTTACCATGTCACACTACCTGCATTGACAGGTGCTGTACCTAAATCAAACACAACTCATACTCTAAGCTACCAATCATCTTACCCCGTGATCGTCTCTGTGCTTCATAGTAACGGAGAAATGCGCAAGTATCCGCGGTTCTCGCCAAGAAGTTCTCCGAGCTTAGAAGAAATCGTGGAGTTATACGAGCTTCAGGACCGTGTCAACGCTTCGCGACTCGAAGGAATGTAGTGCGGATGCGAGCACGTCTCTGGTCGGATATCTTTCAACTCGACTCCTGGCTCGACACGGCTATGGAGGATCCATGAGGAAGGATCTCTTTTCATTGTCTTTCGCTGTCTCTACTGGCAGCAGGCGAGTCGCGTAAACCATGAATGACAGACGTGCGTCCCTCCACCGCATCCCCGTGGGTGGCAACGATGCCCTCCTCCAGTAGGCATCGAACTGTGTCTTTGGGCATTCTCCCCATACGAAGTACATTCGGATCTTGGTTACCACTTGTCTGAATATCCGCCCCGTAGCCACACAAGACTTTGCTTGGTGTTGTCGAGGTTGTCAGCGTGCCATGACGCCGCCTCATGGAATATGTCTTATCTTTCAGATGCTGGTTCACTACTTGTGGTGACGGCTGCCGTCGTGCTGTCCGTTTTCGTCGTCTGCGGGGAGTGCATCTGCACCTGGTTCATGGGCTGGCGGATGGGAAAGTCTGGCAAGGATATTGAGGGTGTGGGTGGATCAAGAGATGTCTACTTGATCAGAAGATGCTTTGAAATTTGACGGCGAGAGTTGGAGGTGTAACCGTCTAGGGTTGGGGAGGCTGTTACATTGGTATCAGCATTGGAAAGTAGAATTCATCTAGATACGTCTCAAGACTTCGGAACAGCGGCCTTCACGAGGGACCAGAAATTGACAACCACTACCAGCACATGGTGCGCCTTGAACAGACTCGATATTGATCACCTGTGGGAGACAGATAGCAGCGGGGTTCGGTCTGGAGGACGATATCTGTGACGGTGACACACTTCCCTCTGTCGGGTTGAACTCGATGCTTAACATTAGGTACATTACTGGCTGTTTGAGATCGTGACTGTTACTCTTATTGATCTTCCTTGAACATACACTCCTACTCGTTTGGCGGAGCACATGTATCAACAAACAAGTGGAACTCATGTGAGAAACCTCGATGGCCCGCGGCAAACAAGAGGAAGGTTTCGCTGGAGCCTTACTGGCGTTGAGGTTGAGGGGGAAGATAAACAGAGTTCAGCCAAGATCCACCAAAACATAACAAACCAAAATCGTTGATTTGCTCAAGATTGCGGCAGAGCCTGAAATGATTTCAACAATCTGCTGGGTTGGGGACATGTGACATCCGTCTGACACTCGCCGTTTACATTCCAACCAGACCCATTACCATTCAACCATTTTCTTACCACTTACCTACAGTCACGATGGCATCTAACGAACCCAACGACTACTGAGGCGACTTGACGAACCCGGCCAACCAAGGGGAGGACATTTCGGCCGATAAAAACACCAGCGTCTGTCTCTCGAATCTGCCCGCCAATTGCCGCGCCTGCGACATCCTGAAGGAACTTCGCAATGTAGGGAAAATCTGGTCGTTCAGCCTGATCCCACCCGAGGAGCTATTCACCACGGCTGCCGCCAAAGTCGTCTTCTGGGACAGAGACGGCCTAGAAGCGTTCCTCAAGAAATATCGGCGCGACAAATTTACCGTCCTCGGCACCCGCCCTCGCGTCTGCATGACCCGCTGCAGGATTTCGTCAGAGCCCCCGTCGGATGCGTCGCGTGCCATGGTCATCACCGGCCCCTCAGAGATCATCCGTATGTCCCGTCTTTGCGATCTTTTCGAGGCCGATCTCGACTCCGATTTCGACTACGACCTCGAAAGGATGATGAAGGCTTCCAACGAGGATACTGGCCAGTCGAGCATTGAGGTTCGATTCACCTCTTTCAAAGACCAGGCTGAGGCCGCTTGGCGCATCGTCAACAAGGCCATTGCGGGCGACGACCTGCCGGGAACGGTTCTGTCGCCGCACGAGAGCGATCTGTGGCGAACGACCACCGTAGCTTGGGCCACTGATCCCAGCGCGAAGCACCGCAGACCCAGAGACAGGGGAGGAAGGCTGTTGTTGGAAAATGTGTTACCTAGTTATGATGCCGACGAGCAAAGACGGTGGGTTTGCACTCGACCTCGAGTCCCTCGTCCGAACAGGGCCGGGTCGTACTCACTTGCTAAGACGCTTTTAGGGAAAAGACATTCGTCGGAGACAGGGGCATTCCTCCCAATTGCTGCTTTTACAGCACCACTCATATAAAAATCGAATGCGAAGGATTCCTGATATTTTTGACCCTTAACTCCACGGCTGTGGCATCAAGTTCGAAAGATTGCCACGTCGTCATGAAAGAACCTGCTGGCGGCTACCTCCAATGGTGGCTACAAGCGAAGACGACCCAGAGCATTCAACACAGAAGACGCGGAGGAGATGGAGAAGAAATGGGAGAGGATCTTGAGCACATGACGAGGCTTGCAGTCACGCAATCAGGTCTATGGTACTTAACACACACGTTGCGAAGAGGAAACACATCAGAATATTGTGCATAGAAATGGGTCAACGCAATCCAGGCGTAAGTAGACGGTTGAGTTAGGACAGACACGCGGCACGGAAGTCGAAGAGAGGTATGGCCCTGGCCTTCGTGGCAGCCTACGTCAGGCAGTGGTGGCGTGGAGTAGGCGTGGTCGTACCTATGGTCCATGCCCTGCACCAAGGTTTAAAACTCAGCAGTCGTGTTTACTCGACATCAGTCCGGGACGAGCTGATGTCTTCTGAGTGAGGGACGGGAAACAAGGTATGAGTCCTGAGCAGAATACAGTTAGCTCGATGCCCATTGCGCGTTTTCCTCTTGAAGACGAGACGTGTTGGGAGCTTTCAGAATATGTAAGAAATGAATATCACGTATCCACCTGATATAGCAGCTCTGGCAGGAGCGCCACCGAAGTAGAATCAATCGCAAATTACCTCATCATTAAGCAGCAGGAGAGAGAGAAGAGAGGTTGGCTTACCTTGACGAGACTGTTGTAGTTGTATTGTGCATCAGACGCGTTGGACATCAGGACCGGCACCTGAGTCCAGTGTTCATTCAATGTTGAATGAAGTGAAGTGGAGGAAAGATGGTAAAGCTTCGTTCCGTTGAGAATTTATTAGCTCTCTGGAAGGGCCCCACCAAAGCTCCAGCTCTTTGCTCCAAAGCGGGACGCGGCTCGCCAGAAACTCCGACTGCCTCTAGCCTGAGGCTGCATGCCCCACTCTGACACCTGCCTCCACCTGGACCGAGTGGCTGTCAATCATTCTCCCACTTCCCAAATTTTCGATTAGGGCTACGCAAAATCCACAGCCGAGAATCTTCAGAGCAACCTACCGATCGACCACTCGGGAACATTCAAGGTAGGAGGATTTGAGCCAACACCACGACATCACGACAACCACCTCGGCACCACCACACAGTGAGTACATCTCCTCGCCAGCGACCACTGATATCCTACCAATCTCTACTTCACTTCCGCCTGCCACTTCATTGCCAATCCTCTTCTGACTAAACCTCCCACAGCAAACCTCCACAATGGGCGACGCATCCATCGAATCCCCCGAATGGCGCAAGGTCGAGGTCGGCCGCATCGTCCTCCTCCAGGGCACCAGCCAGTATGCCGGCCGCCTCGCTGCCATTGTCGAGATCATCGACCACAAGCGCGTATGTGCCTCCGTCTCCGAATTCAGCTATGCGGGCTGGAACCCGGACGCGATTATTGACTGTGTGGACTTGTAGGCTCTGGTTGATGGACCCGCGTCAGACCCCAAGCTGGCCGTTCCCAGACAAGCCATCTCCTTCTCCGATTGCCTACTGGCCGACATGAAGATCGAGAAGCTGCCGCGAGCCGTCCGAACGGGAACCCTCAAGGCGCTGTGGGAGAAGGCCGGCATCGATGAGAAGTGGAAGGAGAGCAACTGGGCCAAGAGAAAGCTGCAGGGCGAGCGAAGAAAGGCCCTCACCGACTTTGAGCGATTCAAGGTCATGCGACTCAAGAAGCAGCGACGATTCGAGGAGAGAAAAGCCCTGGCCAAGGTCAAGGCGTCGGCATGAAGGGATTGATTCCACCACATAGAGACACAAGGAATCGGGTCAGCATGAAACTTTCGGGCATGGTGGTTGACGGCTTCCTTTTTGCTTCGTCTGGCAGGACCTGTATGTCACACGAATTTCCTCCGAGGTGACCGGCGTCAATGATAAGGACATTCACAACCACGGTATATTGCCTGCTATATCTCGTGACGGGTTTCTGCTGGGCAAACGCTTGTGTCCGCTGCTGCTGGACCAGGTCTACTACCAGTCTGTTGCGAAAACAGGCGCATAATGCATAGAGGCTCACTTCACACAAAGATCCCATGATACCCCCATGATGCCTATCTGCTGGAACCTGCAAGCTTCTGTGGTGATTTGCAAGATGTAATATGTAGTATGCTGTGACTTGAAAAAGGAGTTGCCTCAATACACGCCCAAGCAGCTATGGCTGCCCGCTGACGCTCTCAACATTAAAGTACGAGCGTAGCGACATGGAGGTATTTCGTACTTTATGAGCTAGTCGATACTGGTACTAGCGCGACATGAGTGTGGTCGGGCCACCTGCTCTAGCCGGAAACCCTAGGCCGGGCACCTGGCAGCCTGGCAGCTGCGAAGAATTGACATCAATTTGTGGAAGCTCCATTCGAACTTTCCTTCCTCGCCGAACCCGAGCATCTCCAGGTACATCCTACTTTCTACCCCCGCTACATAGGTACAGAAGGAATTCGATTGTACCTACATTTTGTGAGTTACAACCTCTCATCGATTGTCTTCCCGGAGAAGCTTTTGCATCAAGTCAGATCTCAATCACGTTGTTCGCTGTCACCTCCACGCCCACCAAGAAATTGTGCTGCCATCTCGCGAGCTACCTGACCTAGCTCCTGCACATCAGGGCTAACCAGAATCCGATTACCAGTCACCCAAACTTTCACGATGGCCAACCCACGCGTAGAGGAACTGCCCGACGACGAGCCTAAGAAGGTCGGTGTCGAAGAGCAGGAGGATGACGACAGCTCCGACTCCGAGATCGAGGCCGGCGAAGGTGGCGCTTCCGGCTCCAACGTCATGGTCCACTCCCGCAACGAGAAGAAGGCCCGCAAGGCCATCGAGAAGCTTCACCTCCAGCGCGTCTCTGGTATTACCCGAGTTACCCTGCGACGACCGAAGAACGTGAGTCGAACGTCCGATTATACCATGCCACCCGTCCCGGTGGAACGAGGGTCGCTGCGTGGGACGACCAGCATATATGCGAATTCCTCAATCAAGAATTGCTGTTCCTTTTTTTTGTCTCGACAACACGCAGAAATTCCAGACCCCTCTCGCACCCAACCGGACATATGTGCGGCCTACGGTCTGAACACCAGCTAATCGAGCCGCAAACAGATCCTCTTCGTGATTAACAATCCCGAAGTCTACAAGTCGCCTAACAGCAACACCTACATGTGAGTAATTCGGTGGGTGCAGGTCGATAGACATCTGACTAATGAGGCACACAGTGTCTTCGGTGAGGCTAAGATTGAGGACCTTAACTCGGCCGCCCAGCAAGCCGCTGCTCAGTCCATTGCTGCCGGAGGCGGTGAGCACGACCACTCCGGCCACGACCACAGCCATGGCGAGACTAAGGCTGTCGCGGCTTCCGAGGAGAAGCATGACGATGACGAAGATGACGAGGAGGTGGATGCCGACGGTCTTGAGGATAAGGACATCGAGCTCGTCATGACTCAAGCCAACGTCTCTCGGAAGAAGGCCGTCAACGCACTGAAGGAGAACGACAATGATATAGTAAACTCTATCATGGCTCTCAGCATTTGATGTGGATATGCTGGTTGTTGGCTGATTATGATATTGGCATGGAGGTTCTCAGCCGCGGGCTGCTTCGGCTAGACGCATTGCGGCGAAAGGTCGCTGCACCGACGATTGGGCAAAATTTATCGATTGAGCTACGATACCTCGTTATGATCACTTGGACCGTGGTAGACATACCCCTGAATGTGTTGTACTGACTTTGAGTGACCTGCATCTGCCTACTATTCTCGTATGAGTTTTCCCGTACTGCCGAGAACATCCCCAGCCATCTTCGCATGTCTATACACTCCATTGATACGTAATCCATAACTACTGTAAGATGAATTAATCAAGTGATGTCAATTGTGACTTGGTGCGAAAAGACGAGAATCTGCGTGGTTAGTCAGGACTCAGGAGGTAGATTCTGGGGACGCTGCAAATGCACGTGACCCAGGTCACGGGTTCAAGGTCGGGACGTGCTTCAATATCCAAACGCCGAGTTCTGCCGCGAGACTGGCCAACTTCCGCTGCGAATTGCTTCAGATCTCCACTCATTCAACCTCCCTCAACACACCGCAAACATGGCCGCAGTAAGTCCATCCCGTTGTTGCAACTTCTCATATATGGATTGGGAGCTTCCGCATGCTCGAGTTTTCACATTGGCTCGTCAATTGCGACATGACATCCCCGCGAGCACCATGAGCTAATTTGCTTCTTCTCAACCTCGCAGCGAAGCGCAGCCGTCAAGCTCGACTGGTCCAAGGTCACCTCCTCGCTGGGCCTGCGCGGCCAGACCGTCGCCTCCCTACAAGCCTTCAAGCAGCGAAACGAGAACGTCCGCCGCAAGGTGGCGGTGCTGTCCGAGCAGCCGACGACCGTCGACTTCGCGCACTACCGATCGATCCTCAAGAACCAGGCCGTCGTCGACGAGATCGAGAAGCGCTTCTCTGCGTTCCAGCCTGCCAAGTACGATGTCGCCCGCCAGATGAAGGCCATCGAGGCCTTCGAAGTCGAAGCCGTCAAGAATGCCGAGGCTACCAAGGAGAAGGTCGACCTTGAACTCAAGGACCTCGACATGACCCTGAAGAACATCGAGACCGCCAGGCCGTTCGAGGAGCTCACTGTGGTATGTACGGTCACACAAGGGCGGCGACCTTGGAGAAACAAGCATGTCACTGCTGGAATGATGCTGATGGTTACGCGAATAGGACGAAGTTGCCGAGGCCGAGCCCTCCATCGACGAGAAGACCGCGAAGTTGGTTTCCAAGGGCCGCTGGTCCGTTCCGGGATACAAGGTATGGCCACAAGCCCAATCGACACGGATAAAGTACCAATTACTAACCTATCATCTAGGAAAAATTCGGCGATCTTTCCGTACTATAGACAGCATCGTTGCATTATCAGCAAAAATCACTTCCTTCCCTTTGTGTACTCTAGCATTGTAGATAGCAAATTCGGAAGAGGGAAAGGCGGTGGAATCACACACAATTAATCGACCTCCTGGGACCTGTACATCAAGTGGTGAAGAAGAAATTGACATCGATTTGAGAAGATTAGCCCCAATTGCTTCGCCGGCTGGGCACACGTTACTGACATTCAGGACCTGTATCTCAGCCATATGTCTGTCGACCAAGGTTGAGTCCCATTGCCGTCCTCACGATTCAAACTGACCTTGATGCCTGCTAGGCACTTCATGGGTTACCAATCTACCAAAGTCTCTATGTTACTGACATCACGACTACTGGGATTAGTCTGAACTCGCTCTTCACCGTGTATTATCAGTAGATTCTGTCGGAGGCTGTTTCAGCAGTACTCTCGCATGGTTCCTGCCGGTCGACACGCAACACATCTACTCTCATCTTGCCTTATGGGCCGAGGCACGCGAGCCATCCTTAGGACCTCTCCTATACTGGCTAGAGCGCCGGTATTCTGGATTGTGCGTGGTGTGTCGCCAAGGATCTTGTGGCAGGCAATCTATGATGTATCTTGTTTCTGCCATCGACTATTGCAGACGCGGACGAGTGCCGGTATAAGAGAGGGAAAACGACGTTGCAGTGATGTAAGATTGTGGACGACCCTACCTAACCTAGGACACCTATAAGCGGTGGTTATTCCAAGATAGACCTCTTCGCCCATACGCTACTTGATGAGCGTACCCAATTCCCAGCTTCCACCAATCTCGCCCTCCATCCCTCAGCTCACTCGACTCATCCCGGGCCTATTCACCCCCATCTCCCTCCCCTTCGCCCTCTCACGCTCCCCCCCCCTATCCCCAATTCCACCGCTCAAGCAAGCAACCACCGCAGACCCCTAACCATCGCCTCATCCGCCTCCCTCGCCCTCGCCAGGTGCGGATACTTCAGCCAGAACGTGTGCGGCCAGCCGCGCACGACATCGAGTTGTACTTCCACGCCCGCGTTGTGCTGCTGCAGGGCCGAAGCGTAGCACAGCCCTTCCGAGTACAGCACGTCGTTGGTGCAGACCTGGATCCAGGCGCGGGGGAGGCCCGTCCACTTGGGCTCTGGGAGCTCGAGGGGTGTGCTGGGGAGGGCGTCGCGGGGGGCTCTGGTGGGGTTGTTTCCCGGTGGCGATATTGACGGCGATCGTGGTGAGGGTGCTGGTGAAGGTGATGATGATGATGATGGTGAGGGCAGGCTCAGAAGTACGGTCTCGAACGAGGCGCTGGCACTCGTATGCATATACCGCAGCCGCGCGGGCACGCTCGTCAGGTCGCCTGCCGCAGGCCACGCGTCGCTCGTGACGGGACACCGAAGCAGGATCCCGTGGACGGTGCCGCGCGGGGCCGCTTGCGAGACTAGGGTTGCGAGAAGGCCGCCGCTGGAACTTCCTACGATGATGGTTTTTGTGGTTGTTCTGGATGAGGTGCTGCTGTGGAGACTGCGGGTGTGCGTGTAGGCGGATAGGGCGTCGGCGACGCAGACGCGGGCGGGGTGTTGGGGCTTGAGGCGGTAGCCGATGGAGTAGAGGACGATCCGATGGGGTGGGGAGGGGGGGTCTTGGGTGGTGTTGTACCAGTACTTTATGAGCTGACGGCAGCTCAGGTCTTCGCTGTCGGCCTCGCCGACGGTGAGTCCGCCGCCGTGGTAGTATATCATTACTACGTCGTCGTCAATCGCTGTCTCCGTCCTGGCCCCTACTTCAGGATCCGCCTGCCTTGCGGCAGATTCCTCGGCCTCGTCCTCGTCCTCTATCTTCACCGTCCTACCAGCCGGGTTCGAAGCGTTCCCCCTCTCGGGCTCTTCTAGCTCGTACCGCAGGACCGGAATACTGTAGCCGTCCTCGCTGGACGGCACACTCAGCTCGCTGGTCCGGATCCCGACGGAGAGGTCGTGGTACGGCGCCCCTGGCGCCATCATCTTCGCGTGGAGGGCGCGGCATTGGGCTGCGTAGAGGGGTTGTCGCTCTATGGGACTGAGGGCTGGCTTGGGGGCGCGTAGGTTTGCTTCTGCTTCCCAGGCTAGCCAGGCTGGGTCGAGAGGTGGTGCTTGCGGGAGGATGAGGGCGTCTAGGTCTTGCATGGTGGTTTGGCGTGTGCTGTTTAATGCAGTTGTGGCGCTTTCCGGCTTGGTGTCGGGGGTATTGGATTGTTATATGTGAACTGCATGTGTTGGCTCGCCCGGGGAATAGGGATGGGTTATCGCATTCCTCGTCTGCACAGCTACTTGTAAGGCGCTGTTTCAACACCCAAAATCGATGGAATAATTATCGAGTGACGTTCTCATCTCAGCCACCCTATTGGCTCCGTCTGTCGAAGAAATATGCCTGCGTCCCTGAGTTGCGCTGTTGGTATCCCGATCCGGTCTTTGTTATCATCATCCCGAAGACCGAAGTGGGGAGGGCTCCATGTCTACGTCCCAATCGTCGACGTTGGATGTGCAAACTGGTTTTCAAAGCAGTGGACGATATCTGCAATTATCGGTTTACATGTCATCACTTGGGTCCTGCTCATGGGCTTGGTTGCTGCTTCAGGTAGTTTTGGGGGCCATGCTCCTAGGGCTAGAATAGGGGCTATTCTACTCGTTAATGGTATTCACCCTACGGTCAGACTCGGTTCCCTCCTCGTATAAGCCGTTTTGTTGTCTTCAATCCCGGTCTCTTAATACTGGACGCATCAGGTAGAGTCTGTTAAGGTAACTCGATGGCACGGTACGAATCTACGAGCTGTTGAACCGCATAAGCGACGCTACTTTACCTATCCCATAAAACGACTATAAATCATTGATAAATCCTTCATGTCAAACAAGTCATCGACCACTCAAGCATTTACCCCGAATTCAGTTGTCAGCGACGATTCGCATGCCTTACAGGTGCTGCGTGAAGACTGTCGTATTGTCGCTTACCTAGCTTGGACCCTTTAGGCATATCGAGAAGGACGAGTGCGATGTGAAGACGAACTTTTTGCTCGCTACTTAAGCCGGCCAAATGCAACAATAAGCAAAAGACTTCAAATACCAATTAGTCCCCAGTAAGACAGGTATCTCACCAGGCGCTTCCTGTTCATGTAGTGGTGTAATCTGTGAGTCGTTGGTCCGTGCACCAAAACATCAACCACTCGACCCTTAGCTCAGCGCCGGCTGAGAACCCGGAGGTTTATGTCCAAACGCGCGCTGGAGGTCCGAAACGACGTCTTCATCTTCATCTTCACATCGCATCCAGCACTGGTCCGCCAGCCAGTCACGCCGGCGCAATGGACAGAATAGCCCCGGAGATACTGTACATCGTTTGCTCATTTCTGAGTGTCGACGACATTATCAACTTCCGCCTCGTCACCAAGTCCTTCGCCGACATTGGAGCCGCTTACATGCTACCCGAGGTCACCTTCTTTATGCACGGAGAGGAGCTGGAGCGGTTACGAGCCATCTCACTACACCCGGTCTTTTCTCGGAATATATGCTCTCTGACATATTTCGCCCAGGCGCTGGACTACCCGAAGGTCTCCTTCCACGAGTTCCGGAGGGACCACAAGCGGGAGCTGAGATGGAATTCGAAGCTGAAGAAGCTGAACCTGTCATTCCACCAGTTGATGGACGAGTACAGGAAGTATGAGAGTGCTGCCGATGAGCAGACCGCCATCATGAACGGCAAGCTCGATATTCAAGTGCTGCAAGAGGTGCTGCCGAGGCTCACAAGTCTACAACGCATGACCATGTCCGCCGGCAACATCTTCTATGAGGGAAGGGTCAAAAAGAACCCGCGACACAAACCTATGGAGGATATCATGCGGGGAAACAACAGCTTGGCCGCCCTCAATCCAGAGGGTGCGCGTCCGCTCGAGGCGTTGTTAAAGGCGAATGCCGACGTCAAGTGCGCCTTGAAGAGTCTCCGTGCAGGCACCCTGCACTGGAGGTTCTTCAAACGGAGTGCAGCAGAGCTGATGCGAATGTTCAAGCCACTGTCTGGTCTATGGTCAATCGAGTTCATCATCAGCGTCGAGCCGGCAGACGAGAGAAGACACGAGAGCAACTCGGCTGGCAAGTGCCGACGGGTGCTGGCCAAGGGGGCTCTGAGAAACATATTCAAGTCCATGACGGAACTCCGATCCCTCTGTGTTGAGATCGATTCTATGGAATGCGAGGATCTGGATAAAGGAGCAGGACTGGAGCACCTGATCGAACCAGGGTTCAAATGGCCTCATCTACGGGAGCTGGTCATCGGTGGCGTCGATTGCGACAGGCAAGAACTGATGAATGTCTTGGAAACACACAGCAGCACGCTTCAACGGCTCTGCTTGAGGGACATATGCCTCATATCAACCTCGTGGAAGAAGCTGCTTCCGGAAATCAGAAAGAATATGTTCCTGGTCGAAGCATGCATTTGCGGTGACTTGTACGGTCGGGACGAGGACGGGGAGGAGCCGAACGATCCATTCTGGACGACTGGGCATCTTGGGCCAGATCTTGAATACTGGGACTTGTCGGTCCCGGAGGTTGGCGACCACGAGATGAGAGACTCTATCAATGTCTACTGCCGATTCGGTGGTCACCTCTATCCCGACGAGGTCCCTCTTACGGAGGAAGTGGTGGACAAGTATTACGACGATCACGTCAAGGGTCTTTTCGAAGACAGCGATCTCGAAGACGACGAGTCCGATCTCGACTCATTATACCTTGATGGGCTGGGCAGTACGGACATCTCGGACAGCAGCCAAGACGGCTGGGAGGATGTCGATAGCGATGAGGAGATCAGCGATGACCTCGAGAACTCCAATACTGAAGACGCAAGCTCAGAGGAATTTGGACTAGCCGTTGGGATGAGCGACTTGGAAGACGCGGGCACAGACGAGAATGGAGTAGCCATTGGGATGGTAGAGAGCGACTCGGACGACGCAACTGATGAAGAAATGGGGAGCGACAGTGATGAGTGATTAGGGAGGGAGGATATGGTATCAATAAGCCGCTTTGAACATGGTCTCACGGCGTTACCGACAAGTCATCGACAGTATAGTGATGACCGAAATATCCTTGGAGATTGTCTTGCACTATATGTCTCCTACAGTACTCGCCAGGGCCTTCTGGCTATCGCGCTCTTGTACTCTAAGACGACTACCTCTGAAGTAAAAGCAGATTAGGACACATTCAACAGGCTACCTGCAACAGGAAGAAGCATTGCAAGATGGAATGTAGCTCATGCGATGAAGGGTCCCTTACTGTGACTATGGCATGGCGCATGGGGCTCATTTGTAAGTTGTAACAACAACACATGCATGGGTTTTCATGCGTGTCCAGGTGACTGTCGGACCAGTGAATTGGAAGCCTCGTGGGATAGTCTATTGAACCCGGACCTTTTCCCAGTCGGTAAGCCGGAACCATGTCTTGACATCCGTACATCATCTACATAACTTGCCTCCATCTTCCTCACCTCTGCCAGAGAACTGCGCATGGTATGCTGGATGTTCGCGGAAGCGTCTGGTTTCTTTGTGAATCTGGAGTTTGGCACTGATGATACTGTTACTGATAAGGTAGTACAGTGATGCCTGGTGGTGGTGGTCAGGTGGGACAGTCAGCGCATCCCGATTGACCAACAAGGTGCGTGTAGCAACGTTGAACACAAAGGATCGGCGTTGTGGTTCCGCTTCAGCCCGTCAGCCCGCCTCACCCGCCTCTAATAATAACTGGTAACGCACTGTGCCGCTGCACCTGTCCTTCTGTTCCCACTCCTCCATCATCATTCATCCACCACCAACTCCACGAACCACCCGAACCACGATCCACCGATCCACCCGTCCATCCACCCTATCACCGACTACCTATTCCGTTTCTACACTACACAAGTCTCAATAACCGAAGCAGCGACATCAACAAGCCCACGATGGCTTCCCTGGCGGCGGGGATAGTCGATCCCACCAAAGCCGGCAAATACCCAGTCGTGCTGAGCGACGCCCTGCTGGGCAAGGACCCCAAAGAAGTCTATACGGGTGTCAGATGTAAGCAGCAGCCCTCTCTTGTACTAGAGACGACAACTGACCGCCACTGCCAGACAATCACAAGCCATCTCTATCCTCGTCCACAGCGCCCCACCAAGCACGAATAAAACCGGCCTCGTCCTCCAACAAGAGCACTTCTTCGGCATCCTACGACCTCTCCTTCCAAGACGATGGCGGCCGCTACGCATACAACGGGTCGCGCGGCCACGAGGACGGACAGTACGTGCTCATCTTCGACCCCGAGCGCCAGGTCTTCGTCCTGCACAAGGTCGACTCCACCTTCAACATGAACCTCGTGCGCACACCGGAGAACAACGACCCCGAGAGCCTGCGCCGCGAATACCCACAACTGGAGAAGCACAGGGACACTGGGAGCGGTAGCGGACCGAAACCCCCAGCCGCGTCGTCGAAGAGCAAGGCGGCCAAGGGCAGCAGCGGTGCAAGCAAAGAGGCTCCGAAGGCGCGGAAGCCCGCGGCGCCGAAGCAGGACAAGAAGAAGGCGGCAGCATCAGGCCTGGTCGTGCCCGAGAAGAAAACCGCGCCGCCGAAGCCGAGCCCAGCGCCCAAGGCTACCACCAACAACAACAATCGCAAGGCGCCCAAGAAGGCCGCAGACTCCGAGGAGGACGAGAGTTCGGACGACGACCTGCTCACGATCGAAGACCCCGGTGGCGCGGCACCCAGCGCAAATCGTGACTTCTCGCCCGGCTTCATGGACAAGCCGCTGCGGCGCTTCTCCGAGTTTGTGCAGCAGCAGAACGAGGAGGAAGACGACGAGGACGCGGATGGCGAGGACGACGATGATGATGCGTTCGAGCACTTCACGCTGCCGAGCCCCATCAATCGCCAGATGCAGCAGGGGAACAGCAGCGGTAGCGGCGCTATCGGACTGCACGAATCGATGCCGGTCGACGACGCCCGTGACCAAGAGGATGAGGACGAGGAAATCGAGATGGAGGATGTGGGTGGAGGATCGGCAGAGGCCGACGAAGCAGGGTTGGATGAGATGGATCTCGAAGCTGCGCTGATGGCTGAGCTCGGAGAGGGGTCGGATAAGGAGAGCGATGTCAGTGAGGAGGAATAGGGGCCGCATGGTCGTCTTTCTTTGGCAAATTCTGCGTCTATCCTGAGATTTGTATGATGGGATCATGGCATTGGCGTTTCTGAATACCACACAGCGAACAAAACATTTGGACAACGGAACACATGTGTTTGGATGTAAAGTCTTTGGCGACTATCTACTGAGGGCAGGAGTTCTGAATCTTTCGAATAGACTACCATCTGAATACGATACAGCGGACGGAAGCGCTGGGCGTCTGGCTTCTTCAACCCTGTCGATGGGCAGTCTTCCTTATACATGTGACGGAAGGTTTTGACATTGTAGGGAGATCTGGCTTGTGTTGCCATATGACGCTGAGCCGATCAGCTTCAACGAGGGACACGAGATGAGAAACCCTGAGAGAACTGTGTCAACGCTTCTGAAGCTCGTTTGTCCACCTGAAGAGGGATGGATGCGAGGGCATCTGCAGACCCATCGTCAACACTCGGTTGACCAGTTATGAAGCTTTTTCAGACGAGACTCTCGGAAATACTTGGATTCTGAAGCTGGGTTCGCAGGGGGGGCGAGCAGGGGGTTAGTTCCAGCCCCAACCAGAAAGAACTTCAAACCGCCAAGACGGCGCGAAACGCAGAGGAGGGCTTCAATGGCATCAGAAACATCGAGCCCGCCCGTGGCCAAGACCAACTCTCTCACGTTGGGGGGTCTGGGGATAATCGATTCGGCTCGCCTACCACCTGGGCAGCTGCTGGGCTGGTATGATTATACTACGTGCTTGTTCGCGGTACACAGTGGATACCGAAGAGGAGGGAGACCGAAAGGCTGCCTGCCTGCAAGCCGACTTGGATCTGGAGACTGCTTGGCGTGTCTCGTGCCACGGCCTTGCCGTCCTCACGACCTTCGCCCATCGTATGATCGGCGGCGAGGTATGTTTCTTTGTGTGTAGGCGTGAATTGCTGCTCCTCACCCGCGTCCGTGTATCGCGTGACAGAGTGACATATGAGCTGCTTCCAATGCGTTTTTCCCGACCTACGAGTGCTTGGCCGGCCGTTCTCTTCTTCTACTCTCTTTTCACTTCCTTCTCTTGTCAGTTCCAGCTCTTGAGGGGCCTATTTCACTTGTTACAATATCACGAGCCTGTGGCCCGATTGTTGTGTCTAGTCGCTTTCTGCTCCTGTATTGCGTCGGTTTTCTGCTGTCCTCTCCTATTCCATTTCTCCAGTCTTTTGGGTTGAGGTTACGGGACTTCCCTTCTGATCATCGCAAGTGTGGACGTGATGTTGACCATCCGCTCACTTCTACTCCTGGGGCTGCTGTGCGTCGCCGAGGCGGCCCCCGGCAGGAAGGGCAACGGGAACGGGAACGCGCAAGCGAATACACAGCAGACGGCGCAGACGGCACAAGAGCAGGCAGACCAGATACCTGGTGGGATATCTGAGGCTACGGATGGCAGCACCATCTTGGATATGACCGCAGAGGTGAAGTAGGTATCTCCAGCTCCCCCGTGTACTTATCCTGCGCGTCCTACCCAAAACGGCTGCTCCTATGGCAACCTCAACCACGCAGAACCCAGTACAACACCAGCACAGCCCAAGCTAACCTACCCCCAGCGGCCAAACCCTCCGCTTCAAAGTCTCCGCGCCCGCCGACCAATTCACCACTGCCTCCGGCGTTTCAGGCGGCAGCCAAGCCGCCAACGCCACCGGCGGCAGCCTGGGGCTAAACGTGCTCCTGCACGGCGACGGCGGCCAGTCCTTCTTCGACTTCCCGAACCAGGCCGTCCAGAACAACCTAGCCGGCGTCGCCGTGCTCGCGCCAGACCCGAACCTCTTCTGGGGCGGCGGGTCCGGGCTCGACCGCACCGACGGCGTCGCGCACGCGCAGCTCGTCAACGATCTCGTTGTCGATGTCTTGCCCACGGTCATGGCGTTCAACGCCTCACACGTCAGCTTCACGGGCGTCAGCGGCGGGTCGCTGCTGCTGAGCGGGTTCTTCGTACCGGCGCACATCGGGAACTTCGCCGACGCCACGGCTGGCCAAGAGAGCCAGGTCCTGCTCAACTGCGGCGGACTCACACCACAAGTCGACGTCGCACCCGCCGCGGCCGCCGCGATTCCCAACGTGCGCATGCACTTCCAGACCACGCAGGATGAGCTCGCGTTGCTACAGCCGGCCATCCCCGCGGCGATCAAGGCGTACGAGCAGCTGGCGCTCGCCGGGGGCCTGGACGCGGCCGCGGTGGGCGCGCTGCAGACGGTCGATAACAGCCCCGTGGGCGGGCACTGCGAGTTCGACGAGCAGGACTTCGTGAGCGGCGTGCAGCTCATGGCCGACTCGTTTGCGTCTGTCATGCAGGGCGGTGACGGCACGCTGAACGGGACGGACGTCAATGTGCTGAACCCCGTCGTTGGGAATGAGGATTTGGTCTTCTCGGGGGCTACGTGAGGGGGATTGAGAAAGAGGGAGTATAGTTATAGAACAAGACGATGTATTATGGATACATATTCGAATGCAGCTCATGCTGAAAGATAAGGGGTAAGGACCTTGAGTCGGCGTGAAACCGGGGAACTCGTGACTGCTGGTTGAACTGGTCAACGGCTCAGGTTTGACGGGGCCGTTCGTTACCCAATATCTATTTCATTGGGCTTCTTTGGAGAGGGATATTATTTGATGGGCTGAGGAGGCCATGAGGGATGAGAACGGGCAACGGGACCTGTGAAGGAAACAGCCGTGCAATCATACCTTATGGGACATCGTCGTTCGTCGGAGCAGAATGGTTCAGTCGCCGTCGTCGCCGTCGTCGTCAAACTGGTCTGAATTCGACGTACATACAAGTTCTATTCTGATAGCCTTGGTACTCGACATAGTCGTTGGGCGATATATAAAGCACACACAGTCTCATGGATTTCACAGTCGATGGGTCAGCACGCTTAGACAGCTTCGGATGTTATTTTGATTCGTTCATCAGTGTTACTTGTACTGTTGTATCCACCTCCGATGTCATATATGCCTTGGCTAGGCTCGCTCGTAACTAAAGGAAATCCTATTTTGAATACGTGAGACCGCCAGAGATAAGCATTTGGGTACCGCCAACGCCATATCTTACTACAAGGCCCAAAACAAGTACCCTGTTTCGCTTGCTTCCTGCTGCCTTGATGTAACCGCCCAAGAAACATAGGAAGTGACTGTGTGCAAAAACGCTGGTGACGTGAGATGTTCGAGATGGCGATAGGGTTATAAAAATATACATGGTGATGTGGGCACCGTAACTAAGACGAGTTCCCATCCTTGGCCCGGTTCGGGCCTGGAGCTTCACTCAAGGTTGAGAGAAGAGACAGCACACCATCATCCGTGTGGCTCGTCCATAGCTTCCAGCTCCTGCAATTGCTGCGTCCCCGCTGCATGTTTCTTGACCATATGCCGCCGCCAGTTGTCCTTCCTGGGGAAGGCTTTACCGCCTTTGAAGTAAGGACATGTGGGCTCCGTACAGTGGTATGCTTTCGACTTGACATGCTTGTCATTGATGTGACGATCGAGATGGGTCTTGGTGCCAAATTTCTTATCACAACCTTGATGCGGACATTCGTGCTTGCGATCATGATAACGTTTATGGTGGTTGAGCTTGTGAATTTGATCGAAGGACCGGCCGCACTCTTCACATGTCAAGTTGGGTGGAGATTGGGGAGATAGTCTCGATGACTCTGGCGAAGCACTCGGCTCCTGTTCCACCTTGACATGTTCCAACACCGTGGGAAACGGAGATGGGGACGCCGTGATCCTGGTATCCGGCGTTCTTCCACTCGAGGGGTCCGTGGAGCTTTGTCCTGGTGTGGTTGAATATTCATACGACTCACTCGAGAGCCGAGGCTCATCGTCGTCTGGAGGAAGGTTGAGATATGTGTCGGCAAAGGCATGCTCATCGGTCGTCGGAAGGTCAACCTGTCCCACTTGTGTTGGTTGCCTGGTGACGATCTGTGGAGGAGAGTGCGCCATGGGGGGCGGCGATGCTGAGTTCTCCATCTGGTAGTCGGTAAAGGCAGCCTGCTCAACGGCGTTGGTAGGTTTCATGACAGCCATCGGCATGACGAATGACTCGTGTGCAAGAGGAGGGGAATGTGATCCTCGGAAAGGAGACTGGTCATGAGCACCGGACTGAGTATCTATATCCATGGGCTCCGGAATGTCAGGGCTCTTGAGCCGTCTGTGGGCTTGGTCCGGGGGGTGGGGCTGAGTCGCGGGAGGCAGCCCGGAGGTGGCCTCTGTCCTCAGAACAGCCGATGGAAGCTCGGCATCTCTCTCAGTTGTCTCGCGAATCTCTGTATCTATACGAAATGGGAAATCCCCATACCGTGAATCGCCTGCCGACTGTTTCTGTCTCTTTGGCTGCTGCCGCTGTTCTGGTCTTGGCCCGGATCCAAGCATACCCATTTGGGCTTCCGATAGACTCGGTTGCCCCGAAGCTTCGCCGATTTCTTCGGGTTCCTCAAAAAATCGGTTAGTGGCGCCCTGGGTTTGCCAGTCTATACCCTTGGACGTTTCCGAGCCTGGCTCTTGCTTGACATTAATCGGGCTCTCGAGTGGTGATGTAGGGAAATACTGCTGTGATGTCGGAGACTGTGCGTTTCCAGGTCCTTGGCTGGAGGATTGGGTTGATCTCTTCCTCTTGATACTATTCCATATTCTCCTGGGTAGGGAACCGCTTCTCTTCCGGTACTCCTCTGCCGCCTGCCGTTGAGCATTGTACAGATCAGTCATCTGCCGCGAGGGCGGTGTGTATGTCTGGATTTGAATTGATTCCATGGAGATATTCGTGTCATAGTAGCTCGAGTTGGCAGCTGGGGGCACTGTAGAAGCATCATCCACAGGCAGAATCGTGCCATGCTCAGTAGCGAGGGGACCAGTGGGTTGCCGTGATGGCGCGGGCATAGAGAAGTCGATATCCTGGGGTAACGAATCCAAACCGGACGCTTGGTGTGTATAGAAGCCTTCATTGTCTTTCATCCAGTCGTCTCCGCGAGGTGATGTAGGTGATTGTTGGTGGTCAGCGGTTTCACCGTAGACCGGGAAAGCCTGGTCGTCTCTGCCATCCTTGACAGAGAACGGGCGTCCGTGGTCCTGCGTGGGGGGCTGCTGCCCAGGCGGAATGGCTTGCCAGGGAAATAGGGTCCCGTGCTGGGAGAAAGAGGCCTTGGGTATGGGTTCAGGGTCTTCTGCCTGGGCTTGCCTGGTCATCCGTCGGTGGCGGAAGTATAGAAAACCCAGGATTATGAGCAGCAGGCTACCTCCGAGGACACTGCCGACAACGGCTCCAGCGATGTCGCCAGATGACATGCCGTCGTCCCGCACCACAATGGCCATGCCCGACCTCGAGGTGGGAGCCATGGTTGGCGTGCTGCGAGCGCGGCTTAAGGTGACCCGTGATTTCGGACCTTATGTTGATAGTAACAGGCGACTGGATGAGATACTAAGGCCAATTGAATGTAGTGACGCTGGTGCGGGTAGACCAGATGATATCTAGAAGGTTTATGGTGGAGAAAGGTGACACCAACAGGCGCGCGTGTGTGCGGGCGCGGGTGAGGGTGAGAGTGAGATTGGCAGAGGCCTTTCTTCGCAGGTCGCCGGCCGTGGCAGAGAGGCCGGTGTCAGCTGAGCCTACCACGGGCGGCCTCGCGAACGCGACGATGAATTGGGACGAGGCCGCAAACTGACGATGGGCGATTGACGCAGTTCCTGACCATGATGAGGAGCAGGAGAGAGCGGTCGAGGTGATGTCGAGGTTCAGGGTCTGCTGGTTGGGTTCAGCCTCATCGGTATCGAAATGTTGGAGGCCGGACTGGATGCGTGGATGCTGACCCCGGCCGCAAAGGTTGCATGATGATGTCGGGCGCTTTTGTGTGCTGAATTGTGCTGGGCCCGTCACGCCTGTCACGCCTGTCACCCTTGTCACCCTTGTCACCCTTGTCACCCTTGTCACCCTCGTCTCTGTGCTGGAGCAGTTTGCATGCGCGCGGCCAAAAGAGGCAGAGAGGCTGGGCAGTGGGAGGACGGGAGCCCTCAATTTGGGTAAGGAGGTAGACACTGATCACCAGGTGGCCAGTGCAAGCTGAGAGCAGGTGTTCCGTTCCCCAGAATTGACCTCAAGCTCCCATCCTCCGCTTCCGCGGTGGGGTTCCGCTACAGGTACCGACGTATTCTATATGTTACCGCTTCATCAATCACCAACAATATTCGCTATGAATCAGTGAAGAAATTGGTGACGTGAAGAGACACTCTGTGATGGTGCGCTAACAGCCCTCAGCGGCGCTCACCAACTGCAGTGAACAGAACTTGCAGCGGCGTAACGGCTGCGCCACCCGCTAACGCCCTTGTAGGAAAGGTTAGTCGACCTGCCCTCTCGCTCGAGTCGCTGGCCCCTCGGAGAAGGCGCAAAGGCGTCTGATCTGTCGAACCACATAATAACAAAACGTCGCTCGCGTCGATGGTGAGCCCGGTTCAGTCAACACCAACACCAGGATACTTATGATATTATGTAAAAACTCTTCGGCCTCAGGCGACCGCGCCAGAGGCTGAGCTTCTTGCGCCTTGTGGTTCGTCGACGGGGAACTCGAGATGGCACGATACGCTATCGCATACGTACGGGGTTGAACCCACAGGTTGATGCTCTGTTCCAGTCCAGCTGTGCAGTCGGTCTGCCTTGTTACTCTGTCTTGTTACTTTGCTGGCCAACCATGTTCAACTTGAAGCATCTCGGATCCACGGCAAGTAGTGAATGATTTACTACTGTGTAAAAAGACGATGGCGAGCAGTCCCTCCGGTCACCAAGTTGCGGTCCTCGTCCTAGTTGGCACTCGTCGAATCTGCCAACTCCAAACATGGGTTTACTCGAGCCATGAACAGATTGACGGCCTCGGACCCATAGCCTCGGGCATATCTGCAGAATGTGCTCGACAATCTCTTCCTCGCAAGGACGAGCTGGACGCGCTGAGATTGCTGTCCGACCTCAGAGGGGACAGAAAGGGAGGTAGGGCTATGGAAGGTTCGGAACATCGTCATCTTGTGCGGCTTCGGCTAGTTTCCGCGTAGGATTGGCGACAACCTCGGATGAATTCGCAGCGCCGTCCACTTGTGAGGTTGCGCAGATTCATGCTAAACACCATGCAACTGTGGCACGGTGCACAAGAGCGATCAACCATGACAACTCGCTGGTCGGGACGCGTGTTCTAGAACGTAACGTGTTATCCTGTGCCAAGGGCCGAGAGATGGATGAATGGTGATGAGCCGATCCGAAGGCCGCAGCATCTCAATCATGATCTGGTACGAGATGGTATTGCTTCTTTCGACCTCGAACCTCCGGGGCGGTCAGGCTCGATACAGCCGCCGTATGCCACGTACCGTGCCCGTCAGCCGTCTATGGCAGGGTTGGATAGGAATGCGTGAAGTGGAGCTGCAGAGGGAGGGTAGTGCATATCGTGAACCAGAGATGGACTGGTTAGGATCCATGAGCATGGGAGCGAATAGCTGTATGCGATGGAGGTTCTTGGTCGTTCGTTGTCACGGAGAAGCACGTCCAAGTCGTGAGACAGGCTAGCTGCCGGCCGGGGCGCGGGTCCTTGGGGAATGGCAAGGGGGAACGGCAAGCTGTATGTGGCTCGATGACTAGGTTTGTCACGGGACTACCTAGATCGCGAATGCGCAGGTGCAGGAATCATGTGGATGCTGCAGTATGCGGCCCCAGAGCCGGCAATGCTGATCTGGAGAATGTGACAGATCTGGATCTGGGGCTTCCATGCAAGGAACGTGAACTTCCTGGGTGGGCAGCCGGTGGGCCAAGGACGGCCCGTCACACTGGTTTCAGGTCAGATATCGGGAAGAGCGAGTGGCTTGTCGTGCCTTGTCATGGACAGCCAGAATTGGCCATCCGGCCGTTGGAATGAGATGAGCCAAAATATGTCCCAACACGCGCCTTGTTATCGCCAGTGACACTCTGAAGATCCAACTTAGATCTTCAGATCCGGTTGATGACTCGGGGCTTCAGCATCGCGACTGGCCATGCTGTATGTTGTCCGGTCCGGTTACACGCAGGACCACGCGTCGAGCTGAAAATGGGAACAGATTACTCGGCGATTAGTTTGCCATGTGGCAGCCGGGAGATGATCGGTCTCGACGCGGTCACCCGAATTGAAACCCTCACCGCTGTCGTGTCACACTTTCTCGCCGTTTTGAATAAGAATTAATCAAATAGGAAATACGGAGGCTTGACGACGACCTCTGTTGTTGAATGCCTTCGTGTGCCTGCATGTCTCCCTTGCTGCCATGCTGGCTGTTTATAGTAGGAAGTGACTTAGTGCGACGGGGCGATCGTGCATGGCATTGGCATGCATGTTGAGAAATGCACGATGGGCAGGCGATGCCAATCTCGGAAACCGTTGATGTCGATCGAGGTTGTCCGGCATGGAGAGAGAGCACAAATCCGCCACCATCGAGAACACGGTAAGGGCAGCAACCAGAGAGCTGGCTCATGAGAGGCCCGATATCAATTGGAAAGGTCTCGGCAGTAGTATAGAAGATCCGCAAACCACCGTTCACCGTTACAGGGCCCACATCCCGTAGTTGTTAGTTGCATGTGCCATCACATGTATCTCTTCATGTTAGTATACCACCCTGCCTCGCAATGCGCCATACTGTAGCTACAGGGCGGTCAGCCTCGAGACGTTGATAGGATGCATCGAGCGCGACCAAGAGCAGTGCAGTGGCGATGTGGGCAGCTTTTGAAAGCTTGGAGAAGCATATCACATCCAATATCTCGAACCCATCCAGGCAGTAATAGTAATATTGCAGCGTCATAGACTTATAGCATGCAACCTTGGCATCTGGCCACGATCTGCACCCATCGATGAGGGAATGCACGAGCTGACCCCTGTTGATGCTAGTAGATGCTAGTAGATCTGCTACTTATGCTCTGGGGAAGGACCCCTACTCCCCTACTGACGCCCCGTCCGCAGCTGCATACACGATTGACCAGGATTCTATGGACCTGTACGAGATGATACTCGAATCCAGACATCACCAGCGCACGATTTGAGGCTCAAGACAGCTGGACCCTTCGCGACGGCCGAATGACGGGGTAATGCGCTAAGCAGTGATTCCATCCAGAAGATGTAATATCATTAGCCTATCCTTTTCATTGGGAAGGCACGTCCGGCGTGTACTCCGCGGACCCATATGACCCGGAACTTGAAATCTTATTTTATGGTCCCCGATCTTCAGGCCCCGGGTCCATCTCAACAATCGACCCTCTCCCTGACCAAGCCTCGCCATGGCCGACGCCCTGAGCAAGCTGAAGGCAACAAGATCCGATCTCCAACATATCGCAGGCATGGCCAGATCTGCGAAACAAGACACCGCGGCCATGTGTGCCATCAGACGCTATGGACCGTCATCCTTCAATGCTTTCCGCTCCCACAGGGCCTCAGCCTCGCATCTCCGTCGACCTTCACATCGGAGGTCAGCTCAACACCGCGTTCTACAGAACATCTCGCATTCATTTCATGTTCGTCTAGGTCTCGTTGGTGTGTTTTCGCTGTACTTGTGGCTAGCAAACCGACGTTGTTGTACGTTTGGTCTACCTCGTCGCGACTTGTCGCTGCCGCACTTTCTCGATGTTCAGCCAGTCTCTCCCATCGCCAGGCACTGCGTCTGAACAACGGACATAGATCGACTGTGTATACCTCCAACACCGTCGTATGCTGCAATCCTGATAAGTTGTCGGGTTGGCGTGTCTCGGGGTCAATCTCAGTCGACGACGAAACCCGCCGCTTCTTATATAAGACTCACAAGCCGCCCCATCAAAATCTAGATCGACAACTAGTCAGACTCAACAGCGCCTTCGGAATCTGGAGCCGCTTCGCTGAACCGAATCTGCCTTATTCATTCCCAAAAAAGCAACTCAGCCTTGAACCGACTAGACGGATCTAGACGTTCTCGCCTCATAGACTTCGTACTGCCCCTACTACATTGCGTCTTGACATAAGAGTGGCAATCCAGCAAGTCCTGATTACCCGTCGAAATCCTTGGTTTGAAGTCTAGGTTTCAAGGTACAGACTTTCTTCCAGCTATTTGGCTACCTAGCTCGGATTCCCCTGACAAGACACCAGTTCATCGCGTCAGGTAGAAAAAGGTACCCGAGCAATATCGAAGACGTCAGCTATCTGCCCATCCACTATAACACTCCAAAATCTGCGCCAACCCACCATTAGGCCATTTCTCGCATTACAACAATCCTTTCTGGCTCCTTATTCATACTTTCTCGGCTTGAGTGTCTAACTACGTCACTGTTCCGGAAGGATACCAGACCGTTACTTCGCGGCGCAACTTTAACCCTCCCAGCTTGGCGTCGCCAACACTTTCCCAACCCGGCCATCATGTCGGAAAGCAGTGTTCTCATCTACATGGTCCGGCGGGACTTGCGCGTCTCTGACAATCCTATCCTTCATCACCTCGCCTCATCATCTGATCATGGATTCACGCATCTCTTGCCTGTCTTCGTCCTCCCTCCTCATCAGATCGAGGTGTCCGGGCTGCTCAAAGAGGGAACGACATCACCCTACCCTGAAGCCAGAAGTGAAGTTGGGCGGTTCTGGAGATGTGGCCCGCATCGAGTCAAATTCATCGCACAGTCGATATGGAATATGAAGGACAACCTCACGAAACTCGGCAATGATCTGACCATTCGTGTTGGCAGACATGACGAGGTCTTGAAGGATATCGTGGACGGACTCGGACAGAACGGCCATAACGTCAAGGCTGTGTGGATGATTGGAGAGGAGGGTTATGAGGAAGAGCGAGACCAGAAGACTATGGCACGGACGTGTTCGAAACTCGACATTGATCTTCGGATATGGGTGGATGAGAAGTATTTTATTGACGAGTGAGTCACACCTTTGCACGGTAAAGGGGGGCGCTAACATGTGTGCAAGCCGAGATCTCAAACTCGAAACCTCTCAAGACCTTCCAGATGTATTCACCACATATCGGAAGATGATGGAACCTCTCCGAGAACGGCCAAGGGCAACAGTTCCAACTCCGTCCGAAGGTGCTCTGCCCAAGGCACTCGAAGCCTCCGAGATCCCGAGTCAGGCAGAGCCATTCGAGATCCCATCTTCTCTGGATTCATTCGAGGGGGCTCTGCTACGCCCTGTAGCAGATGCGTTGCCAAAGGCTGTCATGGTCGATGATGTTAAATCTGCTCACCCATTCCGCGGCGGCGAGGACAATGTTCAGGATCGATTGGACTATCTGATCAATTCAGGCAGCGCGTTGGGTTATAAGAGCTCGCGAAACGGACTTCTGGGCACCGATTTCAGTACCAAGCTTTCTGCATACCTCGCACAAGGATGTATCACAGCCCGTCAGGTGCATGAAGCCCTCGTGGCTTACGAAGGCGGCAAGGCGGAGAAGTTTGCCGAGGCCAAGGCATACGGCGAAGGGGAGAATGAAGGGACCAAGGCCATCCGATTTGAATTACTCTGGCGCGATTACATGAGGCTCTGCACGAGGAAGTTCAAGAACAAGCTGTACTACCGGTCTGGTTTTCGAGACGACCAATCGAATAAGTGGCAAACGGCCAATGTGAAAGAGCAGACTGACTACCAAAAGAAGTCAGCAGACGAAATCGCCAAGATAATCCAAAGAGTCGTTGAGGGCTCCACGGGCCAGAGTCTCATTGATGCGTCACAGCGGGAGCTCATTTTCACTGGGTATACCTCGAACCGAGCCCGACAAAATGTGGCCAGTTTTCTGGCGAAGCATCTGGACATCGACTGGCGCTATGGAGCTGAATGGTACGAGATGCTGCTCGTCGACTACGACGTCTCCTCCAACTGGTCCAACTGGCAGTACGTGGCTGGTGTGGGCAACGATCCCCGTGGCGAAGCCCGTATCTTCAATCCAGTGAAGCAGGCCTTCGACTACGATAAGGAGGGAGAGTACGTTCGTTGTTGGGTACCGGAATTGCGGAAACTCGAGAATTTGGAGAATTTGTTCCAGCCGTGGACGACACCCAAGGAAGATTGGGATCGCCTTGGGTTGACAGGCATCCCTATGGCCGAGGACCCCGTCAAGAAGATCGAATTCTCGGTTGAGGGCAAACCCAAGAGTTCTCGACGACCGTTTGTGCGGCGGCGTGGACAGGGACGAGGAGGTCCAAATGGCCAGCCACCGCAGACTCCAACAGCCCCGCAGCAGCCAAACGGAGGTCAGCAAATGCCATACAGACAAACCCCGGATTATCAACCAAATGACGGGTTACGAAACCCTCGGGGCGGTTTCCGGGGCGGTAGAGGAGACAGGGGAGGCTTGCGAGGTCGTGGGTATGGCGGGCCTGGCGGGTATAGCGGACCTGGTGGACCTAGAGGAGGAGGATTTCGAGGGGGTCGAGGGCAAGGGCAATGGCAAGTGCAACAAGGCTGGCAACCAGGCTATTATCCTCAGCAGCCCCGAGGACCAATGCCGATGTGGTCACAACCCGGACTCGGACCAGCACAATAGGATGTGCAGGATCGGCCTGGTAGTTTGGCCCCTCACGAGTTCCTTCCTCTGATTGCACATTTGCCACAACCACGCCCACAGCTACCACCGGGGTGGGCTTGGACCTACCCGACGGTATGGGAAGCGGAATCCGGTATCCTCAGCCCTATTGCTAGCCCGACCGGACCAGTCCCGTTCGCTATGCCGTACCACACTCCCGGGTACATGCCAAACCCCGGCGTCCACACCAGCACCGATCCTGAGTATCCACATCATCAAGTCACGTCTTGCTTCTCACCATCTCACCCATCATCCCCTTTGCACTTCATGTACGCCTCATGAGTAATGACATCGCAGTCGAATTCAGGTTGGGTCTGGCATTTGAACCACGTTGCTTGTTTCCCTGCTGCATGTACTACCAGGAACTGATGGCAAGGAGCGGCGTAGTGTTTCGGATCATTTTGTTTGTTAGACGTACTTACTAGAGTCATTGCCTGCATATTACAATATCATTTGAATTCGATCTTTCGCTCGTCTGACTGTGTGTCATCCAGATTGATACAATCAAAAACCCTTTCCATCATCACTTTGACCAGCAAGCGTGGCGTTGAAAAGTCCGTACAAACACATATTCAGAAGCTTGACCCACTGCTTCATTTGCCACAAGATAACTTGGGACGCATTCAGACACACGGAACAACCTTGAACGTATGGTCTATAACGGTGTATCATCCAAATTCGTCTTTTTAGTCTGACAATATATCATCGATATCACACCTTTATCTGGTGTTTCATGCCCCTTGAACACTGATCGCCTCTTTTATGCATATGCACGCCATGTACAACCGCGCAGTATAGTCACCACCAGCTTGTATCTGTATCTGTCAACTGTGCCATTGCTCTCTAAAAGTCCTTCACAAGCGGCTTCAGCTCGAAGCCCTTGGGCACCACGAACAGCGCCTTGGCCTCGACGCACACGCGGCCCCCCTTCGCGTCCTCCAGGGTGCCCTGCACCCACATCTTGCGCTCGCTCTTGGCCTCGTCCCAGTCGCTCGGCGCGGGCCGCGTGCGGACCACGTAGAACGCATTCGTCATGGTCGGCGCGCGGTACTGCAGTTCTAGATTTGCCGTGACGCCCGTGCGGCTCGGGAACCGCAGGATCGCGCACCGCCCCAGGCTCTCGTCTAGTACGGTCGCCAGCGCGCCGCCGTGCACGACGCCCGGCCAGCCGGCCGTTCCGGCCCCGAAGTAGAGCACGCTGATCACCTCGCCGGTGTGCGCGTTGTGGAACACGCGCTGGAAGGCTAGGCCGCTGGACCCGGACAGGGGGCCCGAGGTGATGCGCGAGCGGACGACTGTTGGCGTGCGCTTGTGTGTGGGTATATTTGGTGATGCTGCGTCGTCATCGTCGTCGGGGGAAGTAGAAGCGCCGCCGTACGCGTCCCAGGACGTCCAGGCCGGGTCGGCGGAGAGCTGGCGCACGAGGGGGAGGGCGGCGCCTTGCGCCTGGATCGAGGAGAGCAGGTAGGCATCTTCGGTGCTGCCACGGGCGGGCGGCGCGGGTGGCGCGATGGTGAGTCGGAAGAACGTGCCGAGGGTGGTGCCTAGCACGAGGAAGAGCACGCTGTAGTAAATGCCGCGCCGGCGGCGCCTGCGGGGCGGGGCGGGTTTGTCTGAGGAGGACTCGGGGGTTGATGTGACGGGTTGCGGTTGTGGTTCGAGGTGTGAGGGAGTTGGGGCGGTCGTTGAAGCGGCATCTACGGGTAGTGTTGCTTCGGGTCGAGAACTGGAGGTCTTCGGGAGGGTCGAGGAGGGGTCGGTGAGGTATTGTCGTCGCGTTGTCGTGAAGTGTCTAGGTCGCGAGGCTTGGGACGCAGCTGTGCGATGTTTTATCGTGAGGAAGATGGGACCATCGTGTAGTATCAGCGGTCCAATTGGACGCGCCAATGCCCGCGGGCACAGCTGCTGGAGCCGAGGACGAAGCATCGCGGCGCTGGAGACCTGCTGGAGACCACGAGCCATGGGAGAGAGACCGCGACTGATTGGAGAGCCTCGTTCAGCTGTCAACCCAGTTGCGTTTGAATGTGGAACCGGCGTTGGAAGTTTCCGTCAGCCTCGAATCCAACACAGTGGGCCTGGCCAACGGCGGGCAGCTGGACGCGGACATCGGAAGGTTGCAGTCACCGAGCTGTCACCTGTCGCTTTCCAACGTCAGAGACACCACCTGCAGCGAGACCAGCCCCCGAACGGTCGCGAGGCCCACTGTAGATTGCCCCTAGGATCTGGCATGGCATGGGTGCTTTAGCGCTTCTTGGCCACATGAGAACCCTGTCGATTCGCCTAGCAAACCTGGCCCTTATTACTGGCTCGGAGTCTGGGTCCAGTGCTTGCGGCTCCTCCCATGCAGCTCTCCCGCCCCTCTACTTGTAGGACTGGAAGTCTATGATCTCATGAAGCAAGAAGTCATCTATCCATCACGACTTTTCCCACCGCATTCCAGCATTCCATCACAATTGCTTGTCGTATTGAGTCAGCCCGTTGCCCATTGATATGCAACGGGATCCACTACAACAGTACACTAAGTCCGAATATTCCGAGTCCCGAAGTCATGGTTCATGGAACCTACAATGGCGGCCCCTCTAGCACTCACCCCGTTCACCCCGTTCACCGCGAGTCGTTGTCGCAATAGACACAACAGTGCAACAATGCTTCCTCTCGCTTTCTCATCTGATTTCTCGACTTGAACCTTACAACTCCCATGCGTGCTTCTTTTCAACCTCGCTTTTGATTTCCAATGCGAGTCGCGCACGAGTCCTTTCACCAACCCTAAACATAACCTAGCCAAGCGCCCTGTCGTCACTCATCCGCCATGGCCTACGACTACGCCCTCGTGTAAGCTCTCACCTCTCACTGCCCGTCGGGTGCCCATCTGGTGTCTGAGCTGACTCCCTGACAGTCACCTCAAGTACACCATACCGTTCGCCGTTCTTCTCACCATCATCCTGAGACCGCTGCTTACGAGACTCGACCTGTATAAGACGCTCGCGCTAATCACCGTCGCTTTCACTGCTACGCTGCCGTGGGATTCATACCTGATACACCATGGTGTCTGGACCTACCCCCAAGATGCCATCGCCGGCCCACGGCTTCTCGGTGTTCCCGCTGAGGAGCTCTTCTTCTTCGTCATTCAGACCTACATCACCTGCATGATCTACATCTTAATGAACAAGCCGGTTCTTCACGCGCAGTTTCTCACTAATAAGGACGATTCTTCGCCGAAGTGCCGCTGGATCAGAACATTGGGACAGGTTGTGTTGGCCACGTCGATCGCTGTCGGTGCCGCGCTCGTGGAAAAAGGGGGCGAGGGCACTTATCTAGGTCTCATTCTTGTGTGGGCCTGCTCATTCGCCCTCCTCACGTGGACCTTCTCTGGCTACTTCCTCATCCGCCTTCCTCTAACCTGTGTGGCTACACCTATCATTCTCCCAACCATCTACCTTTGGATAGTGGACGAGCTCGCTTTGGGACGTGGCACGTGGTCGATCGAGTCCGGAACCAAGCTGGGATGGTGTCTGTGGGGTAGTCTTGAGCTGGAAGAGGCCGTCTTCTTCCTCGCAACCAATGCGCTGATAGTGTTCGGCATGGTAGCGTTCGATAGAGGCATGGCAGTTCTGGACACATTCCCAGAACTATTTCCAGAAGCCCAAACCAACCTCACGCCGCGTCTACTCATCAAGGCTATTCTGTTAGACCCCTCCAAATATCCCCTTGACAGGGTGAAGGGTATCAGAGAAGCTGTAGATACCCTACGACGCAAGAGCAGAAGCTTCTATCTCGCCAGCTCCGTCTTCCCCGGATGTCTCCGCATTGACTTGGTCCTACTGTAAGTAATTCCACAATCGACTATGACGGACCAGGCTAACACTTCAGAGGTACTCCTTCTGCAGGGTGGCAGACGACCTGGTGGACGACGCTCGCGACCAAGGTGAAGCTTTGGACTGGATCAACAAACTCTCTGGCTATCTGGATCTTGTATATACCCCAGAAGGAGTGCGTCCGTCCTCGACTAAAGTCGTAACTGAGTATATCGAGAACAACTTTCCGAAGCATACCAGATCTGCTTTTGAGCTTCTGCCTACCTCTCTGCTCCCCAAGGAGCCCCTCTACGAGCTACTGGAAGGCTTTAAGATGGACCTCTCATTCTCGCAAACCGGCGCGACGCAGCAAAGCCCCAAGTTCCCAATCAAAGATGAGGCAGATCTCCAGCTGTATGCGCAACGCGTCGCTAGTACCGTCGGAGAGTTGTGCTTATGGCTGGCATTTCACCACAGCACCACAAGAATGCCAAAGGAGAAGGAGGCTATCCTAGTCGTGGCCGCGAGAACGATGGGTCACGCGCTGCAGTACGTCAATATCGCGCGCGACATTTTGGTGGATGCGGAAATGGGTCGTGTCTATCTGCCTACCAACTGGCTGAAGGAAGAGGGTCTGACACCCGAGGACATCGTTCGAGATCCGAAGCAGCCCAAAGTCGAGACGCTGAGGGAAAGGCTGCTGTCATCCGCCTTCAAGGAGTACGAGCGCTCACGACCGGTTATGGACATGCTGCCCAGCGAACTTCGTGGTCCGCTGATCGTTGCGGTCGAGAGCTATATGGAAATTGGCCGGGTGCTGCGGGAGAAGAAGGGCGTCCCGTCCAAGACGAAGAAGGGCCGAGCTACCGTGCCTCGCTCAAGGCGCATCTGGGTTGCTTGGAAGAACCTCTCATCCCAGTGACTACCGCGGATGGGCCTAGCTAGGCGGTTTTGCTGTTGGGATGCTTCTCCTCGAAGCTTGGGGGGCTCTGGGATCTTCGTTTACGAGCGTTGCATGGATAGACATGTCCTCTAATAATTCCTCTCATTGGTTCTTCTGGATAGATAGGCTGCAGCGCACTGATTCCATAATTTGTCAAGATACCCAGGTGCATTAATTTGATGAGCTTGATGCTGTCCTACAGAGCCTGCAGAGAAGGCGCCGAGATGATTGTCTCAGGAGGTGACACACGGGCTGTTGTCCGGCGGCTTTGAGCTTCATGTTACCCAGCGCAATGTGAACAACGTGAGCGCCAGGAATCGCTGAAGCGCATCAAAGATAAGAATAGCTTCTAAAGAAGTGATTCTAGGTAAGAACTATTGAGCACTTCTCAGCCTGCCAGCCTCCCCTGAAAGGCACGCGAAGACATACTATTGGTGGGTACCACATTGGCTGCGCATTAGGTAGCCAACTCGGCCCGGCAAAGTTCTTGGCCAGGGGCTACAGGTCTGATGGAATGATGAATCATCGATGTCGGACTCGGATTTCACTTTTAGCCCGCTGCCTCTGCACTACATGTCAACATGATGAATCAACAGCCACCACCTGCTCCACGCCGTTGGCAGAACGTTGCCTTAGACTGGGGAATGGACGAGAAGATGGATGGCGTGGTTCCTTTAACTCCGCGCTTCGGTGCACATTATCTGCGCGAGTTTGCCTGCTGTTGTTTGTTCACCCATTGTGCTTCACTGAGATATCCATAGCTGAACAGACGGTGTTTGCATCTATCTATTCAAAGAACCATTGGCGCTCCCTTTCATTGCAGAGTACCTACTGTGTAAGTTCATTCAGGCTTCCTTCATTGTAAGCTTCTGCCTGGCTTATTATGACAACTAACATATCATGCCAGTAGAATACATAAGATCCTGTAAAGCATCTAATTATATTACTTGAGAAGAGAAACCTTTACTTCACTCTTCTGTCATCAAGCCGCATTCCACACGTTCTTGAGAGACCCCTTGGCCCTGATTTACATCCAGAGCCTCATACGAATTGCTCCCCACTTGCTGAAACCAAGCGGCGATGTCCAAACTAGGACAGAAGAAGGCGATCGTCGTCGGTACGTATATCACACAACTTACAACTTACCCTTTTCAAGCCTCAGTCAAGAATGAGTTGCTAACAGAACCTCCAGGTGCCGGCGCCGGCGGTATCGCCACGGCAGCGCGCCTCGCCAAAGCCGGCTTCAGCGTGACGGTCCTCGAGAAGAACGCCTTCACGGGCGGGCGGTGCAGCATCCTCACGCACGAGGGCCACCGGTTCGACCAGGGCCCGTCACTACTACTGCTGCCCAAGCTGTTCCAGGAGACGTTCCACGACCTGGACACGTCGCTCGAGGACGAGGGCGTGGAGCTGCTGCGGTGCCCGACCAACTACAACGTGTGGTTCGCCGACGGCGAGAACTTCGAGCTGTCGACGGACCTGGCGCGCATGAAGGCCCAGATCGAGCGCTGGGAGGGCAAGGACGGCTTCGCGCGCTACCTGGCCTGGCTGCGCGAGGCGCACGTCCACTACGAGCTCAGCGTGCGCGACGTCCTGCACCAGAACTTCACGCGCCTGCTCGACCTCGCCGTGCCGCGCTTCGTGCTGACGGGGCTGCGCATCCACCCCCTGCACAGCATCTGGAACCGCGCCAGCAAGTACTTCTGGAGCGAGCGGCTGCGGCGCGTGTTCACCTTTGCGACCATGTACATGGGCATGAGCCCCTTCGACGCCCCCGCCACGTACTCGCTGCTGCAGTACACCGAGCTGGCCGAGGGCATCTGGTACCCCAAGGGCGGCTTCCAGACCGTGCTGGCGGCGCTGCAGCGCGTCGGCGAGAGGCTGGGCGTGACGTACCGGCTAGAAGCGCCCGTGGCGCAGATCCTGACGCGCGACGACGGCAAGACGGCGCGCGGCGTGCGGTTGGAGTCCGGCGAGGAGCTCGACGCCGACGTGGTGGTCGTCAACGCGGACCTCGTGTACGCCTACAGCAACCTGTTCCCGCAAACACCAACCGACGACACATCAAAATACAGCAAGGCGCTGCGCCGGAAGGACGGCTCGTGTAGTTCTATCTCGTTCTACTGGAGCATGGACCGCACGATCCCCGAGCTGCAGACGCACAACATCTTCCTGGCGGACGAGTACCGCGAGTCGTTCGACTCGATTTTCGAGCGGCAGACGCTGCCGCGCGAACCGAGCTTCTACATCAACGTGCCGAGCCGCATCGACGGCAGCGCGGCGCCGGAAGGGAGGGACTCGATGATCGCGCTCGTGCCGACGGGTCATTTACTGAAGTCGAAGGGCTTCGCGCAGAGCGACGACGCCGGCGGGCTGTCGCGCGACGAGGAGGACTGGCCGGCGCTCGTGCAGCGCGCGCGGGAGTCGGTGCTGTCCATTATCGCGGCGCGCACGGGGTGCGTGCCGCTGCGCGAGCACATCGCCCACGAGATCGTCAATGACCCCATGGCCTGGGAGGACAAGTTCAACCTCGACAAGGGCAGCATCCTGGGACTGAGCCACAGCTTCTTCAACGTGCTGGCGTTCCGGCCGAGCACGCGGGCCAGGGGGTTCGAGAACGCGTACTTTGTTGGTGCTAGCACGCATCCTGGGACCGGCGTGCCGATCGTGCTGGCGGGCGCGAAGATCACGGTTGAGCAACTGTTGGGCGATAGGGGGATCGAGCCGCCGTGGAGGGGGAATAAGGAGCGCATTCATGATCAGGGCGTGAGGCAGGATGCGAGGACGGCGGTGCTGGATCGGATTCATAAGCCGTGGTCTGCGTCCTTTGTGCTCATGCTGTTGATGGCAGTTTGGTTTGCGTTGGTCCTGGCATATTGGCGGCCGTTGATCTAGATGGATGATCTAGATGGTTGCCCGGGGGGTGTAGCTTGGATATTGTCAATTGGAGTCATCGGCGCATGAGTTAGCAGACTTGGACAGCGGTCCGCTTCATCTTGATCAGCGGATAATTAGAGCATAGCCATAACATAATCACAACTTTACCAATGATTCAACCTGTTAATCCAGAGGACCGTTGGTCCCCTGGTCAGACTTACAGTCTGGACCATGCTAGACGACAGACACCTTACCAGGCCCAGCGTCACTTGCAAGGGAACGATAGCGTCGACAAGAAACGGTTTATATACCCCGGCCGTGCGTGAATGGCCGGGATAACTTCCCCAGACGCATATCGCAAGTAAGCCTCCTTGTACCAGCCAGCGAAGGCCAGCAGGTGCCAGTAGCTGCAAAGCTGTAGACACTTCTGCTGGCATAAAATACAGGTCACACTCATGACTCTGGCGTTTCATGTGATATCTACATAACTATCTGTACCTAGGTTGCAGATACTTATGTAGAGGTGTGCCTTTTGATGCGCTGCTCAGGCCCAACTTTTGATAGGCTCGCTGCGGCCGAGAGCCGAGGCCAAGCAGACCATCCAGCGAATACTTCCTAAGGGGGGTATACACTGTCCGACTTTGCGCCACCTGAGGCGCCCTCCAACTCGATCTTGGGCCTTCCAAGACCTGCTGTTGGGTAACTATGGTGACTGCAGAATTACAGGTGTGCTTGGTTGACAAACCGTCGATATGCATGCGAACAGCCGCTGCCTCACGTGCTCCGCCACTCACGAGTCGCATCGCTCTGGCCTGATCATGCACATGCATGCTTCAGATGAATGGTCTGCCGCATTCCTCCTCTCCTCTGTCCCTCGTCCCCCTCCTCGTCCTGTTGCTCCTCCAAAAGGCTTCTACTGGGCTGTGCGATCTCAGCACCACACGACTTCGAGTCGAGTACGATGGCAGAGGCGATCGGTGTGTTTGCCAGTGGCGTGGCAGTCGTCCGACTGACTGCCGGCATTGCCACAGCTGCATTGAAGCTCAAACGGCTCTGGGACGAGGTCAAAGACGTACCTGAGAACATCCAAAGCTTATTGGAGCAGATCGACATCCTACGACTAGCCGCAGAAGACACCCAGCATGGCCTGGACCAATTTGCTCCTGTCTGCTCAGCAGAGACGATTGTACGATACTGCCAAAAAGCTGAGCATTCGATCTCGGAGCTTGTCGACACCATGAGCTCTCATATCAATTCCAGCAAGTCATTCAAAAGAGGGTTCGGCAAGATCAGGTTCTGGATGAGAAAAGACCTACTTCAAGCTCACGAACGCAATCTGCGGAACGCTTTCGAGCTGCTGATGCTGGTAAATCAACAGCACATGAAGTAAGTGACTCTCAGAGCTCCATACAGTCAGTTACAGGGACGGCTATGCTAATCCGTCCAGGCACATGATCAAACTTCAACTAGCTACAATGCAATGCCTCCCAAAGGGTAGCTATAACATCGCGCTAGAACCTGCCATACCTGAGAACATTCTGCCAGCATTGATGCAGCCTCGGGAAGAAGGTAACGAGAGAGTAAAGTATGCGGGACACATGTCAGAATCGAAAACTGAACACGACAATCATGTACCGTCGATTCTACCGAAAAAGACGACCGGTGAATGCATGTTGACCCTTCCGATGCAGGTTACGACAGAACTAACACGTTTGTTGAGCTTATCGTATACAGATTCTGTTCTCACGATGGCTGGCCAGTTCATCCTGGGACTTGCTGGTCTGCGAGTCTTTTGGCAGCTGGCAGATGAAACTACAACCGTACATCAAGAGACCCACAAACTCCCTCGTCTTCAAATACGGCTTGAAAGGAAATGTGAAGAGACTTCAGGATCTGTTCGAGCGTGGCCTAGCATCGCCTTTTGATCACGATGGGATAGGCCGGAATCTACTCCACGTGAGCATCTTCTTACATGCACTGGCAAGGTGTGGCGGCTGACATCCAACCCTCAAGTACTCCCTCTGGACTGGTCACGTCGATCTGAGCAAGACCTTGGTGGCCCTTGGAGTTGACATCTATGAGGGAGATGATTTCCATAAAGTCGCTCTTTACAGAACCACCGAAAATTTTACGTTGATACCGAGCTTAGACTTTGCCGATTTCCTTTTCTCATATGGGTTTTCCAGCTTTCATCACGTCATATCGCTGTTATTTTGGCTGGCTCACGCGCCGAAGCTACACTGGAGAGACAGACAACGATTGCTGTTGTTATGGAATCCCTTGCATTATGATCGGCCATTACCACAACGCCTCCCACCTTGGATCTATCGCGTCAACTTTTTAATCGACTCAGCGGATACCGTGCGGACTTTCCTTTGGAGGGATGGAAAGGCTGACCCTCACGACATTGTCGAGTCCCTCAAAGATAGCATTTCAGTTGTACACCTCATAACGTTTCTATGTGGTACACGCTTCGTCAGACACATACATGGGTTACAGGGGAGTCATCTCACAGGATGGTTGGACTTGATTAAGGAGATTACAGACATTTCTGGGCCGCATGCACTCAACTACGACCCGAGTAGTGGCACTCGCTACGGAAACGGTTACGCAAAAGATTTGGCTATTGGCTTTATGGTTCCGTTGTCCCCTTTCTTTGCTTCCTTTGCGGAGTCTGGTATGTGAACGACAGTCGGGAGCCTCGTGGGTGGCCGAAGGAGCGCGCAGTCAAATCATTGGGCAAAGCATTGCCGGTCTGGTTGAATATGATGAAGACCATATATGGTCCTGAATACTCACTTGCCGAATACGGGAGAGTCGAGCATTCCAACCTTCGATGCCATTTGCGTTTGTCTCTTTGGCAGAGTCTTTCTTGGCGGAGTGAACCCCGTCTTGGCAGGCACTTGGGACCAACACTATCTGAGTTCAGTTTCGGACCTAATGTGAGCGATTGGAGGATTGATTGGGACCTCGGGAATGAGCGTTACGCTGGCCACTTCTGGAAACTGGTTGAAGACCCGCCCATCCGGATTCCTGGCTTATGGGTGGAAGACCCGAATGAGGATAACTCCAGCGATGATGAATATGGCGGGAAGCCAAGAAGTGAACCAGAGTCTGAAGAATTCGAGACCATGATCGAGGACGAAAATTATTGGGAGGGATAGCATGCCATCGTATATATGTACGGTGAACTTGCGGGACGGGCTTCATGATGGTTGACGACAGGACTGATATCGGACGGGATTCCTCAGCCCCCCGTTCGAATGTAGCTATCTGATAGAACCGGTCGTATTACCTTTTCACCGACCAACTTTGACTTCACTTATCAATGCTAACGCACCTTTATGCACGTATATTGAATCACTTCCATGTATAAACGCCGTCAAGTTGGGATCCCGATTGATAGGCCTACCGTACTCCCCGCAAACGCAGCCCCTTTTACCATCGAAACCACGTTCAACAATACCTTCCGCCTAGCATTTAGCCAGGGCGACCCTTTGAGCCAGTTAAGCACACATCTCAGAAAGCTTTGGTTGCCCTGTTTTTCAACAATTCGTACGATCTATAGCATGGGATTTTACGACCTACTGTAGATTATGTACGCTGCTAACGATAGTACATTCCGCACTCGGGTTAGGTACCGTCGGATTAGGAGCCGTACCGTCGGCATCAAGAGTCTGATTTTGGTTTGTTTTTCGGGCGAGCGCCAGAAGGAGCCGAAGACTACTTATTGGAACTTATTAGCATCCTGTTCGGTTGGTGGATCGGTGTGGATGACTCTGCAGTATACACCGCTTGTTTGGAACTTTGTTCGAGTGATGCTATTACTCGAGAGATCCACCATCAACCCTGCCCAGGACTAGAGCTGACAAGTATAAACAGTGCCCCCTCACAGTCTCCTACCCCGTATTCGAATATCCAGACATCGACGTGGAACTCGACACGGGACTTCTGCTCTCCAATTGGATCTAGACATTAGGAAGTCCGAGATATCCAAGGCAGAGAGATGGCTTCCGTAAAGCCCGCTATCATCATCGTCACGGGTGCGTGGGTGCCACCCTCGATATACGGATCTCTCGGCGACCCTCTACGGGTGGCTGGGTACGAAGTGTACACCACAGCCCACAAGACCAACACCTCGGAGCCCTTCCAGCCATTGCCAACCCCATACGACGATGCAGAGCCACTCAGAGAGTTGACGACTCGGCTAGCCGACGAAGGTAAGGATATCATGTTCGTGATGCATTCGTACGGCGGTCTCCCCGGCTCCATCGCTTCCCAGGGCTTGGGGAAGAAGCAGCGACAAGAGCAGGGGAAGCCAGGCGGGGTTGTGCGACTTTTCTATATAACGGCCTGGATCGCCGAACAAGGGAAGATGGGGATGGATTCCGTGCCGGTTGGGTCGTATCCGAGGGTTGACAAGTTTCCAGTCGAGCATATCGTTCAGGTGAGTGGATTTGGCTTGCCCCGATCAATCGTCTACCGGCACTCACCGCATCACAGGATGGCTGGATCAAACTAAACCTCGAAGGGAACTTTGACTGGCTCTGGGAGGACGTCTCGACCGAACAAGCCCGGGAGTATGCATCTCAGATGATGTGGTGCTCCGGCCTCCAGGGCGCAACAACCATCTCAGAGGCAGGCTACAAGGAGATACCCGTGTCGTATCTTGTCGCTGAGCATGACAACGTCTTCGTGCCCAGTACTCAGTATCACTGGATTGGCTTGATCAAGGACAGCACCACGCAGGAGGTTGACGTGCATACGTTGCCCGTGCCTCATATGCTTATGCATGGAGATGTCCAGAAGGTGGAAGAGGTTGTGAAGCTGGTCGAGAGAGTCGCCGGTGAGAGATTGGAATGACTTTAGGACACCTCACTCGCTTCTATTACCGGTCGTCGTGACCATCCTCGAGCTTGATGAGTCGTCTGGATATCCCAATGTCGACGTACGCGCTCGCAGAGAAACCGCAAAATGAGGACCTGGTCAGAGTAGTTCAGACAAGCGCTAGAAGTCCATATCGAGAAGTTCTTCCAATCCGATGAATTGAATACACACCTTTGGGCATGAGCACGACCCGTCGCTACGCTGGCAAAGATGCGGTAAACGTTGATAGACCTGCCGTGCTTACCGCAAACGCAACCCCTTTTCCCATCGAACCACGTTCACCAATACCACTATTCACTCATATTGAGAGGCAGGAGAGGTACCATGCATGCCCGAGTAAGCGTCTCAAGCAACGATTCGGATCGGGTTTATAGAACGCGCACGGCGCGTGGCGTGGGAAAATTGCTTAATGCTGCTACAAACAACGCAAAAGACAGCCATCCGATGGCAATGAAATCAAATGTAATAAATGAGCTATGCAGTGAAGTCGAACATCATAATACTCCGAAGCTTCCCGAGAAAAAAGAACCCAAATAACAAGTCGCAGGGTCACGCTCCCCTATCCCAAGCCTCCAAGGAACAATATACAACCGAAAGATCCCTCATCCCATCACAACCCCCTACGTCGAAATAGTCCACGACAGAGTCCCATTCCTGCACCCGACATCCCCCGAGGCGCCCGTCACGCCGTCCGTAGTCCACGACGCAACGGTCGTGTCCAGGATCGACACGATGTCCTCGCTGCCGACCGTCACGTTGCTGACGCTGTTGATCCACATGGAGCAGGCGCCGTTCTGGGCGAAGCGCGACACGCCGCCCGGGTGCGTGAAGTCTGCAGGCGCCGGGAACAGGCCCTTGCAGTCGGCCACCGGTGCCTTGTTGGGGACCGTGGCGAAGGACGACTTCTGGCAGAAGGTGGAGCGCTTGGCGATGGCGGGCGAGGAGCTGGTGGTGGTGGGAAGGCCTTGGACGGCCGGGGCCAGGACGGCGAGGAGGGTTGCGAGGGATGTGATGGCGATCATGTTGATTGATGGGTGGTGGTTGTAATTGTGGTTGGTTGGTTGGATGAATGGATAGACGGAGGTAGTGAGAGATGGCTTGGGTTGAGAAGCAAGTATTCGATTAAGAGCAAAGAGTGACTGGTAAGATCGATGGTGATCGAATCGGTATGGATGATATCGCAAGTTGTGTAAAGAGGGGCTGGTGAGAATCGAACGACTGAATGATGTGACGAGTGAGTGATGAGAAGCCCCAACCATACGCACGGGATCTCTGGCGGTCTTTATAATCCTGGTGTTCATGGGAGACGACAGTTGTCCAAACTTTCCCGATAACCCATATCCCATGCCGTCTCCATCCAATTCCCATAGTTCAAAGTTTTGCCTCTCAATCCCCATGTTCCATTCCTTCTCGCTGTCCTTCCAGTTCCTACGTTCCTGGCCATCCTTCCCCAGGATGCCCCGTCGCTATACTCAACCGGGGGAGCAGGGACATACCGTAGATGCCCGCCAGTAGACTGGATCTTTCTGTTTCAGATACTGAGTCGGGACAAATCACAATCTATCCGCCTATGCGTCTCTTCTGGAGGACTCACGGGAGGCTATTCTGAGGCAAAGGCCAGAGGAGCTGGACCCCTGAATGACCATCTGCCCCGCAAACCACGAACTTCAACCCCCAGCGTCGGGACGACGTAATCAAGGCTCAAATGCAGCGAATTATGCACTAGATAGCTTCAGATTGACCCCTTTTTAAATCGTACAGCGATTTTCTGCTGCTATTGAGTGTTGTGTATGAATGTTGGCTGCAAAAGGCGGTTGGTGGCCCAGGGTCATTCTCCCCTTCCTTTGCCTGCCCGGATGCCCCCGGTCCGCATCCAATGGAGTAAAAGCTTTATGGTCCAAACCGATAACGAGGATTCCTTGTGCCCCTGGAAGGAGAACTTGTAATTCTTAAAAGGAGTAATCGGACGACTATCAGCACTTTATCCTGGCATGCTCCCTTTAAAAGTAGCTTCTGAATCCACCCCGCTTGACTAGTCCCTGTTGCCTCTTCCTACGAAGGACCGCAAGGGACAGGGTATAGGAAGCTGGGGACCTCGCCCAAAATAGCATATTGACACTTAAGCAGGAAGCAATCAGTCGGAGCTTTAAGTTTCACATGTTTTTGCCACCTTGCTGGCTGTCAGGGTCTGCGATGCCTTCCAAGGCACGGACTGCTCGAACCCTGTCACTTGGATTAGGAACTCTCATACTCTACCCAATGACACCTAACCCATACATTGTAGGAATATCCCCGACCTGCCTTAGGAGTTAATAATAGTCTACGGCACGGAGCATGCCGGCATGCAGGATCTGCTCGCCGGCGTAGCGGACGTACATCCTTCCAGCCGTGCCGTTCTCTTCTCCCGGCTTCATCAAGACCGACTCTTCAACAGACTCTCCAACAGGCGCCGCGGAATATCATCAAGGACCATCCAAGTGATGCGGCGTAGTCCAATGGACGACCATCCAAGCCATGCGTCGTAATCCAATGGATGACCATTCAAGCCATGCGTCGTAATCCAATGGATGACCATCCAAGCCATGCGTCGTAGTCCAACGGGTGACCATCCAGTACCATCGCATCGCATTGATACAATGAAAGAGGCAATCAACGCAGGAACCCTCAAGTGCTTTCCACTCAGGCCACTTGCCCCTTCGCGGAGCAAGGCCTCATCGCAGACCCTTCGTCAATCACGCCCACCCCATCCAAATCTCATCAAAAACCTAAGTCTTCAGGTAATCACCCAACTATCCCCCATCAATCAATTCAATCCGAAATCTCCCAAGTGACCGTCCCCTCCCCACACCCCATAACGCCCCTCGCCCCCGTCCTCCCGGCCTCCTCGTCAGCGTCCGTCCCCGGCCACCGCCGCAGCGTCCCCTCCAGGATATCCATCACGTCGCGCGCGTTGAACCGCTCCCTGCCGTCGCCGTCGATGCGCACGGCGCACGTCTGGCGGCGCACGAGCTGGAAGGCGCCGCCCGTGTGGCCGCCGCCCCACTCGCCGCCCAGCGGCAGGGTCGAGAGCTGGTAGAGCAGCGCGTCGCAGTCTTCTGCTAGGGCTTTGGTGCGGGTGGTGGTGGTGGTAGTGGTGGCCTTGGTGGTGCTGCTGGAGGGTAGCGGGCTGAAGGTCGAGGGTCTGCAGATGCCGTCGGGCGGGGTGGGCGTTAGGCGGGACTGCTGCGACTTGTGGTTGTTGATGTAGTTGGCGACTGGGCTGATTGGTCTGACTGGTCGCGGGATCGCATGCGCGGACGTCGCTGTTGCTGCGGCGGCGGCGAGGAGGAGGGCGAGGAGGGTCGGAGGTAGCATTGTGGGCGATGACGTCGTGTTGTTGAGCGTTTGGCTTGCCAGTCGTTGATAGCGGGAGCTACCTAGGTACTGTAGCTACCTATTTTTGCCGGCTTCGGCCACGTATGTATGTATGTACCTTATAGATCGGATGGTGGTGAGGGGAGTCACCGTGTGTGATGATACCTAGGTAGGTGGTCAAGTCACCGCCGGTCGACGACCATCGTCGTGTGCGAACGCGCGTTCATAAAGCGCAGCCAGACGCGGGTGTACTACATGTAGGTAGTTCGACTAGTTTAAAGTAAGGGGGTCGGCACAGCGTCAACACGATGATGTCTGAAACAACGAAGAAGAAGAAGAAGAAGAAGAAGAAGAAAATGGGCAACTGCCAACTGCCTCCTGCCCTCCAGGTCTTTCTAACTACCCGGCCTAGCTGGTCGGGAGGGGTGTTTTATTAATTAAAACACTGTGGCACAGGTGAGAGGTGGGAGGTGAGCAGCCGCGGCCGTCCGTTCGCGGGCGTAACGCCCAATTGGGGGAACTTCATGTAGGATGCGCCCATCAATGATGTGGCGCGGATTGATGGATCGAGGGGACGCCCATCAATAATGTGATGCGGGTTCAATGGATGTGGATGGATAAATGCTACACCCCGCGCTTCATCGCTTACTAGCCATGTCTTTTATCCAAAGAAATACACGTGCTGCTCCCTTATCCGTTACGTATTAAGAAATAAGCACGGGTTTCGAAACCGCCGTCTCTGATAAACAGCTCTAACCCTCTCTCAATTATGCATACCTAGCAGCGTTCCTAATTCACACCTCTTAAGACCAGGATGGAATGGAGTGGGCTGCAGCTTACTACAACATCAATTTGAGTATGTATTACTAGCTTTGGTATCACCGTAGCCTCGTTAAGAAGTGGCAGCAGCTATCATATGACAATTACCTAATGCAACCCGCTAGGACCCGTTCGCAGTCTGTCAGTCTTCCAGAAGATCTAATCAGATCAGATCTACCACAACGTTGAGCAGTCCAAAAGCTCTACCCCAATATCCAAAACCGCCAGTCATTATATCCATTACCACAATCATCCCAACAACCCAGACCTTCTTCAGTCCCGTCTCCGACTGCGACTCCTCTCGCGACTCTTGCTGCGATCCCTATGCTTGTGGTCTTTAACGACAAGCAAGCCACCACTATTGGCCCTTCCCCTCTCGCGCTCTCGTTCGCGCTCTTTTTCCTTTTTCCTCTCGCGTTCCCTATCCTTCTCTCGTTCTCTTTCCCTCTCGTGGTCCCTATGGGTTTCCCGCTCGCGTTCGCGTTCGCGCTCTCGCTCATACTCCCTATCCGTCTCGCGCTCCCTCTCCTTAGCCCTGTCCCGTTCTCTCTCCTCTCTTTCCCTTTCGCCTTCCCTCTCCCGCCCTTCCTCCCTTACCGCCTCGACCTTCCGGTCCTTGTCAAACCTCTTCACTTGGTCCGGCATTCGCGTGACAACCAGCTGCTCACAGAAGAGACCCCATTCGCCCGAGGTGCCCTCCTTGACAGCCTCGCGGAGGTCCTCGCCGTAGCGCTCCTGGTAAGCCCTCTTGACGGCGGCGAGGTGCGTGCGGTCCCAGTGATAGCGCACCAGCCGCGAGATCAACAGCTCGCGGCGCAGCGCGTCCTTTTTGGACGCCGTCAGCGCGTGGTGCAGAAGCAATGCGTCCCGCACCGGTTTGTTGATGATGCCGTTGAGGATGTGGGCTAGGAGCTCGCCCTGGGTTTTGTGTCAGTGAGATTGTCCAAGAGAGGGGTGACTGTGGGATGTAAGATATAAAGGGGGCCGCGTTTTGATAGTATGTAGGTAGGCAGGAAGAATTGGGCAAACTCACCACAAGGTTGCCACTCTTCTTCAGTGCATCGCGTGCAAAATTGCTCTCGCACGACTTCTCATACAACTTCAGCACCTCCCTAAGGTGCGCATCGCTCCGCAGCAGCACCACCTGCAGCATCGCGGTCTCGCCGCCCTTCTCCACGCGGATTGCCTTGTACAGAATCTCGACGTCATCCTCGACGAGGTGGCGATCGACCAGCAGCGGACGGCCATACTCGTCAAAGTCTTCCATGCGGCGCTCCTCAAGCACGACCAGCACCGCCTTCTTGAACTTGTCCTCCCTCAACTCCGTCTTCATGCAGTGCACCAGGCTGTCCTTGTACTTCTTGTCACTGAACGCGTCCTTGATCTTGCGGACCTCCTCGTTGCTCCGGCCCATGAGCGACTCGATCAGCAGCTCCCGCCGCGTCTTGTCGCCCTGGTACCAGAAGTTGGCCCAATACGCCTCACTTTCCCAGCGGCCCAGGGCCGTCGCGTAACAAGCCTTCATGAGCGTGGGGTCCTCGTCCTTTAGGCGCGCGCGGATGTGCTTCGCCACGTTGACGCCTTTCCGGTCCGATCCAGTCTTCACTAGTCGCTTGTACTCGGCCCGCAGCTCCATCACCTGCTCGTGCGTCATGCCCGGCAGGATCTCGATGAGTGGCTCTGTCTCGGGCGCCCGCCGCTCCCCCTTAAGAGCTTGGGCGAGGCGCGCTGCGTCATCGACGGGGTCAGTAAACCGCGCCCGCCGCTTCTTCTTCTCGTCCCCATCGGAGAATCCCGGCGATAGGGGCTCGATGATGTCCCCCAGGCCACCACCGTGGGACGCGAGGAGCAGCGGCGACGGCATCGGTGACATGGACTGGTAGGTTCCGTGGTACGACTCGAGGAGTGGCGACGCAGGCGGCATACCGCCCGTCTGCAGCGACAGCGAGGCCGAGTGATGGCCCGTGTTCACGCTGAGGGACGACATGCGACCTATCGGGGGCATGGGCGAGCTGGGCGAGCGGGCCCTCCTGTTCCCAGCGTTCGGCTCGACCGTCAGGACATTAGCGCCTGAGAAGCGCGGGTCGGCTCCGTACGAGTTGCGGTGAACGTTGCTGCCACTTGGTCTCCGGGGCAGCGCTGGCGCTGGGGCATCGGCGCGCGAGTACGTCAGCTGCTCGTCCGGGGTGTCATATGCCCACTGCCCCGGCATGGAGTAGTTGAACGTGTCGCCCGCGTGCGCCGGCGATTTAGGACCTGGGTACATGGCGGCAGGCGGCAACGAGGCGGCGCTACCGTAGGCCAGGCCCTCCTCAATCTTCTGTTTGCTGCGCTGCTTGTTGTGTTCGCGGTCGCTGTCGGATTCGCGCACCTTGGCGGCGTACTTGGCGGGCAGGAAGGTGTCGGCGCCGCGACGCAGGGCGTTCTGGGCGGCATCCATGATATCCACGTCGCCCCTCGACTTCCGCTGCTGCTCGTATCCGTTGAGGCTCTCGCGGCTGCGGCCGTAGTAGTTCGACTGGTCGGCGGGCGAGGCCATGAGGTACGAGTCGCGGTGGTCATGGCTGTTGTTGTGGTTGTAGCTGGGCCGAATTGGCGCGGCATGGTCGTCGTAGCTGAAGCCGGCTGGCGGCGAGGGCATTCGCACGGCGTCCAACATTGAGGGCGACTCGGAGACTCGATTACGGCTGCGGTCGCGGGCTGCTGGCGACCGCGAACGGCCGCGATTACCTGCGTCGCCTACAAGCAGAGACATGTCTTGGTGTTTTAATGAAGCTCGCGACCACCAGTCAAGACAAGATTATCTTGAAATAAACAGAAGGCGCAGCGAATGGGAAGGGGATTGCGGGGTAGGTTCAGTAGGGCAGCTGTAGGGCTGGTAGGTCGGCAGCTAGGCTGGGCTCGGTCCGAGTCTAGAGTCGCAGTGGAGATTTAGGTGCCGATATCTCGTGTCCGTCTCAGGACTAATGACTTTAATATCTGCTCTAAAAGCCCAATGAATGTGCCCAATACTATCAGCCAGGCAGGCAAGAGAGAGAGAGAGAGAGAGAGAGAGAGAGAGAGAGAGAGAGAGGCCTTTGGTATGAAGAATCGAAGAGAACATTCTCATCCAGCTGAATACTGCAAATCTCAGCAAGACGTCCCATTTTATCCTGACTAACAACAAGAAGCTGAGCCGCCCCGGTCGGCCAGTGAGGAGACACCGAGGAGCGAAGGCAGGGACACGATGCGGGTTGGCGGGTTGGGGAGAGGGGCTTTGTTGGTAGCGCCGTGAGTCCATGACATTCGCAGGCTCACAGCACTCTGTCGTGCATGAGGCTTCTGCACCCATGCGAGGCCCAGGTTGGGGGCCGCGAAGTGCCCAATCATCGAGCCTTGCCCTAGCGGAAGCCGTGCTTGCTTGCAGCGTTCGCGCCTCGTGGAGAAGCCTCGGTGAGCGGCGAAGACATACGCTTGTATGTATGGCCGTGGTCGTGAGACTGCTGCCTTGTTTGCTGACCTTACTCAGCACAGTCGGTCAGTCAGTCAGTCAGTCAGTCAGTCACCTGGCGAATACTCTATACAGTGGCAAGCCTTCACCAAGTCATCCATCCAGCCGTACGATCGGATCCGTGCGGTGTGACGGGAGACAGTGATGGAATGGTTAATACTGGCCTTACCTAGCCTGAGCTGATGGGTTTGAGAAATTGAAGGGTAGGGCGATACGAGCACAGCCGAATGCGGAGGTGCATATTATGCATTAGCCGTCGGGCACTCCAATTGGTCGGGTATCCGGTGTCCTGCAGCTATGCCTGTAACGCCGCAGATAGGAGAGTGGATCGTGAGACACACCCAAGTCGTGTTGGTTCACGACTACCTACCTACTGCGGCACAGCCTGATCGAGTGGATGTGGAGGAAAAATGTTTGCTCTGCTCGAGAGATGGAACGGAGTACAATGTGACATGACACGACCAAGCTTCAGGCGCGGCCAGTGCCAGTCAAGTGTGGTGAACCAACTCGGGGCGTAGCTTGTGGCCGACACGGTTGTGATCATGACCGTCAAAGCAAACGAGGAGGGCTATGAACACCTGTCATACATGTTCCACGGGCATGTATTGGGTGCCAGCTAGTAAGTGGTATGTCTGTCTTGCCCCGGGAGCTGAATTCCAAAAGCACCACGCTGACCGGACCACCAGCAACGATTTATCCAGTGACCAGTCAATCGGCTGCGCCCAAGTAGACGTAGAAACCCAGACAGATGACCAGCCCACCTAGATACACCAGACACAGTCCATATGAAGCAAGATACCACAGGCATCGTGACCTCTAGACCAAAGGTCTCAACCTCCACAGAGCAAAAGAGTGCGCCAACGGTCGTCGCTTGAATATCCTTCAGATCGTCTCGCGAGCAAGGGGACGAAAACCTACTAGATGCCTAGGTAGGTCTAAATCGACCGTGGCTGGAGCCCGACTCATACCGGCCCAACGTTTATGCTTCAAGCACCTCCCTTGTAGCGTTAGTACTTGCGGTGTGGGCAAGCGTGGCTCCGGTAGGTGTACCGATGATTCCAACAACTCAAACACATCCGGTAGAGATTATAAAGGTAGGAGATGGGAGCTCAACCCATCGCTTTTTTGACGATTGTCTGAGTAAATTCCATCAGTCTTCTACCCGCTCGTTCAGGAAGCGGCTCTCCCTACCCCAAAGCTTGATAGACGTCTTGAGTATTCTGCGAGCATACCGACAAACATACTGATCTATACTCTGGAGGCCTCAGGTTTTTGGAACGACCATGCGAGTAAGTGGCTAAAATGTCACGCGGTGACAGTGTCCTTCAAGGGTCTCCGAGTCCTGCTACCTTCGCACCTTCCCGTATGCGCCACCCCCTATTGCGCAGGTTAGCAGGATGAGCCTTCTTATCCAGATAAATCCAACGAGACGGTCTGAACCACAACACCGCATCAACGCCCACTCCGGAAAAGGCCCTCCGGCCTCGCCTCCAGCCTAGGATCCCCATTCCCAAGGAACCATGAGTAGCACCACCAACGCCGACGCCGCCGCCGCCATCACCGCCCGGCGCAGGAAGTACTTCGAGACGGACCCGCGGCGCTTCAAGTTCCACAAGCACCTCGCCTCCGGGGGCAACGGCGACACCTACGTCTTCTGCGAGCTGGACGACCGGGGCGTCGAGAGGCGCAAGTTCGTTGCCAAGTACTCGACCAGCGGCCCGCGCAGCCTAAACCAATTAAGCAATGAGATCCGCATCGCGCAGAAGCTGTACGGGGCCATGCACATCGCGCAGCCCATCGTCGAGGACGGGGGGATGCGCACGCTGCGGCGTGGTGGTGGTGGTGGTGGTGCTGGGACAGGAGCGGCGTCGAGTTTGCCGCCTGAGGACAGAGACGTGCTGATGACCGAGTATCTGGCGGGCCTCACGTTGCAGCAGTTTATAGACAACGCGAGGAAGTACGACGTAGTGCCGAACAGGGTTCTGTGGATGATATTTCTATGCTGTGAGTTCGCCCGAGAAGCCACTGGGGCTGTAAGATACCTTACATACCATGTGTGCTGAGATAGTTTCAGTGACGCGGATGGTCATCGCGATGGCATACCCACCCAACAAACCGTATGGAGCGGCGACTGAGGATCCCACGGTGGAAACCATACCGCAGATAAGGACAGATACTAGCGAAACGGGCAAAGGAACCACGTCAGCAGAGAGTCTGACCGAACAGCTGGGGGCGTTGTCGGTGAAGGGGCCCAAAGACAGAACTGGTGCTCCTGCGGAAAACACGACGAAAGACAATACGGCAGCGGCAGGATCGAGTAAATCAGACGACATTCCAGAAACCGAGCCGACGACAAGGCCTGCCGCTGAGCCGACAGACAAAGACTACCAGATCTTCCACGGCGATATGGACAACCTGAACAACTGTAAGCCCCATCCATCCATCCATCCATCATCTTCAAGGGGGTTGGTTATAACGGCTTACCACAACAGTCGTGTTCGGCGACTACGATCCAGACGAGCACTGGCTCGTGCCGATCCTGAAAGCCATCGACTTCGGCCTCGCCGTGGACCAGATCGGCACGAGGCTTGAGGGCCGCATGCTGTGAGTACCGTAGCTTCGAAGTCGGGTTCCAAGAAACCCCATCTGAAGCTGTACTAAACGGTCCGTCCTCCCAGGCCCTTCGTGAGTCCCGGCACGTTCACGCAAGCCAATATCTACGACATCGGCCGCGTGAGTACACATCATCCCCTCCCCTGTCTCATCAACACCCCCTGACCATACGAACCAAAATAACAACAGGCAATCCAGCGCGTATACAACCACCACGACTCCCCCGACCCGCCCGCAATCCGCTTCCCGAACCTCGACCAGGACCTCTACCAGCTAGCAGCGCGCTGCGCGTCGCGCGACCACACGCAGCGCCCGTCGCTGGCGGAACTGGTCCGCACCGTCGAACACAACGTCAACACCAAAACTGGTCCGGAGCACTTTTTGGGGAAGCCGTACGCCTGGTACGAGGAGACCGAGACGCTGCGGGGGTATATTTGGGATGTGTTGCTGTCGCCGGCGCAGAAGGGGTTGGCGCCGTAGGTCGGGGTGTTGTGTACCGGCAGCTATCAGCGGCCGCAGCAGATGCATGGGGTCAGTGGTACTGACGGAAGCTCAGATGACCCTATTGATAATCCAGGGCTAGGCAACGCAGTACATGTCCGAAGGCTAGCTATCATATGCCTTACGGGATAACTGCGCGAGCGTCGTTAGCAGTCACCGTATGTACAGACTTGACTCATTTGCGTGTCTTCCGCCTAAGCGTAGAGTATTCGTTCAATTCTGTCTTTGTAACAGTAACCCTATGCATACTCGAGCTCTCACTCGTCGGGTTTGCAGGTGGCGAGACCGTCCTTGCAGACTCACACATTCAATGCTGTCGCATTGCGTACCAAGGAGATTGGTATCGTACATATAAAGAACCCGATCAGTTGAGCATGCCAGCTCGTACCCCGAACGCCGTGCTGATGATGGTGGTATCGTAACAAAAGAAAACCCGCCTAATACACCGTCAAGACTCTCCCTTCTCATCCTCAATGTCCTCGGTCTTGGGTTTCTCCTCGCAGGCAATTTCGAGTGCCGAGAATACATGACCCACACAGACTTGTCTGGATTGATTCGTTTTCCTCCCCTCGCCTTCCAAGTAGATGGCCCCGTGACCAGTCCAATATTGCCGGATCCTGAAGGGTGCAAGTCAGTTTACAGCGTCCACGACAGCCCCTGGGAAGAATACTAAGACGTACTTCTGGCTGGCAGGCGACCATAACTCGATAACGAGGACGACGGCAATGAAGCCAAGCACGAGCGAAACCACCAAGGCATCGGCATATCTTCGCACGAGGTGGTAATGCAGAGCGCCAGTTTGAGAGCGGCAAGGAACCCATGCGTAAGAATCGCTCGCCGCTTTGGTCTCCAGCTCAACAATGGTCGCCGCGGATTCCGACTCGATGGTGTTGGCGCGGGTCTCTTCTCGCATGATTGTCGAGTCTGACAGTGGCGAGTTGGTGCTGCGGCGATGGGACAGCGAGAGGAGGTTGAATAGACCGAGCCTGCGATAAGCTCCTAGAGTTTTGGGTATCGGAACTTCTCCCAGTGAGTGCAGTGATGTACTGTCCTCTACGTCTTGCAAGATTGAATGATGCTCCGTCGGCTCTCCTAGAGATACCTGATGCGCGGGCTTGGACGGAAAGGTAATCCTGGGCGCCGACTGTAATCTCGAAGGTGACCTTTCGCCAGCCATCAACATCGGAGCCGCGAGAGCCCACGATGAGAAGGCGACGGCGGACAGAGCTGCCGATAGCTTCATGGTGATTGATTGCTTGGTCGTATGTCTAACTGGTCAAATTGAAGGTTGGCGAGGGTTGAGACCCGAGACGATGGATGCGCCGGTCTTGTTCGTTCAGATGTATGACACGAACAGTCAAAGTGCCATGAGTAATGATGATGAGAATCTGGGTTGTACCTTGGCACTCAATTAATGCCTTTATGCCTTTTTCGATGTTCGTCGCGGGGCGCGGGCGCGGGCGCGGGCGCGGGGAAGCCAGTGGGGTGGTCTGATCTGATCTGAATAATGGCTTGGTGGGTAGAACGGTGAACCGGAGTGGCTGCCGTCTTGGCGGCTGATTGTAGGTAGGAATTGGAGATGCAGGGGAGGCCGTTGGCGGGTTGGCGGGAGAGGTTTGCAAGGTGTTGTGCTCTATGCAGGACCCTATATTGGATCTTCGATCGATGGTCCTCTGTGACTCTTGTGCGGCCCGAGACAATTCTTTGATCGAATGCGGAGAAGCGAAGCGCGTGGCTTTTCCTTGGCTTTTTGCTCTTTGGAGGGACGAATGCGTACGACGATCTCAGTTCAGCGTTGTAGTCGGACCAGTCACACAACAGTGTCGTTGCAAAATGGGGTAAGGAGAAGAAAGTGGCAGCCTGAGGTTCGAAGGTGTGACGGACGTTGTAATATGCGGCTAAAGGCAGGAAAGACTGAAGCACTCTGGGGAGGAGGAGGAGGAGGAGAGACGGGACAGGACGAGGGGCTAGTCGGTATAATGTAAGGTAGGTAGGTATGTGTCTATGTATACCTTGTTCCACCTAAGGTAGGTACTGTAGATAGCGACACCAGGCTAATCAGAATGTGTCTAAAAGTGAGAGCGTCCAAGACTCCAGGATCCGTTGAAAGGAGGATGGATGCGGTGTTTTTATTCAGAGTCGCGACGATGTAGTGGTTGGCTAGCAGGGAGGCAGTTGATCCTTGGTGCGAACCTTGTTGCTCTGGAAGTCGATCCACGACGTTTGAGGTCCAAACGTTCCATGTCGACGACGGTCCCGGCGGTTTTGGCGTCAGGTTATAAGAATAGTGGTACTAAGTGGGTGGTAGGGTGGAGGATGCAGTTGGAAAAGTCTTAAAAAGAGTCCACCTGTGGATGCTGCCAAGTGGAACGTGATCCATGCCCAGGTGCAACGCGCACGACGGGTGACGCGGGTGACACTAAGAAGTATCCATACGGTATACCATCCAGGTCCCTGATGAGTACCGAGAAGGGGCTTACGCCTCTGGATTCCGTCACCTCACCCAACACCGGTACTACAACCGTTCCTCCGCCGAGATGCGTACCGATATGCGCACCGAGATGCTCCAAGGAAAAGCCGAGCCACTCAGCGGCACCTGGCGTCGTCCCTTTCCGGCAGTGAGGTAGCTCAGCGCTCTGTTTTCACTCCAGACTCACAGACATGGACTCAGACACTCCCAAGAGATCATGACCTGAGGTACCTTTGACGGACTAATGATAAATCTCTTCATCGCTTCAAATTAACGCTGTATGGGCGGACACTCGTCTTACACCAGTGATGACTGCGCCTGCTCACCGAGACCTTTGGTATCATCAGACTTGCTGTGCCAATGGGCGAGAAAGAGGCATGGCCCGGCATGTTGCGTAAGGTAGTAATAGGCACCCTTACCTACCTACCCTACCGTATAAGGTACGCAATGCAAGCGGGAGCATCGGACACATCATCAGCCACCATCAGCAATCATCACCGTGATATGATAATACATGCTCAGCTGAGATAGATATGCAGGCATGGTCCTTGGAGATTTCATGTGGAGGAGCGTTCAGACGGACGGGAGCGAGATGTGCTACCTATGTACGTGCTTGGGTACGTGCTCGCTTAAAGTCCGCAATGTCACTGTGTCACGACAGTTCAGCTCATCTCGTCGACGTGCTGACCGCATGGATGCATCTTGGAGTTACCTATACCACGTAAGACAGACGACGCGTGAAAGGGGCAAGACTTGTTCACTGCCCCTGGACAGCGCCTGGACCCTGCGGCTGTGCTCATATTGGGTTATTGCCATGTCCCAGATCCCAAAGTGACCGTCGACAAAAGGGCTCAAGCTTCCAGCTTCCCACTCACTGCAAGGCTTGTTCGGGACCCGCCATATACCTAACGCAGTATGCAATGAGGTAGATACTATCTTGCTCGCGAGACGACACAAGTACGAATGGTGTCGCGACAAGTAACAGCCTCGTGTAACAACGTTTCAGCTAGAGATAACCTGTCTGGCATCTTGAACAGGTATAGACCTAGGTAGTGTGACACTTGGCACCATTTGATTTCGACATTTGGCTTTTCGGCCTATGCAGGCAAGCCACTCGGCGCCGCCGCACAATGCACATACGGCAGCTCCCTTGGACGCCTATATTGACTCCCACATGCACTGCATATGATGAGATGGCATCGGCAGAGGTAACGTGCCAATGCGTGCCTTGTCCATTCAGCGCAGCCTTGTGTCTCTTTCGAGAGTGGGAGACGAGGTGATTTCGGTCTTGTCATACCGACTATCACAGGAGAAGAGGAGAGAGGAGGTCGGCCCATGGGCCATGGCAAGCAGTCCAGTCACGCCACAGCGCCAGTGCAGGTGTATTATGTAAGTCTGGTAGCGCATTAGTAGCGTCTCTACCTCTTGGCACTGCAAGGCGGCGGAAAAGCGGGGATCCACCCTATTTTGATTTTGAATGCTGGTCGCAAAGGAGACGCGGGAATTGGGGCAGGGGGGAATCTGCCCATGATGTCAAGCCTCACTTCTCAAAGCCTCAAAGTGATCCCCATCGCCGCTCGCAAGGCTGAGCGCACTCAACAGCCAAATAGGTGGTACCCTGATGGCCAAGCATCGAGAGTCTGCGCCATGACTTCCAACTCCGACCACGGCCTGGGCCTGGGCTTGGGCTTGGGCCTGGAATTGGAATTGGACTTGGATGCGCCGCACCGTGGCCTAACACGCTCGGCCACACTCCCCCTCGAGATACACTCACCACGCGTCGGTCGCTCACATCTCGCCCCCGAAGATGCCTTCAACACCGCCTCACCCCCGAGGAGGAAGTCCACCTTCGATCCGAGCGCTGTAAACGACTCCCGGAGGATGAGGTCCAAGCTGGGAAGCCGGAGCCGGAGCAGGCGGCGGAGGCGCAACTGGAAGAAACTGCTCTGGGTCAACCAATCATGTAAGGACAAGGACAGCCTCGTCTCCTCTATTCTCTAATAACCATTGCCATAGACCCGGACAACTACACAGACCAGGCCACATTCCTCGAGAACCTCCAGCGAAACCCACGCCTCCAACCCTACGAGTTCTGGCCCCTTGTTGCCGACTCTACCGTCATCCTCCAGCAAACCTGCTCCGTCACCATATTCGTAGTTTGCTTCGTCGGCATCTTCCAAGAGCGTGTCTCGCCCGTCGCCGTCGTCGGCTGGGGCAGCTTCGGGACCCTCGTGGGATGGTTACTGTGGGACTGGTGGGTTGGTCAGGAGGACGAGGATGAGGTCTTGCAAAGACGGCACAGCAACCGCAGCCGCGCAGCAAGAGAGCAGCCCAGGAAGGATCGCCCACATTCTGCCATATTGGGAACCAACCCATCCGCCGGGACCTCCGTGACCAACCTGGCCGCCGCCGAACGGGCCTATCCGCAACTTGCTATGCGCCAATCCCATTCCGTGTCGGCAACCTCTCTCCAATCCGGAGCCTCGCAGGCAAGCACCGCTGCCCGGAACTCGTCCGATTCCGCAGAAGAGCTACACCAGCGCCCTTCGTCCCCCCATCGTGGCGGCCGGATGAACCTTCGCCTTGGCACCATCAAATCCGCCGTCCTCATCTACTTCACCCTTCTGGGCCTATCGCCCATCCTCAAGTCACTCACGCGGTCTACTTCATCTGACAGTATATGGGCCATGTCATTCTGGCTTCTAGCCATCAACATATTCTTCTACGACTATTCAGGGGGTGTAGGCGTCAAATTCCCTGCCTCCCTCTCGACTAACGCAGCCCTCATGGCATCCACCGTGTTGGCATCTCGCCTGCCGTCTACGGGGCAGGTCTTTAGTCTGACGCTGTTCAGCATCGAAGTGTTCGGTCTGTTCCCCGTATTCAGGCGTTACGCCAGACACCAGAGCTGGAAATACCACGTCACCATCTCTACTTTGCTGGTAATCGGCGCCGGAGGTGGTGTGGGGCTGATATTGGGGGGAGAGAAGGACGGAGTCTGGCCCTGGAAGAGCGGTCTGCTGGGCGTATTGGTGGCCGTCGTCATCGCCATTGTCGCCATGGGGGGCTGTAGCTGGTGGTTGATTGGACTCCAGAAGTACAAGAACGCCATCAACGGGCCCTGGGACCAGGCTAGGCCGATCATCATCAGCCGACGCTTCTGGGATGACGAATGATAATGAACCAAGAATTGAATGCCAACCTTCCACCTCTGTGAAACAAATACCCTTGACCGTGAACCTGAAGTGGTACCAACTCCTTATTTTAGTGCCAGGCATGTAGACGCGGATCTGCTGATCGACGCGTACCTGCAACTTGGCAAGCCAGGCAAGTTGGGATGGTGGATCAGGTGGAATCATTGGAATCCCTCCCGCCGGTGGGCCTGCGTCTTGTTTTAGATTTAGCATGGGGCTGTGGATGCGTGTCGACTGTCGGGGTCCATGAACGCGTCAATGCACACGAATTCGTACCTTGCTCGTGCCGATGAAAGAACCGTTGAAGCTCCACCAGAGGATCTCGGGACTGGGGGAGACAGCCGAATATGACGGGGCCGACACCCCCGCCCGGCATCCGTCAGGTCGGGTCTCGGTTCTCGGGCTGATCATCTGGACGTGACGAGCCGCAATGCTACACTCCCCGGCCAGAAGTCTCCGAGCCCACTTTTCGAGCAGCCCTCAACGCCTATACCTTCCAACTTTCAGCATTTACCACGCACCCATTTCTCACTGTAATAATATAGAAAAAATTATATTATGTAGGCCATTCCATAGCGTGTGTACCAGTCACCTGCCTTTTTCACTGCGGCGATTCGGTTGCTGAGAGATTCGATGAGAACGCGTACATCCTCAGGATCGATCTCTGACCACGCCTTTTTGATTAACTCTCTGGCATATGCCTCGTGGGCAATATTAGCCTTCAAAGCAGCGAAATCAGGCTCGATTCTCTGTATCTGCTTCTTCAGAAGTGCCCAAAGATGCTCGATTGGGTTCAAATCAGGGCTGTGAGCAGGCCAGTCGATCGTCCAGATGCCGTGCTCCTCTAGCCACTCTGGAGTGCCTCCAAATCGATGGATGCGAGCGTTATCTTGCATAAAAGGATCCCCAGCCTCATAAAACGGAAGGAGCCCTTCCTTTAGGACATCTTGGTATGAAGCTAAAGATACTCCTCTGCGAAGAGCATCCTTATCAGGCTCATAGAAGATGATTTTGCCTAACCCACCTTCTTTGCCACGTAATCAGATCAAAGCCTAATGCGTAATGGAGATACGGGGTCTCCCATGGCTCCGAGGGTTCACGAGATCCTGCCTGTAACGTTCAGAAGAGAGGCGGATGACCCAATCGCCCGGATTATCAGGTGAATTCTGGACCGTGACTTTATCTGAGAAGAGCGTTCGCATCAGCTTTTCCAGAGCCTCTGGAGAGTCGTATTTATTGTAAAAAGCGAGCCTCTCTCGTGCGTCATCTTCTGTAAGCTCGATCCGCCTTGCCGCCCTCCACTTGCGAAGCCTGTAAGCGCGAAGAACACGCTTAATAATAGTATAAGAGTAGAGGACCCTGTTCTCCTTCTTGAGCTCTTTGTAGGTAGCCTTGGGGTACTTTTGTACTATTTTAACTAACTGAGCCTCTTCGCGCTTACTCAGAGTCTTTGTGGCTCCCTTTCGAGGTTGAGAGATCGTGGTGTTGTGCTCTCTAGCAGTGTTGATAATGTCGGTCACGGTTTGAGGCCGATCCAGATGGAACGCGCTCGCGACATCGTCGCGCCTTGCGCCTGCCGCCCTGGCAGCCACAATCGCTGCACGAGCTTCGGAGGTGAATTCCTGGTTTGGCCCGCGATTTGCGGTCAGAATGGTACCAACTTTTTGTAAATCCATCGTTTTAGTATTAAGTAAATAAAAGATGAAGAAGGAAGGGGGTCGCGAGCGCGTAGACGCGTTTTGAAACTAGCGTGGTGGATGCTCGGAGGCTTTTGGAGGGTCAGTGTACTGAACTACTTGACTGCATTCTCACATGCGGTGTTCCCATCAGCATCGACTGTCGGTCGACCTCTCGATCACGCATAGATCAGCGAGAGGTTAAGGCTGTCGACGGGTGGCAATCACATACCTGAGGTCGTCAACTTCATTCACCCCTTGGGCATTGTAAGCGATAACTACCTACCCCGAGGGAGGACTGGAGAGGCATCCTGCTATGAGCAGTGGCAATAACTCTTGACAGCGTCATATATCGTGCTCAGTGTTATCTCCATTACCCTCAGTACTCAGGTCCCTTGTTCCCGTCAAGCACTTACAACCATATAGCAGTCCTCCGGAAGATTCGACTTGACCTGTGGCTTGGAACTGCATCATTGGTCGTGATAAGTCCTGACGGCGATGTTGCGAGCCCAAGAAGGCTTACCTCCGTCCTTGACTGAAGAGATGGAATGCTTAGGGGCCCTCACATAATAGTGAGGCTCATCTGCGATTTGTGTTGCTATATTTGCAAGAGGATAAAATAACATGATATGCATTGGTACCACTGGGAAGCTCTCACATCTTCGCAGAGCATCAAGCTTGGGTATCCGCGGGAAGGTGTCAGTGTATGGGGAGTCGGAACAGAGCCATTCGTGGATGCTATCCGAGCCGCCACCGATAACGTCCATCTCAACAGCAACGGCCAGGAGATTGGGGAAAATGGATGATTGCCATCAAGTATGCGTTGTTCCTTCAGTCGACTTGACGCAACTATACCAGTCCATAGACCTCGGCAAATGGGTCATCTGTCTGGTTCATGGAGTTCCATTCCATGGCAATAACGTTACTCGATTTTTCGCTCTCACTGCTCCCGTAGTAATGGGCGACCCACCCCAGCATCATGTCGGTACCTGCACTGACGCCGGAGCTGGTTCAGATGTTACCGTCGACGACCCATCTCGCCTTGGCGATCCAGTGCACCTTGTCGGCGCCCTCGACCGTCTTGACCCAGTTGAAGGCCGCCTTGTTGGTCGTGGCATTGCGCCCGGCAAGGTGTCCCGTCCGCGCCGCGAGGGAGGCGCCTGTGCATACCGTGAGGAGGTACTTGAGCTTCGAAGTCTTTGGGTCGATACGCTCGCTAAGCCAGTCTACGTGCGGCTGGGTCGCACTGACGTTGCGAGTACCGCCGCCGTCTGGGACCATGATAATATCCAGCTCGGGGGCATCATCCAGCGTGTGCGTAGGCAGATCGTATTCAGTGAAGTCCGGCGAGGCAAATGTAGACGCATTCCCGATGACGATTCCGGTGAGAACGGGCCGATCGATACTGACTGGGTCCATGTTGGTCGAGAGCAAGGACAGAGTCAGGGGGTGTTGCAGTGAAAGGCCCGAGTTGAGAGCCTGCAACGGCCCGAACAGATCCAGACCCGTGAAACCCGGGAAGATGAGGGCGCCGATGCGCAGGGGAGCTTGGGGAAATTGTCAGTTGATTCATTGAAAAATCCCATGCCTGGCTTACTCGTTACGTTTACCATGATGGGCGTCGTGGATGGTCGTAGGAATTCAGTGCCTGAAAGGTGAACAGTTGAGTACCGCGACGGTGAGAAGCACTCAGTTAGCTGGTGATATTTCTGCATTTTATACACGACGTATTCTGTCATGGCCCATACCGCTGATATAGTGGTCCTGCAGCACAATAAGGATTACAGGGGATTGTACCTCGTCTCACCGAAATTCGGTACCAACCACAGTCGCCCGCGGAAGAGCTTCAAAGTGATATGAGCATTTTTGAAAAATAGGGTCACTTCATGATGGTGGAGGTCATATTCATGAATAATCTTCACAATCGTAGCCGAGACTCAGAGCATTTTCCTCCAGTTTCCTTTGACCGACAGAGATGCTTTGAAATCTACGAAACTCGCATTAGTATAGTCTTCAACCTGGACGCGACCACTATATTTTGCTACTCAGGATCGTCTTTGCGAGATCTCTGCGGTCAACAACTGAGTACGTCGGTCAAGGACTGTGGAAGGTCTCATGAGGACGCGCGAACGCATAACTATGAGCAGGTTCTAATACGTTTACGGCACCGCACTTCTCCGTTCGAACAACCAATATGCTTTGCCCAGTGTGTGTTCTGGTCCCAGTCGGTACCCGACCCCTTTGGCAGCACAACATAGGCCACTCCTGAAGTCGGTCTGGCGAGTGCTTCGCTGCAAGCCTCCCAGTAGCCTGTTGGCAGATTAGAGTCAGTAACTACTCCTTTTAAACGTTTTGCCGAGAAACATGGCGTCGAATCAGGGGTAGGCTCGCAGCCAAGAGAATAAAATAAGAATCAGGCAGGGGTAGGTAATGCACGATAGCCTCAGATCTTCCCACTGGGTTGAGTGATAAGTAAGCTCATTCCTCCTCCGCCAAATCCTTCATCACATGGCGTGAGATTTCAAAGTGGTATGTATTAGAACAAGAAGAGGATAGTTAAAGGGGCTGAGGGGGTACCTTTCTACTCAGATAAGCGGGAAAGTGACTGCTGATAGCTGTCTAGTCAGGTGATCCCACAGGATGACCAATATACGTGCCCAGGCTAGATACGCCACTGAGCACATATTCTGACACATGGTGACAGTGCTTCGACTGACAGCGACCGTTGCTTCAATCTCGTAGTTGTAAGTATGCATCGTCAGAGACCCAACGTCAGCCATGCTACCTATGTCATCAGGTGCAGGACGTGACGGGTCGATAAACCATAGCCCCCATTCACAGTCAATTCCAATTTGGATCACTAGCACAGCCGACTTCAGCTCTTGTCAGCTCCAGGAAGGCCACAGCCTTGTACTACATCACCTCACCAGTGGCTGGCAGTGATATCCTACATTAGGGTCTTGGCAGTCCTATATTGATGTATGCAATGTCATCGACTATTGCTTCACCATCTACGACGCCCTGCTCACACGTCACCGGTCCAGCTCAATCGGAAATCCATCACTTCTCACTACCTACTCTCCTCTCTATCCCAAGAGCGTCTTCCCATGACTGAAACGTACGACTTCATCCCGCCAGTGGTGTCCGCATCCGAGGCCAATGATATGGCCGAGCTCGCACGTGTACTTGAGGCCTGGGAGGCCGCGGAACCTCGTTCACCTGTGAAAGAAGAGAACAACTATCCCCTTGGTCCATTTCCAGCCTGCATTGAACCGAGCACTCGAGCTGGGAAATATCGAAGCAGCAGATTTTCTCTTGAAGCGGGTTCTGCCCATATCGCCCAGTACGTGCTTGCTGGCGCCTCTGCTGGTGTGTCCCTCTCCGAAGCTAAATAATTGAAAATTTCCTAGGTACACTCACCGCACTGGAGAACGGATGCAACGAGGCCTCGGATTGGAACACCAAGCCGTTCGATGTGCTGCTAGAGAATGGTTGGTATCCCGACTGGCGCTTCGGCCACATGGGAGACGCACTTATGTAGGTGATAGTACTAATATCGCACCACAATTATCCAGGGACCCAACACTAACGACACACGCCGCAGTCGACCAGTCTCAACGCGGAAGCTACCTCTAGTGAAGTACCTGCTAGATAAAGGGGCCGACCCAAACCGCAACCTCACACTGAACCGTTCACCACTGGAATTAGCGTGCGTACACGCGGATACCGAGATCCTGTCTCTACTCATCGCGCACGGCGCAGAAACCAAGGACCGCAGTGGGCTTCTTCTTGCAGCTAAGGAAGGGAAAACGGATATGATAGACGTCCTGCTCGATGCTGGTGCAGAAATTGATGCGCTGCCGAACAACAGGCGTGTCACTGAGAGGGTGGAGGCTGAGGATGATTGGGGGACGGCACTGCACGGTGCTGTTGAGCGGAATCAGGTCCAGTGTGTTCAGCACTTGCTTGCCAAGGGGGCGAGGCGGGATGTCAAGAATGCGGTGGGCTTGACGCCTTTGGAGTTGGCGGAGAAGAAGGGGTTGACTGAGTGTGCTGAGCTACTAGCAGAATAAGGTGACGGGCATCGTCTCTCTGGTGGGACTTTAGACATATGGTGGACGGGAGACGATCATGACGTACGAATGTTACACCCTCTTATGAAGGACAGGGCCCATGCTAAAAAACGAAAGCTGCCATGACAACCAGAGAGGAGCTGTCGTCTTCTTGACCAGGGCGACCCACCTCTACGCCCAGGAGGTGAATCACATTGAGCTTCTTGTGATCATGGAGATCCTCCACCAGCTAGAGTAGGGAGTATTCCCTGGGAGCGACGAAAACTGCGGACTAAACAACTCAGTCTCCATGGTAATCATGGCTGGGTATGCTACATCCGAAGAGTACTCACGTTCGGGCCGTATTCTACCTTAGCGTCGTCACAGTATTGCAACGAGTGGTATACATACGGTTAATTTCCCACTCAATCTGGAAGGAACGGTACTAATTCCCTTTCGTTTTCTGACAATTACTTACGACAGAATGGAAGGAGCATATGCGGCTTAATCTAAGCGAGCGGCTCAGAAGAATAAAACGTTCCAGAAAGGAGCAGCTTAATCGGATTGAGTGGGAGATGCTCTGAATGTAAGCCGCAAAGATACAGCAAGTATCTGGCTCGTTAGTGTTGCACGTCTGAATAAAGTAGGGGAATTGTTGCCACTCCTTGTAACTGGGTTACGGCGGTAAGGTAGCTTTTACGTCGAGAAGGGGGAACATATGGCGCCAGTCAGGGATCAGACCCGGGAGACCGGTGTTCTCAATTAAGCCATGCGGAGATATGGCAATTTACTAAGTATCATTATTATATGTAAACTTCCCCGTGATATACTCCATGCCTTTCAAACATGCCGCGTCGCAATCTCTCAGGGCTTATAGCCATCCAGGAGACTGCTGAACACGCGGCTGAGCACGCGCGATGCTCCATCCGACCGACCCGTCCTCCATCTCGTAGATGCTTCTTGCAGGCTCCTTTGCGGCCATCTCAGAAGGGTCACGCTCTGCGTCCAACTCAGGAGGGTTGGGCCTTGCGTGCATCTCATAAGGGTTATGCTTTGACTCCTTTGACTCCATCTCAGAAGGGTCACGCTTTGAGTCCATCTCAGAAGGGTAAGAAGGCGTCGCGATGGCAGGCGAATTTATAAACACACCGTCTCCGTTCTCCTTCGGCGGCGGTGGTGGTGGTGTGGGTGCTAGACGACGCCGGCGGCGGCGGCGGCGGAGGAGGAATGCAACAACGCTGGAAACAAGGACGATGACCACGGCAGCCACCACGATGCCGGCTATGGCGCCCGTGGGCAGGGTCGATGAACCGGAGTTGACCGTCGTCGACTGATTCCAGGGATCTCGTCAGCGCCAATAGAAACCCATAGTTTGGCAGGTATCAACTTACACCAGAGGTCTCGCCATTCGAAGGGCTTGTCGACTCCGTAGGGACGGCAATCCCATCAATAACGTGAGCGTAGACCTGGAACGGAGTCACGGTGGCCGAGGCCAACACCATCCCCGTGAAAGAAGATGGCCCGTAACCAGATACGGACGCAAATTGGCCCAAGGTCCAGTCACTATAACATGTCCCCCCGTAAGCAGGGCGATTGGCATCCACAGGCGTTGATGGCGGAGCGAGTAAATATTCTCTAGCTCATGATATCAGCTGTATTCGCCTAGGTTGCACATGCTCCTAGAGGACCTGCAGCGTGCGTACTTACGTAGGGCAGCATGCTTGATAACTGCCAGTTGCTGAGACCACGTGCCAACCAAACGGACAGACCAAGGGCTTCATCATGGGTACACGCGAGCCTACTTCCTTCGTATTTACCCGGTAGGTCTCGTAGTCCTGCAGGAACTCGGACGGGTAGCAGCCCGAGAACGTGCTCGAAGGAACTGGCACGGGCTCGTTGAGCCATATCTCATAGCCGGGCGAGGGCAGCATCGTGAGCTGTCCGCCGTTACAAGAGTCTGGTGGGATGAAAGTCGTCGTGAGAGGGATGGCTGTCGGGGTTGTGGTCGGCTGCTGTCTTGCTCTGATGTGGATTGAGTCTGTCGCCCTCAGGTCCTGCTGAGCCATTGCGATGGCTGCCGCCATCCATATCGTTATCGCGTGCAACATCACTGGCGCCATGTTCGAAAGCATTTGGCACTTCAAGCGACCAGCGTCCTGGGTGCTTGACCACGGTCTTGATGTGGTTCCGTGAGACGAAAGCTGCCCGACGTGTTTCGGCACCACATGGCAGGAATAAGAAGTTGAAGACCTGGAAAATCATCAGAAGTGTGTGCGAGGGCACTCAGTACCTTAATAAGCACCAACAGGCATGATTCCCTCTTTTACCCTAAGCAGGTATGCTTCCCTGTCTATGAGCAGGCCTGAGGCCCAGCCCAGCCCCAAAAACGGATCCTCGTGTGGTGGGGAGTTGAAGGGGTCGATGCAGTCGTTATTGGTGGACACCGGCAGAATCCTTCTGTCGAGTCTTTTTGCCAACGTTCGAGCACCGAAAGAGTGTGTCATGGCCGGTCAATCTGCCCGCTTTAGCAATGCTGACGAAGCAGGTGATCCTACACGTCTGAGCCGGGGGTGAACGAACCCCTGAGGTTGAGGTTCAGCCCTGAAAGACACATTGGCATCCTCTGATTCCTTAGGCAGAACCAAGTACCGATGTCCAATCCAAGCTGTCAAGTTCGAAGGCTTCTTTCGGTATATACAGCCCTGCCAGCGTCTGCACTGATACTCTCATACTGCTACCGACGCGCCGGTTGCATGAGCAAGGGAGAGAGGCAGGCAGTTGATAAAGCACTGCGTCGTGTCGTGGGGAGACCGAGAGAACGTGCGGCAAACACCAACCCAACCGGCCAAACCGGCATACGAGGAGAAGAAGACCTACATGTACGAGATAATGCTACCCCATTGCCCAGAAATCAAGGTGTCCGTCCATATGGCATCGGGTCGTTTTAACCGGCAATTGCCTTGAAGGATCCGCCCCCTTGCTCTCACCCAGACCATCCCTTTGACGCCCATTTCGGCACCAGGTTAATCCGTACCATACCCCAGTATCAGAGCATTAATTGGGTGCATAGACCCTGTAAGGACTACTGGTGCCGAAATGGGCGCCAAACTTCCAAAGGGATGTTGGACAGGTCGACGAGCTCGGCTATCAAGCTACTCCAGCTCCCTTGGGTTCCGCAAGCAAACAAAAGTCCCCAGGACTCCAAGTATATGTAACTCTATAGCAGAGCAGGCCTCTTGATTGTTGGATGTTTGCGGTCCAGTCTTTCAGCTTTGTCCTTGAGGTAGTATTAGGATGGGTACTTATTAAGGATGGCAAGGGATGCCTTCGTTTACCGGCACTTGATAAATATAGGGCATTTTGATGGGACGATGGGATCGTGCCTTGTCGGCCCGTCAATATGGTGTCTGCCAGTTGCAAGACTTCATACATACTTCCGCCGACTTGGTCCCCTCCTCCCTGTCAACCTTGTCGACGTCCTCCATAACCGCCATCGAGGTCCTCTCTCCCGTCTGGATGACAAGCGCGCTTGCAAGAAACGCCACCTCCCACCTCTCCTTTGGCAGGATTAGACTCTACACATGCCGCCAAATATAGATCTGTTGGGTATGAGTAAGTCGCTTACAATGAGTAGGTTTTCGTCGACCTCGTGTTATTATGCCGTGCATGATGGGGGTTGAAAAGCCGATGCGAGCGACGCGCCGATTGGATCAGTTCACTCCTATCGCACAATATATCTCCCTTCGGAATGGCCTTGACAGGGAAGCTGGCAATTCGTGTGATGAGAATGCACACATGGTATCCGTCATCGCCTGCAGGTTTATTATTACCCTTCACAGGCCTCGGTCATGACTCATGCATCGCATGTCTATGATATTTGTTTTTCAATAACCTGGTCTTGTGGTTATACGCACCTGCACGGCTGGGTTGTCGCCATGTCGCTCCTCCTGTCAGGGGTAGAACGCCTCAAACCCGAGGTGTGCCGGGCACGGGCTATCAATGGCTTTCAGGCAAACCATGCCAAGGGAGCAGAAAGCTGCATTACAGGCCAGCAGGGGCAAACCTCACCACTCGCCCCCAACTCTATGCGACGTGATGTAACTTGCCGCAGGAATCGATCCCCCAGGCTCGCGCAGGGACAACTGGGGGTGGCAGGTGTTGTTGCCCTTGCCTGACGCAAGTCCTCGAGTCCGTACAGCAGCTCTGTCACTGGGGACATCCTGGTTGACGGCGGCAGAACATCATAGCTTGTGGGATCTGGTATCTGGCCCGGTTGTCACTTCTTGTGAGTAAGAGATCCTCTTATTTGCTTGTACGGTTGCTGACTCGCGTAGACCGTGGCTCGCTTACGGACCTGTCTTCATGGCGGCCGGTCGATCAGCACCGTGCTATCCGAATTGGCAATCCTTCATCTACGATCTAGGCGTTCCAGAACCTCGGAAATCGTGCTCGCGAAACTCTGTCATCATGTCAGTGCTGCTTGCAATAGCTCCAAGCGAGGACAACGGAAGTCGTTCTTCAAACACATCGACGTGACAGCTCGTCAATACGATTGCACGTAATAACGATTGAATTTACAAGACAGACCCTCCTTGTGTCGCTCACTACATTCCGATATGGGACAAATCGAAACTTGTCAGCAACGTTTGCGTCATTTTGGCCGCTGGTGGAAATCCGTATGGTGTTGAGGAGAAGCGATTCACTCGTCATTTTTTACATTCCAAATGTGAAACAGTTCCTCCTCGGCGATGTCGGTGCCGCTAGGGACTTTTATATCGACGGAGTGTCTGCTCATCTGGTTATGGCTTGGACAGTGGTCACCTATCCTAACCCTAACTACAGTATCTTGGAGACTCTGGTAACGACGATCAAGTGGCATCGATTATTCAAGCTCAACCTGCGCCTGAGAAGCTCCCCCCTCTCGCCGCTTACGATCGATCGCGCTTCGCGTGCACGGAAGAAGGAAAAGAGCCAGTTGAATATGGAGAAAAGCCCTTGGAGAGCACGACTGCGCACTCACGCAGTAACTCTCTGGCGCTCTCTTGGTGTCATCGGTAGCAGAAGTGCGGCAAGGCTACTGAGCATGATGAGAATGGTGTTGGATGGAGCGCCATAGACCAAGCAACCATATCACTTCGGACGGAACGACCTATCTTCCAGATCTAAACCTGTCGACGCTTAGACTACATTGTACGGGTAGCGACTGCAGAAGAGGATTCAAGACATATACCAAGTAGTGGCAGACCCAGGGCACATCATGGAATCAAGAAGCTGTCGAGCTTCAAGGGATGGTAATCACGTTTTTGCGTGAGAGTTCTCCTCTATACTGCCTTGACGCCGTGGGCAAGAGGGTGTGTACACAGCTGGTCGGTCCGCATTTTTGCGAACGGGGGATCCAAGGAATTGAAGCATGATGGAGTAACTTCGCCGGGGCATGCGCGGCGCATTCGGAAACCGCCCGATAAGGTGCTCAGTTGTTCGATGAAAGAAGATATCGACGACGCTGTCTATCTACGCAACCAGCTGTCCGAGAGATGTGCCGCTGTATCGACTTGCCTGGCATGCTGGACGAGGCTTTCGACATATCGGCCAGACATCTTGGCTTTGATACCTGTGCAGGCCCGAAGTCGAGACGGTTATTGCTTTCCTCGGCTGTGGGAAGTTGACACGAAATGAAGACTGCCATCTTCTCTGCATGGGGCCTCGCACGGCGTCACCACAAGGCACTACTATGATTGGTCTGGGAAGATATTTGTCAAGCAGAGGGATATGGTAACAATGCTCGGATTAGATTGAGATGATACCGAACGGACTGGGCGAGAGTTCGGCGATAACTGGATGGCGGGCCCTTCGCCTGCCGCACAATGCTATCGCGCGGTATAATAAGAGCTGTTGCTCTTGCTGTGAGTAGCACGTCGGATCCACAACAAGCGAAGTACAGGCCGATCGTTGAAGAGGTCGGTGAGTTGGTCGTCTCAAGGGGACGAAGTTCGTGTTGAGGTTTAAGATGAACGAGCGGACGCGGTCATATACGTCGTCGGAGACACCATCTATCTAGCTGCGGTGGAGGTCGTCTCATATGATAGTCCAGAGCCCGGCATAGGGGTACGGCGCGGCTCCTCACTATGCATTTGTATAAACTGACAACATCAACCTCCGAGGACTATTGCTAGCCAAGCCTAGAGTCAACAGCGCCCATACGCACCGCTCTCAAAGGCCCGTGAGTCGGCGATATGGTCGGATCTTGATATGGCCAGGCTTTGCTCTCCGCGCCGGCGTTATCAGTCTCGAATGGAAACGACGGCGGCTATACGGAGTACGAGTACATGACCGCACTGCGTGATATATGTGCTACGTAGACGGCCTGAGAAGGCCAGCTGGGCTGGCCAACTCATGCAGCGAACTCCTGTTCTGTCCCGCCGTTGGTCCTGCATGATGCCCATCCACTCGAAGGGTCGTGTCATATACACCTACCTCCCAGTCCATCCTTATGCGGCAATAACCTACATTCGGCCAGCGCGCTGTCGACTCTACCTGGAGCCACGAGCTGACCGACACTGGAAGAACACGGTAGTCTGGCTGCTTGACGAGTTGTTCGCAGGGATCGTGCACGATGGCGACGACGTCTAGACGAGAGGGCTAACCAGGTGCGTACACTATGTGGACAATATTATGTGTACACCGCCGATCCCCCACCAATCCACCCATCACCACCCTCACCTTCAACAATTCCTAATAAATCGAATATAAGGCCATTCAGAACTTGAATTAGATCAAAATAATCTTTGGTTTGCTCTTTAATACTTGGTATACCAACCCCTTACGCGACACACTGCTGCGAGCCTGCGCGGGATCGACTTTATCAGCCTCTCAATCAAGCGCTCATCGATCTTTGCCCATGCATGCTCGATTATATCCTTCGCATATGCCTCATTGCTCAAATTGTCCTTCAGATCATGAAATTGAGGCTCTACTTTGTGTATCTTGTGTTTTAGAGCGTTCCAAACGTGCTCGATCGGGTTCAAATCTGGTGAGTGAGGCGGCCACTCGATGGTCCAGATACCGTGCTCCTCTGGCCATCTCTTACACGCGTTCAAAGTATGAATATGGGCATTATCTTGTATATAAAGGTCCATAGGCTTATAAAAAGGCAGTAATCCTTTTCCCAGAGCCTTTAAATATGACTTAGTAGTTATTCTGCCGCAAAGAGAGGCCAGATCGTCTTCCATCATTACCAGCTTGCCCTTGCCATTTTTGTCACTGCGTAGCCAGATCATACCCTAAACCATGATAGAGATTTTGGCTTCAACGTGTTCCCGCGGATTCACAAGGTCGTTTTGGTACCTTTTGGATGAGAGGCGGATGACCCAGGAGCCTGGAAAATCGGGTAAATTCTTTACCATACACTCGTCTGAATAGAGGGTGTTTAAAAGGAGCTATAATCCTTCACTACTGCCAAATTAGCGTGCGAATACGAGTCTCTTATGGGCGTCTTTAGCAGTGAGCTCAATTTGTTTCGCAGCGCGCCATTTCCTCAAATTGTTGCAATCTAGGAAGCGCCGGAGGGTGGCAGAGCTCGCCGGCGTGCCTCCTTGGATACGGAGGTCCCCGTACGAGATTCTGGGCTTCCGGCAAGCCAGTTGAATGATGTGAGTGGCTCGCCGGCCTTTAATAACCTGGGGACGTCGTTTATAAGGTCTCCGTGTAAAGATTTGTTGTTCTTTGAAACGTTCGATCTGGGTAGCTACCATGGCATGACGGCAGCGAAACGCGCTGGCCCGTCTTGGTCGCGCCGCCCACCACGGCTCCGCACATGAACGCGCGAGCTTCTGAAGTGAATTCATCGTTTTTGCCGCGATTTCTGCTCAAGGCGAGCCCAAATTCGTGTAATCCTTCCATTATTTAACTATGTTATGATTGTTTGAAAGAAGAGGGTGATGGTGGATTGATTTTGACGCGTCTGTGGGTCAGTGTAGAGTATGTACAACTTAGGCAACGAATGAGACAATGTTCAAGTAGATGACTGGATACTTGCTGACGCACAGTACCGAGGAGCAGACGCCAGAGCCGCACGTGGTATAAGCCTCGAGCTCCAAAGCTGTGCGGCTACAGATCTCGAATCACTTATAGGCGAGCCGTCGCATGTATATGAGCGTAACTCGGGCAGCATTATCCCGAGATCGGCGTACGGCGAGGCAAATGGATCAAGCGGTTTCGGTGAGCCAGACTTGGCATCACGACCACCATTATCCCAAGAAGGCTGTGGTCAGTACACGGTAGCTTGCTTCTATGAGTCCGCAGCTCCCGAACGGTAACATCGGAGGATTTCCATTTGTACTGCGACCACAGAGTCGCAGCCGGAGTTCGAGAGAGGAAAGCCGCATGACCCGGCCCCAGTGTCACGAGCCCTTTGTCAGTGTCTTGCTATCACACCGACTGCTCTATCTACCGTACGACGAAAACGATGGAGTTTGGAGGTGATTATTTTAGTCTCAGGTAAGTGATCGGCGGAGCCTCGACCGAGCTAGACCCGACTCGCCGCTCCTCTCTGTAGAACTCTGGATGCTGACGGCTGGCCGATGGGCGATATTGGGGCCGGCTTGTTCGTGATATGAGCATTATACTAGGTATTGTCATACTGCATGGTTGAGTGAGGGAATAGGGGGGCCTAGCTGGAGCACGGAGCACCGAAGTGGCGGTGCCCACGGCGTCGAAGCTGTCGTGATACTTCAGTGTTCTTATTATTACCGCTCTGGAGCCTGCGGATTGCCGCGGTTTGCGAGCTGCCATGTGGATAGCTGTGTTTCAAGGAGTCTCTCGCTCTTTGTATCAAATCACTCCTTCCTCTTCCACCCGCGGCCAAGACTCACGATGAGGTAGCTGTAATGCCACCGAAAAGGCAATTCGGGAAGTCCCAAGATCTTGAGTTTGGCAGTCAGAGGTCCTTGTTGGGCATAACGGATGCGGGGGAGATACGCAATCAGCGAAGCGAGTAAAAGCTTGGTTACTTTGTTGGCAATTTGGCATGCTGCTTGCCGCGTTGCATCAGTGCATTTCTTTGTCGTTTGGACTTACAGAATGCAGAATGCAGAAATGCGGAATGCAGCTTGACGGCTTGGCCGGCTCGGCTCGATTGATCAAGCTTCTCCGAGCGGGTTCCTCTCTGACTCTGGTCTGATAATGACAACCGCTCCTCGTCGGGATGAGTTGACATGCAGGTCATAGGAGAAAGACGGACTACCCCGCTATTACTGATCAGAGATGACGGATCAGGTAGGTAAATCATAGCTGAGATGACCTGAAATTGATTATATGTCTTTGCATTTCGTGGCTCCTGTTACAGACACGGGGTCGCGTTTCACCAGGTGACCTGAACGGTGATTCGTGAATGCAGCTCTACAGTGGTCATCAAGGGGATGAGGAAATTGGACACAGCAAGTCGAGGCAAGTGTAGATTCCTCGACGCCGATCGCCCTAATTCTCGGGCCATTTATCAATGCACTCGAGCCTTATTACCATGTATGGCTTTGCTTCATGCCAGAGCCTTGACAGTGATGCATGCAGCGACTATGCTGTCAAGATGAATATGATTACTTTAGGAATAAGGTATGTCTTCGGGCCGTGATAGGAGGTACTTATCGGCTGGAACGGGGGTATCCATTAAACGGGGCGGCTGAACCGGAGGCCAGCCCGGCCAACAAGAACAATCATTGATGGGAGAGCCGACTACTGACATGTTCCAGAATCATGTACGAAGGATCCTGGATGAGTGAGTCCGTCCCCTGTCGTACAGCTTGCACCATTAGTCAGTCACTTGAGGTACTTTTCCCTTTCCTATGACTTTGTCTCTGGTGCGCGCGCCCTTTTCAGCTCACTTTCGCCTTGCTGATTTAGACCCCTCATTTTAGCGGCCAACATTTGGACCTCTGGTCAGGTTGGATAATGAGCCGAAGCCCAAGTCCAAGGGCATCGAAGAGGGTTTCAGTTGGGACTATGATACTCCTCGCTCTTCCCGGGTATGGACTCGACCTCTGCAGGTGGTCACAGGGCTTCTACTTCATGTTATTAGCCCTCTCCTGAATTGTTCCGTGTTTGCTGAACCGGCAGTAACGATGGCATACATAAGGCTGCCCTTGCAACTTTTCAGGGGTCGTAGTTTTGCTTTTCGGTGAACAGGAGAGGGCGCACCCTTCAATGTTGATAGTAGATGCTTGATTGTGTATTGGCTTTGTCAGTTGTCAGACTGTGATACGCCCTTGGGATGTAAGGCGTAGGCTCAGATATCTGGCTTGATTGATTAATCAACAACAACATAGGAGTCAGAGGGAACAGGCGGAAGTCGACGGGTCTCATTGGTACCTACCTGGCAGTACGCTCTCCCCTTTATCACGCACGTTCCACGAGGTATCCATCAGGTTCATGAAGCTTGGACTCGGGAGTGCAAAATCCACTTTTTCAGTCGTGCCCAAGGCTCTCACAGGCTACAGGCGCCTAATCGCGCAATCTGCCCAACCCCACCAGCCCACCAGCCCACCTGGCAGCGGTCCAGATAGGGAGGTACACCGCCCAACTGCCCTCCCCCAAATGCCTGCTGCCAACTGCCAACTGCCTGCTGCCCACCGCCCGTGCGTTCATTCCACACTGGAGCACAGCACAGCTGCAGGTGCCTTACAGTTGACCGACTGACCCGCAAGCACCCGCAACACGCACTGGAACCCGCAACCACCGACCGGCCGTCTGCAGTGCTGCACCCACAGCCAACCCAAATCCAAATCCATCCACCCGCCGCCTTTTCCCAAACCTTCCCTCTTCCCTACCAGTCTCCCATCCTCCCTCTCCAACCCACAAGAGAGAGAGAGGCGTGATTCACCCACCGGCCCGTCACGTCGTCGATTTCGAATCACTTCTCCTCCTTGTTTTCTCTCCTCGTCGTCGTTCTGCGCGAACATCTTTACTTCAATCCGCTGTCTGGCTGGATTCACTGTTCAGTGAGGAATCAACTCTGATCGCTCGGTAAGCAGCCTCCAGCCTCCATCCATCCCCTCCCCTCTCGTTTGCCTCCCTCTTCCTGTCCCAGATCGGGGTCCGCCATCCAACCAACCAGCCTGCCAGCCAACAATCCATCCATCCACACATCTCCCTCATCACGCAAGCCCACATCCAGCAACAGCGTCACCTCTGCCGCAACCTCGCTCTGCCATCCTGCTGATGCTGGTGCTGCGTGCGTGCTGCAACAAACGATTGCATCTTCCTCAGTCACCAACCACTCGTACACTGCTCCTGAGTCTCCGTAAGGCTATCATCCTCCGTCTTCCAAGGCACACATCACACTGCCTTGGCAATCTGGCATTTCACCCCCACCGCCTTTGCGGTAGCTCCTGGATACACTTCCTCTAACTCCCCCTCCATCCTCATTGACCGCTTCTCAACCTCACATATCGCCAAGAACCACCTCCCACCTCCACACCCCTTGAGCTAATGCCTTAAGCTAACGATAACCTGATCAGATCGCCCCATTACGATCACTTCCGACTACACAAATCCCGGACCTCTTCCCCCGTCCTCGACCGCTCAACGAGAGTCGTCGAGCTCCTCCTACTCCGAACAACCCAACGATATCCGAGGGCAGCTTGTTGAGCTCCATCCATTACCAGCATCATGACTACCATGGTAGGTACCATGCCCTTTAAAGTTCCCAAATCCCATTCCGCTGGCTGTGGAAACCTGTCAGTGTGGCAAATAGGCCGCGCGGGTCGACAGAGCGTTGGTGTGCACTGTCGTACTTGGCTCCTCCCCAACCCCGAGAGTTGGCCACGATTCGAGATCGATCCAGCACATTAGCAACAACCCTGCTCAACTGTACTAACCAACTTGCTTCAGGATCTCCGCGTCGGTAACAAGTACCGCATCGGCCGAAAGATCGGTTCCGGTTCTTTCGGTGATATCTACCTCGGCACCAACATCATCTCCGGTGAGGAGATTGCCATCAAGCTGGAATCCGTCAAGGCCAAGCACCCGCAGCTCGAATATGAGGCTCGAGTTTACAAGTCCTTGGCTGGAGGTGTCGGCATTCCCTTCGTCCGTTGGTTCGGTACCGAGTGCGACTACAACGCCATGGTTTTGGACCTGCTCGGTCCCAGTCTGGAGGATCTGTTCAACTTCTGCAACCGGAAGTTCTCACTCAAGACGGTCCTCCTCTTGGCCGATCAGCTGATCTCCCGCATCGAGTATATTCACGCCAAGTCCTTCATACACCGTGATATCAAGCCCGACAACTTCCTCATGGGAATCGGCAAGCGCGGCAACCAAGTCAACGTCATTGACTTTGGTCTGGCCAAGAAGTACCGCGACCCCAAGACACACTTCCACATCCCTTACCGTGAGAACAAGAACTTGACCGGCACGGCCCGATACGCGTCTATTAACACTCATCTGGGTGTCGGTATGTTGACTATTGTCGTCATGGGTAAATACTAGCCTACTAATATGTCATAGAACAATCTCGTCGCGATGACATGGAGTCGCTGGGCTACGTCATGCTCTACTTCTGCCGTGGCTCTCTCCCCTGGCAGGGTCTGAAGGCTGCTACCAAGAAGCAGAAGTACGACCGCATCATGGAGAAGAAGATGACCACACCTACCGAGGTTCTGTGCCGTGGCTTCCCCAACGAGTTCGCCATCTATCTCAACTACACCCGCTCGCTGCGCTTCGACGACAAGCCCGACTACAGCTACCTCCGAAAGATCTTCCGTGATCTGTTCGTCCGTGAGGGTTTCCAGTACGACTACGTCTTTGACTGGACCGTCTACAAGTACCAGAAGAACGCCCAGGCCATCGCCCAGGCTGCTGGCCAAGGTGCTGACGAGGACGACAAGGCTCGTGCCGGCCGAACTGCGGCCGCCACTGCCGGTCAGACGGCAGCTTCGGGTACCGTCAAGCCGGGCGCCATTCCCAGCTCCCGCCGTAAGGTGATCGAGCGCGCTGGTGTTGACACTCCGGAAACCAACCGTGCCGTCGGGGGAAGCGACAGGATGTGAGTGCCTCGCCAGCCCCGCCCAGCCAAGTCCAAAGCATTCCTAGTAAGGAATCATTTTCCTTCGAGTTTGGTGTGATTCATAACGCTGGCCGGAGGAATTGCTGACATGATTGCTGACGCTTCAGTTTGCGATAACAGGCTGCGGTCAGCTTCGAAAGGTCAAGGCACCGGCTCCGGATACGCCTCGGGCTCGTACCGTCCCAAATGATTTCAGCACCGTCGCTTTGGTACCGTTCGTCGCGTTGTGGTGGCAGTAACGATTTACGATCGGCACAACAGGAATCCTCCCGTCTTCCGTGACGACCTCGCCGTTCCCCGTGTCTCTGGCTTTGCAAAATCCACCCCCGTGGATCTTGGGCCGAAGATTACACAGCCGAGGACCACGCGCATCATCACTTTCATATCGTATGGATTGCTATTGTTTCCGTTCTTCGACGACTCTCTCGGCTTATGACTCCATTTCATGGCTCGGACAACCCAGGGACTCGAGAAGGCGTGGTTTTGTGTCGGCCTTGCCGTTACATACTGCGTCCTTGTTGACTACCACCCTGAGCTTGTCTGAACGGCACTGCCGGCATCCTAAATTGCCCGGGGTGTCGGTGACCATGTTGTCGAGTCTATCAAGGCCCGTCGACCTCGAGCTCTCTAACGCTCATCGAGGAAGACACCTATCCGGAGATGTGGGCAGGCCACAAATCAGAATATTATCAGCCGACTGTGCTGATCCTGCCCCTCGATGCGACACTTCAGCCTTCCGATATGACCCGGCCTCGGGTCAAATTCAGTTTTCGTTTTCTTTCGTTTCCTAAGACACTTTCATGTTCGGTTGCTGGGCTAGTCGCGTCGGAGTGCACCCCCGTGGATGCGTAATAAGGGAGTGCCGATCTCGGCAACTCCCCGTCGGAATTCTACGTCTGGAACCCCTGCAAGGTTCCCAGTCAGATATCCTTCAGGGAAATGGCCGAGGACGGGGATGGGGGGAAGACAAGTGGAAGCAGATTCACTCCTTCACTGCTATCCAATCTACGAGGATACGTGGAGGTGTTGGCCAGGCGTCGCGATCCCCTTCGCTTGGCAAGAGTCTGGAAAACATGAATCAGCACCCTGAGAGCCATGGTATCCATAACGGACCACGGCTTGTCAATGACATTCCCTTGCTGACGTCCGTCTCTTCTGGATCTACTCGGTGGTCTAGTCAGCTTCAGCCGCCAAATGCCACGGGAGGTCGGAGGAGATGCCGACGTGTGGCTGCTGTTGGTGGGTAATTGCTGCATGAAGAGAAATAGTCATGGACAGGGGGCTGGTGAGGTTCCGCCTCTGAACTCCGAGAACGATAGGTCGGCAACCAATACACGCTAGGTAGTTACTTAAGATTGAGTTTTGACTTAATGCGTGACGACTCGTTCGGAAGCTCAGCAGGTTATTACATGCCTTGTGTACCGTTCGATCAGGCAACTCGCCGTGATGCCATCTCCATCAGCTGACAACAGTCAGGTAGGTTACGGCGGGGCTGTGGGTGGTCACATGCAGCACGAATACCTGGACAGACGGCCCAATGTAGTATATATTTGTCTGGTCGTGGCCTTGCACCCCGTTGATGCCACTTTGCCACGCTCTTCACTTTCTTACACGGGTAGATGTCGACGACCCTTCTTTTTGGACAATTCAAAGTGATAAGTACAGATGCCACCGAGTGCGGGGAAGAACTGAGAGCATCTTCATTTTTGTTATAGTACTATGTAGGCTAACCTCATAACCAGCCTTACTTCGCCTGATCTATTTACTTTGGAAGTTACCTAAGGGGGCCCATCATTCCTCCCTGCTAGTCCCGGTCACTGCATCCAGGCCTTGCCAGGCTGCCCGGGCTCCAGCTCCCCCGCCAGGATCTAATCAACATCCTTGGCCCTTGGAATCCGGGAGCTCGACAACTCCAATCATCCCGACACAGACGATCGCGGGTGTTCTATAATCAACCATTTCTACCCGGATACCCATCTACACTGCCATTCCTATGGCCGAAGGCACGCAGGCTCCGACGCTGGACGTCTTCATTCTCACCTTCAACGCTGCGAAGCACGGCATCAACGTCCCCGTCTACGCGAATCACCTGTACCATGCTTTCGGACAGAATGCCACGAGCCTCCCAGAGCTGGTCGTCTTGTGCGTTGCCCATACTGGCCGTCCACTGGGAGTCTGGGACACTGGGACATGGCTGACACGGTCCGACGAGTTACAGCTGCATCCAGGAGATGGCGCCGCTCGCCGAAGCCTTCATCGGCTCCTACATGCTCAGCCCATACTTCCAAAACTTCGAATCCGCCGTCAACCTCGCAGCTGCCAAGTACGTAGCCGAAGAAGAGCGTCAGCGCCGACCGAAAGACCGCCCGTACACGCTCATGCGCACACGCAATGTCGGCATGACAGGCATCATGCTCTTCGCCCGCGATCCGGCCGCTGTGCATAATATCCAGGCAGCTGAAGTTGGCTTTGGAGCCGGTGATATGGCCAACAAGGGAGCCGTCGGCCTTCGATTGCTCTACACCAAAGAAGACGCAGGCGGTGATATGCGGGAGACGGAGCTTACCTTCGTGGGCACCCACCTGTCGGCCATGGAATGGAATCTTGAGAAGCGGAACAAGAACTGGGAAAGCATTGTTTCTGGCCTCGTCTTCCAGGACCCAAGGGAGTTGACCAACGGCACATCTCCACATATACAAGGAAATGGCGAGGAAGCACAGGCACTCCTTGAGCAGGACTCGACCGAGAAGGCGTTGCACAACATATCCATCTATAAGCCCGGTACGAACCTTTTCGTCGCCGGTGACCTCAACTATCGAATATCCAAGACATCGCCTGACTCCGATTCCGTCTTTCCCGATCACGACCCCGAGAGCCCGAATCACTACCGCCACTTCCTGCAACGTGACCAGTTGACGGCCGAGAAGGCAGCGGGACGTACACTGCACGGGCTAAGCGAGGCAGAGGTCAAGTTCGCGCCAACCTATAAACTCGTCGTGTCGCCCAAGGACCAGCCAGAGACAGAGTTGGGCCGTATCGCTGAGGAGGTGGAGGAGGAGGTGGATACTGTGTCGCATACGTTTGCGACTCACCGGTGGCCTGGTTGGTGTGACCGCGTGTTGTATCTTGATATTCCCTGGTGGACACAAAGCCCCGCCGGGGAGCGAAACAGGATGAGAGTCACGGCCTACGACTCGACGCCTGCCGTTAGGACCAGCGATCACAAGGCTGTCTTCTTACGCATTGACGTCCCGGTGCTCGAGCCATCCAAGCTGGCGCCGGGAGACTCAGCAAGCGAGGCAGAACTAGACTCCAACGGCGGCGTGGACGTCGACCCTCGTGTCAAACTACCTTACCCCATCGATCTGGCCTCATGGGGTCATCGAGCGCAGGTCAAGAGATGGGAGTCGGTGATCGGCTGGTCGATGCTCGTCTCGCAGTCGAAGCAGGGCATCGCCGTCCTCGTTACGGTGTTCCTTGTCGGCATCGGAACATGGTGGCACAGGGCGCAGTAGGGTTCGGCCTTTAGGTACACTGCGCGCACGACGGCCGGCTGGTGGCGTCGGCTTATGCGCCCGGTGCTTTCCAACTTGCATGGCGCATTATACAGGAGTGCTCGCCTCATACTATTGCATAGTAGTCAACTCGCTCTTCCCACGCCATCGCGGACTACGGTTTTCGCCTTCCTGTGCGGGGTGGTTTTGTCGTAGCTGAGAAGGCATCTGGCGAGCGGTGTCTGCCGGCTTTTCTGCACTTGTGTTGCTTGGGAATGGGTTACATGGTTTGGTTCCTCATGGGGTTTTCATGGGTGCAAGTGGTGCGGAGTTGCATTGGAATTGGGTCATCGATGGTGTGTGGTGGTGGTTATATCCATAGTATTACACAAGGTTAGAGACATTCTATATAGAGAGCAGTTCGCAATAGACAACGAACGGGTGAAAAGTGTTTGCTCATCTTGGGAGAGCCGTGGGAGAAATGTGTTAGATCTGAGCTCGGAACATTCTTTTCATTCCGGATACGGATGTTCCACGTCACCCCAGGGGTTGTTTCGTCGAGGGTAAGGGCAGGTAAGTATGTCCCTTTGTCTCGATAAAGTGTCTCTTTCGTCGCTCACACAATCAATCATTCTAGCTTTTCAACCTCAGCGAGCTTACAATGTTAGCTTTCCGAAATGGTAGCTTACTTCTAAGCTTGCACGCAATTCAAGACCGAAGCGATGGCCGAAAACCCAGCCAGGAGCTTTGGTGAACGGGCCCGGTACGAGCGCCGGGCCGAACTTGCGAAACTGACTCGAGATAAGAAGGCCGACCTCTCCCTCATCCTGGGCCTCTCATGGCGGGTCAAGGGCCGCCAGGTGCACATCGACTACAGCGGTGGCTTGGATACGGCCAAGATACGGGGTAAGATCGCCTCCTCGGTGGGCAAGCTCAACTTCTCCAACGCACTGCCGAGCGTCCCGCCGCCGGTCCCGACCGAGGTTAGGCCTGAGGAGGGAGAAAAGAACGAACCTCAGGCGCAGCAAGACGAAGAAGGGAAAGCACAGCTGCCGAGCCTGAAAGACGCGCTCGTGCAAGCTGCACCCGTGGATTTCCAGTGCGGTCGCGGGCCCTGCTGGCGCGCAGAAGGGGGTCGCGAGACGACCGAAGCTTACCACGCGCGGCTCGACGCCGAGACGTGGCGCAAGCAGGTCGACTTCGCGGGCATCCTCTCGCAGATCGACACGACGGCGCTCGCGGAACACGCCCACAGCCTCCTGGAGAACTTGCGGGCCGCCGACGAGGGCAACCCGCCCGGGCACAAGCGGCCCGAGCTGGCCCTGCCGCAGGTCAGCGCGCCCTTCTTCGGCGACGCGCACGTCTTCTACGTCCTGCAGTCCTGGGACGACCGCAAGAGGGAGTTCGTCAAGTGGGTGGTCAAGATCCCGGCGACGGGCACCCCTGATACCTGGGACAGGCTGTCGGCCGAGACGCTGCGCACCGAGGGCCTGTTGCTCAGGATGCTGGAGGAGCAGACGAACATACCGGCCCCCAGGATCATCGATGCGGACCCGAGCCCGCACAATACCGTCCACGTGCCGTACCTCATCATGGAATTCGTGCAGGGCCGCCGCCTCGAGGACGTGTGGTTCGGGGTCGGCGAGGCGGCGCTGGACGCCGAGGCGCTTAAGGACCGCCGCCTTAAGATCCTCGAGAACGTAGCTATGGCTATGTTTGAGCTCGGCAGGTTTGAATCCGGCGAGGGTGGCTCGCCCCGGTTCGCTCCCACTGGGGAGTTTGCCGGCGCGGGCGCCCTGCAGGAGCTCGACGTCCAGGCCGTGGTCGAGCGCTGGTTCGGCACCGAGGACTGCGAGCGCACGCCGCTACACGCGGCCGTCGGGCCCTGGGACGAGCCGCGGGACGCGTACACGGCGATGTTGGACACGTATCCGCCTGGCACGGAGGCCGGCGAGGGCGTGGACAGGCTCTTGCGGCTTCTGATCGGGCTGGTGCGGGAGCCAGGGTTGAAACGACGCAACGGCGTCAAAAAACCGCTGGTGAAAACAGGCAGGCAGGAGAGGAAGAAGCCCTTTGTACTCGCCCACCCTGACCTCAGCCTCCGCAACATCATTATGGACGCCGACGGCGACGGCACGACCATCCGGGCCTTCCTGGGCTGGGACGGCGCCCGCGTTGCGCCGCGCTCTCTGGGCAACGAGGCCCTGCCGCGCTGGCTCGTCCGCGACTATAACCTCTTCGTCTGGCGCTGGCGCGCGTCGCCCGACTTCTGGCGCGTGGGGGGCGGCCACCACGTCCCGCCGGCATGCAACCGCGCCGAGGACGCGCCGTGGGTGCTGCGTGAACTGAGGGACGCCTACGTGGAGGTTGTTGGGAGGTTGAAGAGTGCTGGTAAGGGAGGAGGGGATGATGGCGGCCGTGAGGGTCGAGAAGAAGAGCCAAGGGACAGAGACAGAGAAGGGGAACGGGTCCACGTTAACGTTACTAGGCAGTCGCTGCTGGCGCTCTCGCTGGACGCCGCGGCTCGCGACCCCAGGTGTAGGACGGCGGTGCTGAGGCGGGTGCTGGAGAAGTGCTCGCGGTCGTTTGGCGAATTCGACTTTGAGCGCCTGGTCGGGATCTTGGGCGATGGACAGCCGGTGGATGGGTACACGATGAAGTGTCTGAGGCGGGGGGTGCGGGAGTTGGTTGAGAATGGGTTTGTTCGGGGTGCTGTGGTTTGCTAGATGGATGGTGAGGTTCTGATGGGTTTTTTGGTCCTGGTGATTGACCTGGGTCGACGGGTCGGGTTGGAAGACTTGCTCGGCTACTACTAACGTTACTGCTATTGTGAATGGGTTCCGTTGCTCCATGTGGGGAGGCTTGTTCCAGTGTAAGAGTAAAACGTTATTCATATACAAATTCACTAACCAACATGCTTCACACCCTTGACACGGTCACTGAGCATTCTGCATAAATCCCAGGCTTCGTGCCTACAACAAGGGAACACGACCAGTGCCATAGTCAGCCAGATACGTATTTCTACCTCCTAGCTCAATACTCACGACTCAAGCGCTAGGGTTGAAGACGGCATCCCAGCAACTCAAGAGGAACGAAGGCCGTTGGTCCCCAATGTTCTAGTGATACTGGTGATCAATAATTGTATTGGACGAGACAGTTCAGAGACGGGTGGTGGTAAGAGTCACACGGGCTGGGTGGAATGCAAACAATTACGCATGAGAGGTGAAACTGTATTCGAGGAGATGCGCCGGGCAGTTTCTGTCACCGCCGAAATCGTCATCTCATAGAGGACGCATCGTCACTGCGGTCGAGTCTTGGAATACTTGATCTTTTCGCGGCCTAGTTACACCGCCACGCGTGAGTCGTCCTCACTTGGCTCTCCTTCATGGTCGGGGGCTCTTGCCTGGGTCTATCTATCCACTCAATCGACCTTCTGGTAAGAGCGTCGTCTACTCTGTGAATGTTGACCTTTTATTTTGATACATGAGCAACAGGGCAAAAGCCTTTGCTCTAGGGGCTCATCGGAACATTCTCGGAGCAGTGCAAGAAATGCGGTCATTCCGCTCGGGGAATAGGACCATGTGCTAGTAGGGCAAGCAAACAGGTACTACCATGACACCAATGGCAAAGTTGCTCACATGGGCAGTGACACAATTTATATGATCCTTCTAATTCTGCCTACGTCTTCTTCTCTTTCCACCACGATCCTCGAGCATACGGTGCCTACTTCGAACACAGTCAACATCAAGTATCCATACCATTCCTTCTTTCCGGAACTACTCTTTCAAGAACTTCACCATGCAGATCTCGTCCCTCTTCCTAGGCCTCCTCGGTCTCGCGCTCGGCACGGCCATACTACCGCAGCGCAGAACCACAGAAACTATCACCTACACGCTCCCCGACGGCCACGGCGTGAACGGCACCATGGTCATCGACAAGTCCAAGGCGAAGGACTACTTCAAGAGCGCCACGGCGTCGACCTCGACCAGTGCTTCCACGGAAACAACTACCACGAACTCCCCGAGTCGCTGACCTACACCTACCAAGAGGACAGCGGCGTGGTCGGTTCCCTCACCACGCACAGCGCGCATTCGAACACGGGCAGTGTCGATGTTGCGGACGATGTCCCGCAGTGCTCGCAGGACTGCTCCAAGTGGTGTTCCGGGACCATCATACTGGGCCCTATCTACTGGATATAAGTTATCACCTCTTGGGCTCTGCCTCCTTGTCTTGGAGGGTCATCATTTGTGCTAACACGCTTCAACAGAGGTGGTACGTTCCTACTTCTGGCTGCATTCATATGCGTGACTTGTACTGACAGTGATGATTCGTAAGTCGGTATCTGTGTGGACGCCCACTGCTGATCTACCATGTCAGGTTGACAGCATGGTTCCCTCGAGCTGGGTATGGGTCGGACTGCTGGCTTGCGGGGGGCTTCCCGGGCGTGGAAGGAGTAAACTGTGGTAATTGAGTGTAATCAGAAATTGGTGCAGCGATGATTCCGGTGGCATCCTAATATACTGTCTGGTTTCCAAATCCGTCTGCGACTCGTGCTGCATGTTGCCCATACCGGTCCATGGATTCCTTACGATATCGACTTGATGATCCGTATGAGCCCCTCTGCCACCTTCTCTCCCATCAAATCGTAGCCGGCGGCAGTCAGATGCACACCGTCGCTGTCCCAGTACCTTTCTCGATCTTCGTCACTCATCGCGTGGTATGGAATGGCCTTGTGCAAGTCAAGAGTGTAGCTGTACCAAAGCATTAGGCTCCTTCATCTACCAGTTCGAAGGCTGATTTAGCAATGGCCTGATAACACGACACTTACAAGCGTGGATGGCTATGTGCCATGATCGCCTTATTCACCTCGTCTCGGCGGTCATTGATCCTCTGAATCTTGGCCCTGTACTCCGGCACCGTCATGGCGAGAACTCGGCCGCCTTCTGTCAGTGCGATATCCCAAGTGTTCTCAAGCGCCGCAATGACATCCTCCGCTTTCTTGTTCCAGGTAAGGTCACTGCCCATTCCTAATTAGCTCAGTCAACATACTGGCACTGCGGTGTAGGTGGAGTCTACTTTGAGCCTCCTAGCACAATTGTCCAGTCGAACGGCCTGTCTGCCACAGCCCCTTTTCGACGCATTAGCACTGCTGCATTGCAAAGCTTCACGGAGTTTAACGTTGAGTCAAATCTGAGGGACTAGAAACTTTCAACTGACACGAGGTCTCTAGCCGCTTATCAAATCCTCCCTGAGTCACTTGGTCACCTTCTCTCCCTTGCACATCGCATTCTACATCGTAGTGCGGGAGTGCCCCCTCAAGCTTCTCCTTGAGCTTCAATGCGTAGGGGTGCAATGATGGTGACCCTGCCGTGAGTGAATCTCCGATACATAGGATGTTGAATGGAACCTTTGCCATAATCGGCACGCGAACATGGGCTTCGGTCTGAGTAACGGATAGATCAGCGACTGAGTTATGAGGCAGCCGGTGGGGCATGTGAGTTTAAAAGAGGTGAAGCATGACTTTGCTGGGTATCGACGGTCGATTGTCTTTTGGTGGCTGCAACTCGGTCCATATCAGCTTCTGTAAGGGTCAAATGTTGGGGTTTGGGGCAATCGATACAGTAAGCCAGTCAGCCCCATCTGTGTGACTCGGGGCGATCCGTCAGATCTTCCTGGGTCCCACAAAATTCTGGACTTGACTGACCATAGGGATGTCTCCTTTGGGCTTTTTGCAGTGTTACTCGCCATGGAGGCTACATGCAGCATGTCATCGGAGGCGGGAGCTGGAGTAAGGACTGAGCGACATACAAAGGGGGCTCAACGGATCTATATGAGAACGGCAGGTCCACCTATTGGATCACCATTCAATATCCGGCGCTTCATCGCATGCCCCCTTCACCCTAAGGGTCATAGCTCCCATTCTACGTAGCTGGGTGGTCAGCCTAAACACAAGCACAAGCTGCTGGGCTGCTACACCTTCTACTTGGGTTCGTGCTCGAGACTGAGGTATCGGGCTTCTTGTCTACGCCAAGCAGAGCAATCATAGTGCTTTTGGCCAAATATTCGCTCGTAGTGATAGCAATGGTTGGCGGCGGCGCAGAGCCTCAGACAAGGGCCCCTTGTAGGGAATATTGAGGGTGTGCCATACTCTAGTAGGGTCCCTGTTGACCGCAAGAGCCGTACAGGGCCAAGATCGAATGACAACGTCGCTTAGTCTGCTGCCGGATCCTCCTTTCTCTCGAGTTGCGGACTGGCTGAAGACCCTGGGACATAAACAGAGTACTTCCAGACTTCGAAGCAAACCCCAGTTTGTCGTCTCCTGAAGAAACAACCCTTATGCCGCCGCACAAACCAGCAATTTCTCGCTGATGCAATGAAAGAGTGACATTCTCCGCACCTTAATTCAGAAGAATATGGTCAGCCTCTCTTATCGGTTGGAAGTCATGTTCTGGGCATCGTCTCACCCCGAATTCGTTGCCTCATTTTCGTTGCCTTCCCTGGCTTACTGACTGCGCACTCAGCGGCGGTCAACCCACAGACAAGGTCACACCACAGCTTGGCAGAGGCTCACAGCCGATCGGAAGAGGCACTGTAGAAGAATGGCATCAATTGGTCGGCGGCGCAGCACAGCCTGAGATGGGGATCATGTCTTTTCGCGACGCGGCAGGGGGTGATAACTCCTGGTAGGACGAGAAGCTCGTGAGGAGATATGTGGTGGTAGCCTACTATACTTATGAGCGGGAAGCCGTCGGGTGGGCGCAGACTCACGTGCGGTTGTTTTCGCATATCCTGTTTATACCATGCTGCCGGCTCACTCGCCGTTTCCCTCCTCTCCTCCTCTCCTCCATCATCATCCTCCCCACGGAATTCCTTCACGCCCCTTCCACGATGAAGAACGTTGGAGGCTGGATCGCAGTTCTCTGGGCGGCGTGCTGTGTACGCCGCGTTATTTGCGAAGCACAATGCTTCTTTCCCGGAGGAGAGGAGGATCTGCAGGGCAACCCGTGCAATGTGAACGCAGTTAACAACGGCGGACACAGCTCGTGCTGCCAGGTGAACGATGCGTGCTTCGCAGACGGCACGGTAAGTCAATGCCAGGGTTTTCTGATCATCCTTCGGGTCAATACTGGGTGCTTTGGTACAAACAGTGCCACTTGAGCCAATCTGCCAGCTTCGTTGAAGAGAGCAGGCACTGATTTTCGACCTTACAGTGCTCTACTTACGCGATGAATATCCCGTACAGGCAAAGCTGCACAGATCAGATGTGGCAAGATGACGCCTGTCCTCGAGGCATCTGCACTGGCATTGGTGAGTAGACCTGTTTCCCCTGAGGCAAAAGTCCCCATCTGAAGGAGAGCCGGCCGTATGGTGCTGCGTATCGTATACTAAACACTGCTGGCAGATTCAGCATATGACGCCGTCGTTGTCTGGATGGTCAAGTGCTTCCCACGCAACGCCAGCACCTGCTGCCTTCAGGGGGCCGATTCGTGCTGCGGTGACACGCAGTTCGAATATGAGCCGGGCGAGATTATCGCGCTGCTCGACGGTGCGGGCAACGATAGGCTGAGCCAGACCTCATCGTCAACGAGGGATTCGGGCAGTGGTATGGTGAGCCAGACGCCATCTTCACCGACGGATTCGGGCAGTGATATGCCGAGCCAGCCCTCATTGTCAACGACGAGTTTGGGCAGTGACAGCGGCACGGCCGCGAAGATCACCGAGGCGGCGACAATAACGCCAACCGCGGCAGCAGGAACCTCGAGCCCCAGGAATGCGGCCGTCATTGGGCTCAGCGTCACTCTGGGTATTGTCGTCCTGGCGGCACTGGCCGGCTTCGCCGCACTGTGGAAGAAGCTGCAGAAGGAAGCCAAATGGAGGAAGCAGATGGCGGAATATGACCCGCGTGCTTCAATGGCGTATCCTGACAGGAGTAAAGGAACGCCTCAGGACACCCCTCCCACCGAACTGCCGACAGAAACGGTCTCACATACCTTGCAGGAGTTGAGGGCATGACAGGAATGGCTGGGGACGAAGGTCTTTTCACGGAACGTACTTTGGGTTGTGTGAATAACACCGCGATAATGTTGACACTATGTGAGACCATACATAGGGTCAGTTTGCCGGCGAGGAGCCCGGCTGGCCATCGAGCGTGGGAAAATTTATTCCATCATCACCTTCTGCAGATCGTTCGCCAGTCTGCCTCTTGCTCTTGCTCCTGCTCTTGCTCATCCTCTATAGTGCCACCGGTAGCGTCAGCGGTGTCGAAGATTGGGCCCAGCACTACGGCAGCCAGAGTCAGTTAGGATATCTCGAATGAGGTTGATTTATGGACGGTAATGATCAGTTCACCCACGGGTCCCGGCCCGGAGAGGAGCTTCGGGTACTTGCTCTCGGAATGGGAATGGGGTAGTGCAGGGAGAATATGATGCTACTTACTATTGAATCTCAAGGTCCCATCGCTTCACTTCGGAACCGCCCAGAGCCCAACAAACGCACCAGCGTCCTCAGGAAACCCGCGATACATTTTTGATTTTTTGCCAGTCACACTTGGCTGCTTCGGGCAGGATGGGTGGAGGTTGAAGACTACTCGGTGGGTTTTCTGCTGGGTGCTGTCGCGGCCCTTGCTTTCGCTGGAATGCAGCGTGCGGTCGGAATTCGTCAAGAACTAGTGATACATCCTGTGAGCTGGTAATCCAAATCTCCGCGTCTGGGTGCTAGTCGTAGGATCCTCGCTTACCTTGATGAACACTGCCTTGTTCGGTTTTTGAACCCCGATCTCCATGCGGGTTAGTTTCTCTCCCGCGCACAGTTGAATGGTGTGCGGCGATCGCCCCCGCGTACCGAGACTCTGCGCTGACCCGTGTTCATAGATCAGGGGTAAACCCGACAGCTCGCTGTTATTTTCCTTGAAGCTGACCTCGATGCCTGTGACGCGGTTTGGTCTACCGTCATCGAGTGTTTCCTCCATGAAGATCTTTTCCCTCACCAGTCGGGACGAGCTCAAAAAAGAGTTTTCTTCTATAATCAGTTCGTCCTCGCGAATGCCGGGTTTGGGCGAGTAGAGAACCCTAGCACGATCCTCTTCGTGATATGATCCCCAAACTATAGCAGTCTGTACAAATGGTTAAGCTTCGCTTGCCTCGTATGTGCCCAGGTGACTGACCAGGTTCTCATATGGGTTCTCTCGATACCGTAAGACGAGGTTCCCACTAAGCAACGGATCGAGGAACTCCTTCCTGTTACCGCTCGCCGTGCCAAATACCAATTTCTTGACAGGTCCGATATTCTCTCGCCAATGCGTGCTCGTATAGCCGTGCCACGTTGTCACCTCCGTGAGCCGGTCATCGGGTGCAATGGTTAGACACCCAAACTCGTCGATCCACTGGCCTAGTATGACTGGCACATTCGAATCATGATACTCGAGCCAGAGCCCGGTTATGTGCCCCTGGCCTTCTTTGTCCACCGAGACCCGGATCTTTCGTAGGCCCACGAGGTCGGCAGCGGTGAATGCAAAGTCCCGCATCTCCCGGCCGGGCGAGGACAGATGCTCATCTGTGATTGGTATGCAATGAGATTTATGGGTAGATGGCCCCGAAGTAACGGGCTTTACTTGGTCGAGAACAACAACTTGACTTCGTGCAGAAAAGCTACGAAAATATCCCAGCGGTGACTTCGTACGGTATATTATTAGCTAGCTCGGATGCCAGAGCAGATCGGAAATGACGCTTACCTTGACCTTTGCATAGAATGCAGTCAATACCTCGCCAGGTTTGGGTACAATGGCTTGCTCATTTTCTCCACGGCCATGCCTACCATATAGTCTAAATTCCTGTGATCTGCCCCTATTTGTGGCCATCTACCAACAACAAGCTAGGTCAGCCACAATTCACCCAAATCAGTCAGCAGTCACATACTATGCTGGTATGACGATCGTGCTTGAGAAAGTTGACAGCAAGGCATAAACTGCAGTTGCTGCTTATGTCGACAACTTATCTTCTCCAGGTACATGTACCATAATCACTTCAGAATACATAAAATCTTCAAATTCAAGTCGATGACTGGGAGATATGAACACGTACCGTTAATGACTCCAGGGTATCACCATCTCTAGAATACGAAACAGTAACCTTCGTGACGATCTCACCATGAGGACCATCAATTGGGAAGGACTGCTGTATCGCCTTGACATGAGTCGTATCCTCGATACTCTCTCTGTTTTCGGTTCGTCCGTAGGTTTGCTCACTCGCGCCGTCGTAGACGAAGCTCATTCCTAAGAAAACGGCTGGAAAGCTACCTACGAGGAAGTCGATCCGGGTTAAGGATTGCAGCAGGCGGCCATCTGACCCACCGAAGTCCATATTCAGGCACAGGTTGAAGTGCTGGACTGGAGCATAGTACAGCCAGGGCCATACAGGGCGGGCCTCGGGGATCCGAGGGTTCCATAGCTCGACCAGTTCGAGGCCTCGGGATAGGGTGAGCCCCCCATAGCCGTTGGTGGGAGATTGCTGTTCGATGAGGGAGACGGATATCAGCTTGCAAGCCTGCACAGATGGACTTTGTCAGTCGGACGAAACCACATTTCTAGCGATGAGCATGCACCCACATCGAAACCGAGGACAAGGCCAACACATCTTGCGTTGTTGCTTCGTGCCAGTCGACCAATTCCACTTTCGGGGCACTCCACTCCCATATCACCGACTGAGACTGAATATGCTCCTCGTGCGTTGCGCATGTGGAAGCGAAGACCCGTGACTCCCTTCGCAGTCATAGCAACGTCGAGGTTTTCCAAGCTACCCTGCAATCTGATCGGGACCCGGTCCTCGCCACGTCGATCGATGAAGCCAGCTTCCCGCATGGCCCTGTCAGCATACGACTTGGCAGGCAGACTAAAACGCAAGCCACAGATATAGCGCCTGCCATTAGAGTATACGGAAGAGCTCCGCAGCTCGCAATCTTTGGCATCGATATTATGGGGCCAGAGAATACTTTGCCGCTCAAAGAGTCGGCAACTTAATGTAAGCTCTTTTCTCTCAGGTCGGGGCCCTGGCACTCCTGGAGGGAGTGACGCCTCGGCACATGCAGTCTGGCCCAAGCTGGCACCCTTGGGCAGTCCGGGCTGCATTGGATTGGGAAATGCACTTAGCCAGATGTCGTTGGCCAGACGGATACCAACCTGTTTGGAAAGATCTTGAAGGCTTCGCCAGATCCGACGCCGGTTCCTAAATCCCGGAAACAGGTCGGATTTGAGAGCTCCTTTTGCGCGAGAATATAGTGCTCGCCAGTCAATAGGCTCGTTTGGGTTGGGATAAGAAGGGCCGGCAAAGGCGAAGCCCATCTCACGGTTGGAAGCAAAGCGGCTCGCCCAGAATCGCTGGGATAATGCTCCTGGAGTAGCGACATCTGCGACGTATCTGGACGCAAGCCGTACCCTGCAGACCTCAACAGATGACAAGGAAGCAAGGATGAGCATCCAGATCTCGTTGGGCAGACGGCATAAGATGTCAGACGTGCTATAGTCACCACGCGATGCAGGCTCGAAGGAAGCGGGAGCGGCATCTCGCAGCCTCTCATGGTTGAATTGGAACTTCTCCCTCACGTCGTCGGTGAGAAACGAGTAACCGGACCCATTCACACGCTCAATATAGTCGTATCCCGAAGCCTTCCAGTCCTGGAACTGGGCGGCATGGCCGTAATCGTGCCCCGGCATCGGCGTCGTCTCGCCGCTCACAGGCGTGTTGTACAAGAGTGCAAACAGGTGGCTGGCTATTCGAGATGGGTCAACTCTCTCGTCACTGCCGACAACAACATGGTCGCACACTGCACCATAAGAGTCGTGATTAGTATGGCAGCAGGGCAAGAAACGCTTGAGATGACGACTCACATAGCTCCCAGCACGCATCATGCATGGCGAAGCACCAACGGTCGTCGTACGGCGAGCACCCCAGGTCGTTGGCGCCGAAAGAGGCCTGCAAATTCTCCCACTGCTGCTCCCATTGTTGCACGTCCTGGTTCTCTTCTGCCCGGATTGTGATATTTGCGTAGTGGGCAGACTTCTCGTGCGGTGCAAAGACCTGGACGTGAGACATGAGCCAGCCGAGCCAGCCGACACCCGTCAGGACGGGGTCGAGCATGTGCCTCGTCGTCTTGACTGGAAGGTAGGCGGTTTTATTATCAGTAAAGCGAGCTTGCAATAAGTCAACCACAAGCACAACGACTTGCTCGGACATCTGCAAGCCAGCTGAGCGGTTCCGAGGGCGTCATGGCGAACTCGTTCTGCCACGTGTCGATGATGACCCCGCAGAGAGGGCAGAAGGTTTCATCCATGGCGTGAGTGTTTGGTTATCGAACGTGTAGTAGTACTGTATTAGAACTCAGGTGCACGATAGGAAGAAGAGGCTGGCGGCCAGGGGTACGGTGATCTTTTTTGACAGACAGCCCTACATAGTCACAGCGTGAGCTATGGCCAATTACCTAACCTTAGTAAGACATGCCACCCCACCACCCCGTTGATCACATGTAATGGGTAATGGGTGTTGCTTGTGGGAGGTTATACTCGCGATTTCAGGGGAAGGTCTATCCGAAGAACCAATCGTGTAAATAATACCGGGTATAAAGCAAGTACTCATGCCTTTATATAGACGTCTCACGCCACCAGAGTGGCTTGTGAGTATGCTGCAATAGGGCCAGGAGATATGGCATAGAATGTGTTCAAGCTCCGAATCACAATCACAGAGACGGCATGTCCAAGAGCCGAATCGAACGAAATGAAAAACATCGCGTGAATAATCAATAAAATGCCAGCCAAACCATGCAAACCATGCAAACCAACCATTACCTCATTTTCTTTGCTGTCTTTCGCATCGCCTAGCCGGAACAGCCCGCCATCCCTCGACCCAAGGCGGATCCGTGTCTAATCATCGACCCTCACTGTAACCGCAACCCCCAGCACATACCCCCTTTCCCTCCTTAGAAGATACTGTTGACGATGTTTGAACCAATCGTAGCGCCCGCACCAAATATAGCAGCATTACCCAGCTTCTTGCCAATCTTCTTGCCGTTTTCGTTCATCTTGCTCGGCGGGCCGCTCGCGCCGCTGCCTCCCTGAGCAACGGCCATGGGCGGCACTTGTGAGTTGTAGGGATTCTGGTTCTGCGGTGGTGCCGAGTAGCCTCCGGCAGCGGGCGACGGTGAGGCATAGACGGGTTGGGCCGGGGCGTAGAAGCCGGCCTTCTCGCCCTTGGCGGCGCTGTCGACCTGGACGTAGTTCTTGGGGAAGATGCCCTCGGCGCCGGTCCGCTGGTTGCGCCCCATCCACCAGTCGTCGTTCATGTACTCGTGCACGGCGATACGGTCGTCGCGCTCGAACGACAGGTCACGGTCGTCGGCGGCCTGGTACTTGTACAGCGCCTTGGCATGTGCGACGGCGGGCTTCGCGGCCGGCGGAGGCGCTGGGGGGTTGTTGCGGGCGGGCAGTGAGGGAGGGCCCGTCTGGTTGTAGGCCGGGGGCGCCGGGCTCGCCGAGGCGGGCTGGTTGAAACCTAGGTTGGCCATCGCGTTGATAGGCGGGGACATGGGCGAGGGGACGGCCGAGGAGGCACTGCGAGAAGCCAGCGACGTCTCGGCTGGCAAGATGCGGTGGATCGAGTCGAATGCGTAGTCCGTGATAGCGCCCTTTCCGAGCAGGACCTCCAGTTCCTGTGACGACTGTGGTTAGCGAGGGGTCTCTTATGGGGAGCAGTCGGACGTACATTCTTGATGAGACGCAGCGACTTGTTCGTCGCCATGATCTCCTGGCGGTCGACAGTCGCCATCTTGACTGTCTTCTGTGTATGTCGCTAAGGTATGGACTTGTGGGGATTCGGGTAGTCGTTCAGAGCAACAGACTGGTACGGACTTCGCTGGATTGTCGTTGATCCGGACAGGGTGAGCGCAAGTGAGTGAGTGAGCGTCTTTGTCTCTAGATTGGCACGATTGGGTAGGTATGTAGTCGGAGGTCTGTAGGTGTGACCGAGATGGTACAGTATTCTAAATGTAGAATGCAGGTAGGGTGGGCTCCATTCTATGTGCATAAGAGCATAAGATCGGGTCTCGGAGGGTGGCGTAGCGCTGCGTAGGGGGCTGTGCAACCGGTAAAAATCACATGCAAGCAATCTTGTCGTACTCAGTTCAACAAAGTTGAGGTGAGTGAAGCAACGAATTGTTCTGATCAGTCCATTCATTCATTCCATGTGGCGTACATGTTGAGGTACATGCATACCTTCAAGTTATATGGCTCTACATTGTACTCAGACCAACCCTGGAGTAAGTACATACGGCGGGTAACTCGTCTGCATCTCGGGTCGCTTGCCACTTCTATACAAAGTCTATGTCACCAATGCGCTTAGACAAATTGGCTGTCCTTGACCACATACTTGTCGACGTACTCGTCCACCGTCATGGCCTCGAGCCTCTTGGGATCCATGCCCAGCTCCACCAGCTCCTTGACGTGGGCCTCTGGGAAGTGATGGTCGAGATGTCTCTTGTACTTGGCCAGTATGTGGGGCTTGGCCTCTTCTCTCCGCAGTCGGTGGCCCAGGGGAGCCTCGACCACAACCTCCTCGAGAACGGTACCGTCGTTCAGCTCCACCGTCAACGCGTTGGAGATGGTCCGGAGCTCGGGGTCGTGATAGTCCCGGGTGTACTGCGGGTCCTCCACACACTTGATCTTCTGCCGGAGCGACTCGACCAGAGGAGACGTCGCCGCCTCGCCTCCATCCGTGTAGTCGGTAGCCTCCAGCCGCCCGAACACGAGCATCACCGAGCACATGTACTGGATGCAGTGGTCGCGGTCGGCAAAGTTGTCCATGGGCTTGAACTGCTTGTCGATGATGCGCACGCAGGCCTCATGTGTTCTGCACGTGACGCCCTTGATGTCTTCCGCCGACTTGCCCATCTCCTTCAACTGCTTGTGGATCTTGGACGACGCCTCGACGGCAGTCTGCGAGTGGAACTCGGCTATGCGACGTCAGCTGGCCGCCCACGTTCGGGGACGTAATTTGGGACGGCATGGTCACAAACCTGGGTAGGAAACCTTGAAGAGGACGTTCTCCATTACGTAGCTTCCGTAGGGACGTTGGAACTGGAACTCGTTGCCCTTGAACAGGACGTCGTAGAAACCCCACACGGGCGCCGACAGCACCGTAGGCACACCGGGCTCGCCCTTCATAACCTTCAGAACCAGGCTGACGGCTCTCTGGCAGGCGTCACCGGCAGCCCAGGATTTTCGGGACATGGTATTGGGCGAGTGGCGGTAGGTGCGCAGGCTCTGGCCGTCGACCCAAGCCTGGGTGACGGCATCGGCGATCTGGGTCTCGCTCAGGCCCAGCATATGGGAGACGACGGCAGCGCTGGCCACCTTGACCAGCACGACGTGGTCCAGTCCGACCTTGTTATACGAGTTGAGCAGGGCCAGGCAGCCCTGGACCTCATGCGCCTTGATCATAGCCTCGAGGACATCCCTGACGGTGAAGATGTTACCCCCAGCAAGGTTGCCGCCGGCCTTGTTGGTCCGGTTGGCCCAGTCGGCCACGGCAAGGATAGCACCCAGGTTGTCCGAAGGGTGGCCCCATTCGGCGGCCAGCCAGCAGTCGTTGTAGTCGAGCCAGCGGATCATGGCGCCGATGTTGAAGGCGCCATTGACGGGATCGAGGACGAAGTCGGTGCCGGGGACCTTGGTGCCGTTGGGAACGACGGTGCCCGGGACGATGGGCCCCATCAGCTTCGCGCACTCCTTAAACCGTAGGCCCTCGAGACCGCAGCCCAGAGTGTCAAGGAAGACCCATCGCGCCGTGTCGAACTGGACGGCTCGGTTAGCCGCGGTGCTCTCTCTACCTCAGGTCCTGCGACACGCGGGGTAAGGTAGGGCATCAGAGAAGAGGACTTACAGCCAATTCCGAGTCAATTGGCTTGGTGACATAGGCGGCAATGTCGGTGATCTCGGGATCGTATCCTCTCCCTTGTTGCGGCATGGCTGGTGCAGAGCCTCTGGCAGCAGTGGTGGAGAAGGCGTTGCGACGGAGGGCGGCGTTGGTGGTGGTGGGAGCCACCGATAACTGGACTTGGACTGCCCGCGCCGACACGGCCAGAGGAGCAGGTGTTCGTAGACGCAGCGATCTCGAGGCGGCGGTCCGGAGGCTTCGATGGACAGCAGACATGTTCGCCTCACTGAGCACTCGACTGTCTCTGTCACTTCCTGTTCGGCAGGAGAAGAGGGAGTGTGAAGTGGTGGGGAGGAAGGAAAGTATCAATGGCAGCGGCGTGCCTGGAGGGTGCATGATACATCCACTGAAACATACATGTAGCCAGCACATGCAGCTAACCGCTAGGAGCATTGAAACCCTAGAGGGCCCCTCCAAAAACCCCAACCACGCAGATTCCCCGCAAAGATCACCAACGACATCCTCGGCTTCAAATTTCAATCGAGGGACATTCCTCTCATCCGTTCCGTGATACCTCGAAAGCCTGCTTGGTGCAAGAGCAGCTCCCTCCCAATCTTCTAGAGTCAGTATGAAGTCGAGCGCCTCGTCGAGCACGTCAATTTCCTTTTCCTTCTGTCTCTTCATTTGCGCAAGACGTGCCACTTGCCGCCGCTCTTCCTCTCCCGTTCCCTGTCCTGGGAAAGGGTGATCAGAGAAGGGGTATACATGCTCAGCACCCCAACGGGTCAGTCCGCCCACGACAGACAGCCTTGCTGGTTTGTACAACAAACGTCTCCAGAGAGGCCACATCCGGAAAGGTCGCCCAGCCGTACATGCGTCGGGTCGCTGTGACATCCGGCCTATTCTTCTGTGAGGCGTGTCGAGGGCGTCCCCAGGTCCCGATCTATGCTGGACGCTGACCTGATGAGACTATGAATTCGGCAAGCTTCACCGTCGAGTCTATCTCTCCCGGCAACGTCTTCGATCCATTTATGGTGTATATACGGGCCGCAAACAACGAGTCGGGCTCCGCCATCAGGCCTTCCAGGTGTGGTCCCTCCAGCTCGCGGGTCGGGTACCTCAGGTGTTCAGTCCTATCTATAATGCCTGCCCGCCCGTCTTCTTGGAGAGGCCACGGAGCAGCGCGAGTGCCTGTACGCTGTTGTCCCCCTAGTATGAGTTCGTTGAATCGTATGGCTCGTAGCCGAGCGCCTTCAAGGGCTGTCTTTTTTGTACCTTGGACATACCGCTTATGGGGCTTCGAAGACCAATGGCCCATGCGGTGTTGATGCAGTCGGCGAAATAATTGACAGAGCCAGGAAACTCGGCCATCATGATACGGTTCGTCGGCTTCATGTTGTTTCCCACCAAAACGGGCTGCCGGTTTGGCCATGACTCTTTGACTTCTTATAGTAATTGGACGAGATCGTTGCCAGCCTTTCGTGTATCCAGCTGCGGACTGTACATTGTGGTTCACACACGATGTCTCGATCCATACCCGACCATCATTGACGAATTGTCCAGTCGTGGTACCTTGGCGTGGTCCGGAACCAAGAGCATGTCGGAGGTTAGCAAAGCGACGTTGATAGTCGAAGTCTTCGCAGACTGGGGCCTGTTCTCTCGCGTTCTGTTGCGAAGAGCAATACATACTGCATCTCCCTGCTTCAAGCAAGCAGCGAGTTCCGGTAGGTTCTTCTCTCTGAGTTTTATCAGGTTGAATCTGTGTTCTTTCAGCAGATTGTAAACTTGGTCGTGGGGGAGTTGCTGTCTTTTGATTTTTGCATTGCTTTCAGCGTCGAGGTATCCTGAAGGCGCTTCATATTGGAATAGTGGTTTTGGCAAAACACTTCCGATGTATGTTGCAAGCAAGTGAAGCGTATCAGTTGGCGTAAGTAAAGGGAAGATATTCTTTCAAGGTGTATCACAGACTAACACCAAGTGAGAATAGAGCGATATTGTTGATCCATGCATCAACATCCCTGTCTGTAACTTATTGGCGAAAGCTTTTGGCTTTCCTGTCTATGAGGCATCTCCGATATTAGGCTTGGGTGAGTAGGGGGACTGGCATACTGGCACACTCTGGGCACTGCCAGATCGCGGTGAGATGACGGCCCAAACACCGAGTTTGAGTCGGAGAGCTGATGCACTCAGGCTGGAACACGAATGGCACGTTGAACTACAATTCACGCGTTCACTAGTTTGCCGTCAAGTTCACGCTTGCCACCAACGCATCGGTCGCGAACCTCTCACTGCCGAATATGAAACTTGAATACCTCGACAGCGTTCTGTTTCCGGCCCTGATGGCACCTGATGGCATGCCTTGCACAGGGCTCAATGCGGGCGCGGATGGTAATCTGTCATATCCCGGCTTCCCTGATCTGCCGGTGACAGCTTACAGCGGTGATGCCTTGGGCGGAAATGGTCGGGCGGGACGCGGATTCCGGTAGACAGCGAGGGCTTGATGGTGAATGATGATGGGACTTTGTGGGTCAGCGATGAACACGGACCATCTACCGCCACGCAGACGTTTTCGACATCAGCAACGCCACGTCACGAATGTGAAGGCTGCATATCCGGCGGAGGACGACTTCACCGGCGCCATTGCAAGCAGCAAGGGTAAACCGAATTCAAACATCACCCCAGCGCAATATTGCACCTTTTTGGACTACAACGTCAACAGTCAACTCAATCGTTTCGGTCTGCACAACGGCGGCGCGCAGGACGGTGGTCTGCTGAATGAAAAATGGGAAAGCTTGGCCCTTGTGCCTGTCACACCTGGCATAGACGACGGCGAACATCACATGTTTTCGCTATCAGACAACGACTTCCACAACGTCCGTATTTGCACTCCGCAAGTCGGAACTTCCTCCAGACGGTGGATGCTCGGGTTGAAACGTGCGGACCCAGTGGCACGGTTTGGCCGCTCGTCTTCTTATTCCCGCTGGGTATCCGTATTATCAACTAGAAAACTCCCTCTGATGCCGGCTTTAACGCAAGCTTTTCAAGCTTTCCCAAGGTCTCGGAAAGCCGGCATCGAGTCCATCAGTCTCCACAAAAGGCCCTTTTCGCCGCCTCATCCCCCAGAAGTGTTCAGACACCAACCTACACAGGGCAGCAAACATGACACTGTGCGACCATCTGGCCCATCCACGGGTCCTCCGGTTAACGGTCAAAAGGCTCATGAGGCTATCCAGGGTAGCATATACCGTATCCACTGTTCAAAAAAAACAAGGGTAAAAGTGTACGCCCGCCCGGCAGTTTCCGGTTAGGAACCGAAAACCGGCAACTAACACTAGGAAATTTGGCCGATCCTCCTCAACTAGAAAGTAGATCAGATAAGATTTTCTTCCTCCTCTCATCTTATCTGATCTTTTCCTCTCGTCTTATCTGATCTTGCTCTATTGATTTCGTACATTCGCCTGCCTTCGCGGTGTCCCACGAGATGGTGAATATCGTTGGTGCGGAAGCCAAAGACCACTCCACAGAGCCCATGACCCAGGAAGTAAAGGGCGATGGCCGGTTATCCCTCGAGTCTTCGCCGAGCCGGCAGCAACATCAACGACTACCTACGAAGCTCAGAGTCCTCTCCATCGTGATTATCACCGCCATTGGATTCGGAGGTCACTGGAGTACTGGCGTTACCGGCGCTATGAAGAGCACACTCAAAAAGGTCAGCATGCCACTACGTTCCCTTCCGTTCCGAGTAGTAGTTAATTGTAACGCAGGAGCTCCATATTAATAACGCCCAGTTTTCTGTTCTTGAAGCCAGCGAGGATTTCGTGATAACAGTGCTCATCGTCGTCACCGGCATGGTCACAGACCACTTTGGCGGGGCTGGTATGAACACGCATCGATGATTACAGTCTCAACTTCCCTGTTGCTAATCCCGAGCACAGGATCGTTGTTATGGCTCAACGCCCTTTACAGCGTCGGCTCTATCTTGATCGCTGCCGCTGCCACTGTGCGCTCCTACAGGTTCATGATTGTTGGTCGCGTTGTGGCCCAACTCGGCGACCTGGCAACCCAGATCGCGCAATACAAACTCTTCTCTTCGTGGTTTCCTCCAGGTTACGGCTTTGGAGCGACCGTCGGCTTCGAGCTCGGCATCGGCAAAATTGGTGCCTTTGTCGGCAAGGCCACTGCCAACGACATTGCGAAAAGGACTGGGAACATGGCCTGGGTGTTTTGGATTGCAGTGTTTGTGAACCTGTTGACAAATGCAGGTACCTTGGTTCTGTTCTTCTTCACCAAATACTGCGACAGAAAATATCCCCGGCCAGCAGATCCGCTCACAAAACGAGATCGCCCCGAGAAGAGATCACGCTTTAACATGGGCTGCCTGCTCAAGCTCTCCTGGCAATACTGGGGCGTCATCCTCTTCTCCATCTTCGAAACCAGCACCGTCATGGTATTCTCTCAAAACTCCACCGAGCTGGCATCGATGCAATTCCACGTCTCCTCTACGACCGCCGGCTGGTATTCCTCTGCCTCGCAGTACGGAGGTTTTTTGTATGTACATTTTCGAGTCTTTTATTTCCTCATATAGCCATGTCCGAGGCGCGAATTTCCTCTTCTAGCCTGTGTCATGCTCCCGAGACATGCATCACGACTCCATTTTACTCCACAAAGCATCCGAAAGAAGTAATTGCTGACTCTAATTTGCTTGCCGTCTCATGCCTTGCCTGGGAGTCTTCATGGACCTTCTTGGCAACCGGCTTTCTATCTTTTTCGTCTGCGGCTCATTACTACTGATCTCAATGTGTCTCGCGAAGTGGGCGGGGTCAGAGTCAGGCCTCGCTGCGTCGTTTGCGCTTTTTGGCCTTGCACAACCACTTGGCGTTACCACCATCATCGATTCCGTCCGGACGGCGGTAGGAGACGATGTTTTCGGAAAAGCCTATGGATTGAAGTTCGTGGCTGATAACGCTGCGGACATCATTCTGAGAATCGTCACGGGCGTCATTCAAGACGCGGACAACAATTCCTACGACCGTGTCATCATTGTCTATGTTGTCCTCTCTGCCGCGGCCACTGTCGTTTCAATTGGCTTGTTGGCTCTTTCGCCAATGTCGGAAGGGCTAAGACAGCTGCAGTGGACCAGGCAGCAAAGGAAGAGGCAGATCAATGCTATTGTATCGCGGACCAACAACCGAATGCTGAGCCTCACTTGCTTCGTAGCCCTGATTCTTTTCATGCTTGGCTCCTGGGGTGCATACTTCTGGGGTATTGCAAAAGGAAGCGAAGAGTAAATTAATGGCATATACACCCAATGACACGGAATGAAAATCGGAACGTTTATTGTGTATTCTTTTGTTGTCACTGGCTGGACATAAATCCCGGAAGCCACATGAAAACTTGCTCCGGACGTGGGTCTTGGCGCCCTTAATGATGCTTTGGCATGAGCTGGCAGCACCTACGTTACAATGTGGCAAGTAATAACAGAGTGAACCCTTGACCTTGAATGGCCTAGTGAGACACCAGATCAGTATCACACCATCTATATTGTCCCCCCCTAAGTGACGATTCCACACCATCCCATATCGTTATGACAGTGCCATAGCATGGTTCACGGCCAACTCGCCGGGCCAAACGTTTCCCCGTCAGCCACGACGCTCTTGATAGCCGACGCGGTCTGGTCGAGGGTGTTGTACACTTGGACATTGCCGAACCACTGTGGAGGTTGAGCCGAAGTGAGATACAGAGTGAAGAATATGATGATCGTCGACACCACGAGGCCGCAGTCCAGCACAACCGATGTCACGTAATTGTACTGCAGCCACCAAGGCGTCCATCGCCGGCGGATGAAGTAGTTGAACGTCATGCCAACAGCGCCCCAGCACAGATCGTTGTAGGCCGTCGCCGGTGGTATGTAACCCGCTCCGCCGAATATAAGGGGCACGTTGACATATCGGAATAGGGACTTGGGGTAGCGGCGGGCCAGGAACCAGGTTATGACTGGGGAAATGGCACCGACGAGCCAGAATCACTGCAGCGACGAATAGATGGCGCCGCCGCTGAAGATACGGGCTGGCCCGATGGCGCCCCAGATGATGGAAGCGGTATAGAACACCTTGCCACCTGGACAGGAATAGCCGTTGGGCTGGTCGTCGCTGCAAACGTCGGGAATGTTAGAAGTCAGGAGTCAGTAACCATCCTTGGTGAATAACTTGGGGAAAGTAGGGGGTCTGGAAGCATGGCTCGGGAGCAAGGAGCTCCTGGAAGAGACCTGAATAGAAAATCCACTCCCAAGACATGACCAGATGGGGGACAGACAACTCCTGAAATACGTACACTGCCAAGAGCCCAATTCATCACCGCAATCTAGACAATGGCTGACCATACGGAGGCGATAAGCTGAGACCAAAACATTGTCCTTGGCGGGACTTTCATGTAGTGTCTTAGCTTAAGATCTTGGGTGCAATATAGTGCTTGAGACATAGCTAAGTATCTATAGTTATTGAACATCATCATGGCCAACGGATGTCCGGGTAACATGTAGCCGACGACGAACTCGGTCAGGACGTTCAACCCCAATTGGATGTTCGTGATGGCTTGCACGATGCCGATCGGAATCGTCCACACAAGGGGGATGAGGATGCAAACGACGAAGGCCCAAGCAGCCCGGCCGTATCCCACGTCTCTGTAGGAGACGAGAACCCCCAACCGACTATCTTTGCGGTCCTCGACAGATGATAAGAGCGAAGGCACTGCATATGCATTTGGTGACAGTGTCAGGCCTCGGTTGGGGGTTCCAGAACGTGGTCTCGACGCTTGTCGACGCTTCCCATGCGTCTCGTACGGGCAAACGGCAAACCCGGCAAACATGTACGACGTAGGTGGTGCGTCACATCGAACAGGGGTTCCTCGATTTCATCCAGTCGTCGTCAGGAAGCAAGATAACAACCGAATTGGCCAGTTGAAAAACACAGTTGTCGTGTATGTGCGACGACGACAGCCGAAAAGATCAGCTGACCCAGGCTACTGCGTGTGGGCAGGTTCGGCAGGGTCAGTGGGTGCTCCGTCTGTCGCTCTCTTTTTGCGCCGGTTCAAAGGATTGCAGTCGCACAGCATCGACCATCGAGCATGCATTCCGCCACTGCCTGTAAGTGGATATGATCGTCTCAAGTTCGCACACCTACTTACATATTGGAATGCTGATAGCCGCGCCTATCCTGACACGTTGTCTCAGGGTCCCCATTGTCCGTTATAGGGACTACAGTTACTTGGTGGTAGACTTTCAATTAAGGGCAGTGAACTCCTCGGTGGTTCAGCAGTCCCACGAGGAAATATAGAAGAAAAAAACATTTCCCGTTACATGCTTACATATGCCGTTAAAGCCGTCATATACTTATGTATGCCGTTAAAGCCTATATAAAAATATATTGAAAAGCTTCATTTATTGTTTTATTTAATATAAATTACTTTCTGTCACAATACAGGTGTCACGGAACAGCTGGCAGCTCAGGACGAAGATGCCCATCTATTACTCCAGATGAATAAGAATCTACTGGTGAGGAGGGAAGAAGGATCAGAACCACCAGCCAATTCTGGTGGGGGATTAGATCTTCAATCCCGTTCCACAATTATCCATAGTGAGTGCAGCGGGGCAACGCGTCCACCCCACCAGATCACCTGATGAGCGCACGTACCACCGTGAATGGATGGATGGATGTCAGATCCATCACAACAGGACCATATCATGGGGTCAAGAATGGAGTGTATTGGTTGCGTGAACTAACTTCGGCCCGTGGGACGAATCTCAGTACTAAATACAGTGCATTCCTGAAAGACTGGCCCATCCTTAGATCGGACTGTCAACGACTCCTTGTCTATCACCCCTGAAAGCCCCTGAATGGGGGCTTTCCATCCCTGAATAGGGGCTTTCTGCTCTTTTCTTCCTTTGACCAGCTATTCTGGTCCATTCCAGCTGCCGCGCAGCTGGCGCCGCACCTGCACGACACCTGCACGGCACCTGTATGCCAACACTTTCAAATATAAATGAACGTATAAAATAACGTAGGTCACAAGCGAGCGGGACACTTTTACCAACCTTCCAACCAACATGTCAAATAACTTAACCACAACGCATTGAATTCAATCTAATCAATCGGATTCCTCTTCTTTAGCCGTTTTTATCTCTATTGTACAAGTTTGTGCATTATGGCCAGTGTTACTGCAAACGCCACAACGTTGCTCACGCGCCGCCGCCCTCCTCAAACGACGACTACCTTCACTCATTTCTTGTCTTGCCAGCTCAGTACCATTCTTTGTAGCCTAAAGACCTATTGTATCTTTAACAGAAAGTATTTGTGACGGCCTGCACAGACCTTCCCACATGACAAGCCGATACTTCCCAATAAGGGAAGGATCTGACCAGATGTTGAATACACGGATGTTGATTGATGCTATTGAATGTTCTGCTCTGTGTGCAGAGATTGATTATCTGTCTTCTTGGTGGGTCAGATGCCCTGTGCGTCTCTGCCCCACTGGAGATCTTCCGGTGTCTATCTCCGGCTCCCATTCAACACCAGAAGATCCCCTTAAAGGGGCAACCTCCCGCTGTACCTATCTCTCTCTCTCTCTTCCTTTCCTCTCTAGTCTTGATAGTCTCGTCAATAGAGTAATAGCTGCTTGCTGCAGGCCATGTCCCAGCTCCCCAGTATGCTCGCCGTGACAAAAACGCGTCTGGAGGCCTGGTGTACGTTTGATGAAGTTTGCCATCCAGTTCTTTCTGACGCGTCCAGCCCCACATGCCGCTAATAATTGAATCGCCATATTTCCAACATAAGTGTACCGTGGCGGAAATGCTTGCATATCCAGGTTGAGTATAAAGAAGTAAATAGTATTCTCTTCAGAAATGGTAAGTTTTAAAGAATTGGGCATGCTATCATGTTGTGATAGTCAACTGGCGATTCTTTGAGCCAGTATAGAGATTGGTAGGTAGAAAGTTTTAGCAAGCTTTTGAATAGAAATATAAGGGTCTCGTTTTTTAGCTTGGACAGCTAGCTGCATGTTTGACTCGTTATAATGCGGTGCCATTGTTATAAGTGGAGGAATACTGGTTAGAATTTGAAAGTTTAGGAGGTTCGTGAAAGCGTTCCACTCGCTTGTGTGTCCCGCTCGCTTGTGACTTACGTTAACCTTAAATATATTCGTAGTTTATAATAATCGTTGTTAATAACGTAAAAAAAGTACGAAATAACGGATAATTAAAGAAACTATTAAAATTACATTACGTTAAAAACCTTTAAACTTTAAACTAACTATAAATATAACTGTTTAAGTTATAATAAAAGACTTATTAACTTTAATAGTTAACCTATCGTAATAAAAACCTCGTTTAATGGGTATAAAGAAGCCAATTTTTTAAACCCATTATTTAAAATATTTTTATAATTATATCTCTTATCACAATATTTTATATCATAATTAAGTATTAATTATGATTTCAATATAAGTTTATTAGCTTATATCTATTTAAACTATATATTATTAATACCTTTTAATACTTAACATATTAATTACTATTTTTCCTACGTTAATTTTATTAAAATAAAAGAGCAACGAAATATTTACGTAGAAAATCTTGTGAAACATCTTAAAAAACACATCGTATCTACGGTATTAAAAACTAAGCGTAAATATATTAATCATATAATATAAAAACTCAAAAATTAAATTATTAAGCTATATAAATGATAAAAAGTTACCGGTTATTAAAGCTTAAAACCCGAACTAATACGCTTTTTTAATACAGATTATAAATATAAAAGATAAAATAATAAGCAAATAATTTAAATTTGTAATAGCAATACAATATTTAAATCGAAAGAAGATCGTCGTTAATATAAAGTAATATATTGAATAAATCAGCTAGCGATTATTATCGGCGTTAACGCTTTAACTATCAGTTATTACGAAATACGTCTATAAGGTAATATTTAGCCTTAGATTAAATCAATTAATAATTAATAATTAACTAACAACCGCTACAAACCTCTTCATACACCTATTAAAAATATAAAATAGACATATAATAAGGTAGTTTTAAGCCATACCTAGGGCATAGGAAGTATAAAAGGCACAACCAAGAGACGAGTTCCCCGAATCCAATGTTTGTCAGATATTACTACATGCTGCAGATACTGGAGCCGGTCTTTGTAGTTAAGAAGGAAACATATCGGGAGAAGTGAGGGCGCATACAGACATACTGACCCTAGACCGGTCTGCTCGTCAAAGTATGACGTCGAGATGGGAATAAAACGCCGGATACACATTAGAACAACAAGCTCGTGCAAGGCTGCTGGACCTTCTGGGAACGGTTATGATCACCTGAGTGCGCAGTCAAGCAATGGTGTAACATCCCCGGCTAGGTGGCACGGATGACTTCAGCATGTTGGCCTGCCGCGACGCAACGGACGGGATTGACGACTTTTAGCCGACATCCAGGCGTGCGGTGTTGCGATCGACCTAGCTCTCATATTGCCTTGTAGCCGAAACGAAACCGACTGGGATACACAAAATAACACCAAGCTATGGTCCAAAGTGTGCCCTGGTTGGGCCAACATGATAACTTCCGCATGGGGGATGTCGCCCAGATTGTCAGGCGCGAGAGGGCATAACGTTATCGAATCTGGATAAGGTAATGTTGAACGTTGCGCAAGGAATCTCCTGCAATGGCTTGACATATTTTGACGGGCCTGCTTCGCATACGTCTAGCCAGATATTTACTAAGCACTGCTGGTGCTATCGTGTTTGCTCGCTCCCTCACTACCTCGTTGCGCGGGAGTCGATCGAAAGGAGGAAGGACTCGTTGCGTCGAGGCATTCACACTTGCATGCGACCTTTCTTACGCCTCCAAGTAATTCCGATAGGCCTCCGTTGATCGCCGGGACCGCAATTCATGCGCAAGAACGGACATGAAGCGGCGCTTGAGGGACTATGATGGCTCCTGTTTCATCAAATTGGCTACGCTCAAGAGCGACACCACGAGTCCGGGTTGGCGAGAACCGCGGGCCCTCTTCTCGTTCGTGAGGCTGCGGTGGCTTAGGATTGACCACTGCCCCATGGCCCTTCCGCCCGGGGCGCTTGGGACGAGTGACGGGATCGAAAGGTGGCCCATCCTAGGCGGAAACACTGGGGTCTGCATCGCCTTCCTCGACCTTCTGGCCCACTGCGCCGTCTCTGTTGGCTCTCCAGACGCCGGCCTCGCCCTCAAACTCCTCTCTCTTCCACACCTCGACGCGGTTTTTGCAGTCCTCGAGGGCCTCTTCGCCGGCTCTCCAGGCGGCCTGCCTGTGTGGCGAAGACGCGGCGATCAGGATGCTCTCCTCGCCAATGGGCACGGTGCCGAGACGATGAACCATGGCCATGGAAGTGAGGTGATGTTTCGTGACTAGCTCTTTGCAGATGGACAGCATGGTCCGGAGAGCCAGGGCATTGTAAGCGGAATACTGCAGTTCCTTCACTGGCTTCCCAGCAAAGTTGTCTCGCGTAGTACCTGGGACTCATCAGACATGAGTGCTTTCGCGGGAGAGCATGGATGATGGCGGACGCACCGGCGAACAGGACGATGGCGCCCGCTTGAGGGCTGCGGACGCGGTCCATTATGTTCTGGACACTGAGGTGGTCATGCGTCAGACCTACGTAGCAGCCATCCTCGTTGACTTCAGTCTGATGCGGATCCATGGCTCACGAGTCACCGTCCGACGCGAGGACAGAGAATATACAAGATGAAAATTGAAGGCTGGAAGACTCCCCCGGGCCGACCCTCCCTCCTAGCCCTCCACCTAGCCCTCCGTGCCCTCCGTGCCCTCCTAGCCCCGAGATACCCCCGCCGTCGCGCACTGACCACCTGCCTGCACCTACTCGTGTCCCGCACCATTTCCACCTCGCTAGGGCTTACTACATAAAGTAGTGCTCCCTAGGGTAACGGACTGTGACGGAACGCTCACCATAACCACCATGCGACGGCTGTTCCTCCTAAAAGGATGTCGAATATCAAGCGTGGCAGCTTGACATTCAATGGTGGTACATGTACTCATGTCCGGGCTCCAGGACTCACCACATGGGCTACCTGTACCAGACCTTGACACGGACCACTTATAATAATGGACTAAATAAAAAAGAAAACTAATAACTTTACGAATATAAAGTTTTTTAAAAAGTTTTATATTTATAAGTATTATATATATAATATATAAGTTATTAAAAAATTTAAGTCTGTTATAATTTGTTTAAAATATATAAATAAACCTTGAAAAATAAGAGTTTAAAAACTTATTCTTATTTGAAAGACGGTTTTATAAGAAAATAAATAAATATAAAATACGTAAAAAGAAAATATAATTATAAAGATAATAAAAGTAAATATATAGAGAGCGGCAGTGTTTATTAACTGGTTAAAAGAGTATCGTTATATAAAGGCAATGATATTTAAAAAGCATGAATATTATAACTATAAAAACACGCTTATAACTTGAAAATAAAACCTTATATACTTTACTTTACTTATTTAATACTATTAAGGAATAATATAGCGTCGTTAAAAATCAAAACTAAAATTAAAATTAAAAAGTTAATAAGAATGAAAATATGTTAAAATTTTTTAAAACGGCTATTTATATTAGTTACTTTAAAAGGTTAACCTTTATCTAAACAATATTACTTATAACTAGCATATTATATCGAGTTATTTTATTTTATGACTATAAGTTATTTAAATATAATAACGTAGATGATAAGCGAGCTGCAAGGTGGGGCTTCCATATAAAAGAAGTCGGTGCGCTAATTTTTAACTTGACAGGTTATACGGGTATTTGAATATTATTAAGTCGGGTTTTAACCGATACCTTATAATCATAATACCTGCTAGCGTACTTAACGTATATTTAACTTAAGATATTTTAACTTATTTAATTTATGTAGTTTATTTATCTAGTTAATTACTAGGTTGTAATAATAAAATCGCTGCGAATAAAACAATAATCTTATGAGTTTATACCAGCGTATTCAAGTGTAACTGCTACTGTAATAAGCTAGTACCAACCTACCGATTTTCGAATATAACTGGTAAAAACGTAAATACGAAATAATAATTATATAAAATAAAATACAACGTTATACGGTATAAAAAAAGGTTAGTTTACCCTTAATACGCGATTATACGGCTTATTATACGGCTTAACTATGTGTATTAAGGTATAATATAGGGTATTATAGTAATACCCGTATAACCGGCTTTAATACGTATTACTCGGAGCCGTACGAGCTACGAATGCACGACGGGCTCCACATCAAAAGGCGAGGCCGTCGATCTCAGGTCGTCGCATCTGCATACCTTCCTTACTTTAAAGTACCTAACCTTATAATAGACAACCTCTTCTCGACCGCCACACGAACCAAGCTTGCATCTACTCCTTCTCTCGCCTACGTCGCCTCCATCGCCCATTCATGACGAGCAGCTACGGCCTTCAAGGTACCCGCCGCCAACATGTCCAACATGTACGACGACCACGACTACGACAACGACTATGACCGCGAACACCGATCGCGCGACGAACGGGACTACTACAGACGTAGGTCGCCTGCTTCGAGAGTCCAGCAATACCATTCGCCGCATGGTAAAATGATACAGCCTGGAGGATGATTGGGAGACGTCGCTATTGAGCCTGCGCTGACTTTCCCTGCGACGAAGAATTACATCAATCACATCAACGAGACCGGGAGTACTATGGTGGAAGTGGAAATGCGGTACCCGACGACCCCTCGTATCGCCGCAGAGAGTCTCCTGGTCGCGGTAGTTACAGAGACTATGATGCTCCCCGTGGACGAGGCCACCGCAGCCCGCATCGCGGCGACTCAGCCGGCGACTCGCCCCCCGACTCCGGTGATGACGGCTATTATCGAGATTCTAGTCGCCGATCTGGTCCAACCCGTCCCTCTCACACCCTGAAACTCGACGACGTACCGGACTGGATGAATACTGAAGAGGTGAGCTGGCGGCCCCTGCTGAAGCCATGCTGTTCAGAACCAGTGATACTGGCCATGGCGTCTTTCCTGCACCGGGACCGTCATGCTTAATTCCCGTCTAGGTAGATAACATCATGCGAGACATGGGTGCCGCCGGACTGGTCGAGGTCCGCCTCAAATTCGACGATCGAGGTGGTAAGTTGTCGTGCCTCCCACTGCTCAGTCACATAGCACTAAGACCACTCTGCTGCAGCCAGTCGTCGGTGCTACGCCTTCGCCGAGTTCAGATCTATCGATGATGCCACGAGTTTTCTCGATAATCATTACCCTGCCCTTGACGTCAATGGGGCCAACGGTCACCCTGCTCGTATCTACTTGGAATATAGTCGGGAACGTCGTCCGGTCGCGAACCCGGACGACTGGATGTGCACCATGGTAAGTACCGATGCGCTCGCCAGGCATCTCCCTCGAATCCTGCTAACCGACCAATAGTGCCACTTTGAGAACTTCTCACGCCGCGCGACATGCAAGCAATGCAAGGCGCCAAGGTCCTGTGAGTAACCCCTATTTAGTATCCACCACCAGGTGCTCATCCCAATCTTGCAGCTGAGAGCACGGCCGACATGAAACTGGATGGCAAGAGCGACGAATGCCCCCAGCAGACTCCGTCTCAGTTCGTCGTCATCCGCGGCCTGCCTTCGTCTGTGACCGAAACAACCTTGGCCGCCGGCGTCAAGAAGCTCTATGTTACTAAAGAGGCCGACGAGCCGAAGCAGGCTCCCGGCGCACCCCCTAAGCTCAAGAGTACTGCGCCGATTGGTAATACCAGCGGCTTGGGTGCGAAACCTGGCTCCCTGATCCGTGTCTTTATGATCCGAGATAAGTACTCGGATATCAGCTGCAACTACGGGTTCGCCGAGTTTTCCACCCTCGAGGACGCCAAGGCAGCCGTGGCAAAGTACAACGCCTCCTCACCACAATTCACCATCTCCTCCAAGCCAGTGACGATAGCCTTCATCCACTCGGGTGTCTTCATTCCCTATCTGCATCCGGTGCAGGATCAAGACCGCAAGTTCACATTTTCGGCTACTCACAACCCCACGCTGAGACTAGTCTACTGGAATTCGTCCGTCTATGCCAACGAGTTCCTCATCTTCAACGAAGGCCTATATGAGGACAAGCCACAGGAGACAGGCCAGACAAAGAAAGACGGTGATTCATCGGCGGGGAAGGACAGCAGGAAGCGCAAGGCGGAAAAGGACCTTGCGGCTCCCAGCGGCAAGAAGGCCATTGCCATGGCCCCTCAGTTGCAGATGTGGGCCAGCAAACATGCCGAGCTTCATGGGCCAAAGGGACCAGGTCAGAATAGCACGTCCTCGGAAGGCAAAGCACCTGCAACGGGCTCCAACGCCATTGGGCCTGCCGCTACCACTTTGCCTACTGCACCACCTCCCTCGGTTTCGTCGGTATCATATGCCGACCTCGACCGGATGTGCTGTCTTTTGTGCAGGCGCAAGTTCAGCAACGAGCCATCTCTTCGCCGACATGAGCAGATCAGTGACCTGCACAAGGCAAACCTAGAGAATGAAGCGCTCGTCATCAAGGCTGTCAAAGATCTGAACGCGTTGGGCAAGGAGCCCGTGTCTAGTTATCGGGATCGAGCCAAGGAACGGCGGGTGGCCCACAACCAGCCCAGTAAACCGAAACCTCATCTGCCGAGGAAGAAACCGCAGGGGAACAAAGAGCCCGAGTCAGCCAAGGAAACACCAGCGAAACCTGCAATATCCAAGGGGGCGGGCTTGCTGGCCAAGATGGGGTGGACCTCGGGCGAGGGCCTCGGCGCCGAGGGTGGCGGCCGGACCAACATCATCGAGACGACGGCCTATGCTCCCGGCGTGGGCCTCGGGGCTGAAGGAGGGAAGAGGGGAGACGCGGCACAAGAGGCAGCTCGTGCTACCAGGAACGACTACGCCGACTTCGTCTCCAAGGCGAAGGACAAGGCGAGGGAGCGATATGAGAAGATGGGCTAGAGAACCTATTGTCCCATTGTATACTATCACTGTTCGATGCTGGTCTTTCTAGGTGACCCGATTGACGTGACCGAGGTTCTACATCGTAAACGAGACACCGATCGATAGTTATTTCCGATTGCTGCTACTGCATAGTAACAATGCCTTGGGCATCGCCGGTTGCTATATTAATGAGCATGGAATTGGCGTCGTCGTGGCTACCGCGTACACTCGGCTTGCACATCGCCTTTTTAGCTGATACTCATGGCCTGCCTGCTTGATGTGATCCCGGTCCTCTTCTAACGGACCTCGGGACAGTTGCACCTCTGTAACTACATCTGTTCACCTTGTTCGGTGGGAAGCCGTTTCATCCATCACGGCTCGGGAATCCATCCACTTGCAAGCTAGCTAGCCACTAGATGGCCGAAGGAGTCTCTGTCGGACTCATCAAGGAGCCAGGTCGCTCGCTTACTTGCACTTATCCCGAAAGCGCGGATATATCATCACGGCTGCTACTCGCTCGCTGACACGGGACATGGGACATATCCGCTCAATTCGCACTTCCCCTCGTGCGAACGCGATTCTTGAAAGGCGCCTGACTTCAGCTCTACAGACGATATTCGAAACCACCTGGCCAAGGGCGTATGCCCAAATCCGGTAAGCTGGCAAGTGGCAACACATGGCATTGGTTGACTCAGAAAGAAGAATGGGGTATCATCATGTTCCATGGCCCTATGTCCAGGTCCTCTATTCGCGCGATCCAAGTATGCCGACTGAATCATCCAAAAAGGCAGCCCGGTCATACCTAGGAGTTTCCTCCCGCCGTCACCCGTGCTCTATACAGCAAGCATCGCTTAGACAAGTCAGAGTGTGCGCGCGCGAGCAGTGCTGATGCTATGTACTCGTGGAGATGCAATGTGCAATGCTGTGCTTTCCTGACGTAATCCAATTCGGATCGAAATGACACCAGACGAGGTTTCGTCGTCTCGTCTCGTGCCATTTCCCATCCAGGTCCATCTATCGTACCCAAGTAATCCCAAAACGCGTGCTTATGCCATCGCTCATGCTATGCCTCGCGCATTCAGGGAGAGAGCAAGCTGAATTCATCGCAAAAAGAACCCTGACTGCTTGGATCGGTCGAGGGCTATAATAAAATCAACCCGGCACCCACGAGACCAAAGCCGGCGGCGATGGTAGCCACGGCGGCAGCCTCCCAGTTCGGCGCTGGTACGGCACGAGCGGCGGCATTGCCGGTCGAAGAAGCACTGGGCGAGCCAGTCGAAGTGACAGTAACGGTAGGCAAGGCACTGTTGCCACTGATGCCTGGCAGTCCCGTGGCGGTCTGCTCGGCGGTGACCTGGGATGCGACGCCACTAAGGAGGGGAATCCCGGACTCCTTGGTGATCTCGACCACATGGGTGTCGGTGCTGTTCAGGTTGGCGGGTGCCATGGCGATAGTCTTGTTGCTCAGGTCGTAGACGACGTAGGCGGAGCGCAGAAAGGTATCGCCGAGCAGGTAGTAGCCCTGGTTTGCCTGGAGCCCGAAGCTACAGGCGTTATCGAAGGGCAGATCATCTGGTACCTGGAGCCCAAGCCCGGTATAGGAGTCCACATTGTCTAGGATCATCTCGTCGATGGGGACTCGGATAAGCGGTCCGTCCGTACCACCAAACTGAAAGTCAAATGTCAGGTTCTTGCTATCGGACAGATAGCCACAGTCGACGTAGACGAGACCGGTGCCCCCGGAGCTGGTGTCGTCGTATGCGCCAAAGGCGTCAAAGACCCTGTCTGCTATACTGGATGGAAGGTAGGTCAAGGTGGTACCGGAGTCGAGAATGACGGGAATGGCGGCGGCGCGCGTGTAGTTGGCGACGGTGCCGTTGTCGGCCGTGGTGGTGAAGGAGCTCAGGGCGACAGTGAAGGAGGAATAGGTGCCGGTCTCAGCATCGGGCTGTATGGGCACAGCCTTCAGCTCGCCGATGAACTTGGCCGTGTCGAGCCCGCCAAAGAGAATGGTGCCCGTCTCGGCATGTAGATCGTCCTGGGGAGCAGGAGGCGGTTAGCTCACTCACCGCATTCCACACAAGGGAGTGGAATGTTGGGCTCAACGTACCAGGTACAAGCTGTAGGCCTCGCTCGCGATCAGGTCCTGTTGCATAAACATATCGATGATGTTGGGGTATTGCTTGGTGGCAGCGACGTTGGCAGAGAAGCCGACGCCCAGAAGACCGGAATTAATGGTCGAGTTCTCGGCAAGGCCCATCTGCAATGCGGTAATGTTTGCGCCCCCAATGCTTAGGTTGTCCTTGATGTAGTTGCCCTCAGCGCCGGAGCCGTCGACGTACTGGATGCTGAAAGAGTCGTCCGAGACGAGAGAGTAGGTGGAGCTCTGGGAAGGGTCGTCTGCGTCGATAAGAGTAAGTGTAGGTCGGCGATTCGGCTTGGGAGGGCTTGGGAGAAAAACTTCAGACTTACAGGTGGCAAGGCAGTCGCCGTAGTACAGCTGCAAGGCCTCCGAGTTGCAGAGGTTCGCGCGACTATCGAGAACCCACACGTCGCTGCTGCCGGTATCGAGGATCAGGTTGACGGGCTGGGGCGGGGTGCCGACGGTGACCTGGGCATAGTAGCCGCCGCCGGTCAGGTTGTTGTTCAGCTCCTGGGAGAATGTGCCGGCGCGCCTGCGTAGGCCGGTCCGTCTCTCTGCCTGGCGGGAGAAGGGGACGGGCACGACTTTCTGCGAGGCTCGGACACCGGTGGCGAGGGCCGAGACGGCGAGGAGAGGCTGTAGGAGCTTCATGGCGGCGTCTCCAGCTCATCAAGTCCGGCTCGTCAAGTGGAAATGGATGCGCAGGCGTGGAAGCTGAGGGTGAGCAAGTGACGGCAAGAGGACAAGAGGAGGACGAGGCAGAGAAAGACGTAGGTACGGTACCTACCTAGCTATTCCCTCTCTCAACGACGCGCGGCTAATATGCACCTGGTCCTGCACCTTGTCACGCACCGCAGTTGCGTTGGTCACCTTGCCTTGGGCTGAGTGTGTGGCGATGGTTCTTCTCTTGGGTGGTTGGTCGCCTGGTCAATCACGAATCACCAGGATCACCATCATCCAATGGATCCATGGCCCATGGCCCATGGCTGCATCATGGGCGGCAGGTTGCATGGCCACCCCCAAGAGGGAAAAGGGGGGCACGGCTTCAACGCAGATCCAGCTTGGGGAGCCTTTTCCCCAAGAACTGGAGACTTCAAGACTTGGCAACATTAGCTGAATGTTGGTCTGGGGTCTGGTAGTCTGGTGGTGTACCTTGCATCTGGATAATCGCCGGGTACCAGGTAGCTGTCAAGTAGCTGATGGGCAGTTGCCAGTGATTGTGTGGGACGGTACTTGCTCCAGCTGCGAGAAATGCCCCTCTCGGTTGTATCTGTGGATCACCCACCCGATAAGATGAATCTACCCTACCTACATACCTATCTTATCGAAAACGCCCAGTGGCTTGGCTCCAAGACAATCATCACCACTGACCAGTCGCGACTCGCCAGAGGCCCAGAGCTGCGACTGCCAACTGGGTGATGACTGCCATGAATGATGGAACGATCCGTCTGGAGACTTCTTTATTATTAAGAAGACGGGACGCAGGGCATCAGAGTTCGACCTTACAATGGAAGTTGAGGAAGGGGACCCCGGGCCATCATACATCCGCCAGGAACGACAACCTTTTCAACATTTCTACTCCTATTAATAACCTTAATACTCCAACCGGGCCGCCAATACGGTAGCTTCAACGTTGAGACAGCTGCCAAGCATATACTTACTACTTCCTTACTTCTATCGGTCAGTGTCATCCCCAAGGTCATGGTTTATAGTGTATCGCGGCCAGCATATCACATACCAGTACAGGTTACATACGAGTCACTTGTCTGGCTGTCTGGCTGTCCGGCTGTCCGGCTGTCCACGTCTTCCAAAGATTCACTGTGCATGAGGACACGTAAAGAAACAGGTAGCTATCTCCATTCGTCTTCATCCATTCTTTTCTTCCTTGGTTCTCTTCCCCTTCCAACTCTCAAAACACAAACCCCGCGCCAGAACTAGCTATAGACAAGCAGTATGAAAAGGGGCATCTTGTGTCAGTCATCGGCCGCGCCGGCCGCGACAGCACGTTTCTGCGCGATCATAGCGCAGAGCTCCTGGATGCTGTTCTCGCCCAGCACCTCGAACACGCTCACGTCGACGTCGCACTGCCCAAACACCCACGTGCGCACTCCCACCGCCACGAGCGAGTCCACGCCGTACGCGTTGGGCGGTCTGGACGCATCGACGTCTTCGGTCCGCATGTTCATGCTGCGCGCGAGCATCGCCCGCAGCCCGCCGCTGAGTACGGCCGCCGCCTCTTCCGCGTCTGCCACCTCCGCCAGCAGCCCCTGGATGCTGTTCTCGTCATCCGCCGCCTCGGCCCCAGCCGCCTCCGGTCCGGCATCGTTGTCTACCTGGCCAAGGCGCACGAACATGGCTGAGCGAGTCCAGTAGGGGTCCGCGACCCTATTCTGTCGGATCAGCCCGCCGGTGCCCAGTCCAGCCGCCACCTGTGCTGGCATTCTCTCCTCCTCGCTTGTGTAGCCCGTGATCGCGCACTCAACCATGCGCCTGAAGTCCTGCAGACGCGTCGCGAAGAATCCGCTTGTCTTGAGCTTGTCAAGCGTACCTGGATTGTCCACAAGCATCCCCGCGCCTAGCATGGGCCCGAGATCCAGCGACACCGCGCGCGTCGGTCCGGGGCCCGCCGAGATGTGTCGTGCGAGCGCGTCTTGAAACGCGTTCCCAGCCGCATAGTTGGCCTGCCCACGGTTGCCAATCACCCCAGCCGAGCTGGAGAGGAAGATGAAAAAGTCCATGTCCTGAGGAAGCGTCTCGTGCAGGTTCCAGGAGCCCACCGTCTTGGGCCGGACCGCCACGCGCCAGTCCTCGTACGTCATGTTCTCAAACGTTGCGTCACGCACCACCGCCGCGCATTGGAACACCCCCTTCACCGGCGGCATACATCGCTGTATCTGGCCATACACCTGCTTGAGAGCTTCGGCATTGCAGATGTCGACCTTGTAGACGCCGACTTTAACCGCTCGCTTCTCCAGGAAGCTCACGCAAGACTCGGCCAGCCCGTTCGTCGCGCCAGATCGAGAGAGGAACACAATGTTCTTGACGCCGTTGGCCTCAAGCATCTTCGCTATCTCGATACCCAGACCGCCAAGGCCGCCCGAGAGAACGTAGGTGCACCCCGGACGCAGGTTCCGGCTGGCCGGATACGGAGGTCGTGGTAGAATCGGGACCAGTTTCGACCGGGATCGCTGGCAGTAGATCTGCCTAGTCTGTTCATCCGCCTCCATGAGTTCAAAGGCTGCCGGCAGTTCCGAGTAATCGAAGAGCTTGGGGGTTTCGGCCTCCAACACCTTGAAGCGTCCTGATACGATTCCAAGACAGGTCACCGCGAGGGCTTGTCCGAGTCGACGAGGTTGGTGCTCGATCAGCTTGGCCACGTCCACCATCATGCTGCTGAAAGTCTTGTTCGTGAGCTCCGCGTCGTGACCGCTAACACTGCTCCCCTGACACCTTCTCGCAAAGCTGACGATACAACCACCTACACGTTTCATTAGCTCCTGCTTCTGATCGGCGGCTCACCGTGCTGACTTACCTTCGGCGATGAGCTTCTCGTTCAGATCACGGTTCTGGCCGGTCGGGTCGTATATAACGTCCACGCCCTTGCCATTGGTGAGGCGCAGGAGACTGTCGACGAAGGCGGTCGACCTTCCGTCCACAATGTGCTCTTCGGGAACGCCCCAGTAGTGATAAAGCATACCGCGCTGGTTGTTAGTCAACGCGCTGGCCAACACCGTGGCGCCTGCGGACCTGGCGAGTTGGATGGCAGCCTGGCCGAATGACCCGACACCGGCGTGAACGAGGATGGTATCGCCGGCTTGGAGACGCCCGAGCGCGTATTGAGCCACGCAAAAGCTCGTAGCAAGATGTACGTGGGACGGCTGAAATGTCTCTCGTGAGACCTTGTGAACCAGCTCGTGATGGCATCTGACGTAATCCTTTACTATTAACAAACACAAGTTAGTAATTTCTCTTTGTGGGATTATATATGAGAGGAGGACCATCCGGACGCATGTCTCGGAAGCGCGTGTTTGTCGACCAGACGTGCCTGTGAGACAGGCCTATCGAACACGCACTTCCAATACATGGCCCGAAAAGGGGGATCAGATAACTCCTGGATATACGTACGGGACCCGCGCACCGCTCCAATGACGTAGTCGCCCACCATGACATTCACGACGTCGGCGCCAACCTCTTCGACCGTACCGAGCATGTCGGTGCCGATGGCATCATCTCCCGCGCGCCCGTAGACGACGTCACTGTCAAGGTCTGTCAGTGCAGCTGTAATGACCTTTACTTTGACCACGTGGCATGGTAGAGGCGTATGAGCCTCGTGGTCGTCATCCCAGTACAAACTCCCGGGGTTCCCAACCTCCCCAATCTTAAGCTTGAGTGGTCTATCTCGTGGAAACGGCATCTGTTGCATCTCGGGCTCGGGTTGTGCGGTACCGCGCTCGATCAGGGTGTTCAGAGCCCGGACGGGAATCAGTCTCGGGACCACAGTGCGACCGTTACGCTCGACATATTCGGTCTCCCGGGGCACTGTTCCCTTGGGGCTGAAGAAGGCATCGCGAAGCAGCAGCAGTATCTTGCGGGCAACCGATGCCGTCGCTGGACGAGTGAACTGGATGTCGTGGCTGATATCGAAGGTGAGCACGTTCTTCTTGGCATGCTCCGAGTTGATGGTGCGAGCTAGACCCTGAAACAACGCAGATCTCGGGTTGGTGGCCTCCGACTGGGAGCCCCGAGTCACCCAGAAAATCCCATTGACTGCGGCAACGACGGTGCTGAATGCGGCAAAGTCCTTTTCTGACCAGTCCCAGACGAACTGCTGGCCATCGGCCTCCAGTAGCGAAAGACAGTAGAGGGGCAGCTGCTGCCCTTCGGCTATGGAACTCAGAGTCCGTATTTCCCAGTGCGAATCTTTGGTAAGCTCGTTGCAAAGTCTGTTGGTCTCGGGGCTCACGTCTTCTGGGACCAGGAGTAGCATAGGAAGCTCTTCGGTGCGATGGTCACTGGCCTGCAGCGCATCTTGTTTCGTCGGAGAGATTGTGGCGAGGTCGAAGTCTTCCCATATCATCTCAGAGCAGAGGTTGCGGTAATACGGGAGAAAGCCACCTTCGGTGCTGCTCGACGTCAGGGCGGTGAAGGTCAGGTCCTCGACGACGATCAAGGGATGGCTTTGCGGGCCGGTACCACCCAGCCAGGAGGCATCTGATACTACAAAGGATGTGGAAGCTTCGCGCGGGCGGCGCCGCTCGGCATGGGTGCACGTCACGAGGTCTTGGCCAGATCTCGACAGCACATCCGAGTCGGCCAACACACGGAGCTTCCCGAGCAATGACGGAACCATGGCCTCGCCGCTCATACCGAAAGCCGTCTGGAAGATCGAGTCCAGTGTGGCCGGGTGAATGATGTGGGGGTATTCGAAACCCGCAGGCATTGTGGTCTTCGTATCCGGGACACGCACCACGCCGACGCAGGCGTCATCTCTCCTGTGTAGCGAGGTGATGTTCCGGAATAGAGGGCCGTAGTTCATGCCGATGATGTCCAGGGTCTCGTACAGCTGGCTCGGGACCATGAGCTCGTCGCACTGCTTCTTCGTCTCGACATAATCCTGATAGTGCCGCTCGGCTTGCTGTCTCGTCTCCCGCTGAAGTTGATGCTCTGCGCGGGCTCCTGAACCTGGCTGCCTATACTGGACGTTGACCAGCCCACTGCCATGCTCCTGCCATGCCAGGTCCAGCTGCTTCGAGAAGATAGAAAACTGAAACATCAATGAAATCGCATCCTGCGCATTATCCGGAGAAAGCTGGCTTGTTGCCTTGTTGAAAGTCAGCGCATATTCGAGGCCATGCTTAGTGGCCGGGATGATCATGGCCTTTTGGATCCTGAACTCGGATATCTCGATAGCGGAATACTTGCCCGAGGCGACTTGCTTGGCACCTTCCAGGACCATGGCGATCATGCCGGCAGCAGGGTAGATGATGGTCTTTTGCACCTGGTGGTCTTGAATCCACGGGTTCTCCGAGATGCGGAAGAAGCCTCGCCAGCGCGGTTGGAACGGTGTCGAGTCGGCCGTAGGGCGTCCGATTAGGTCGTATCTTCCATGGACCTGGAAACGAACGGACTTGGACAGATGCGACTCGTGCCAGTGCACGGTGCTGTGGTTCCAGGGGTAGTTGGGCAGGTCTACCTGCAGTCTTGGGCGCCGGAGCTGTGCGTTTCTCATGACTACCCATGGCATGACAACGTCGCATCCGTGACACCAAAGCTGGCCAACCGCTTCTAGAATGGTCAGTGCTGCATCTCTACCGCGGGTGAGCATAGATATGTACTTGGGTCGGTTGGCCAGCTTCTTCTCGGCTTCTGCTATCTGTCTTACGGGACCCCGAAGTGAACAATGCGGTCCTAGCTCGAGTACGATGTCGGGCTTCTGGCGTTTGCGACCGATCATCTGTTGCATGGCATCAGAGAACAGGACCGGACTGACCATGTTCGTTGCCCAGTAACTGGGTCGAAGCTCGTCCCAGCGGATGACATTACCCGTCACGGATGAATACATGGTAGGTGGTTCTCTTGTGGATCTTGGGTCGACAGGTGCAGTCCTCGCGGTGAAGTCTGACAGAGTAACGAGCCTGCCCTGAGCATGCGGGTGCGGAATTCTCCTGTGGGACGGCTCGTGGGGCATGATGTGCGAGATGGCTTGGAGATAGGCACCCTCGCATCGCTTCATGTGATGCGAGTGATACGCGGTGTCTACCAGCAACAGCCGGTTGAAGACGCCATCCGCTTCGAGTCTCGCCTGGACTTCGAGAATCGCGCCCTCATCCCCGGATAGAGTCACCGAGGCTGGGCTATTGATGCAAGCTACCACGGCCTTGCCCTTGGCGAGGTTGTCTAGGTATGCTTGTGCCTCCGACGCTGACAGACCTACAGCAAGCATGCGACCCTTGGGGTAGGGTTGACCTTCCGGGCCCTCTGAAACGCCCACGCACTTTCCTCGATGGTATGCAAGCTCCCAGGCATCCTGGCGGGATATGGCACCGGAAGCATATGCTGCTGCGATCTCTCCAGACGAATGCCCGCACACGTCCGTTGGCATAATACCGTAATGCTCGATCAAGAGATCTACGAGAGCCACTTGTATCGCTGTAGTCGCTGGTTGCGAGACTTCAGGGTCGTTGATTCTAGAACAGGCCTCGTCTCTCAAGAGCTCGTCGACCAGGTGGAAGGAGCACCCTACGTGTCCCTGTAGATACGAGCTGGCCTCGGCGATCGAGTGTAGGAAGATGTCGAAGCCGAGAAGTTCCCTCCCCACTACATCATCACGAGTTATTGACTGTACTCTCAGGATACACTGGGGCGTGTTCGGAAGTTGTGAGTCGTGTCTCGGGAGTGTGAGCTCCTGTATTGACAAGAGAAACTCCCGAGGCATCTGAAAGGGGTAAGGGGCTACTCCAGGTGTCACTCACTAGCATACCACTGAGCGCCTTGACCACCGAAGACAAAGGCGACCCTAGTCGATGTCTCCTCTGATGCTCTGACAAAGTCGGCGCTGCCCAGCTTGCTCAGCTTCAATAGTAGCTCCTCCGCAGAGCGCGCGGCAACCGAGACCCTCCACTGCATGTTCGTTCGTCGACATCCGAGCGTATACGCAAGGTCCTCCATCAGAGTATCCGTATTGGTTCCGATCCGACCTCTGATATAATCTCCGTGCAAATGGACTACCTGGGACAAGACGCCTTCTTCCTGCGCTGAGAAGACGAATACTTGAGACTGCGAGTCGCGTTCCGGCAAAGAGCATCCATTGATTCTGCCAGCGGCCGGCACTAAGATATCTCTGACGACTTTGTCGTGGTCCGTTGTGGTCACCAAATCCATCGAAGGTTGGTTGTCTCCATCCGAGATGGTGGTGTTGTGATGCGCCGAGAGACCCCTCTGGGCCAGATAATGGGCGGCATCGTCAAGAATGACATGTGCGTTCGTTCCGCCAAATCCAAAGCTGTTCACACTAGCTCTTCGAAGGCCCTCGACCGGCCAGGGAGTATTTTCCGTTGGAACCTGCGGCCAAGTGTCAGAGTGGCCCACCTGGCAGAAAACATATCGACAGTCATCTCACCTTCACCTTCCATCCTTCGAAATCAATCGTCGGGTTGCCCGGCGCCACGAAGTTGAGGTGCTTCGGGATGATACCAGTTTCGATAGTCACTGCAGCTCCTGAAGTCAGCTGTCATATCTCCAGCCTAAGATGGGTGTATAGGGAATTCGAGAGATGATTCAGGCGCCACGAAAAGCAACCCGAGCTCGTATGGAACGGTCAGGGCAAGGAAATGTGTTGCTTGGGGTACGCACATATGCCTTTGATCAAGCCTGCTACACCAGCACAGCCTTCCAAGTGGCCGATGTTGGTCTTCAAAGGTTAGTAAGATACACGCAAGCTAACACGAAGAAAAAGAAGAAGAGGAAGGGAGTACGGAAACAGGAAAGAAGAAGGGAGTCGGAAGGAAGAAGGGCCCATTTTCACCTTGATCGAGCCCACGTAGATGGGATTTTCCTTGCTACGCCGTGGACAGAGAGCTTCGGATACTGCTTTGAGCTCTCTCCAGTCGCCCGCCGGCGTCCCAGTGCCGTGACACTCGACGTAGGCAGTCTGGTCGACATCCAGGCCTGCTCTCTCGTAAACGCCACGCATGTTCTTGATCTGGGCTTCCGAACTCGGAAGAGTGATGCCTGCTCATACTTAGTGCTCTGTTATACGGTCTGGGTAGGTTCTCTACCCGCAGTGCGTCCATCTTGATTGACTCTCGATCCGCGAATGATAGCTCGGATGTTATCATTGTCACGAATGGCATCGCTGAGGCGTTTCAATACGACGATGCCGACTCCTTCGCCCCGACCGTAGCCATTGGCTCTAGCATCGAAACTGTAACTTTTGCCGTCTGGGCTCAGGAAGTTCAGGGCCGTCATCGGCATCATCGTAGCAGGAGTAAGCATGAGTCCGGCACCGCCTGCGAGCCCCTGAGTGGGTCAGCACTTGCACCAACTAACGCGCAGCCCCTGACAAGTGGTGGACAAAATGAACCTGCAGTGGGACAATCATTGATCAAGTGATTGTCCCAGCATACTGTCACGCCGATCGCTCGCCTAGATGGCATGTGGACGGAGGGGGCGTTAAGACTTACAACATCAATCTCTCGGTCTCGGAGGCTCTGGCATGCGCTGTGCAAACACACGAGGCTCGCACTGCACCCAGTATCGATGGTCATGCTCGGCCCGTGGATATCCAGGAAGAACGATATGCGGTTGGACATGATGGCAGTGCCGTTTCCTGTGGCACTGTACATGGGTGCATCGTCAGGATCGCGAAGGACCACTTGTTCGTAGTCTTTGCCTGTCAGCTTGCACAATAGGCGCTGCTTCAGCGGATTTCTGGGGCGTACCTTTGACAAATGAGCCGATCCAGACGCCAGTCTCGGTCTTGCGCAGGGCATTTCGATTGATACCGGCTAGGGGGGGGCGCATCAGTTCCGTGTACGGCAAGAGGACTTTCCCAGGCATCCTACCACTATCTAGTGACTCGACAGTGACCTCGAGGAGGATTCTCTGCTGAGGATCGACGGCTTTTGCTTCGTCGGCCGGTATGGAGAAGAACTACAGCAGTTGGTCAGTACCAAGGCAGTGTGCAGTGGTCGGGTCTGCGGGTCCTTGGGTTTACCGAGCTATCGAACGCGCCAACATTCTCTCGCAGTAAATGCGCTCCCTTGAAAGGGATCTACAGGCAGAGTCAGCCATCAGTGTTGCTTGGGATGCAGATATGGTGAATTACACTGCCTTGCCTGGCTACGTGCGGGTGGTAGTAGCTCTTGATGTTTAGTCGGTCCGCGGGTACCTCCGACCAGGCGCTCTCTCCACGGTAGAGCATCTTTGATAGAGCCTCCGGAGACACGGCCGTCCCCGGAAATCGGCATCCGAGGCCAACCACAGCAATAGGCTCTGCCTCTTCAGAAGCCATGCTTGACAGTACAGCTCTGGTTCGTGATGCGAATGCGAATGGCGGTCGTGGGATGCAATATGAAAATTCTATTGGTGGTGTGTTTTAGGTGAAAATGTGTTGGTAATAGCTTGGCGGTGGAAGTATGTGCTGTGAGGGTGCCTGAGGCAAAGGTGAAAATCTGCAGGTGGTTGAAGACGAGAACCAGTTGGAGGCAAAGTTGAAAATGAGAACCAGTTGGAGACCAAGTTATAAAAGAGAACCAGTTGATGGCCAAGTTGAAGGCTTTGACTCACGATATGATGCCGCACTTCATCCACGTGAAAAGCTTAAAAATCGAGAAGTGGTGGGGTTATACGAAGGACAGTGGGATCGTTTCCTAACTCAGGGGTTTAGGGGCCTGCCTGTGCACGAGACTCGAGGGACGTGATGATAGTGACGCTGTTTAAAGCTGGTGACTTGATCATGCTATCACCTGATGGGGGCTTGGTTGGTTGTTGGTTGATTGATTACGGTGCTTTTATTTCTGACCATACACTGTGCCGCAATGTCTTCTCGACATGAAAAGCTCGGGGAGGTACCAGTCGAAAGCAAGGGGTCGCCGACAAAGCAGCTGACGGAGATTTCACGACATTTTTGTGCTTTGGTGACATATGCTGTTACATATCATTACCTTCAAGGGATGCTTCTTGTTTTCTAATCAATAGATGCTCACAGAAACAGTCCACGTAGCCCGGCTCGATATGTCCAAGGTCATCTATTCCACTCTTAACACCGGATGCAGAGCTGCGGCTTAACTGCGGCTTGACTGCGGCTAGACCTACTGGTATTTCGAAGCAGCCAGCCTATAAACAACAGCGGAATACTGCCACCTGGTACTTCAGTGTTCTTTTGATAACCTGGTAAGGCGTGCGTCCCTATACCGGCCGAAAACACATCTGATGTATGGGTGGAGATATATAGAACTCCAAATCTTCTTCAAACCATTAACCCCCGACCAGTGCCCCTTTGGTGTTAGTTCTAGTCTGGCAGATGGATGTCAAGCTGCCATTTGCTTAGAGCTGGACCGGGTAGCCGTAATAGTTAGTACGCCCCGCAAACTCCAGATTATATTAGCTGCCGCCCCCTGAAGCACGATTAACGATGGACGTGGTCTAGAGCTGATAGTGACCACTGGTGCACGTGCCAACATTGACCGATAGGGTCGCAGCAGACCTGTCGATACCCCCAAGCACCAAGCTCCAAGCCCCAAGCTCCAACTTGGGCTCACAAACAACCCGAGGCAGCGGTTGCAGGAGTCGGCCCGGAGATGGCAGTCAAACACTGTTCCAAGGATGGTGATCCTGGCGGGCACGCACGTTCCATAGAGCCATGCTTCCACAGCAGACGTTGACACGCCGCCGCCAATGAGGTTTCATTGCCGCAGGATCTGACCGGCCGGACATGGCTCATGGCTCGCAGCTCGCGGTGGAACGCGATCGACATGAAGAATAACTCCGAGAGGGAGCGCTGGAACTCGGCGTGTCTTGCACACTGACTTCACAGCAAAGGTGATATCACTGATCCACTCCTCTGACGCCGGATCGTGTCTTCAGAAGTGGTGGTATTGCCCTGCTGCACGTGGACAACTGACACTGCTCAAAAGCTAGCTGCTCGCCGCGTGTTCTCCAAATGGGCTTACACTCCATGTACCCCGTTGTTTCATAAACCACCCTGGGAAAATCGTGGTTCCTTTGCTCCGCCGTTTCCATATGACACATTTGAGGTTGGACGGGTGAGGACGACATGCGACGTGGTCGTGAACCGCGCGGGTTTAGTCGTCTGGGGTGCAGGGCTCAGGTCCTGTGTTGCACACAACCACCGTGGCAGAAGGGAGTTAGTTCTGCGCGTCGGCTTGTACGAGCAACGTGACGAATCAGCCCGAGCTTATCCTGACTTGGCTCCAGACTAATCGATACAGATCGAGGTGTGAGAGTCCAGTTCGGGCGTATCTTCTGACGGGATAGACATCCTGTGCGCGTGTCCAGTGTCCAGTGTCCACTTCAGCAGTTCCTGGTAGAATGACAAAAGACGGGATCAGAAAAAGCAGCAAAAGATGACTGTGATCTGTGATCTGGTTCAATGACGGCATAATCGCCTGGACGCATCACTTGTTCCCTCACGTCCTGGTGTCGACTGACCAGGGGCACGAACTCACGAACTCACGAACTCACGAACTCACGAACCCACGATGTTTGTCGTGTCACTGGGTAGCGTAAGCTAAAAGCCAGGAACAGGAACATGGTCACGATCAATGCACCTCGAGGGGTTGATGGCGCCTGAGTCACTAAGCTTGAACATTGGAGCAATGGCTGTGATCTGGAACAGTCAGGCCTCGAAGGTGGTGACTTTCAACTGGAGATAAAGGGAGACTAACATGTGCACTCCCGCTTATAAGGCTATCCATCTCGATAACGATCCGAGCGAATCTTCTCTAAGCGATATCACTATGAGCGGCATGCGACTAACCTTAGAATCAATTAGGGCAGGTTTTGATGTTTGTCATCTCATCTCCCTCACATATCCGACATATTACAATTTACCCTTTTCCCCCTTCTACATACCTCATACTCAAGTCGGCATGGCACGCAGTCTAGTACTCTACTGTCCTGTCTGCCTGTCTGCCATGGTACTGACTCTGCCGGGCCTGGGCACATAAGGCAGCGGATGGATACGGCACCAACCAGGAGCCATCGTGTTCATATGTCACCAACATCATTGATGTCATCGATGTCACCGAGCCATGTAAGATGCTGCGACAGCCTCCAGAAAGGACCCGACCTCAGCTGTCACGTGTGACATCTGCAGCTCCCAAGCGTGCCCCGAACCAGCTGAGGGTGCACATACTGTCCGACAGCGGCCATGGCACCACAGGCAGGGCAGGCAGGACAGGCAGGACAGCAATGTCTCGAATTGTGTGCTCGATTTGCACCTTCTTGGCCATGCCTGGACTGTCAACGAGGACATGTGCCACTCGGTGCTTCTCTATCACCAGAGGTGGGACAGGAGACGGCAGCGTTTGCCACTCCTCCACAGGTGCTCCTGTCCCGGTTGGACAAGAGGCTGAGCGGAGAGGGCCAAAGGGCTATAATCCGGATATCCTCACATTTAAGACTCTACATGCTCAGAGATCTGTTGTGATGGATTACAGCTACAACATTCGACCGCTGGGGTGCGTGCTCAAGGTTCGAGTTGATAATCTCCCCACGGCCGAACATCTTGTCCCACCTTGCACCGCACCCGTCTCCAGCTCCAACCGTGCGACCCAGGGGCAATCGAACGGACACATGCAGTACATTTGGCATACGCAGCATGTCGATCAGCCTGGGATGCCTGCACGCATGGCATCTGCACCCTCCACCTCTCTTCCATGTCCGTCAATTGCCTTAGTCAGACTGGTGTAAGTATGCCTATCTGCCGGTTTTCGTCGAGTCTGACTGGGCCATGGTGGTAGTGTCTGTCTTGGTGTGAAACTGCACCGAAGGACATATCAACACAGCCGGCGGACTACCCAGCTCAACCACATAGTCCTGAGGTGCAGATACATAAGGAAGATAGCAGTCATATATGTCACAAACACTTCATCATCTGGTCGTCTCATCGGGCTGCTCTTGGTCAGATCGGGTCTGCTCGGTCTCTTAGCTATATACCCAGACAGAGACACAAGGCTTGGTAACCGCAACATCTTGCCCAACCCCTTGCCCTCCGAAGCACGTGTGTTGAGGAAGAAGGAGCTGCCCTACCAAGGTGCTGCCAGTCTTCTAGTGCTGCGACCCTGGAATTGTCAAGCCAACTGCGCCTGCCGGACCATCAGACTATCAGACCCGGCTGAGTGGAACTGGTGTCGGCCTTGCTCATTCACATTTTCAACTTCCTCTCGTGTGGCAGAAGTCACAGCCCTGCAACCCGACCTGCACTGCGCTGGAGTGCTTATGCCTCACTGCCTGCCTCACTGCCTCCCTGCCTGCACGGCTGCTTCCTCGGAGCCCTTTTGAGGCCTTCCATTGCTATACCTTTCGAACCCTCGACTCTTCCACTCTTTGCATCCCACGATAACCCAACCGCGCCACTACTTCTCTGTACTTGTCCCCAAGGCGTATCATACCTCCGTCATGTCGTACCAACACCTTGTTGGTGGCTGGCGACAGGTGGTGCTGGTAGCAATGTGAGCTTCCCTGCGCCGTTCAATGTTGTTTGGCCGAGCTAACGTGATGGCGGCCAGTCTGCTTATTGGCCTCCTCTTCTCGAGTCTCGATGCGTCCATTGTCTCGACGTCCCTGGTAACCATTTCCGTCGACCTTCAGGACTTCCTCAACGCGCCATGGGTCGTCCTCTCGTACCTGTTGGCCTATCTGGGCCTCGCCATTGGTTTCGCCAAGACGAGCGACATCTACGGCCGCAGGGAGATGATCTGTGCGTCCTGGGTGCTTTTCGCCGGCTTCTCCGTTGGCTGCGGCTTTGCAAGAACCATGCCTCAACTGTAGGCCCCTCCCCCCCGCTTGCTTGGTCCGATAGCCACGTGGACTGACGGCTGGGCAGCATCATATTCCGTGCGCTTCAAGGCATGGGAGGCTCCGGACTCTACAGCCTCGGCCAGATTGTGCTCTTTGAGGTCGGCCCTGCGCACAACCCGAGTCTTATGGGAGCTCTAATTGGCCTCACGCTTGCCGTGTCTTATGTCTTGGGGCCGGTCCTAGGAGGCATAATATCGTCCTTGTCGACTTGGAGATGGATTTTCTGGATCAAGTACCATTCACTGCGCCCTGCCCTCGTCAATCCGGCTAACCCAGAACCCACGCAGTGTTCCGTTTGGTATTCTGGTCATTGCCGGCTTATACCTGACCTGGCCCGGTACGCTTGGACGCCGGTTTGGCGGGTGGGAGGCGGTGCGAAGGATCGATCTGCTCGGCAACATCCTGATCGTTGCGGCTTGCGCACTCCTAGTCTTCTCTCTCCAGGAGGCCGGGTCCTTCACGTATGCATGGGACAGCCCAGTCATTGTCCTGTCGCTGTGCATCTCTGCTCTAAGCTGGGTGGGTTTTGTTATCTGGGAGGTCTTCCTCAGCATGAAGCGCTCCACGCTCATCGAGCCTATCCTCCCCGTCCGTCTGGTGATGCGGCGAGTGTATTCTGCCTCTGTGATGTACGTCTAGACACGCCAGCCCGTACCTCTTCGTCGGCTAACGCAGACAGATGTACGTTCTGTACTGGCTTCGTCTACCTGTCAATCCTCATCATACTTCCTGAACGCTTCCAAATCGTCAATGGGGACAATGCGCTCTACTCGGGCATACACTTGCTCCCAATGCTCGGCGCAACATCGTTCGGCGCCTTCTTTGCCGGTGCCGTATCTCGCAAACGGAACAATACCTCCTGGACCTTGATGGCCGCTCACTGTTTCCAGATTCTGGGCGTTGGCCTCCTGTCGACGCTGAAGGATATCACAACTGAGATCAAAGCACAATACGGGTTTCAAGTCCTCCTTGGCCTAGGCATCGGGCTCTCCCTCGGTGCTGCCACCATCATGGCGTCGGTGCAGTCTCGCCACGCCGATCTGGCCGTGGCCCAAGGCGCCGTCGCGCAGGCCCGTGTGCTTGGTGGAAGTATTGGTATCGCAGTCTGCAGCATCATCTTCAACACAAAGGTAGCGAACGAGCTCGGCAGCCGAATGGATCCCAAAGATCTGGCGGCGCTCCACCACAGCCCGACGATCTCGTCGCTTTTACCGGACGACATACAGGTTCTCGTCAAGTCGGTCTACGCTTCGGCCTTCACAGACGACATCACGGTCATGATTGGCATCGCCGCCGTCGGTGTGGTTACCAGCTGCTTCGCGTACGAGAGACAGCCGCCACCGATGCCCGGCACCCCGCAGGCCAAGGAAGTCATGGGGGCGGATGGTCATAGTGAGACGGAATTGGACGAGCTGACCAGTGTCCGCCGGAGTAGCCGCCTGAGATGACGCGAGGGGTTGGTCTTGGGACCGATCATATGTGTCGACGCCAAGTCGGCATTACGAGTTGCGGCATTACCATGCACAGGGGTGTAAGCTCTCTGTCGGTATTTCCTTAGGGCATCTATTCTTCGATACGCCGCGTGGGAGCATACGGAATTTGTTTGTTTAGTAAGCTGCATGTAACTAGGCGAAAACCGAGCAGTGACTGTATACTTGCCGACGGGTCATCTCATAATCCGAGCGCCTGGCGCTCTTTCTCAATAGACAAAATTGGTCGATTTACAAATGTCTTCTTATCCTCACACAGGTCCAACTCGAAGCAGAGACTATGTCCCGTGAACACGTGTACTGGTCAGGGTGAGAGAAGTCCCTGGTGCGAAGTCAGGTCACACAGGGCAGCTGGGGGACGCTCGGCTCAAGTTGCGATGTGTCGGTGGCAGGGCCGCGGAGAGGAGAGGTTATGGTGTGAGGCGAAGCTGGATGGCTTGCTCCCATATGAGACATACATGCGAATGAAGGCTGTGCTGTGTTGTACGTATACTGGCGAGGACTAGTGGTGACACGGCGGAGCTGACACACTCGGAAACGCCAATAGATGCATGCCTCGCAGGAACTCACTTTTCTTGGTGTAGCCATTGAGCTTTATTGCAAACTGGAGTGTCTCGCGCTCTTCCGAAACATTCGATTCGACATCTCGGTACGCGCCCCTTTCCAGGGAGCAGCCTGGTCCAATGCCAAGCCCGGCGCCAGTCTTTTGCCCAAGTTACGACCACGCCTCACAGCCCCAACATGGTCAATAGTGACAATAGTCCCACCTGCAGGGAGAAGCGTTATCAGTGGTATCCCCGCTGATGCTGCCGTCTACCGGCATCTGGATATTGAGATCCTGCAGCTCCCAGTAGCCACCCGCGTCCAACCGTCAACGCGGTCGAGGCCTGACGGGGGTGTGGCGAGTGGTACACCCTGCGTCACGTTGCGCAGGTACGGCTACGAAGAAAGTCTGGCTGGAGTCCTTGCTGTCTTGTCTGGACACGGAGGGCATTGAGGCAGCTATTTTTCACCTAGACCGTATTGATAACTTGTCACCCTACTCTTCCCGCCGGCAATGTTTATTGTGCGTTGGTCAGACCCAAAGAACGAGACGGCGATGCATTGACGTTGGTCAGTCTGGTCGCCGCACATGTGCTGCAGCATGGTAATTTGAGCACTATGGTACGGTACATCGAGGCTTACCAAGATGGTGAGTGACGGGGGGATATGCATGTGTGCCACCAAGTCGTGTCTCTTGATGAATGTGACATTACTGAAGCTAAGCTGCTGAGAGGGATTGTTCTTTGCTGGGACTTTGTTCTTCGTATGTCGCCGGCAACATGGATGCCCCGTGACTGACCAGTATGGGATACCAGAATATCGGTTAAGCCTATTTCCTCCACCTCATTTCCCCAGCCCGGAGTGGGAAGATAAAAAGGTAGAAAGACAAAAGGTCACACACCGCCATATCTAATATCCATCGCCTACCATACCAATACCTGATAATAAGAAGAAGACAGCAGCCCTGGAAATGGCGTCAATAGCCCCCCCCAACCAGGAGCCCAAGTGGGCGGCCGCCATCTCGCCGCCCACCATCGGCCCGGGCGGTACAGCCTCGCTCATCTGCTCCACCGCCATCGCCGCACCACCGTCGACATGCGCCGAAGTGGTGCTAGACACGACGGCATATTCGGCCTGGAACCGATGGATTCCCGAGGCGCCCATCCAGACCCCGTCCAAGGCCGCCGCCACCTTGACGCCGGCGTCCCTGCGCCACCTCGCCGCGAAGCCGGAGCAGATGCTGCTCGCCGGCACCGAGTTCACCTTCCAAGTGCACATGGACCCGGACGCTGCCAGCTACGACAACACCGAGCTGGTCGTCTCCTTGCTCGAAGAGTTCGAGCGCGACGGCCGCCGGGGTCTGCGCGTGGCCTGGAAGACGCGTGGCGACCCGTGGTATCTCAGGGCTGAGCGCACGCAGGAGTTCGTCGAGAACGGCGAGGGTGGCACCGACTACACCTGCTTCGAGACCTTCCAGGGCCCGGCGGCTTGGCTGGTGAAGCTGGCGGTGGGAGCCAAGCTGGTGCAGGGCTTCGGCCTGTGGATGACGGGGCTGAAGAAGGCGGCCGAGGAGAAAGCGCAGCATGCTGGGCATTAGTCGCGGAAGGATGATCACTTTGGTTTCAATCACTGGTAGTGCAGTCCTCCTGGCATGATGTATACCTACTTGTTATACTCGCCCAGTTCCTACGGAGGACGAGTGGGCGTGAAATTTGTGCATCACTCCGGGGCCCAGACGAAGCCTTTGTTGAACAATAGTTGTGCTGGACTTCAATTCCACAGGAATTATTCCGTGAGGGCTACTCGGTCCGTGAGCATGTCAGCGAAGGGACAGACCAGCCATTCGTGCTTCAGCGGTATCCGACATTCGCTCAAACCGCCCCAACAGGTTTCCAAGCTCCCTATTGATCTGCTGCCGATCCCAAGCGTGTACACCTTCGCCAGCAAGACCTCTGGGATCACGGTTGCTGGCGCGCCGCTCGAACCAGTCTCGACGACCGCGCTGCTCCTGGCTCGGGCGTGCAGCACGATACGCAGCCTTTACATCCGCCCAGCCGTCAACCCCTCCGGCGTCTTCGGCAACACCATGACCAGAGCCGTCCAGACATACGAAGTTCTTGGTGGCATCGGCTCGACCCGTGATAGTCATGTAGTGGTCCCAATTGTCCCCAAAGCCATATGTATATACAATCTGACGGGCTGGTTGACTTAGCTGGTCAACTCCCTCGAAAGGCAAGGCTCAGACAGACAAGCAAGAGACAGGAAGCTTACCCTGGTATCGCGGGTCATCAAACAGCTTGTAGAGTTTGTACTTGTCAGCTTTCTTTTCGGGGGTGTTTGGATGGCAACGATCGCCCTCGTGCATGCGATCTATGCCAGAGAACGGGGTCTGTTCGACAGGATCCACGACGCGGAACAGGTACTCCTGCGGCTGGGACTGGTCTCTTTGGCCCCCGTTCCTATCCATCAGCATGCGCTGCTGAATGACACCCATGAGGTCGGACGGCTCCTCATAGTCGGGATTGGCCACGGCGAAGTCGAACGAGTGCGTCGTGGCCCAGCCAAAAGCAACCTGCAAGGCCAGGTGAAGGTGGTAGAACACGGCATCAGCCGGGCAGGACAGGACTCGAGTGACTGGCGGGCCTCGGATGTGATCTGGTGCCAGGTGAAACTTGATCACGTAGTTTTGCCGCTGGCACACTTGCTTGTGCGAAGGCCAGGACGCAGCTTGACATGCCTTGGAGCAGTATACTGCCTTTCGGCAGCGACCACACTGTTGAAGAGACGTCGAGGTCGATTCAGCCGAGCAGGACGGACTGCTGCACTCCCGTGCGGTTGCCTGGGGGGGCCATACTGCAATGTTTGATGCTGATGAGGAGAGCTGTTTTTGTGAAGGTGAGGGCTCGGAATTAAAATACTTTACACAATGATGAACTAGATACCTGCCCTGGGGCTTCTCACCGCCACGTTGGTGGTTGTGGGCCGCTGCTGCATACCTGCCTATGGAGAGCATCGCTTGCCAGGGTCGGCCAGACGGCGTCGGCACTGGTCCCGACGAGAAGCCCGGATCCGGGAATATCACCTGTATGCCTTCCGTAAGGCGATGTTCGATCGCCGTCAGCAGGTTGCCTGCTAGTGGAGTGCAGTACCGTAACATGAAGGGATGTCAGAAGCCCTACCACGAAGGCATGCTAGGAGTAGTCACGGTCGGCCTTGGGCCGTCTGGTGGCGGGGTCCGGTCCGGTCCGTCCAGCTCAGGCATGTGAACGGCCTATATGTACTATCTATTTCACGCGTCTCCTCCACTAACTACCTAGCTAAGGACTCTTCACGGAAGACCTTATTCATCTGGCCGGGGAGACAGTCTGCCAATTGCTCTCTATTCTTCAACTGGTTGTAGACCTGCCGTTCGCCAGCAGGTTGCCGCCATGGCCAAGCCGCAAGATGATGTCGTTAGGGCGCTGCAGGATTACACAACGTAAGAAGGGCAGGGTCCCTATGTTACGTCCATCACCCTATTCACATGTCTTGTTTCCTAGATGCGACGTCTCGGATGCCCTCTGCAAGTTGAAATACCGCAACGGCGGCTTTCTCTCCGGCCTAACCATGTGGTCGCCGCAGCGGCAGGACGGCCCTACCAAGATTGCCGGTCCCGTCTACACGGTCAAATACGTGCCCCTCGATGACCCAGCACCAAAACATCCAACGCATTACGTAGGTCAACAGCTCTACACCAGCAACCGGCATTACATCGAGTGCCATGCTGACAGATTGATCATGGGTCAAGATCGATTCCGTGCCCAACGGCGCAGTCGTCTTCGTCTCCTGCCCCCGGAAGACACCGAACGCTGTCTACGGCGGCCTCATGTCGGCGAGGGCACAGTTCAGCGGCGCCGTAGGGTCCGTCATCGACGGTCGCTTTCGGGATCTGCAGGAGCAGCGGGAATTGGGATACCCGGTGACTCTACCCGTCGCCAGACAGCTGTCATGAGCGAAACCAGTCTTGCTGATATAGATCAAGGTCTATGCCCGCGACGTGGGTACGGCCCCTCCGGCGGAACTGCTCAAGGTGGCGGCTGTCAACGTGCCTGTGCAGCTCCAGACAGATGAGCAAGACATGGTGATCCGGCCTGGCGACTACATCGTTGCCGACCTGAATGGCGTTGTGGTCTTGCCCGTCGAGTTGGCGGAGCAGGCCCTTCCGCTGATGAAGAAGCAGGTCGAGGCGGACGAGAGGATGGCCGTCGAGATTAGGAAGGGCATGAGCTTCAGCGAGGCCAGTCAGAAGTTCAGGTGATGTACGGCAGTGTCTCGGGCTTCCTATCAGCTCGTTGCATGTGGCTTCACGTTTTCCAATCACGGCTCCGTCTAGTATGGACTCCTTGTTTCAACTTTTATTTATCAATTCATTATACCATGCTGCGACAGGCACATATTGCATTTCCCTAGCTGGTGCCGTGCTCCAAACCCGTCATGAACCGCCATTAGCTGGAAAATAGACGGTCATTACGCCCTGGGGCCCGCCAGCGATCCCCATCGTCTTGGCCTTCGCCTTGAGCGCACCGTGCGCTTCGCATTCTTCATCATAATCTACTGACATTTTAGCAATCTTATTAGAATTCAAAGATTCGCGATAATGCATACTGTGGCAAAGGTCAGTAATTGTAAGTCACATCGAACCTACGGGGAGGGAACCGCTGTACGTACCACCGCATGTCGTCGATGCTGGCGAACTCGGCTTGGCTGACTACCGTCCAACCCTGAGAGCGAGAGTCATCCATAACTCGACTGGTCGTCATGGACAGAATATACGGCGCGCCATCCTGGGGTCGGGAGTAGTTAGCAAGAATTGGTTGTAAGGTTGTAGCGCCTGGTATATGGGTCCCTAGGCACGATGGCCGGAAGGGCGCAGCTGGGCTCGGCGGGCTTCCGGTCCTAATCGTGAAAGGACAGTACATATGTGCACACAAATTTCGCACCTTCTTTTGATCCATGGAAAGTGTCTTGTACGCGTCGAGCATCTTCTGCTGGCCCTCGGGCTCAGGTATCTTGAACATGGTGATTCGGTTGATGCGGCCGGCCATTGTCGATAGGATAGAGGGTCTTATGCTGGGTAAATACTGTTTGCGTCTTCGACAGTGCCGTGTGTTATGTTGATAGGCAGTGAAAGTAGACCTCTGCGAAGCGCGCGAGCTGGAGATTCCACCCTTCTTATGAGAAGGCCCGAGGTAGCCATCGGGCTGCTTGATCTGCTCGGGAGTGACACGACCTATGCATGACACATGTGTCCAAGGGGTTTCACTATTCCGCCTGCGTACTTATTGGTAGCTCCCCAGCCTCTTTCTATCAGGTCAGCCCGCAATCGATATAGTGGCCAATCATGAGGCTAATTGTAAGCCTCAACCAGAGCCCTCGGAATAAGTCAAGTGTTCGGACGACAACTACGAACCGACGGGTCCATTGGGGAAGTCCGGTTTCGCTCAGACGAGTGTGACCGACCATGACCATCCGCTTGCCCCGAGCCGTATACACAAGTGACTCGGACACAAAGACTGCCATGCCTTCCCTACGTGGAAATGACTTGCAGGCAAACCGTGGCCTCCAGATGGTACCGTGGTGGTCTACGCATGTTGCTCCAATGCCTGGCATTTGTGAAGGAGAGAGCACACTATCACATAGCAAGACTGAAATCCAGGTGCTTTGACGTTAGCTGTGTCCTGCCTAGGGGTGATTAGACTGACCTGCGAGCCCTAGCACTCCAAAGTGTCAATTGTCCGAGCATGGGAACTCCTCAGTCTTAGCCTCTCAGACTATACCAGCTGCCACTCCGTCGTGATTTCAACCACTCGAGTCGTTCTTGAAGAATGGAACCCCCGTGAGAGAACCCTCGTTTCCATGAGGATCGGAATCAAGGGTGGTCATGTCCACGGAAAGGGCCTCCTCCAATCACCCGAAACGCTTCCAGCAGCGATGCACCACCTACTTTCCACCTGCCAACGGGGTCAGCAACGATAATTTCAAGGGCTGGGATACTGGCGACATGCGTTTCTTGTCTCTGTCGTTCTCCCCATGGGGATCTACAGCATGTCGGTAGCTCAATTGAACTCCAGGGATGTCTTTCCTTTGATCATCTGACAGCCGAGACAGGGGCGACAAGTGAGTAGAGCAAGGACAAATTAACATACTAGAAGCCCACCATGACCCGGAAGATAGGACAAGTTCATGCGATAGCATGGGTGCAGCCCTATCCCAGAAGGTTAGCCTGGATGCTTGGTTCTGGTGGTTGGCATGCTCATGTCAATTCCAGTGTCACCTCTGCAGTCGAGTATGCTCTCCTCGTCCGAGCCAGTTTTTCACTTATCGATGTGCATGAAGCTCTCGCAGACCGTTAGCGTTGGATAAAAGCAAAGTGCATCCGTTGTCCTTTATGTTATGAAACGTCTCGTCCTCAACGGAGTACGCGTGCTCTATCGTCGAGCTTCCAGTTCTCGAGGCCATGATCACGACAGGTCTTCACCAGTCGGCGTAGAATCTGGTCACATCGGCGCAGTTGGCGATGCGCCTGTGGACACCCTGTCTGACTCATCAATGTCATCCGCTGGGTCCAAACCTGCTGGGTAATAGGTGCCTCCCAAGCCAAGTGGTATTCGGTCCGGTTCTCGTACGCCCTTGTCTACGCAATGACCCTGGTAGCCACGAGGCCTAGGCATCAGCCCCATATTGATGCATTGCCGATATTGCAGAGTGCCTCCTTCAAAGACCCGGATCCAAGGTTGCCCGGTAGGAGAACTTCGGGTCAGAGGCTCCCACGGCCCTGCAGGTAGGCCGTTGCTCATGCACCGCTATGTCGTGTAGCCGGCTAACAACCCGACCCTGCCATGGTTGACGACGCCAACGATGCCCTCACGAGGATTTCTTCCCTCTGCTGGTTCAACGACGGGGTCCCCCTCGTATGAATGTAAGGAAATATACGCATAGGCATCCAGAGACCTGGGCATTGCAAACAGCCGCGCAGATCAACGTCAGGTCACATACCGTATCCGCGCGGGAAAAGACTCTGCCCGTTACAACATCTCCACGATGGAGCCCAGAACTCCATCGACCGTGAGAGGAAACCATGCTCGAGGATGGTATTGGTCTGTCGACTGAGAAGGGTCTATGTGGCGCAAGCGCATGGCCATATCGGCATTCAGTGTTACCAACTACCGCGAAGCTCGATATCTTACCCCGCCGATGGCACAGATCAAAGCATCTCCGACCAGTCGCAGTGACAAGTAAATCCAGTCTTCTGTGATGCTGAAGATAAGGGGCGTGGTCAATGACGACAAGACTACCTCCGGATATGAAGATCCTGGCAGCCCGACTCGAGGTAGTCATCATATCACGGCGATAAGTTGATAACGGTTTGCGCGACCTTGAGGGCAGCCAATGGAGCCCGCACGTATCGGCGCATCCCCGGTCGACCGAAACGGCAGACGAATCAGACGGTGAGACGCCTGGTGGCCGCCCGGGGGGTTCCTGGCCGTATGTCGCATTCTATCTGTAGCTGTAGATTGGCGATCGAGTGTTGTGCAGAGATCCGTCAGCGTGGCTTTACTTATTAGACTCACGGCACCACCGTCAGCCAAGGTCCCCCTGGCCTGTTGGCATCGCGAGCCTCTTCTTATGTCCTATTGCCCGTCGTAACGGATCGACGCAATGGCACTAGCAAAGGTATTCGGTCTGCTGGTGTTGGCAGCGCTTGGCTGCAATAGAAGCCTCTCGGCGTCGGCCGACCGCGTAGGCTCCCGTGCTGTCGTGGCTGAATTTCCTCCGCTCATCGAGGCCACTTTGGAGGACCTGGTGACAGCGCTCGAGATGGGGTTGTTCACCAGCGTTGACCTCGTCACCGCATATACGAGCCGGATTATGGAGGTTAACGACACCTGTAAGTAGACTGCCGTCTCCATGTTCCCTTGGCGGGCTTGCTTCACTTGCCAGAAACCCGCCAGGCGCCTCCCAAGACCGTGAAATTCTGTTGTCTTTAAACGCGGTGTTGCTGAATTCCTCTTACAGTGAAAATGGTTGCAGAGCTCAACCCTGACGCCATGGCGATCGCTGCTGAAGCGGACGCTCAGAGGGCTTCTGGGCACGTCTGCGGCCCTCTCCACGGCATCCCTGTTCTCATCAAGAACAACATCGCAACGAATGACTCCATGTCTAACACGGCCGGGTCGTACGCGCTCGTCGGGGCCAAGGTCCCGGGGGATAGTACCATGGCAGCTAAACTTCGCAAGGCGGGTGCCATAATCCTGGGCAAGACAAACCGTGAGTCGTAGCCAGAACCACTTCCCTCTTGTGTCATAGGCCTTTCCCGGAACAGTGCTCGTGGACTTCCTGCCCATACCTCCAACCTCAATGGATAGGGTGACAACTGGCCTAACCGTGCTACAGTCTCACAATGGGCCAATTACCGCAGCACGAATACCAGCAACGGCTGGTCGGCGGCAGGTGGTCAAACCCAGGGTGCATACTACCCTGGCCAAGACCCTTCAGGGTCATCGTCGGGGAGCGGTGTTTCTTCGTCGCTGGGACTCGCATTTGCTGCCCTCGGGTCGGAAACAGATGGTTCCATCGTGTCGCCGTCCAATGTGAATAACCTAGTGGGCATCAAACCCACCGTGGGCTTGACGTCCAGGTACTTGGTTATCCCCATCTCTGAGCATCAGGACACGGTCGGGCCCATGGCCAGGAACGTCAAAGATGCAGCATATCTGCTGTCGGCAATCGCTGGCACCGACGCCAACGACAACTATACCTCTGCCATGCCGTTCGAGGAGGTACCAGACTACGCCGGGGCCTGTGACTACTTTGCCTTGGGCGGGAAACGGATTGGCGTGCCGAGGAACCTCTTCGACATTACGGGATACGAAGGACAGTACGGGCCGATCGTGGCGGCTTTCAATGCCTCGCTGGACGTCCTCCGTGCTGCGGGGGCGACGGTCGTAGACAACATATACCTCGAGGGATATGATACGCTGGCAACGGCGAATTTCGAAAACGTCGTTCTTCAGGCCGACTTTGTTACGAATCTGGCAGCGTACCTCGCCAAGCTGACGGTGAACCCACATAACATCACCAATCTCGCCGAGCTACAGGAGTTTACCCAAAGCTTTCCACTGGAAGAGTGGCCCTCGCGAGATACCGAGATCTGGCAAGAGGCTCTGGATCTGGGCTTTGGGAATGAAAAGCCTGATGTTTGGTCCAACTACACGGCAAATCAGTATTATGGCGGGCTCCTGGGCATCACCGGGGCAATGCACAACCTCTCACTCGACGCATTGGTGATGCCGACGACCTTTTCTTCGTACCTTCCGGCGATCATCGGATCGCCCATCGTGACGGTGCCTCTCGGGGCCTATCCTGCCAATACTACGGTCATTCCAAATCAGCGCGGCAACCTCGTTGATACGGGACCAAACGTACCCTTTGGGCTGGCGTTTCTGGGGGAGCACTTTAGCGAGGAGAAACTCATAGGCATGGCCTATGCCTTTGAAGAGAGGACCAAGGTGCGCAACAGCATCAAGCCGTATATCCGGCCGCAAACAGAGATGGTAGATTTCATAAAGGCCCGGAAGTGACGCATGGTGTCCGTGGGATTTCATCTTCTATCTATACACATCGGAGTAGTTAGCTTGAGTCAGACAGGCAGGGTCCGCAATGATCACAGTGATTGAATATAATACGAGGCAGTTCGTGGCATAGTCAGCTTCATGGTAGTTGATGGGCACGTTGTGATTGTTCAGTGTTCATATTTCGGTCAGGGGGCAGAGGGGGGTGAATTGTCATACAGTGTCAATACCGTGCATCTCACCCTCGGCGGTCTGGGTATGCACTGTGTCGATGCTTTCCCGAGTTTTTAAATTTAATGCTGCGGGGAACATCCCGGTAGGGACTCTGGACTCTGGAGTCTAGAGGCAGAGACCATCCCACCAAATCGTGACTGTGGCTTCGCCGTCACCCAGCAGAACACCTTCTTTGCGCATTCCCCGTTGCACCTTCTTGTTGCGTCAACCATTGGAAGTCGTGATGCATCTGCCGCCGCTGGAGTCGCGGGACGACGACTTCTACATCCAAATGAGTGCCATGCGCGACACCACCCCGGCCCCGGCCCCGGCCTTCCAGGATCCGCTGCACGATGTCTTCGGCTCAGACCCCGACCCGGATCTGGCTGCCGCAGATATCTCGATGGATACGAGGAGACTGCAGACTCAGCACACCACCGTAGGCTACCGCGAGGGTATCACAGCCGGCAAGTCCGAGAGCATCCAGGCCGGCTTCGACAGCGGCTTCAGCCTAGGCGCCAACATCGGGCTCAAGGCCGGACAACTGCTCGGTCTCCTCGAGGGCATCCCCGCCGCCCTGGCCGAGGGCGCCCATTCCACGCATGCAAATCGACTTCTCGCCGATGCGCGGACCGAGCTCAGTACGGACAAGATCTTTGACGAGGAGTACTGGGCGCCCGATGGCAGTTGGAGATACGCTATCACGGGCTCAGACGGGAGTGGCCAGCCCACATCTGAAGACGTCGCCAACGAACACCCTCTGATCTTGAAGTGGAGCCGAGTCGTCGAGCAAGAAATGCGGACTTGGAGCATAGACCCGTCTCTTCCCATTCTCAAAGGTTACGCGCCTGTGGAGGAAGAAGGCGACGCGATATCAGCTAAGAAGGCGACGCCTCGGGAGGTCGTCGATTGGTGAGAGGAATCGTCAAGTATCGGCCGCCCGTACAGCAGTACGTGAATTTCCGCAGTTCACTAGCACTCACATTGCAATCGACCGAAAGTGCAGTCTCAGTGCACCGCCGCCGAGGTCAGGTCCGCACTAAGAGGCGCCTCCAGCCGTTCGGATTGGACGCATTCGGAGGGGCCGGAATCATCGGGTATCAGTCGCCAACTTGGCTCTTCCACGCCGTGGTGTAAGCCGCAGAAGAAATACGACTCTTTCGATTAACTATCCAGGACCTGGTTGAAGTAACCTACCGACGTCTTACAAGTTACCATGCAGCGACGGAACTGCATGAAGCATGTCGAGTACGCCTTGACTCGTTTTGAAGTCGGCAGCTGACCAGCGACCTGGTCCTCGGACAAGAGTTTGAGTTATATGCCCGCACCACACTTTCCACACACGCGGCACCGCGTGCGGCATTATGGTATCTGGAAGGCCGTTCATAGCTTAATATATGGTTCGGCAGTTCCGTGTGTCTGCTCCGTTGCCTGTGCTTGCGAGTAAAAGTGCTGCACCAACACTGGATAGCTAGTCTGTACTCACATTTGCCTACGCAACTGGCACCGCCAGACAGCCGCCGTCGCACTCCTGTTGATCAACTGAATACGGTCCGTTTCAGCCGTGGAAGGGTGAAGTCGTTCGAATTTTGAGTACCTATGTTTTCGTCGTCTCTTCTTGCGCTTCACATCGATATCGAATCGGAACGTCAAGTCAAGAACAAATACATGGCTAGTAGAGGCAATAGTCGCACATATCATTCGTACCTGGTCATGCCTGAAACGCTGGGCAAACCCCATCGCAAGTTGCCTTGACTCCAAGTCCATGGGTTCCGGTTCCCCTATCACTGCAACCGGTTTCTGGATCCCCGCCGAGTGGGAGCCAATGGATGTTGGTCTTTTGAGTATTGCCGATTTGCGCCCCATTGTCACCACACGGTTGCTACGGCCATGGCAGGCGACCGCCCTAACGTCATCCATATACATCACTTGGAGGCCTTGGGAAGTCTCTGGTGCAATCCACTGCGTTCGTCCTGTCTACATTCGTTGGGTCCACGAGTAGAGTGTCGTGTACGCAGTTGGGGTATGCTTATTCGTTCTGCCGCAAGACATCATTTGACCTGTGTTCGCGAGCTGATGACTTCGGCTCTGACACGCATCTCTGTGGCGGCAGGAGTGCTATTGGTCGACCTGTCTGAGCTTTCTACATCGGGCAACATCCTACGAGCTGAGCCGAGTGAGTTACTTGGTGCGTAATCACGGAGACCCTGGCATGAGACCACTCCAGCGAAAGACTCGAGGTTACCTTCTCCGCAGGCCATGAGCCAATCAACCTCGAAGCCGGCGACCGAGTCTCGATGGTTTCTCGATCAGCTGACCCAGGGCCAGGCTGTCCCGCCGAGGCTCAGTTTGGTGGCTTCAAAGACGACCTCTGCTTTGGCTGGTTCCCGTTGACAGACCATGTTGACCGATCCCACGACCGCTGGCTTTCTAATTTGTGTTTCTGTATTGCCTCGGTAATCTCATCCCCGAATTCACAGACCTCGGGTCCCTCGCGGTGCCATCGGGATATCTGTCTGTAGGTATAGATGGGAGGATCACACGTCAAGAAAGACGTGACGCTGATAGACGGCAGATTTGAAGGCCCTGGCCAAGATCAGCCAAGATCATAGTGGCGGTCTGTAGGCCTGAGGGGCTTCAAACAACAGCCGCTGGTGAACGCACTGGAGTCTGCAGGAGCAACGATTGTAAGCGCCCCACCAATCTCTCGCGGACGCCTCTACTCAGGTGGGTATAAGCTTAGGCACTACCGAGAAAGGCCGGCAACGATGGCGGTTCGCACGAGCAGGCGCAGCTGCTGATATCATGCTGTGTAACGCGGTCCTTGGTGAGTGGCGTTCAGTGTCAGAACTTTGTCTGACTGTCTGGGTTCTTATGCGAGGAGTATCAAACATATTTCTTCTTCTCTGCGCGGTGGCCTACTCTGTACCCCATACTTGTTTCGAAAAGCATACTGACCCGATAACTCGATGTACAGTGTGGCTCATTGCGTTGATGTGGGAGCTCGAGCCCCTTGGCGCGGGGCTGCTGATAGACGAGTGCGCCGACGAGGCAGTGGAGGAATTTCAAGCTCACATTGTCAGCGGCGGCGTCTCAAAGTGTAGCCACCTGGTACGCCTCCTTCTCGCCGCTGAGGCACTGCAGTACGTATTGCACCCATGCGCACGGTAGCACGACTCCGACTTGCGATGATCCTGGAAGTTATGAGCGGGGTGTCTAGGGGCTCGGGTTCCTGTTGCGTGAGAGCAGGCGCGGCAGACTATTTTGTAAACCCGGGACCCGTCCACTTGCTGCTGCTGCCGCTAGGAACAGAGACTGTCTCTTAGACCCCCGGGTGCGCAAGGTAGTTTGACATGTCGAGATCGGCCTACTGGATGTAGAGGTCGGCTACTGACATGTCTCGATGACTGTGCTATACCAACCCCGACGACCCTCTTGCGCAGGAGGGGGGACTATCGACAGCGGGCACGGCAAACGAAGGGTAGCAAGGCGGTGGATAGGTATTGTTGGACTTTCTCCCCGACCAGTGAGAACGGTGCAACACCCTCGCGCCATCGCAACCATATGCTGGCTGTCCAACCTCCACGACCTTGGAAGACAGGTTGCCTGAGCTGGAGCCGCGCCACACTTGCCGATGATTTGGCCGTTACAGCGACAGCGAAGGATCCCCCCTCCGTGTCAGCCGTGGCATCATATTTAGCATCAGAATAGACAGACCCGCCGGCTTAGGCAGGCACAGATCCTATTGAAGCGGGTCGAACCATAGAGGGCAGGTCGTCCGGTTGTCAGGCACTTGGGACGGGTTGGGTCGGGGTCGGCCCGACGAAGGAGAAGAGAAGTAAGCAATACAAGAACGCAGTCAGCCAGGCATTGTCTTGGTCTGCTCGTGGAAAGTAGGCAGTGTGGACGGCGTTGGGCGAGGACGGCGACGAGGCGATCCGCTTGCAGAGTACCGTGGGGATGCGCACTATACGAATGGACGTTAAAACTTTTAGAACTGTCCTTCGACTCATCTATCCGGCAGTCGTAGGTTAAAGCCAGGAAGGCTACTGTGGTTGGATCGATTCGCGCATTCCGCCAGGACGATTGGAGTCAAGACTGCCGTAGAGCTATCATCTCCTGCCTTATTATGCACATGGCTGAAACACACTGCTCACTTTGACGCTCTGAGCCTCAGCCAGCCGTAACTCTTGGACCGTGGGATCGTGTCGATCATGGGGCCATGATGGCATGTAGATATTAATAGATCCTCCCTTCCACGCACCCCTGTCGGTTCTACGTCAGCTGGGGATTCGGCGGCGCTACCTCGACGTCGGTAGTTTGGTGAATAAGGATCGCACCCTGGTCTGCACTTGGGAGCCTCAACGACACTCTTCTACTGCACCGTACCACGGATGTGCTTACGTTCTCAGCTCCACGGCCCTGGATTCGACATGGTTACGACGAGGCTGAGGCGGAAGATCGGCGTCGCCATTGTCATGTCCTGAGTCCAGTTGCCGTGTCGCTTGGTGTCAGGATGCGAGATTTGGAAGACGTGTGTGAGGAAGCGGCCCACACACCATACCCATATACTAGCTACGTACGACCTGACCTAGCACAGGTTCCTTCATCCTTTGAATCCAAAGAGAGGCCAGACTATGGAGATGGACATTGGCGTCGTCGTTGCGGTTGCCGTACTGCTGCCTGTGGGACGTCATCCCATGGCACGCAACTCACAACTCACACGCATATGTATATAGGTGCGAGTTCCTCGTCGTGTACATGTACAGATGAAAGGAGCAGTTGACAGGCACCAGCTAAGCTCACCAGACAGCCAGACAAACCACAGCACATATCCACGGTTTCCAATCTCCTCTTCTCTTCTTCTCTTCTCTGGCCGACATTGACTGTCTGCACCATGTACTACCAACTGGCCGCTATAACGCTACTCGTAGGCGCCCTGGGCGTCGACGGTGCACCGCCGCGCCTTGTGCCGCGTCAAAACTCAAACGCGTCGGGCTGTCTGTATGGCAGCGACTTCCCAGCCGAGTCGGAGTGGCTCCCATTTGAGACGTTGTTCGACAACTGGACCCCGACCTTCACAGCACAGGGCGACACGGCAGGCGAGGTGGCCACGATGAAGAAAGCGCTCCAATTATACGCCGGCGAGGGCAATTTCAACCCGACCTTCGCGACGGCTATCATTATACAGGAGACTTTCGGCAACACGGCGAGGGCGTGCGGCGATGGAGGCGCCAGCTGCGGTGTCATGCAGGTCAAGGGCGGGCCGAGCTCGTGTGTGGGCCAGGCGCACCCGTGTCCCGACGACACCATCAGCAACATGATCCAATGCGGCACCGTGGGATGCGCCGGTGCCACGGGTACCAACATCAAGGCCTGCCGCCAAAGTAGCTGGGGGGCTACGGCACGGTGTTATAACACGGGCAGCGTGCCAGACCCATCGAACCTCTGGTCCGCACCGTGGGGCACCCCGGCCTACGTCAACATAATCGGTAACATCTTGACGGGGGGCGTCGCCAGCACGACCGCCCGCGACCAGCTCATGGCTGACTGCACGCCTCGCTCCTAGATGTGAAGCGACAGTTCCGCCGGTGAAAGTGAAGGGGTGCAAACAAGCAGGGCAGGGTTGATGTTGATGTTGGGATCTGTTTATATATGTTTCTGCCCACGGTGCAAGTGCAGTGCAGGCCACGAGACGATGGGTCAGTCGGCCGTTGCGGAACTGCTGGCCAGTGAGTCAGTGACTTGGCTTCAACTTGGCTTCAACTTGAGCTTTTCGGGCGGCTCTGTGAGTCCTCGCGGGAACGGTTCTCCTTGAGCGGGTGTATACGAACGAAGCCTGGTGTTTTTCTTTTCTTTTCATTCAGTGTAATATACATCATGATCCATCCAATGTACATACAATACATACAGTCTGGTTCACTGCTGTGCAAAAAGGCAGAAGTATGTGACTCGTATCCTTTAACCTTAGTGGCCTCTGGTATAAGCTAGGGTCGTCGAACCAGGTGAGAGGCGATGCGATGCAACTGAACAGACTGGCGAGTGCCCCGAGTACCTATATTGCGCCAGTGATAGGCATTTGAAAGGGGAATACGGCTTGATATAACACCGGAGTCGATAAGTGGCAAAATTGTGACAAGGAAGGTGCAACGGCCCAAAAATTAGAGGAAGGCGCGATTGACCCATCTTAGGGGTCGATACCAGACGCCTTACCCAATAAATTCAACCAATCATGGATAGTCTTGGTGGCTCAGTTGGTTAGAGCGTTGGTCTCATATTTCTATGACTCAATTAAACATTGGGGCATCCAAAGGTCGAGAGTTCGAGTCTCTCCCAGGACACTTTTTTTTTGTTGTCGGTCGCACCTTCCTCGCAATAATTTTTGGACCGTCGGTGTCACATGACAAGGACCCCGCGGGTCCCACTTATGTACCTTGGAAGTACACACAGTGTCCGGAGGATCTGACGGATCCATCCTGGACTTAGCTAGAACAACAACGGAACACACAATCATGACATGAGCCTGACAGTCGGACCTTCCTCGTAGGTTTTTGACGGTTGCATCTTCCTTCCGAATTTTGCGCACCTCTCTTGGAGAATCCACCAAACATCTCTATCAACCCTACTTTTGGAAATAAGGAATAGCAGTTCTCGAGTATAAAGCGCGTGACGATCGTCATTCATGGCGCGTGGCACAGCGAGCCTAGGGGCGTCGCCGACAAAGATGCTACCATGTCGATAGTCCGGTCGTGCGGAAAAGAGGTCATGTTTACGTTTTTACTTGCTTGTTCTATCCGTGGGCTAGGGAACGACCTGCCGCGAGCCCTCACAATTATTAGATGGCGCGAGGATTGGTATCACTACTGTAGCAGGCAATGACCAGTCGGCTGCCGGCCCATGGCAGAAGCGCGCCGCCGTATTGGAACATACGGAGGAATACAAGTATCTAGAAGACGCGGCGTTATTCCCAAATGGATACGTCACTCGCAGGCATCAGTATGATGGGACCGAACGAGACGCCATCTTGCCACGTTGGCAGAGGTACTGAGCGCAGGACCTTGTGTTTTACCTTATGACACAAGGGAGGGGATCACCACTGCAAAAGGTTGATCGCAGCGCGAAGCAACCTGTTCAGCAGGGGATGCAACGAGAAGCCCTTCGACGATGAAGGCACCGAGAGAAGTCCCCCACGGAGGCAAGCGAAGAAGAGAAGTCCGCCGGGTCACAAGCGGCAGTCACACGAGAAGCCCCCCGACAATGGGGGCACGGAAGATGACTCATCTACGGCGACACGCAAAGGCTGGGATTTTCTCGATGTGACTAGAAACCTAATAGCTCCCACGTATTGTATTGCGATCGCTCATGACAATAGAGTGATGACTGCGAATGCCACTCGGGCGGGAACCCATGCATCGCTGGCCAACCAAACCAACTTCATGCCTGCTGTTGCTAGTTGATGTCGGTCGTAACCTAGCCGTCATTCATGTGCTCCTCAATCTTCTCCTGCATCTTAGGCCAGTCGTCTCCAGCCGTCTTCTTTGCTTCATCTATATCTTTTTGTTCAATGACACCTAGCTTTCCTATCTGCTCAGCGTCGTCGTGATCGCATGCCTTGCAATTCTCACACGTCTCCGCCGCCGGCTGGGGACGATTGTAATGAACGATTTCAATGAGGAACTCCTGCAGCATCCGTCGTCAGCAAGGGGTCACCCGCCCAGCTTCAGTCGTCGCTCTTCCCGCCCACGAGTGGGCAGATCAGGTGTGGGGTTTCGTGTAAGTTACCGTGCATAATAGGCACAGCGCCCGTTTCTTCCGGGGCGACCATTTTCCAATGCCTTCGACGTTGCTGCTAGCGAGCTGAGTCAGAGAGCTGTGCCGGTCTTCTCGACTCTCCGATGAACCACGCGCAACCTGACCCAGCCATGGGGCGTTCTCCCTCTCTTGGGCGGTGTGGTACGCCTGGGGGACAGCGCCGATGGCGACGCTGGGGGCAGAGAAGAGCTGCTGCTAGGATACTGCGTGGGTGCATGCTGTCGATGGTTGTTCAAATATAATGAGGCGCAATTCCGATAATCCGTTGATCAGGACAGGAACAATGGATGGTATATGAGGGCGGTGGTAAGCCTTGAAGAAGAGGCGGATATGTCTAGCATAGCAGCAGCGAGGATTGGAATGGTGTATCTATGTGTTGACACGTGCTGACAAGTTTTGACCTCATAGTGGCGACGACATTTTGGGATCGACTATATAGGTGTCCCGGATGGTAATGGTTAGCGGTTTCACGTAACGGAAACTTTTTGAGTCCGTACTTTACTTGTTAACAATACCGAAAGTTATAATTAATAATAGTTTGTAATAGGAATAAGTAGAACTTTACGCGATAAGATATAAAACTTTCTCGTTATATATTAATATAATAGTAATGTGAGAATATTGGTGCCTATCAGGTGTGTGCTGCAGCTGGCAACAGGCTGAAAGGGGTGAAGTAGTAGTAGTAGCATTTAACGCCAGGGGGCCTGCCTGAGAGCGGCGGCCCTGGGCCTCCAAAAGGGCGCGCGGGCGTGCTAGGCTAGGTCTCATACTATATATATATACATACAGCTGCCCAGCTAGCAGATCTCGTTCATAAATAGCCACTGCATCTAAGCAGCGGTTCTCATCGTGTCCCCCCCTCCTCTGGGTAAGGGTTGGTGCCGACGTCATTCGCAGTCTTTAAATTCCTGATATATCCAAGTTCAAATAGCTTGATTCGAGCTGTAGGGTAAGGTTTATGAAACTTATGCTCCTGCTTCATGTACGAATGCACTATAAAAGAAAGAATATAAAACAGATCCCCCAGACGCTGCCCAAATAAAGAAAAATATAAGTGCCATCAATAGCGAGGACAGATACCGCCATAAAAGTCAGTGGCTAGGAATAGGTCTCGGTACACTGTAAGAGTGGATATGATATCACGCAGATAGCGTTGCTGTTCTGGCCTGGTAGGCCGCCTAGAGGGGCCCAGGGGCCATCTCTTGTACTGCTTGATGGATTTCTGGCAGTGGATGATGTGTTCTGGAGCCTTTGCCCTCCCGTAAGAGCATTCCTGGTTGGCATTTATATACTCAAATTTGTCGTGGTATCAGGCAAAGTCACCGTGTCCTGTGTAGGTAGCTAGGTAATAATGTAGTGCTGGCCTGGTGAGCACCTGCAGCTCCTCATGGCAGCGCAGGTGATATCCAAGGTTCCAGTCCTTATAACAAGATAATAGCATTGTTTGTGCCTTATCTCACCATTTCTCACGAGCTGTAGCTCCTTTTATTCGTGCCGTGGACTTGATGCTGTAAAATGTGGGCGTATATTCACTGTTGATGTCAGGCAGCTTGGAGCCAGCCTTGGCCAGCCTGTCTGTAAGCTCGTTGCCTTTCACGCCGCAGTGGCCAGGACACCATTTAATAATGACGTCCCAGATCCCCGCCGCAGCGTGGAACTTTAGGTAAGCCCACTGACAGGACACCACAATATTGTTGCAAAGCCCCCAGATCGCTCCTATATTATCTACGCATACCTAAATCCGGCGCTGGCTCAGCTCCGGAGGGGCCTTGATCACATACTGGAGCCATTTCCATGCTCCTACCACTTCCGCGTTGAATACAATAGAACATGGGTGTAGGCAGCCCCTGTTTGAGGCGACTAAGTGCCCGCCCTGGTAGACCGTATAGCCGTATCCTACGTATATTTCTCCTCAGATCCGTCTGAGAACATTACCACATCTTCTTAGAGCAGTGTTGGAACCAAGCCTTAAAAGACTTTACTGCCTGTTCTTTGGTTTGACCTCTCATGAGATCAACCCTACAGCCCGGCGTGAATATTGGGGACACCAGCAGGGGCTGCTGTACCGGGGGCAGCATACGTGCTACTGCCTGTATCTTAGTCTTGGGTCGTTGATACCCTCCCGCACCTCGGCCTCGTGCGATGGCCGGTAGGACGATTCCCTTTGTGAGCGGGTGTAATTTGTTCACAGTCCAAAGCCTGTATACAAAGCGCTACAGGGCCTGGTCCAGAGCTGTCTCCGCCGTTGGGAGTCCGGTGTCTCTGTAGGCCGTGTAGGTAGGGGTAGTCCGCCATACAGGGAGCACCGCACGCGCTGCCATGATAAGGGCTCGCTGTATTATGGCAATGTGCCCTCCTATACGGGCACTAACCTCCGCCTTGCCTGCTAAAAAGAAATGCATTACGGGCTTTTTCTGCCTGCCATACCATGCTTTTACGCCGTATAGCGCTGTTGAGATGACACAGGTAATTACAGCCTTTTGTAGCCCGGACACCGGTGGTCCATTTTTTGTGTTAGCTAGGTTGTGTACATACTTATAAAGTTGTATTGCCTTGCCCGCATGTTTAGTGACGTGTCTCTTCAAGGTCAGCTTCCGGTCAAACCACACCCCTAACCACTGCAGTGCCGGCTCTTTTTCTCTGCCCTCCGGCTCTTGTACAGGGTGGATAGTGAGCCTCTCGCCCACTACCATAGGAGGGTTGGCGATGTCTTGGCCCCTAATGATATGAAGCAGGTCGCACTTTTTAGGGGCAAAG